CCTTCTTTGATATGGCATCTGCTGACCGGGCTCCGGACACGCAGGACACGCAGGACAAGCTTCGTGGCATGCATCGATGCTCAACGCCTAGTTCTTGCCCGACAGTGCACCGAGCACAAGCTAAGATCAGCTCTTCGCTGGAGAAGCGGCCCATTCTGGTGGACCGAGTATCCAAGTCCCAACCTGGATGGAGCGAAGTTTCCACTGCTGCACCCTCGACAGTTGGCGAGGAGGATCCGGTGGATGCGTGCATGACACCCGCTGAAAGTGACATTGGAGTGAAGCTCAGCGCATCTTTGCGTGCATGGTTGGACCGATCAGAAGATGAACCCTACAAGGAAGCGTGTGTGGTAGCGCGCAGCAAGATTCCTGAAGAGATGGAATCCAGCAGCTCCTTGCAGCAGCTTGAGCTGGCCCTCGCAGGGGAGATCAAGGCAGAAAAAGTGGATGAGAAAGATCCGCTTGATGAGACCCTTTCTTCCAGTGAGGATGACGAGGCTGCCCAAACACCCGCACCTGCGCAAGCGCACGTCAGCAAACGATCTGAGAGCACAAGACCAAGGCACGTTTTTGTGAGAAGCAGCAACCAACAGTATTGTTCGGGCACCATGTGAATTTCCGCAGTGCTGCCAAATGATTGGCAGGTGTGCCTCACAGAGTGTGAGAGCAAGCACCAGGCGGGAACGTGTAGAGGGCAGAGCAAAAACAGCAAAGGAGAAGTCAGAGCCAATTCTTTGTGATTGTTGGTTGTGTTGAGATTATGCCTTCTGGCAATTTAGAGGTGAAGTTCTGTGTGAGGACATCGAATGCGGAGCGCCAAAGAGAGCAAGCAGCACCCAAGAGGTCACTTGCCCGACATGTTCCTGCAGCAATGCTCACCAACCGATGCACAATGACACCTCGCTCGTTCTCATTCTCTCTGATGTGGTGGTTGCTTCTGTAGCTGCCGTAACCTTCTCTCTGACTCGCTGGTTTACCCCAGGCTGACTTTGATATGGTTTAACTTCCTCCCCGGAACTCACAGACTTGCGGGGAAGCGCTTTTTGTCGGTGGACCGGGGTGGTTGTGTTGTGCTGAGGCGCTGCAAGTCTCAGGGCGCCAAGCAGCTCAGCCGCAGGCTTGAATACTCCCTACGAGTTGCTCATGTGAAGACTAGGAAGCCAGTCTGTGCAGGACGCCGGTAATCATCTCAACCTCGCTGAAAGCATTGGTCAGCGAAGAGGAGGTGCTGGCGCCGAGTGATAGGACTTGAAAGAAAACTACTGATAGGAGGTGTGCTTGGCTGAGCCGTGCTTGGGAGGCACTGCAGAAGAGCCTGCTGCGGTTAGACTTCGAGGACCGTGTTCCTGGCAGTGGCAGGAATGCGCAGTGCCCCCCCACAAGTGTTCAAGGAGATGAAGCGCCAGTTCAGTGGCAGGGAGCCGTTGTGGCGAGATTCGGAGGTGCTGCAATTATCATGCCGATTTTGGTTTATGCTGACACGTTCAGGCTGTGTTGTTCCTCATTTTTTGGCAGTCTACCATCTCGCGGACTTGCTCCAGTAGCCTACTGTGCAGGTAATGCGTGACACCTTCAAAAACGACCCTGAGCGAGAGAGCAAGCTCCAGGCAATTGACTCATTGTGGTCCAGTAGTCTAGTGACCCAGCCTCGCTAAAACGTATGGTTTTTCTCCATTTGCTCGTTGCTGTGAGTGCCGTTTGCCGTGACGGAAGCAGGCGTCCCTCCGACGCCTTGATGGTGCCTTCAACGCTTTGCAGAGCCAGGTGGAGGCCTCTCCCCACTTTTCGATCACTCTTCCAAGGGCTTTTTGAAGAGCTGTACTTCGTTCTGTCCAGGTAAGGCTCCACAAGGAGCAGCAGCGCTGCGCAGGCAGCAAGTGGGGTCGCTGTAACATTTGCACTGATCGACAGAGTTTGGCATTATGCAACGATTCAGGCGGTGGGAATGCTCCAAGGAAAGCGGTAGCTTTCCAGAGGCCATGGGAGCGGAACCGTGCTAATCAGACAGAAGTTTCATGACTCCCATGTGAGGCGGAGACAAGGCAGTGCTGTTGGCCGAACGGGTGCTAGAAGCCGGCCTCGAAGCTGCGCGGAGCCTGTGCGCCCCGAGAAACCCGTTCCGCCTTGGAATTAAAGTTGGACAAAGCACAAGTGGTGTTGGATGCGGTTCCTAGCAGGTACCTACGATCTCATGTCCTGCACGGGCTTCCGGCAAAGGCAGACAGCATGTACAACAAAATGCTTGATTGAAGTTGAATCCATGGCAGTGTCCACAGGCGCGGGAACCACCACGGCGGGGGAGCTGTAGAATAAAGCTCGACGGTTATTTGCTGATTGTGTTTCGCAGCCTGAGCCCGGGTGCTCCGGGCTGGGGCCACGAAGTGTGCAAGCACTTCGAATAGAGGACCATGCGCCAAGTATAGGCAAAACAGATAATTCACCCGTTATTAGCCTGGCGCTGCCATGTTGCCCGCAGAGCCTGCCCATGTAGGCTGCGTGCCTCTGACGTGTTTTTTCAGCTAACATGTCGAATAGTCGAAAACTAGTCAGAACACCTGCTTCCTTGGGTAAGGTTGGGGGTTGAGGGGCTCTTTTTGCAATTTAAGCAGCCAAACCCGGCACAGCCATTCTCGGTGAAGCATTTGGCACTTTGTTCTAGGACTGTTGGGCTTCCCAGGACTGTCCTTAGGGCTCTTGGAATCGCTCAGCTCCAGATGCAACTGCTCTCGCAGGAACAATCCTGCCCTCATGTCACAAGCACATGAACTGTATTCGATTTGTGTACAGGCTGGCAGTACGTCAGATGTTTCACTCGCCCTTGTTGTATAACATCAAAAATTAGCGCCGAGGATCACCAAGGAGCATCTCAGTTGGGATCCTCTTCGCACTTGGCTGTGATGCTTCGGCGCCTGGCGTGGCTGAAAACGTGCTGTAGCGGTGATTTCCGTTTGAAAGTTTTCTGGATTTCTGCTTCAGAACCTTGAAACTCTTGACTTCTTGATGGATGCATTTTGAGCAGTAGGTAGGTGTGCGCTTTGGCAGGTTTCTACAGTGTACTTTCATCACATGCCTTGCAAAGCGAGCTCGTGCAGCCTTTGCAAGAAGCTGTCCTTTCTTTGCACTCCGACTGGGCAACCAGTGCGTCATCCCAAATGCTCCTCAGTGCTCCTGCCACTCGACTCCATCGGGCTGCAGGCCTTTCCCATCGGGCATTCGTATCGTGTTTTGGATGACGTTTTTGCTTCTGTTAAACTGTTAGGGTTTCCCGTTGACCGCCCGCTTGTGGCTCAGAAGTTGAAACTCGAAAGTGCTGTCATGTTGCTGGTTCGTAGAACGATACCCCGCCAGTAAGCTGCATGGCAAGAGTCGTAGGGATGCGCAATCGTTGCCCAAATAAAAGCCCGCGAGTCTTGCAACCTTGCATTTAGGCCACCGAGCCGCGCCCTGCTTTCGAGGGCCATGGATGTCAGCCCGCAGCAGAGGGAACTTGTAGAGCAGGACCCACATTGTGACACGTAAACCAATAGCAGGCCACTGCTGCTTTTTGGTGTCGAGGTGAAGATCTGGTTCACCTGCACAGAGATGGAGGAGCATCCGCTGAGAGTGGCTGGTCACTCTCTCCACTCGGTTCTCCCTTATTGGCAGGCCTTGGTTCAGACGGCCGTCCAATTTGCGGACGCCAACTGCTCGGTGTTCGAGCCCGAACTGGGCGAGCACAAGCTCGAGTGCGCCAGCTTCGCTGGAATTCAGCATTTACAATGGTGAAAATTCGGTTAGGTATGCATCCTTGTTATTGGATGCCTTTTGCAGGTACACCCGGCTGCACAACGAATTCAAGCAGCTTTTCGAGGACGGAATTTGACTGGATCTCTTCGTAGCTGTATGTTGCCATTTTGCTTTTCCAAAAAATCCACCCCCTCGCCCCTCCCCTGTGGTGAGGGTGTGGTTGGGGGGTTAGGGTTTAGTGTTTAAGGTTTAGGGTTTAGGGTTTAGGGTCGAAGGTTAGGCCGGTGGTGTGATTGGGGGGTTGGGGTTAGGAATTGGGGTTGAGGGTTTAAGAGACCGGCCGCCCGTGCTACCCTTGCGCCCCCCTGGACGTGGGTGTGGTTGGGGGGTTGAGGGTTTAGGGTTTACGTAAGGTTTAGGGTGTACATAAGTTTAGGGTTTAAGGTTTAGCCCCCCTGCCTGTGCTGTGAATGGGAGGTTGGCGTTTGGGGTTGAAGGCTTACGGTTTAGGTTAAGGGTGTGAGGTTTTAAGGTTTGAGGGAGAGGGTTGGGGTTTGGGGTGGGGGGCGAAGTGGATACCATGGTGGGGTGGGGGGTTTCAGAGGGGGGCGGGATTCTTTTGCGGGGGGGGGGGGTAGCGGGAGCCCGAGACCATATATGGTGCAGTGCTCTGCACCCCAAGCACATGCTGAATATGCTGTGATAGTTGACGTTTACACTCAGTTTTCGGCTGGCTTTGAGATACTCCCAAGTTTTCAATTCTGGGCTGTGAGAGGTGTGTGTGCGTGTGTGTGCGCGCGTGGGGGTGTAAGGTTTTCTGACAGCTTTTGGCTTTCTTTGCTTAAGTTCAGATCTTGGTTGTGTTGGCTTGCGGCGAAGGAAGTGCATGCGGGCAGTGCGGTGAGAAGCCAAATCTGTCGGCTGTTGTGGGGCTTGAAGCCTTTGGGTCTTGACCACGTCTTGAACTTCCTTGATCAAGTACATGCACACACACAAACAAACACGCACGCAGGGTATGGCTTTCGGGTGCCGATCAGGACAGGCTGAATTCCTTCTTGTCCAGCATCGGTGCAACGCCTGAGGCACATAACGGACATGACGATACAAAAGATAACCTTTGAAATTTTCAAGAGGGCTAAGATAGGGTTCGTACCATCGGCTGTATGTGTCCAGGCGTTCTACGAAGCCTTCGAAAAGATCGGACGGGAGGAAGGAGGCATTCTGCCTTTCGCTCAGCTTGAGCCATTGTCCCGCAATGCTCCCAAAATGCAGGCGACGTGCAGGGACTTGCAGAAATCATGTATACGTGCCTGCAGTACGAGTTCTTCTGCCAGGTACGTGCTCTTCATGTCATGGCTTGTCTATTTGGCAAACAGCATGCTTGAATTTCATATTCTAGAAGGATGCGTGAGATGAAATGAGTGTATTTGAGAATGTGCACGTTTTGGAAACTGTGACGTCAATTGAGCATCTTCACGAGCCAGATTATGTGCGAGCGGAAGCGCGAAATGGAGATCCAACAGGTGCCGGCTTCGTGTCTCAACTCCTTCCCGCCGTAGCCTCTCAGATCCTGTGACAGCAGGCTGCTGGTGTGCCTCCGGCTCCTCCACCGGTGCCTGGTGGCTACGGAGGTGGCTCTGCAACGATGGCAATGCGGTCACTTCCTGTGGGGAACATGGAACAAATCCGTGATGCCTTGGCAGATACCAGAGTGGAAGGCTACGGCGCTGGTGCACCTCCGGCACCTCCCTGAATGGAAAAGCAATGAAAATGCAGATTTGCTTTCCGCTTGGCTACTCTTCTGTTATGCGAACGAGAGTTTGGCATGGAAGTGCACTCGGTGGGCTCAACGAGGACAACGTGCCAAGTTGTAGCTTAGCATGTGACACCTCTCGTTTTCCCAGCAATGGTCGGCAACTTCGGTTACAGACATGCTCTTAATGAGCTGGATAGCTCGAAGTCCTGTGGCTCGGGGAGGCGGCAACCAAACATCATGTATAACTTCTGCAGCACAGCTGTTCTGTCCGAGTATGCTGCAAAACATACCCCGGGAGCCCAGGCATCGTCAACAGTGACGGAATCAGCAAAGCCCCCGAGCCATCCCGACATGACATAATCTCCCATTTGATCAAACTTCCAAGATCGTAAACTTGAGTGAGCTGGGCTTGCATGAGCGAGCTCCCTGCCTTCGTGACAATGACAGTCGCAATGACTCTGGTTGAGCGATGTTTGGTGACGTGTCAGGCAAGGGTTTCGGCGCGGGTGTGACGGTGCAGCTGATCCTTGCAGTGCAAGTCGCAGCGCCAAAAAGAAGGAGCCAATGTCATCTGGGAGTGACAAAGTTCCGACAAGACAGATGGCAAAGTGCTTCTTTCCGGCGACAAAGATCGGAAGCATGAGGTGCTCGGCAACATCACGTGCGCTGTCAGGTCGAACCAGGTGTTTTACGCGTAAATCCAAGTTTTTTCGTTGTGAGCGCTGGTGCAAGTGGCTTGCAGATGTTCAGTCGCTTCTACATCTCCATCACATGTAGGTAAGCACGCAGGAGGGCACCGTCGAACCTTCACAAGGAAGCAATCAGCACACAGTGGGAAGGGTAGGAACACCATTGGGCCATGTCGCTTGACAAAGTGACAGCTGCGGTGCTCTCAGGGGGGGGGTCGCTGAGGTGGTCAGTGACTTTGTAGCTCGATCGTTTTCGATACCCACGGATCGTCCTAGGGCACCGGTGGAAGCTCGTCTTCCAAACCAGCACGCCCCGTGCGTTCGCACAAGGCCGGGAGAATTTTTTGAACCGCTTTGGACTGAATCTGGCTCTGATGCTGTTCGTGTGAAGCTCCCATTTAGCATTTTTCATGTGCAAGCCTTGAGAAAGCCGAGTGGTTCTGAAGTTTCGTAAGCCAGGTGGTGTTCCTGGGCCAGTGCGGCACTGGTAAGACAGCACTCATCCGGCAATTCGTGCACAGGATCGCTTATTCCAATGGCGTGACCTGGGGATGTTTGGGACATTTGCTTGGCTCGGGTACTCCGTTGTTGAGGACGTTCGACCAGAACTACTCAGCCACAATCGGCATGGACTTCGTTGGCAAGCTGCTCTCCCTCGAGGTGGTACGTGTTCCATTGCTGGGGCTCTAGAACTCTCATAAGTTTTGCCTTTCTTGTCTGGATGTCAGGGCCGGCAGCTCCGCCTGCAGCTGTGGGATACCGCTGGTCAAGAGAGGTTCCGAGCGTTGATGCCCAGTGATGGCCTCAACACATCTTTAGAGCTCCGACAATGCAATATCATGCTGTGGTGTGTGTGTGTGTGATGTACTTGGCTTTTCCCTTGAAGCTCCATCTTGGAGGCTACTTACGAGACAGCTCGGCATGCGTTGTCGTGTACGATGTCACATCGAAAGTGCTTTTCTCAGTTTCAGACTGAATGTTAGCATCACTAAGATGAAACATGTGCTTCGTCAGTCAGTGATGTCAGTGCTTTTGCTCTGGACTGCTTGGGAGACTTTCAGCAAAAGGAGTCGTTCGACAGCATTCGCAGCTGGGTGGAGTTGGCGCTGGAGGAGTGCAAGATTCGGCTTGTGGTCGCATAACTTCGGCGCACCCGGTTGCTTCGTGTCTGCAGTGTTGTTAGGGCCGATCCCGCCGGGATTTGTTGCTGGTGCTTGTGGGAAACAAGATCGACCTGGAGGCACCTAATTCTCCAAAGAGGCACTTTGTGACAATCTTCTTTTGGCTCGGTGACGCTCCCAAGAACTTGCCTGTAATTCTGGCTCCGAGGCATGTATGGTATGCGTCAGGTTGTCGTGTGGGAAGCAACGTGCCATCTTTATGTCTGCACACACTGGTAATGGGAGATGGGTCATGCAAGTTGCAAGGCTTTGAACACCGCAGCCAACAACACAGCGCAGAAGCGGCAATGGTGGAAGTCAGTAGTTCTCATTCTTCGACAGCAAGCATCACTGCATTCTCTCATGGTGGGTGTGGGCCTGCCTCGTCTGTGGATGTTTTTTTCCCTGGGCTGCGCAGCGAGATTGGTTGCTTGGCCTTCATTGGGCCTTGAATTAGCGGCTAAAGAGACTGCTGAGTAGCTCTGAGCAGCTCTGAGCAGCTCTGCCCTCAGGCGACAAATGCATTGCAACCGTACTCTCAAACCCCATGGGTTCGTTCAATCGATAAAGACCGATGAAGATCGATGAAGCCAACACACGCCTGACACATATACCGCAGAGACGGTTTGCAAACCATCTGCCCTGGCATGGTTTGTTCCAATGTTACATCCGGTGTCGGGCACAAAGGCCTGAGTGAGCTAACTCCGTACCAGGAACCAGCGCGATGTAACCAGAATCCTGGTAGATAAGAGACTGAGCTGATCTTAGAAGCGTGCTCAAATCACGCATCTGGTGGTTGATGCTCGCACAACTTTGTTCCCATGCGCTCTTTGCAACTGCACTGTTTACGCACAGAGAACGATTCAGACTCGACACTAGAAGAGCACTACACTCTCCATCCATCTACATCCACTGCAGAGTAGCGCTCGCTAAGGGCATGCCCAGACAGACAGCACCTCCTCAACTCGTGGATGTTTCTGAAATCATATTGGGGCTCGAGCAAGAGGTATGTTCTGCGCAAGCAGTGAGGTTGCTTGTGTCAGTAGCGGTCGTTCTTGCACCACTTCCAAGGACATATGATGTCTCTCGCGGGTACGTCATGCACAGCGCAGCTGGACGTGCCACAAACATGGTCCCGCTGTCAGACTTCTAGGATGGTTGAGACAGGTCCCCCGGTGGCAAGTGAGATGCCCTACCCGTGCTCATTTGCCGTGTTTCCAGATCATTGTTGAAGCCGAGGATCCCATGGCATTTCCGATTCTCCAGGAAAGATCAGTGAAGCATCTCTGATGCTTGTAGACCCAACGGGCTTTCCAAGCCACTCTGCAAGCTCTGCATGGAGCACGCCTCAGCCCCCAAACACGCACCAGTGCTTGCTGCCATTTCCACGCTATTTGTTCTTTTTCACTGATTTTACACCGAGGTCGCAAGGTGCCTCTCGGGATTTGGAGGACAGGCTTTCCGACAAAGCTGCTGCAGTCCCATCCATTCTGCAAAAGCATCTTCCCTCGACCCTCAACTCAGGACACGCTCTGTAGGACCAACCCCCGAAGCGGCTCAGTCGTTTGCATTGCAAGGCTGAAGTCAGCAGCGAGAGCTACGACAGTGACGAATGCAGTAGCAATGGCGACGAGGCATTTGTTGAGCATGCCATGGCTGAAGTGGACAAGTGGATTCACACCACTTTGTCGCACATGAAATCTTCCTTGTAAGGGTTTCGCGGTGAAGCCGCAACTTTTTCGCAGGGTGAACTACTCTGGCATGATGCCTTAAGGGCACTGGCTTGGATCATGTTTGGCAGAGGCGAATTGGATCCTCTGCATCTTGTGCCATGACGCTTCCTGCCATCGCTGAAAGTGCTGGCTGGTCAGCGTCCTCAAAAAGCCGACGTCAGAATGCCACCGCCGGTCGGTGGCTCAAACTTCCCGTCTGCCCGCAAAAAGCTGCAAACTCTTCCAAACGAGACCGGCCTGGGGAAGCCTTGGGGTATGCGGTATGACTCGTGCATCTGTACGGTGCGAGTAGCTACAACGTGCTGAACGTACTGTAACGTACCCTGCGAAATCCTGCCAACCTCGGCCGCTAGATGCCGCCAGGCGCAAAGGTGTGTGCAGCGCGCTGAGGGGGAGACGTTGGCCAAGGACTTGAGCATGATGTTCTTCGAGGCCTGCCTGCATAAACCTCATGCGTGGTGGCAGATCGTGATAGACTGTGGAAAGTGGCAATGCTTGCGAACCCTCCAATGCACACACAGACACAGCGATTTCCGGTCTCCAGTTATCAGAATGTCTCCGTGTCCGGGGGAGCATATTCATTATGCGTCGTTTCAACAAGTTTTTGTTTCTGGCCATTCCCTTGATCCGGAGGCAACCGCGAAAGATGCCAGTCTTGTGGATGCCGTTTTTCATGGCCTGGCAGAAGGCAGTTAATCCTCTGACATGACTTCTTTGTAGAGAACATTGCCCATCACGCTTCCTCTGGCGAGAAGTTTGACCTCAGGCTTGACGTCCGAGCATCATAAGCCAGAGTCCGACGACGAGATTGTGCTCACAATGCAGCCTCGAAGAAGAGAGGCTGGCATGCTGTAAGATTTTCTGATAGGTTCCTGTGATGCAGTTGTTCTTCAAACTCCTACTGAGGCTCACGATCGGAACAAGAAATGCTGTTGAACAGCGCGCACAGAGGAGCCTCTTGGGCCGAATCCTTCTGAGCGGTGCGGGTCTTTGTACCATAACATGTGATACGCTTGCTTGCTGGTGCTGTGTGCAGTATATGTAGAGGTTGTGCATGCGGGAAGATGACACCCACAAGGGAGTACAGACCCTTGCCTGTGCACAAAGCTGCACACAGAAGTGGGGCGTGATCAATTGTCGACCAGATTAGCTGCTTGCGAGTATCGCCAAGGTGTCGAATCCCCATTGAGCATGTTGAAGAAGCGTTTAGAATCCGTGAGCTCTTGGCTCTCGGTTGTGCCTCTCTTCAATCATCCTCACATCATGCAGCATAAGCCAGCAGCAACGCATGTCTCGGACATTTGTCGGGGCAAGCCCGAGAAAGTGGAAGTTTCGTTGGCATTCGTGTCGTCCAATGCGTTTCTCTCAAAGAGATAAACAAATTTAAGTTGCATTCGCGCGAAGCCTGATTTCCACGTCCATCTTTAATCAGTGAGCGGTCGTGTGATCTGGCGCTTGCCATCCCAGACGCCATAGCACAAGTCTTCAAATCCTGCAGTGGTGCCCTGGATGCTTCGACCGAGGAAGAAGCTAGATGCCGGACCCTGAAGCTCGTGTGCTAGCGTCGTGAGATGCCTCTAATTCCCAAGTCCTGGAGCTGCCCACGTTACGTGCGCTTTGTCTGCCTTTTTGCATGCTTTGATGGGCTTGGCATAGTCTTTGTATGCTTCGTTCATAAGATCTCGTGGTCTTCGTTAGCTGGTCTCTATTGATCCGCTATTTCAAACGTTCGTAAACAAGAGCGCTCCACATTTTGATGCACCAAAAACAACACGTTAGCAATCACTGTCACGCAATGAATGTTGCGACTAAAACCGGCCGTTTTGGCTGCCAAGTTGTTGTAGTATGGTTGAGCAATCTAGATGCTACGTTTGGCAGAAGAACACCTCTCGCAGAAGTAGGACGCAAGTTGGCCGACCTCGCCAACGCAACAACATACAAGAGAGCCAAGGTCATAGATTTTTTGTGAGAAGTAGACCCCCCTGGCCCCACTTCTCATGCAACTCCTTGTGGGTAATTAGTTGTCATGCACGATGGGCCCGAGGCTCAGCATTGCCGCGCCACACTTCTGTTCCATTTGCATTGTGAGTTGGAAACAAAGAGTCTGCTGGCGAAGGCTGGCCCACGTCCACCCGGGTTTGAGTTTTTGTCAGGGCTTCCTCTTGTTGCAAGGTCAGGTGCTAACATTTGTACACTTCAGGGCGTCAGAGTTCGAGGGCTGCTGATTGCTGTTTTCCAGTCCAGCAGCGGACTTTTGCTCACACTGGACTATACTGACTGCATACACGGAAACCTTGGGCTTTGCAGATGCTGGCAATGAGGAGAGCGCTATTCCGGCAGAGGTGCTAAGCGATGGGGTTTGATCATGTGCGGATCACACACGAAATCGAGACGACATTCTGACAGCTCAGTTGGTGAGTTGCTTGATGCTCATACTCATACTCGTGCTTGTCGGCAGGCTGTGTTGTCTGGCGTGCTGGAGATACCCTGTGAGTCACGTCTGCAGGTCACTGGGAATCCGCTTGGATGTGGCACGGCAGTAGGTAAGTGCAAGATGTAGGGGTGTTGGTGCTGTGCGAAAATTTGTCTTTGCATGTCTTCTTGCAAGTTGTTGACTTTCTTTCAGGTTCCGTACTGCGGTACGCTGCCAATGCCCTCCCGCTCCCCAATGCTCTTGCCTCAGCTTGGCTTGGCAATCACGGTCAAATGTCTGCAGTCACTGTGCCGGCCATCTTACGCTACAGTGATGTTCGATGTACAAAATAAGGGCAATCTTTTTGCGATGGCCTTGCGCCAGTTGTCTTGCGGCAAAGTACTTCTGGCAGATGCCACAGCTTTGACACCCAGGGGCTGGGCGCTGTCTGAACCTGTAGATCCCAGCTCGTTGGAGGCAAAGGATGTTTGGCCACTCTTTAGCTTCCCAGGCGTCCTTATGACGGCTGCTCTGCCAGAACAGGATCTCAGTACAGCAGGCGGAGAACAGCTGGCTCGTCTTCCGAGGAGCCAAAACCGTGCCGAGCTTGATCCCTCCTTCCATCTCCCAAGTTTCGAAGCAAAGTCGCGATGAAGGGTTCAAGATTCAAGGCAATGGGCGGATGTAATAGCTTTGTCTCTTGTCTCCAGGAGCCACTTTTGGACATACCGGGTCTGACGATACGTGACGCATCTGATAGCTCAGTGTGTATGAATGTGGTGGTGGTTGAGCCTTCGTTTTGTGATGGTTTACCAGTGTGTGTGTGTGTGTGTTGTCTACGTATGTTGGACCTTCACAGCCGTACAGCACTTGAACGAGCAGCCGGGGTCCGAGAATCACTGACACTGGCCCTGTCAGGAGTCACATGATGTTTGCGGGGGCTTCTCGTGGTTCGGCCGTGCCTTGGATAAGCAAAGCTCACGAGGGCTAGGCCAGACGATGCCAGTCGATGCTGACCTAAGTAGGTCAACCTGCCTCGGCGATCTGAAGCACGGAGACCATTGCCTTCACCGTGATGACCTTTGCTTTCAAAGTGTATAAGTGTAAGTGTGCTAGTGTGTACATGTGTGTATACACAATGTTTTGCTGCATCTTGGTGGACGGCCTGGCCAAGAAAGGCTGAACCAAATGCCTCACAGACTTCGTGGCCCGTGCAACTCTGAGACTTCCAGTTGTTTTTCGTCTCATGTGGCCCGCACTGACATGGGGATGTTGTTCTGGCGAGGCGGCGTCCAGCCTTTTTCGCTTCGAGCTACTCCGGACCTCCAGTGGCTCCTCAGGAGCGATGCGTGTTGGGTAGAAGTTGCTCTTCGGTTGCCCAGAACACTGGCCTGCAAGGGTGACGGGGCATGTACCAGTGACCGCAGCTGCAGCCCAGCAAGCTCTAGCCGCCAGCTCAAAGCGAGCTTGCCCCCTCTAACAAGCTTCTTTGAGCCTCTTCTGGTCCAACCCAAGGCCGCCTGCAAGATGTAGAGGCTGGCTGGTGGATTTTGGCACTTGCTCGGAAACGCCGCAGCCCTGTCTCAGGTCGAAGAAGAGCGTAGCGGGAATGACAGGAGTGTGGCTCCGTCAGTGCAGCCCCTATTTCCTCAGTCTGAGGGAGAATGTAAACATGAGTGAAACGCGATTGAACTGCGGTCAGCTTCGTGAGCAGCCCTGAAAGAAGGTGCCTAGCCGACAGAGTCGTTCGCGTCCCGGACCTTCTACCCCACAGCCACTGGGTGATGCAGGGGGCCCAGCTCCCGTGCATGTCCATGCACTACAAAGAAGAGAAACAAAAAAACCTTTGCAGGAGCAGGAACTTTGCATATAAGCAGACTGAGGCCCATGACCGAATCTATGACAGAGCGCGGTCCGTACCTTTACATGACCGAAATCAGCGGGTGGCTTCCTGGCTGCAAGCGTGCAACAATACAAAAGACCCGTTTCTGATCTGTTTGCCCAAGGCTCTTGTCATCTATGACCAGGTGTCGCCGCCAAGTACTGTTCCACAGGACCAGCCACATGTCATGTTCGCTCATGGAGAGCGCAGCATGCCGCGGTTGCGCTTTGGAGGCTGCGGACATGTGGACCAACGAAGCCCCTGTTCGACACTCGCTTGCCCTGTCAGCCTCGCACGGTCTAGACGTTTGCCTGGAATGAGGTAACACCACGCGGCCACGAGGTCGAGGGCACTGAGGACTGGTGTTTTGATGCCTTTGCAAGCCCAGCGTCAGTGGAATGGATTTTCGCGCCCCACGCGACTGGACGGTTGCAGGAGTTGGAAAGGCATGTATCTCATCGGTCCGTGTCGGAGCTTTCATCGCCTTGGCAAGTGGCAGAGGCAAGGTGAGAACTTGGGATCTCAAGGGTCAAAGAGCGCGCGGCCTCAGAATATTCCAGGAGCTGGGCCAGTCGGGCGGTATGGTTCCTCCAAGATACCTCTTGGTGCGATTAGGCCACTGGCGTTGCGCAGTCTGGTGGCCACTCGATTTTATCACTTTCTCTTTTCTGCCAGTAGAAACCGTTCAGGCGAGTGCATCCCTGCCGAGACGGGCGCAGCGCCTGTCCATCGCTCCAGGACCCCGAAAAATCAGGGGAGCCCAAAATGATCCAAACGGAAGCCCCAAAAGAAACGCACGTGACACAGGGGACCTGTGCAATCTTGTGCACGACTAGGTAGGAAAGAAGCGCTTTTTTCTTCGCACCCAGCTGGCCAGGCTGGACTGTGGCCCACAGTGGAGAGACTTCCTGAACTTCACAGAGGCGTCCAACCCTGATGGAGTTGCTCTTGAGGACACTCCGTGCATTTGCTCGAAGCTGATCATTCCAGGCAATCATAACTAGCGCGATTAGGGCAACAACGATTCAGAAAACTGCCGCGATTCAGGAATTGCGTTCACACGAGTCAGGAAACCGAAGTCCTGCGATTTAGGAAATCTTCCGATTCAGGAGGAGGCTTCGCGCGCGCTTAGTGAAGCTCCCATTCCTGAATTCGTGTTGTCCATTTTCTCGAATTCACATGTTCAGTTTCCCGATTTTTTGTTGTCGGAATCTGCATTTGGCAGTTCCCCACTAATCCGCTGTTGCAGTTTCTGGAATCTTCGGTTGTCAGCTTATGCAGTCCATGCTGATAGCGCCTTTCACCTTCCCAGCTTCTCAGTTTCCGAATCCGTGGCTGTCCATGCCGAGCCTACCGCTCTTGAGGTTTTACAAAGGTTTGCCATCTCTTTGGTTTCTGGTTCTGGAACAAAGTAGTGAAGAGCGATACGCCGGAAGCGTTTTGAGAATCATAGTGAAGACTGACACACGCTGCCGCCTGGTGCTTCCAAGTCTTGGTGTTCCAGAGTACAAATTGGAGCCAGCTCGGCCCGGCATTATCGTTTCGTGTCCACACACGGGGCGCCCCAACGGGCAGAAGCCGAGGATAGCCGACAGCAATCACAGCTTGAGTCTGCATAGGGTTTTGTGGGATTTGGGAGTAATAGTAATATTCTCAATAGTAGTAAGAAGAATACACTGTACGGAGTGCGGTATGATTGCAGCTCAGTGTTGCAAGAAGAAGCAAACCTAGGCACACGGCAAGCTCTAGGAGCTTCAAGACACATTTTCTGAAGACGGTTGCGGTACGTTGTTGTGGTTTTGACACCGTCACGTTGTGATGTCTGTCTGGCATGTGCTTGTGCCGGCAAATGCAGGAAGTATTGACGTGTCCGTGCTGTTTGAGCATTTTCCGCCAGCCCATTGCGCTTCCTTGTGGACACAATCTGTGTCGCACCGGCCTTCATGACAGCCTTGTCGTGCAACACAGGCCCACTTACAATGCAATGCACCCAGGTGGATGCTACATCCAGGTCTTCTCACAGCCCGCCTCTTCTCGCAGATGCCCCCTCTGCCGCACGGAGAGCTGGGTTGGGGATTTACGTTCTGACCTGGGCGTGGGAGGATCGAACTTTCATCGGCAGGACCTGCCCCGATTTGAGCTCCGAGTCAATGTGGCACTGGCCGCTGTTTCGGATTCACTTCGTGCTTTCCAAACCATTCGCAGGCACGCTGGGCCAGGAAAGTGTCAGGAGCCTTGCATCACGGGTTTGTGGTGGCCATGCGTGCCAGGCCGCATCCACGGCCAAATGCAGGTGATCGTGGTGCAGACGAGCCAGAAGAAACATCGTGTGTGTTTTAGATTTTTGGACATACATAAAACAGTTGTCCTGCTGTTCAATAACAGCGTGCAATGGAGCAAGGAGAGATAATGACAGCATTTACTTTCATGCCCCGTTTCACACGGAGGCAGGTGGCATGCATGATTTCATGCCTTCCTGCCTAGCAGCCCGCCAAGCACATCTAGTTCCCTAGTTGCAGATTCCGCAGAGCATTTAGAAAAAAGAGTGCGTCGTGCTCCTTTCGACTTTCGAGATCTTTCGAGTCTCTGTCAAGGCGCTTGCTGCCTCAGATCGTGTGTTGTGACAACATCTGGCTGCAGGAATTCAGTTCTGCACAGGCCTTAAGTCTTATGCCAAGCGCAACACAGCTGCAGTGACTTTGTCGAGATGGTAGTATGCAAGTCAAGTGGCAATGCAATTCCTGCTTTACGGGAGTCACCCAGAACTGACAGACCCGAGATCTCTTCAAACCCTGCAGCAGCGTCCCTGAACATTTTTCCTTTGAATCAAAGTGAGCTGCAAGCTTCAGCAAGCAAGTGCCAGCAGCATGTCACGATTTTCCTCCATCGATGGCCAGCACACTGCGCTGCGCGACTTGGAGCGGCAGCGCTTGGAGAAGCTGATGGGCCAGCTGCGCCGGGAGGCGTCTAACTTCCCATCTCAGATGCGTCAAAGGGTTGCCCACAAGCAGGCTTTATCTAATCCATCCAGTCTGTCTCCCAGATGTCACGGTCTCAGAATGTCTCAAAGGTGGAGCCGAAGGCGGACAAGGGCCGCCGCTTCCAACCCCCGCGACGGAAGGAGCGGCCGGCCAAGGGCCCAGGCCCATTGACCCCCGACGCCCTGCCAGAGAGGGAGGCATCCGTCGTAGCGTCCGTGGCGAACCCTGCGGGGACGCCTGCGGGGACTCCTGGGCCTCATGGACCTGTCGTGCCCGTGCCGCCTGCAGCTCCGAGCGCGGAAATGGCCTGGCTGCTCCGTGCGAGCGAACGGTTCGACCAAGAAGCGGCAGAGGCTGCGTGATCAGATCTACAATGTTTTCATTGCCTTCCCATTCATGCAACTTCCGAATATACAGGTGCAGTCTTTTCTGGCAAAAAACGGCCTGGACCAGTACGTCTTGGCCTCGGCATGGCTTGAGCACGACATAGGTCCTTCTGCTTCGTCGTGTACTCGCTGTGTTTATGGACTTCGGAATTTTTCCTAACCGGAGCTGTTTGAACAGAGCTGCCGCTGTAACCAACGGGAAGACGGAGCATTTGCATGTTTCCGGAGGCACCGCTGCTAGCCAATGGGCCCGGTGCACCTGGTGCATCACTCGAGGCCGAAGCTTGAAGTTGCGACTTGTACCGAGAGACTAGTTCGACCTCGGCATGTAACAGGGCTTCTAGGCTGTGGGGATGGAACTTTGGATCTTTTTCCTTTGGCAAAGGCGCTGCACGCAGCCTCTGAGGAGCTTCTCGCCCAGGTGCCCTTGCCAGAGCTCGTGTTTGTAAAAGACGTCTCGACTCTCGACGGATAAAAAATAGACCGGCCAGGCAGGCTTGCCAGCCTCACCCAGGCTGCGACTTCTGCAGGCCCTAAAGGCCTGGGTCATCCAAGTGCAACAAGTGCCCTCTCCCTCGCCCTCTCCCCCTTTCCCTCCCCCTCCCCCTCTCCCTCTCCCTCTCCTTCTCACTCTCTGGCACTGCTGCAGATTGCTGCAGGTCTCTGTGAGCATTCAGGAAGATGCACCTGAGCAAGGCTGTCACAGCTCTAGCACGTGTATGTGCTACTGTACTATGAGGATTTTCGAGTTCTCCTTGGTCAGAGTTGTTGCAGGTGCAAGCTGTTTGGTCTCACCCACTGATCATGGTACCCAACAATGGGGCCGTATCGGGTGACAAGCTCATAGAGGGCATCGCATGGCATCACATGGCAAGACCCATTACGAGGTTGATGTGGTTGTTTGAGGTGGTGTGATTCGGTGAATGGCAACTGAGGCGTCTACCTGCAGGCTGGCATCGATGTTCTCGAGGATCTGTGCGAAGTGGAACTTTCATGGCAGCTTTAGTAGGAGATTCTACGAGTGTCTTCGAGCGACCCTCACCATCTTAGCTCATCTTAACTTCTGAATGGCAATGTCATGTGAATAGTTGGGTTTCTCGTTGAGTCATTGAGGAGCTCAGCGTCCACAATGCCCCACACGTTCGGACCTCAGAGTGTCTCGTGCATCACGTGCAAGGTGTGCAAGGCTTGGCGCAGTCTGAGAAACTGAGTTCCTGCACCCGTTGCTCATGCCGATGCAGCTGTGGGCGATGATAGTCCGCTAGCTGCGAATTCAGCGGAGAAGGTCCATATTTATGCCATTGCATGCAGTTGCAGCATTTTGCTGCTATGTTGGCGGAGTAGAAGGAGTTAACCGCAGGAACAGGTGGTGGTGCAGAGCGCGAGAGTTTCCACATCGTCTGCCGGCGTACCTTGGTCTGCGTTCTTTGATGTCTTTTTTTTTGGGTCTGTTTTTCGCGCGCGACTGTGCACTAATTGGACTGAGGTAGACCGGCCCCTGGAAGGAAGTGCATGCTGCGAAGCTGCGGAGGCTACAGCCAACTCGGCTGCTGAGCTTTCAGAGACGTGCTGTTTGATGAGGGCATGGATCTACATTCTTTTTGCCGCCGGCCATCGCATTTGGGTTAGTATTCGGGACCTGGCCCCGGCGCCACACCCAAGGGTTTGAAGAGGGGAGGAAGGATGGCGTACGAGATTGTCATGTCTTGTCACAGGTTCAAGCTGAACCTTTGGATCATGTGCTGGACCGCCGAAGATCGACCTCCAGCAATGCTCAGAAGGTGGAGGGTACAGCTACTGTGGCCAACCGTTTTTGTGCAAAGCTGATGTAGGCTGACAAGCCCGCATTGTGCAGGGCTGTTGCTATCAATGCTTCCGACAAGTCTACCTCCACAGTGCCATGCACCTTGGGCCTGAAGAGGCAAAGCCAACCCTGAAGCTGCAAGTTCTGGTCTGACATGGTCTGATCACGGTTGGCATTTCCTGCGGACAGGAGCAAAGGGAGCAGCAGGCCTCCCGGCCGGGAACCCCATCGCCGGTCGGCAGGCAAACGCTCTCAGCCTGGTTTGAATTTGAGGGGTATGACATGTGCAGACCGTGGCAGTTGATAGTTGATTGAATCTGCGCAACGTGGTGGAAACTGCAGAGGATCTTCTGCAGCTCCAGTTGCTTGGATCGCTTCAGACAGGCTGCCGGTGATGGAGATTGCTGAGGTGTTACTCGGGTCTTTGTGCATTTCCACTGGGAACGAAGTTCGACGAAGGTAAGCCAAAACGAATGAACGAGATGCATATCAGATCTAAGAATCTGTTCAAGAGGGCAGAAAGCGAGAGTTGTGCCTTGCTCCAGACAGAGCTTCTCTGAAGTGGAGGTGCTTGCGACCCAAAGTGCAAGAGCAGCTGAGCCGCTCAACTTCAAGAGATTGCAAGAAAAGACCATGAGGAGATCGCAAAGGGAACTCGCCTGTGTCACACTTCGAAGCATCCGAAACATCCTGCGAATGCCAAGGCTCTACAAACTCCGGCAAGAGGTTGAATCGGGAGCAGAAGCCCCCGCCCAGCACAAGGTCAGGGATCGGTTGACACATGTTTACGCGGTTTTACTGGAGCTCAGTTGTGTGCCTGCTTCTGCCAGTCTGAGGATTGGACCTCAGTGGATGCATGAGCTGACTTTCTGAAAAAATCGATCTCCCTCTCCGGCATGCTCGCTGAGTGATCTCTCTCTCTCTCTCGTCCTCCCGCCCTCCCTCCCCTCACTCCTGCTCCTTCTCTCTTGCTCTCGCCTTCTCCTTAGATGTCTGGTTCCTACCTGGCTCGCATGCACGGTGGACTTCAATGTGAGAGAGATTTCATGCCGCGTGGCCACCTTTGCTCCAAGACCATAAGTTGATTTTTCTTAGTGCTGAGCCGGTCATGGCGGAGCCCTGGCAAGCGAATTATGCGAGAGCTGTGCATCAATGAGTATATGTTGAGTTCATCAGGCGTAAAGGAATCATTCATGCCAGACGGGTTCGTTTCCCCTTAATCTGACAGCCTGCGCGGGCAAATGACATTCCAATCTAAGGGCGATGACGCGGCGGAGAACAGGACTCCTCAGTAATGTGCGTGAGACGGATGAGCTGGGCGCCGTTAACAGCTCGTGTGGAGATTTTCTTTGAAGCCGCGAAATACTTCTGCGGGGAAAGCTTTCTCAGTATGACTCATTACATTCACTGTCCGTGGATCTGTCTCGCGGGGATTGAGGCAGTGTGGTCTGGTTGATGACGGGGCGTCTCATGCATGCAAACAGATTGTTGAAAAGGAAACTCGCTCCGCACACCCCCGCCCCCAGTGTCACACCGCCTTCCGCTCGCGGGCGCGCGGCTGCGCTGGGCAGGGGCGGGAACCCTGGACGTTATGCGCAAGGAGAACAAGGAGAGCAAGAAGAGGGAGACTGACAACTGGACCCTCAGTCACTTGGCCATTGTGGCTTGAGACAATTGACAGACACGGGAGTGCACGCTGTGCGTGAGGACGGGTCGTGGCCACCCTCAAAGCCCCAACAAAGGAGCAGGAGCCGTTTTGGCTGAAGTTATGAGAAACGGGGTGGGCATTGGGGTATTGGGGGTCGGTCGCGCGGCCATAAAGCCCCGACCTGAAATCGGCTCTGCAGGGGTGTGCATACTTCCAACTCGAGGCAAGTCAAGGTAGCATTCCTGCCGACTTTCCTCAAGATCGTGCTACTGGCAGAGACATGGAGGGTGAGATCAACAAGCGAGAGAGGGCGGGGCGACCCACCACTACCGGACACCAAACAGGTAAGCAGACCAGGGGGCCAGCAACAGCAGACACAACAACCAGACCCAGCCATTGCACACAGGATTGAGCAAGCCGATGACACGGATAAAAACGACCGGCGACGAGTGCAAGCACCTCCAGACCCGCCCGCCGCGAATCAGAAAAACAGAAACAAGCTCGCACATCACCCCAAGCACAGAACCACTCACAGCCGGGCATGGGGGCGATGGAAGTCGGTGCCCGAGAGCCTGAAAGCACGAGGTTGTTCAATGACCAAGTCAGATTGCTAGGACACGCAGGCTGCGGTCAGCTGATCGACTTGCAAAGCAAGCTGTGCCGGTTGTCGTCTGTAGCGCAGCATGAGGTAGCACCGTGCAGAAAGGGGCGCTGACCTCGGGGCTTTCGTAACAGATGTAACAGGATATCAGTTTGGCTTGTGACAGGCAGGCGGGAAGTGCAACACTCCCTTGCGCAATCAAAGGCAACCGTCAAGCTGGGGCTACCGCAGTTTTGTAATGTGTACCAAGGCATACACGGGGCGTCACTAGTGACCAGGGGGAGGAACACAAGACATACAACAGGTAAGTCAGCCTCAGGATGTTTTGCCCGGGAAGCCTTTGCTTTTGCCTTCAGCTTCCCAGAATAAAGAAAAGAGAGCCGTGGTCATTTCGGTTTAAGTCGGAAACCGGCCCCCGGCTTGAGCCAGCACAAGCCGTTTTAGTACCCGGGTCCATCCTAGCAACTGGTGTCACGACGACTACGTAAAGGTCAATGGTGCTTACGCGGGCGACTGCGCGGGAGGTGTGGCCCCCACATGGTCCTCTAGCCCAGGAAGAATGAGACGAGAAACAAACATTTCCCGTCAGTCTTCTGCCGTCATGGCATGCGGCGGTTATCGTTCTACATGTACATGTTGCATCTCTCCCTAGAATCACCAGGAAGAAGCACTTGCTCGACTTGATTGGCGAAGTCAAGGCGAGACTGGATGGAAAGGCCAAACACCCAGATCAACATCCAGATCAACATACTCGCATGAGACGGCGATAACTCAGCGAGTCAACCACTTGTCTTCCCTTGCCGCGAGCTGCTCTCGCAGGTGGACAGCCTCAGCTTTCCCATTCCTCAGTTTGTCGTCATTGGGAAGCAGAGCGTCGGGAAGTCACGCTTGATCGAGGCGGGTATGCAAGTCTTGATTGTCCCCTGATTGTGTTTGGAGGGCTCGTTGTGCTATTCAGGCAGGAAAGTCACGAGAGCTCCTTAGTGCTCCGATGTATCGGTCGACTGGCCCCCTCCACCCCTCGGCCCGGCCCCCCTCCCGGTTTCGGGTCTTCAGACAAATCAGCGGGTTGCCGCGTTGCCCCCGCTCCCCCGACTCTAAGTCGATTTCCAAGATCCCAAGCTTCGTCTCTGCCTGAAGTTATGTCACACAGGCCATTGACACCTTCAGATTTCAGGTGTGAGAAGGGTTTTGTTCCAAGGACAGGTGGTGTCGCGAGTTCCGGGGCTTCACATGGCTTCACATGGTTTCACATGGCCTCACAGTTGCATGTGCAGCTGCTTTTCCTTGGGCCCGATGTTGCCCATGAAAGGCTTCCTCGGTGTCGAAGGCTTGTTGGATGATTTTAGTCGTTTTTCGTTTGGTAATCTTCGAACTGGTGCCGGGTGGGAAGCCCGGAGCTGAAGAAGTGTCTCAGATCAAATGAAAAGCCCCAAAACCCCTCGTCTCAACTCGAAAGCGCCAAATGGAGTGGTGGGAAGCCGTCCTTCAGAGTGGGACAGCAGAATAAGTGTGCACTGCGCACTCGACCCCCCATCAAGTATGCCTGCCGCTGCTCGCCTTCGTAGAATTTCACCGAACCGCAGGCATTGGCCGGAGAGACCTTCAACTTCGTCTCGGGCACTTTAGGATCCAGGCGCTTGCTGCCGCCACATTTCGCCCGTGGCATCTTGGAGTCTCGCAGGAGACCGACAGTCCTGGAGTTCCGGAATGTGCCAGGCCTGACGCCTTCCAGGCTCGGCATGCAACTGAGACAGACAGTCGTTGCCTGTTGTTGCCTTTGTGTCAGGTGGTCAGTCTTCGATGAGAACCTGAAGAAGTGGTCCTCGTATCCGGTACAGGAGGTCATGGTTATCGTCGGCAACGCGCATGAGGCCACCAGCGTGTGCTAGAGAACCCTTTTCTCGACAAGTGCATCTTCATGCGTGTGTTTTGGGAGGCTTGCGGACAAAACGTTAGCGAATTGCCCATCCGTGTCAAGGTTGAGGGCAGCTGACTGAGTCGACAGCTCCTCTTGGAACAAGTTGGCGCAGTGCACTTTCGCACCAGGTCAAGACTGCACAGATCTTGGCCTTGTGGATCTCCCCGGCTTCAGGCCACGTCCGCACGTTCGCTGTCTTGCTTGCTTCTCTTTGCATGTCGCTCGCACCTTCAGAACTCCTTTGACTTTCTCGCCAATCTATCTCCAAAGGTCCTATGCCAAGGATGATGCCATGCAGCAGTTGGCCAAGAAGATAGACTCCTTGGTGTTCAAGTTCATGCCGGCATCCCGGAACATCAGACTGAGCTTCTCAGAAGCCTTCGCCAACTCTCGACTCTGCGGCGTTCAGGAATGATGAGAATAACATCATGCTTTGTGTAGAGGAGGCTGGTGATGCAGCAGGCCCATGATGGTTGCAATTGCTGCCATTCTTCATCGATCATGCGGCTGTGTCGCATGAGTTTATTGTGCCCCAGAGGCTTTGCGACACTTGGCAAAGCCAAGCAAGTGGACCCAACATACAAGCGCACCATCCTCATCAGAAACAAGCTCGACAAGTGACCATCATGGCGAATGTTTTTGTTTCTTTTTTCAGGCTGTCTTTAGATGGAGCCTCGCAGGTACTATGGTGACTTAACACCAGAGAATATTAACAAATGGTGCCGGACACAGGGCTGTTCAGAATACAGACACGCAGAAGGCTGTGACAGTGCTCTGAAGCTGCAGGCTGGAAGGGTATGGTGATCTACCCCAACATTTGGCACGCTTTGCCGTGTCACTGTCGAAAGCTCAGGTTTCGGTTTCGGGCCAATAATGTCGTCCACATCTCACCGAGTTTCTTCCTGATGTCTTCTCGATACCTGTCATGGGTTCCTTGTGTCATGCACGTTATGGACATGCCCTTGCCCTTGCAGATCCTAGTTCTTGTGCTGAGTGTCGACATCAGATGAACCTCCAGAATGTGGCTGGGGTCTCAATTCGTCCCTGCATTTTTGAAGGCCGCACTGGACCGACACTATGCCCAAGCCATTTGGTGAGATGCGCAAAGACCCTTGCTGCGTTTTGCTGCTTCTTCTATGGTGCTGTGATGAGATGAATTTCTTATATAGATGATCGCTTACATGCATGCATGCGCGTGTGCCGCAGGAATGCGCTGACAGGGACATGGAGACACTGGCGGCGAAGGGCGCATCTGCCAAGCCGAGCCGCTGAGTTTGTGGGTCTTGAGGGATAGAAGATATGGAAGTATGAGCAAAGAGGCATTCATGCGCTGCGCGAAAGCCAAGGTACAAAATGACCATTGGATTTCAGAACTTCAGGAACTTTATGGAGGCAAAAGCGCGGAGTCTCTCTCATATGGTTCATATCGATGCATGAGAGTCCGGCGCCTGTTTCTGCCGGGTCTTTACAGCTTTGCCCTTGGACAGATTAAGATCCAACAGCTCTTTGCGGATGCGCTTGCGCCGATGCTGACCAGACTCAAAACAATGCAGGAGGACAGATTCCATTCCTAGCCTTTCGGTGGTATAAAGTGCTCAAGAATTGGACAATGCAGGATCATGAAAAGAAGCTGGACGTGATCCGGCAGGAAACAGAGACAATCAATGAGGACCATTGCACTGCTTGAGGTCACATGCGGCGGGAATGTTAGATGTTAGGCAGCTTTCCTGCAAGTACAGCTGCGCATGCATGGAGCCTCGAGACTCTTTCAGGTTAGCAATTGCCATCCTGCCTTCTTCAGGACAACATCCTCCATGCAACCAGGTCTGCCGGAATCACGTTTGCTCAAAGCTTCATCTTCTTGATGGAGGCACTGCTTTGGCAAGCGACCTTGCCTGGACTTGCTAGCAAGCTATGGTCTCTGGCAGTGTGACAATGTGACCGATTGTGCCCATGTGTTATTTACAGAACTCACGCAGGGTGCGTTGTCATCAGAGCACAATCGAAAGACCTTGGAAGAGGAGCTGCGGTCGTTTCACGAGTGCGCACTATTCTTTCACCAACACGCCTCAAAATTGCTTTCATTTGCAGCACATCCAGTTAGTCAGACATGGCAGGTACTGTTTACGGACGAACAGCTTGGACGAGCAGGAGCTACTCCCAACATTCTTTGAGGACATGGTTTGTCCACAGCCCATGCCCCGTGATTTCGGTGATGCAGCTAGTGCTTGAGGACCTGGACTCCTACGTTCTGTATCTCCGGGACACGGTAAAGCTTCCTGCCATGGACGTCTCGCTCAATGGTGGAGCGCAGTTCCGGAGGCCTGGAGCGAATAGCTTGTGCGCAGCCTAGCTTTTGGAAGGCTCGAGTATCGTGAGCTAGTCGTGAATCCATTCGTCCAGATGTTACTCTTGCGTCATCTATTGCCGAACACTGTTGCGCAACCTTCTCGCTAGTTCGCCATCTCATACTAGCACGCGGCCCTGGCAGGGTGATGTATGAGGTTGAGGTGTTCACTCGCTTCGCCGGGCTCGGCAAGAAGTTGGAGCCGGTAGATGTCATTCAGGCGCACCAGAGGAGTCGTGAACGTTGTGAACTTTTGTGAACTTTGTGGAGATTTGTGGAGGTTCTGAAAAGGTGTTTGGGTCTCTTTTCTGCAGGGTTCACCGTTCGCCCTAGCCGTGGAGTGTCAGGCCCGAGGCTCTGGCTTGAAGGAGTGCACCTGGCAGGACACCCTTGGTGTAATCCCCAAAGTGTGCAAAGTCGGCATTGCCACCTGCCTTGGAGCATGGCTTTGGACATCTTGATGCATGTTCAAGAGCGATTTGCTTGGTGAAGGATACTATCACTCAGCTGATGATGCAGCAACCCGGCATTACTTGGAACGCGATGCCATCTCTGCGCAAGCTTCAGAGGTTAATGTGAGCCACAGGAATGCTCCCACCCGAATGCGCACAAAGACGAAGTATGTTGGGGAGCGGCTCAAGTTTTTCTTTGGAGAGCAGAAGGAGGCAGCGGATCCTCATATCTCCTGATCCTTCGCCCATCTTCCCTCCCCCTGCATTCTGGCTTTGCCTTGTGCTTGCAGGCCACGGTGCAGTTCATGCTCGGACTCACAGGTTCTCCTGAAGAGCATATGTTCTCACGCCTCATTCCCAAGCAGGCCCTTGTAGCTTCGGTGAGGTTTCGCCCTAAACTGCTATCTTCGGAACAAATGGCAGGCGCAAGTGATTCAAAGAAATGAAACGATGAAAAGATGCATTTTTGACGCCTTCGATGCTGCCTGTGACAAGCATCGAATTCGGTTTATGCAGTGCCCAGGATGCAGACCCGGCTGTGGTAGAGTAGTACAGCACTTGGCCAAGAAATGTGTGGTCTTGAGTGTCATTGTGTCATTCCTCAGGATGTGGTGTGATTTTATGGACAGCATGTTCCAGTCGCCCCTCATGCTCTTGAAGTCGGGCTCCATGCCATCAATCGGCTCGGGCTATGAGGAGGAGATTGCACCCACCTTTGAATCCACAAAGGCCTGGTGGGCAAGGGTTGTCTGTTGAGATTTGGCAGGTGAAGTTTGTCACCCTCCTCCCCGCCGGCCCCCCATGTTTGCTTTCTTTGTTCCTCCTCCTCCCCCTGCCGAAATCTTCAAGAAAAGCCGCTACTTGTTCCATAGCAGGATTTGGGAACAGGGTTTCGAGTTTAGGGTTAGGGTATGTTAGGGTCCACGGGCTTGGGGTTAGTAGAGTCCAGAACATGCCACACCAGAACATGCTTTTGGAAGCACTGTGCACATGATCTCTGCCCAGGCTCGCATCGCTCAGGAGCGAAGAGGGAGAGGCACTCTGCAAACGGCCCTCAGGCGAGGGAGTCGAAATCTCTCTGTGAGAAACCGCTCTGGCTGTTGCATAGCTATGCCTTGAAGGGAGAAGGTGAAGCAAATTCCTGACGAAGACGTCATGGCCAAAGATGCGGTCAAGATGGTCCAAAGGCTGGGTCAGTTGCAGAGTTGGCAGTTTTAGATACCCGACCGTGTCAAAACACAAAGTGCAGCTTCTGCTGTCCTCAGCATAAAGCTTTGTTCTTACATGAGCAAAGGGAAGTCGTAAGTAAGGCCAGCCAAGCCGCACTTTTGGCCCGTTAGACCGAGATTAGAGGGCTCTATAGCAGAGAGTCGAGACGATGCGGAGCTGGGATGGGTAGCTGAGTTTTTATGATTTTTCCCGCGGCTGCCTTCAAGGCCTTTGTGAGAGGCACTGGTCACAGGGTCTCGAATCTTGCTCCCTCTGGTGTTTCCTGGTGTTTGTTTGGTGTCCCCTTTCCGGGTTCAGGATCATAGAGCAGACCTTTGCTGTCATCCGTAGTGTCCGCACCTGAGCTACGCTTCCATGCAGCAACAGGTTGCGAAGTGCCATCTCTTCATGATAAGATCGACCTATTTGATAGTACGGAGAGTATGCTGAGTAGCTTCTTCCACCTGCCTCGCCTCAGGTAGTTGCAGACCACATGCAGCTGTATTCGGAGACTCGGTTGCGCTTGCCTCCGAACTTGCATGTGGTACTTTCATAGACTCTTCCTCCATGGCGTTTCATCCAGAGAGAGAGGTGGCAGGTATACGCCCATAGATTCAGGGCGCCCTGTTTGAAGGCGCACGTGTCCCATGAGCCGAAAGTTAACACTTGGGTCGCATGATTTATGATTCGTGAACATGATGGCTTCTTGAGTTTGGAGGGGCGTCCTGGATGTAAAGTAAGGAAATATTGTGAATGTCGGGGCCGTAAAGGGGGGCACGGGTGCCAGGGGTGGGGGGGGAAGGGGGGAAGGGGTGCAGGAGGGGTTCATATGGGTTCTTTGCGTGGGCAAGGCAAGCCAGCTGATCTGTTTGTGATGTCTTCCTTGCTAAGTTCGCATATGCCATTCAATGATTAGCAGCATTACCGCCGCCACCACCACCACCACCATCATCATCATCATCCTTATCATTGTTCTTATCAGCGTCCTCGTCCTCATCATCATCGTCAGTGTTCTTTTCGTTGTCGTCGTCGTCATCATCATCATCATCATCGTCATCATCATCATCATCATCATCATCATCATCATCATCATCATCGTGAGCATTTCGTCGTGATGTTTTATGTGCGCATTGATTGTCATTATCACCATCAGTAATTTTATCGCTACGACCCGCCTCGGCCCGGCCCAGCGCATCCGCGTGAGCATGGTGATTCCGCAGGGCCCAAGTCGCTGGACCCCAAGCGATCAGGGTTGGGTTTAAGGTTTAGGGTTCCGGGTTTATGGTTTATGGTTTAGGGTTTAGGGTTGAGGGTTAGTTCAGGGTTGAGGGCTTCGGGCTCAAGGTTTATGGTTTGGGGTTTAGGGTTTTTGGGTTTAGAGTTCCAGGTTCAAAGTTCAGGGTTTAGACGGTTCGGTTTGAAGCGAAAGGCAGGGGGGCAGGGGGGGGGGGGAGGGTGGGGGGTCAGTGGGGGGAGAAAGGGGCAGGGGGGGGGGTCAAGTGGAGACCTGCTGGGCGGGGCTTCGACTGCCCCTGCTCCTCTCGCGAACCGTCCGCTTTCAGATCGTGGTCGCCTACGGGGGGGGGGGTACCCATTCCAGGCAAAAAAGGGGGCCGACGTGTGGCTTTGAGGATTTTGGAGGGGGGTGCTTGTTCTCACAACCTAAACACCTTCGGCCCGAGGCCGTGGATTTCACCGCAACGTGAGGCCATAGGGCGCCCTGGGTCCAGGGTTGGGGTGGAGTCCGGGGAGGGGGAAGGGGGCGGGAGATGATGCTGGCATTTTGGTAGATGGGATTTGCTTATCGTTGACCGCCTCATGGCTGTGATTGTGTTGGGTGTGGGGGTGAGGGTATCAGGCGGAGGGGGGGGAGGGTAGGGGGCTGACGGGGGGTTGGGGTGGCGGGGGGTTGGGGGGAATGAGGGGGTTTGGGGGCGGTTAACATCAAACGCCCCTGCGATGCTGGGAAGGACGGCGACGCAGGCAAGGCCCTCTCCTTAGAGGGTCGCTCGTCACTCACTCACTCGCTCGCTCACTCACTCACTCGCTCAAAAAATAATCATCAACAGCCGGCACCATCAACGTCGTTGCCATCAGTACAATCTTCGTTTGGGGTCAAACACTCGACATTGACATAGGGAGACGCCCGCGTTTTGCAAGAATGCAGAAAACGCCGTCAATACGCGTGCTGGAAGCCGCTACATGAATTTGTACTTATAACTTAGAAATAAGGCTTGTGCTCTTGACAACATGGCAAGGTCGCAGAATTCGCTTCCCTTTTTCTCTGCGTGCGGGGGCGCTACGTTCCCGTGCGTGTGAGTTTGGTCGAGGTGTGGGTGGGGTTGTGGTCGGGGTGCGGCAGGGAGTGAGTGGGCGTAGCCACGCACACTTTCCGCTCAAGACCCCAACGACGCGTCAGGGCGTGGTCTGGTGCGGTAAAGGTGGGAGCGCCGGGTGACGTGCTGGGGTTTTGTGTGTTGACATCTGGGGCGCTTGGCCTCTTAAAAGTGGTGCAAGACTCCCTCCATCAACGGTAGCTGTAAATGACGGCGCAATACGCAGAAGATGTCTGCCCTGTGCCCTGCACAAGTCGGGAGGGGGTTGTGTGCAAGGAATCCTTCTTTCTTCTTCCAATGCTTCGACGCCTCGAAGGGGTCATGGCTGCAATGGAGCTACAGGACAGTGCAGTGGGTGCAGTGGTGACAACAAGAAGAAGCCAGGAGTCGGCATAGAGCTTGACAGGAGGAAGACAAAGAGAAGTACAGAGCTCGCAAGTCAGTCCTAGAGAAAGAGAAAGCGCTGTCCGAAGGCAGGGCGCGACGATGCCGACCCAATGTTTGATGAAACTCTTGTCTTTTCCTTGTCTTGACTGTTGACTATGGAGGTATGCTCACAGACCTCACCTACTGCATCGAAGCAGTAAAGCGGTTCAAGGTTGGGTCCCAGGGTTTGTCAGTGGTGTATCTACAGCTTGCAAAGCAAATCGCAGCAACTGTACCTGCAAGAGCCCGCAGGTCACCTATGGCGGAGGGCATTAGCTGCTTGGATGGCCTCATGTTTTCCATTCCAGCAATGTGAGGCATCGGGCAGTTTTAAGTGCACCTGCCTTGCAATACCATCTCCATTTCTACAGCATCTAAACGTTTGGGCTTCTGCAGGCGCTTCAAACCGCCTTCACAAAATGCAGCCAAAAAGTGCCACTCTATCTCCTGCAATCTTGTGTGCTTTGCACAGATAGACGCACACATTTAGCTACCCTGCAGTCCGTAACGTTAAACAGACTCTACCCGAGTGCAGTAGGAGCAGGTATGACGCAGCTGCAGCGCGTCAGCTCTGCCTAGCCGACGAAAGCGGCTTCGATTTAGAAAGGCAGACTTCCAAGAAGCTTGTAGCCGAATAGTTAGCTTGAGGCAAGTGGAAAAATGTAGAGAAATTTCGTTGGAATTTAGCATGTGCAGCGCAGTTTGCAAGCTAAATCTGACCGTTTGCTTGCCCGATGATGAATACCACTTGCGCAGCTTGCATGAGATCACGGGTGAGCGACAGAAGCTTGGGCCATGCATGTAACGTAGAGTCCAGCGAGCCAAAGCCTGCAAGGCTAAAGATACCACGTTGTTACGTCGCGACATCTCAGAAATGAAGCAAAGGGAAACGTGAACTTTGCGGGGTTTTTGGTCAGCATGGCGATGGCCCGCCATGGTCCTGGCTCGGTTGGCTGCTTCAGCAGCCGTGCTGGCCAACGGAGTGTCGCAGAAGTTCCTGGGTTCACAGCAAGAGTAGCAGAAGACCATTGACTTTAGACTCTTGGAGTGAGTCGCTATGCAACGTCGATATTTATCGATGGTTCATACTGTAGCCTGAAGCCGAGGCTTGAGGTCTTTGGTCATGCCCTGCACACTGGGCAGACCGTTCCACCACGCTGTGCAGATCAGGCTCGGCACTTGGTTTCTGTCTTTGTGCAGCCTGCTGCCACCCACTGCCGCAATGCCATCTTGGCTCTACTAATCCCAATCCCGAGCCCTGTCTGGACTCTCCGCAAACAAGCGCTCCCTGAGTACCAGGGTTTGATTCAGGTCATTTTTTCTCGCCAATGAGCAGAAGTTATGAGACCAAGAGTATCCAAGGAGCAAAGAAGGTCTGCAAAGGAGGTAGGTACATGGGGCCACAGCAAGTCTGTCCAGGTTTGGGATGCCAGTCACGAAACATGGAAGGCCCGTTTAAAGGAAAGTTGCGGAAACTTGTGGACGAATGATGGGGGAAAGCTAGTGTCATCGCCGTCATCGCGTTGAAAACGTGAGCCGGAGTGGAGAGAGCAGAGAGTGTGCTGAGGCTGAGGAAGTTCAACATCTCCTTTGGGTTGACTGGGCATTAAAGCCGCCAGGAACTGACCGGCTCTGCACACTCTGCTAGACTTTTAAGCAATTCTTACAATGCTCGTGGCCGCAGGACCAACGGCACACATAGTCGAGATTCACGTAGCCTGGCATGCACCACTGCCCAGCGATCCAGAGGCTGGATGCTCCACAATTCCACTGCTGTCGAGTTCTTTTGGTGTCGGTTACTTTGTTGAGATGTACGAAGCTTGCATCTAGGAGCAGAGTATCTTCGTCGCCCAGCTTCGAAGAAAAGACAACACTTTCTCACTCAAGGATTGCCTGCACAGTGCATGATACATCAAAAGCTTTGAAGTGAAAGTCGGCTGAAGTGCAGGACATTCAGCCGGTGAGGCTGTTCGAGACCGCTTCGCCACAGGATCTGGATTTCCATGTGTCCATGATCCTCGCTGCTCGGATTCCGTCAGCCCCTCTGCAGGAGGCACCTGCCATTCACATACTCCGTGGCGTGCTCGACATAGCCAGACTCCTGGCCGCTGGCAAAAGTGTCGGGAATACGACGAAGACATTCCTCCGTGAGGTTTTCGATGTGGACCGAGGGGACGTGCTCGGCCTGCTGGAGTCCTGTGAAGGCCAAAACATCCCAAAATCTTCCGCTTGCGTCTTCCGCATAGAAGCTGGGTTGTCGCGTGCTGTCCCTTAAGCGTGATATGCTCCAATTTCCATCCGGACCCAACCCTAAATCCTATAAGCCCCACATACAGCCGAAGACTCTTGCAGTTTCTGAGCGGCATAATGTAAGCTGTTGTGCTTGCGGCTACGCAGAGACCCTGTGTCTTGCAACTTGCCTCGGGGCCACGCGATGCTATGGATGCCTTGGCTAGCCTTGTTGTAGGAGGCATTTCTTTTTAAAGAAGCCGACCGGAAAGATTGCTACTTGGGATTCAGAGCTCAGTCCCTCTTGGTCCCGACGTCTAGTTTTTTCAACACATGCTTGACGCGTTGTTTGTGTTGCTTGCTTGTCCCGTGTGCTTAGCACGAAGGCAGAGTTGAATGCTTGCCACAGAAAAGTCCGCTCGCCTGAGAAGCCTTTCAGCGCAAGCTTAGCCGCTTGTCAGGCTCCAGCCCCTTGTCGGCACCGTGGGCGGACTCAGGCCGACCCACCGTGCAGCATACCGGAGCATGGCTAGTCTTTCCCTGAAAAGCCAGGGATATGACATGAAGCTGTGCTTGAGCTGTGGATGATGTCACGTGAAGGTGAAGGCGCAGAGACCCAGCCCTGGGCATTGGCATTCACTGTGGCCGCATCCTTGACGAGTGACACTGTGTCAAAAGAGCGCGAAGCGGAACTGCTGCAGCAGTTTCAGACGATCTTTTTAAGCGGTATGGAAACCTGTTTATCTTTGAGTGTCCGTTTAAAAGTGTTTTTGGCTCTTTGTTTTTTTTGGCGCTTGTGAGTTTGTTCCTGGTTCCTTTCCCCTGTTCCCGCTGTGTTCTGCTATCATGCTGCTGGTTTTGTGCGTGGTCATCTTTTTGTTTTCCTGGCTTTTGCTTTTTGCTTCCATGCCTTTTGCCTTTCGATGCTTCTTGCTTTTGATTTTGGCTCGGTTTTTGTTTGCTTCTTGCTTCATTTGGTTTACTGCTTCTCATTTTGAGTCTTGCTTGTTTGCTTTGGTCTATGCCTCTTGCCTTGTGCTTCTCGTTGTTCAATTTGCTTTGTGCTTCGTTCTATGCACTTTGTAGTGGTCTTCATTTGTGTGTGTGTGTGTGTGTTTTTGATTTTTGCTTTGCGTTCTGCTTTTGTACTATTCTTTGCTTTGTGTGGTTCTATGCCTATGGTGTTCTGCTTTTCATGTTGCGCAACCCCCCCCCCCCCCCAACTCCCCCGCCTTTGTCAGCCAACGAATACTTGTTTTTCTCCAATGAAAGGTTGGAACCAAGAGAGACTTAGCACACAGAGGAAACTGTGGAAGGAAGTCAGAGTGCTTTTTCTGAAATCTGTTAAGCTACAGCAGAAGCAATGCCGAAAATGCCGAGACGAAATGGAACAAAACCTAACAAAAAGGTAGACAGAGAATTGAAAGCTTACCTATACAACTGTTGATGAGTTAAGGTAGTTAAGAGTTACTGGTATCTGTGAAAAACTTAGGCAAGGCAAGCGAGAAATTAAACAAGAGAAAACAAGGTGTTTTCGGGCTAAGGCATAGGGGCAGAACCTAGGTATTTGCATTGGAATAGGGATGAAATAGGCGCTTCTTATGAAAACATTGGAGAAACAGAGGAAGGTCTATTGAAACTGACGAAGTACAGGTGTTCTGTTTAAAAGAGAAGAAGCAGGGGTGTCTCAAGAAATGACAAAGGAAATAGAGGATCTCTCCGATTAGCATAGAAGAAACAGCGATAACGCCACAAACACCTGCGGACTTCAGGTGGGCGTGAAAGTAGCGGATGCACGAATCGGATGCGGCAGGACAGTACTTCCGGGCATGTTTCTCGCATGAAGCGAGCCAAACTCCAAATGCCTGGCAATCCTAAGCAACCCTTCCATACACACTACAGAGGACATGGAAGCTTGGAAACAAGATCTCTAGAGGGCACATGAAATACAGCCTTTTTTTGGACCTGGAACGATGCAAAACCTAGGTTTTATATGCCAAAGCCCGAAATCACAGAATAGAAGAATACCCCTCCCCAAAAAGTTCTCAAAGCAAATCTGGGCCCATATCGCATGGCCACTCTGCAGGTGGGTGACCTCCTCCCTGGCATGGAGGTGCTTGAAATTTGGACTACATATGCCGTTGCACTGTGCACTAAGTGTCGTCGGTCTGAAGTGCACCTCGAGTGCTAACACACTCGGAAAGTTTCGTGTGGTATCTTCTCATTGTGAGCGCATTGTGCTGTCCACCGTCCAGTTCGTGCCTTCTTTTTTTTGTTTAGTGTTGTTTTGAAGCATCTGCCTGCACACCTATTGGGAACTCTTGCGGGGCCTCTTGCCAGGTCACGCTAGCATCAGCAGCTTCTGCGATGCCTCCAGCGTGGGACATTTCCTCAGCTTCTGTCTGGCGGCTGCTGCTGATCCTGCTGCATGCTGATGTCATTTGAGGCCTTTTCTTTCCACGCGCCAGATTCAGGAGGCACCGTCTTCTGTCGCAGAGGGCCGTGATTGTAGGTCCAGATACGTCCAGATACAGCTGGAGTTCAATGATGGTCATTATGGCACGGCCATTCCAGGTGCTGGCCAGGTGCGGTCAGGCGTGTGGACGCGAGCAATTCCGGATTCGGCATACATCCTGGGACCTCTCGCCAGGTTCGGCTCTGCAGTTGTTGGCGCGTGTTCTGGAGGAGGTCATGCTACGGCAAGATGGAAGGGGGTCTCACATCAACATCTTGCCATGGCCGGTCCTGAGGCAAAATGCTCAAACGAAGATAGTCTTCTGAAGAATCTACGGAGCTTGTCGAGCTGTTCCTGGGTGCTGCGGGCTTGGAAGTGCTTGCCTTTCAGCAGTTCCGCCGAATCATTGCCTGCTCCCATATTGCTTGCACATTTGGAGGATCTTGAAGGTTCAAGCTTCCATGCGGGACGAACCAGCAGTGTGCATCGTTTGCACTTGTCAAGAGCTTATGCAGAAGGCACTCGAGCGACACATGGATTCAGTGCGCTATCTGACACAAGATGCGAGGGTTTGTAATCGTCTTCCAGCCGTTGGCAGAAACTCGTTCTCGGATGGCACATACTTGCCTGGACTGCTGCTGCTCGCCTGCTAGAGCCCCTGATGCTGGCTTGGTCGGGAGCAACAGGCCACAACACGTGGAGCCTAGGTTGCACTTCATTTGCCAAGTGACACATTCAAATAGCAGTTAGCTGGCAGCTTTTGGCATACTCGGGAGGCGATGCAGTGTTTGGACGGCGAGTTCGCTCCTCGCCAGTCACGGGAGCAATTGCAGAAGCTGGTCTGTGCCTTTGCCTCTCGGCTAGTAACTATTGTATCTTGGGCATGCGGACGCCCAACAGAAGTGCATGCGACAGCCGGCAATGTTTAGAATATAAGATTGGAAGGGCAGGGTTCAAGAGATTGTAGATTCGGCGATTCGCCTATGCCGTGCACGCCCTGTATCGTTCTCGGCGAGACTTTGCAAGACCGCTTGCTAATCGTTGTGTCTGTGACTTGTCTCGTTCACAGGATGCTTGACATAGCTGGTACTGGCAGCACGCTTCAGTCTCATCCTCATCGTATCAGCTTTGTTCGACTCTGGTCGCGGCGGTATCATGTCCAATGTGATCACTGCAAGCGAGTTCCAGTACCCTCCAATCCCCATCCAACCCAACCGTCAGTTGGAGACCGTCCTTGTGCTTGTTCCCATGACTGAGCAACGAGAAATCTATGCGAGCTGCTTTTTGGGTGTGAGCAGTGAGCTTTCTTGTGAGTTGATCGAGTGCATGAGTCAGGTTCGCAGAGCTTCAGCAGCAGGTGCCAAGTGCTATGATGACAATGATGACAATGATGACTGTGACTTGTAGCAGCTATTGTAGCATCTTGTAACTCCACTTGAAGGTGGCAGTCCTGGTGCTTTGTGAAGCTTGATGCTGTGATATGCTGTGTCAGGGCAAACCATCAGCCTGATGCCGCTGCATCCACTCGGCAGCCGCCGGGTGGGGCAGTACCAGCTGAAAGAACGAGCTGGTGTCTTCGTTATTTGCCTGCAAAAATGTCCATCAAGTTTCCAGGTCCAGCTATGTCCAGCTAAGTCCACTTCGCCTAGGAACTCAAGGGCCCAGCGGATGGGAGCGATGGAAGTGGCCGGTGGGAAGTGCTTCGTGCTTGGAACATTGGCAGCTTGCATCTTCAGAACGCCGATGCCTCCACAACTCACATGGAGCTGAAGCCCACCGATATGGTGAAAGCAGCAGTTCTTGTTTCAGAGCAGACGGAAACGTGGGTGCTCATCTTTGGCTGCAGGGAGGAGCGTGATGGTTTTGTTCGCGCGATGCAGATCTTGCAGCTTTACCAGACACTGGCAGAGTGTGGGCTCTCCACCCCAAAGAAGGGTGGGCCAAGTGCGATGGCCTCAACTGTGGCAGACCATCAGAATGACCAGGCTCTGCTGCGGTGGCGCCCTCAATTCGCCTGTGATCGTGCGGGGTTGTGTATATACTTGCATGTATATACATATGTATGTATCTATATATATATATATACATACATGGTCACCCTTTCCCCCCCCCCCCCCCCCCCCCCCCCCACCACCCGATGATGCGTTGACCCTCGTTTGGACTTTATTCTTACAGTCTTTGCAGTACTTCCCAGAAGTTCCCATTCCGATGCTTGTGAGCATGAAGTCTGAGCGCCCGACTTCAGACCTTCTGTGTTCTGGACTTGTAAGCTCTTACCTCGTGTGAAACCAGGAACAGAGGCACCAAGACCAAACAAACAACCAATCCTGTGAGGATAACGTTTTGATCTCGACGCAGTTTTTCTGGTTTGCCCGAGGAAGCCGAATGTGACATGCTCAGGCATCGAAGTTGGACATCTTGAAAAGTACTGGAAATACCGTAAGAATGAAGTGCAAGCGAGGGTCTACGCTACGTGCGGGTTGTTGTTTCATGTCCATGTGTGCTCTCTACATGTGTTAGTCGTGTGCTCTACGTAGGCGAAGCATGGCCAATGCGTATTGGAGTGTACATAGTGAACATACGGCGTATGTTTGTGTGCGGCGCTCTCTGTGCATTCAGATTCCAAGGGCAAGTGGTTGCTGCTCAGCCAAGGCCACCAGCGCGAAGTCCAATCAGTCCGCCAGTGTCACCATTCGCACGCAAAGCGCCTGCACCGCCCCCAACTCCACAAAAGCTGGGTGCTCTCTAGAGTCAAACGCTGTCAGAAGCGTTGGTCACCTGAGCGCGGAGCTGGCAGACTAGTGCAAAGCACTGTCGAGAGTTTCATGCCTTTGGTGCAAAGAAGACAAAGGGCGTCCGCAGGACTGTGGATGCGCACGAAGTTGTGACATGCGGTAGGCCTGTGGCTCTGCTAGTCACCGAGGCAGGACTATCCAACTTACATCCTCCATACAGGGTCTTCCACTCGGGCAGCGGGCACTAATGGAGCGTGATGCAAAGTTGATGCATTTGAGGCGCTTGGAGGGCGCGACCGAGAAGGAGCAGATCGTCTTCTCGCTTGTGTCCTTTTCTCTTGGTGGTTGCTTGGCCATGACTCCTCTTGTTGGAGCCGCTCGCGCCTTCTTTACCCTGTGGGTTATTCTCAATGTTTTAAACTTGATCAAAAGTGCAACAATGTTCAGTTCCTCGTTTTAGGTGCAGCAGTTGTGGCTGTTACGCCTGAGACCCTCATCAAGTGACAGTGAAACTTTGGAACCCCAGCTTCTTGAAGACAGTTCCCCCCCAAGAAGCAACGCAGAAGCCCAGGAAACGAGGACTCAGGGATAACCTCTCCCAAAGCCGGATTGCACAGGAGCTGCTCATGTGGATGGATGTCGTCCGAACAGCTGCTTTGCCTGGTTTCCGACTCAGCATGCCGAGCAGCCGCAAAGCAGGTAAGGGACATAGAGGGATGTATAGTAGCGACTCTGACGGGTGCCTCCTTCTGGCCTTTGCAATGGGAGATGCTGCATGGGACTCTGGAGAAGAGAAAGCTGGACACAGATGGACAAGCCTATGAATTAGATAACACCTGAGACAGGCACCATCGCATGACTGTTGAAGCTGCTGTGCACAAAGCTGTTAACTGGTCGCTTCCGTCTGGCCATTGAGGCGCAGTAGGCTCTCCAGCGCAGGGTGCTGTTTCCGAAGTCTGGGAGCCGGAGCGCTGGCACAGCTTGTCCTAGGTATGGACATCCGCTTCATGGATGTTTCAGACGACTTCCAAAGCGTGAAGTTTGGAGATGGGCAGGCGGACAGTGTTGTGGCTTCATTCTTCATCACACCGAAGGCAAACCCTCTGTAGCCCTGTATAGGTTAAGTTAGACCGCTTCGACTTGCGCCGAGCTGAGATGGCTTTCCATGCTGCATGGGCATCCGACTTTGATATGGTGTTTTTCAGCAGCACATAGGAAGCTACCTACGGGCCCTCCCAAGGCATCAAATGTGCCTATGCCAGGATGTGGATGGATGCGACACGTCCAGACTCCCCGCGCATACGAAAAGAGAAGCCGCGCCGGCATCAGGCCTCTCGGCAACATGCAGAGCCTGGAAACTTGGGTGTGTCTTCAGCTTTTCCACTCACCAGGCAGGATACCGGCACATGTGCCGCTTTCAAAGCGGGAATGTGTTGGAACTCCCTGCATTTTCGCGGATGTTTGGCCCTCAGGGCAGCAATGACCATACCAAGTCCTCGGTTCTCTCATGCGTATGGCATCACGAGCATTCTCATTGTGTGACAGACAATGCGTCGTTTCGCGGAGAGTGTTGCGCAGCCTTCGACAACGTGTCCTGTGAGAGCTGAGGCGGTACCTGCTGCACTTGGATTCGGATGCAACTTTTCATTGCCAAGGATGGTATTGCATCGTACTGCACGTGCAGTTTGTGTAGTCTCACAGTGTCGCACTTGTCGTGCCGGCTGGATTGATGATGCTGATATAGGATCAAGCAGCGTGGATCCCTTCAAGGACTTCTACGTTCCTACTACTAGGCATCGCTGCATGGTGTCATCTGTGCCATCTTGGCAGAGACCTACTGGATAGTCGGCTCTTAGACCAAGAACACGGTTTGTGCGCCGGGAAAACGGCAGAGGAGATGATCAAGAGCAGCTCCGTGTACGGGCAGTGCTCTGAGGATGCATATGGATGCATGATGCCCGTGCTGTTGAGAAGATGGACAGAGATGATAAACACTGCTTCCCGCAACTTGTTAGGCTCTTCGAGGTTGGACTCGAAGATCCTGCGTTCACAAAGGGGCATGCGCCTTGTCATGTTGCCAGGATGTGCCATGTTGATGAAGCTCTTTAAATAGAGAGCGCATGCGCTGAGGTGGTCAGGCTTCGTGAAGGAGTGAATGGCTTAGAAGAGTGGCGTTAAGAGTCAACAGAGACAAGCAGAGGCATTACCAGAGGTTTTGACGGTGTGATCATGTGTGATCTCTTCTAATCTTTGCCGTTGGCTTAGGTGGGCTTTGCTGAATGACTTGCGGTTCGGGGCCTTGTTCCTGCCAGGATTCTCTGGCTATGCAAGCAATATGCGTGCCTGTGCCTTCAAAAATGCCTGATGCAGAGGCTTCCCAACCCCGTAGCCGTGCTGTCGACGGCGGGAATCAACATCACTCGTTCTGCCGGAAGTTCAGACTGCACAGATCTGCTCATCGTGTGCTCATCGCAGGATGTGTGGACACACTTCATGGTTGTGGAAGTGCCAGCCTTTGAAGGTCGATGAAGATGGCGTGGAGCAGATGGTGGAAGCACCCCTTGACCCACTCGCACTTACCTGGGGCACGGCCTGGGAGGCCGGAGACTTCCGACGTGGCTGCCACGCTGGATTCGAGAAGTGGCTGCGTGTTTGTCAGTTTGCGTGTGATACTTCGAAGGTGCTCGACCTGGACTTCTTTTCTCGGGCAGACGTCCAAGAGTTCAGCCGTCGCGCCTGCCCGCCTGGCTTTACGTCACAGTCGGTCTGCAAGCCATCTGGCAATGGCATGGAAGCTCTGTGAATGGCAGGTGGAGGCTTCGCTAGGACACTACAGGCCAACGCCTATCTAAGGCTAGTTACATAGCCCCTACTAAGGGGTTCTGAAGTGTGTGGGCCTTTTAAGTGCGGTTTGTAAGGGGAACATAAAGGCTTCCCACCCTGAACAGCCTAGCATCATGCAAGATCATTGAATACTGTTGAATAATATTCTGAGTTTTTCATGTGCGTTCATTCTCACTATTCTCACTCAGCAAGCGGTCTTTGGAGCCTTGGAAGGCATCTTTGGGGTGACCACCTGATCCGAGCCTATCAGGCATGTCGTTGGCGTTGGCTTGCGGCCATTCAACCCTGTTCTCGTGTGTGCTTTCCGTTCTCTTCATATCTGATGGGTCTTTCGGAGGTTCTTCTTCATGCGCCACTTGAGAGAGTCCGCTGCTTCGATGCTGGAGAGCTACCTGGCAGGCCTGGATGGACTTTCCGAATATCACTTCATCATAAAATCTCTGAATTGCAGCTTTTTGCGGCTTCAAGTCTGCAATGCTGTTGAGCACAGTCGCTGCTGCGTGGGTCGTATTTTGATTATCCTCACCTGACCTAAGTCATGGCTGCACTTCGGACGGCACGTTCGATGCAGAGGCCTGGACGCTTTGTGTTGCGTGAAGGACTCGTCTTCGACGCCACTTCGACTCTTGTTTGAGCTCAGGTTGACGGTTGGGAGAACGTCTACTACGTGGAAGAGGACCTAATATGTTTTGGCCCTGGGCGTGTGCAAAGGTCTTCCACTAGTCACCAGCAGCGCAACGGGCTTGACACGGGAGTGTGAGGCCCAAAGCTTTGGCTGGAGAGTGGCCTGACAGGCCTGCTGTGCCAATCAGATGGGTTCGACAGTGTTAGGGGATGTCTGTCGTCCCAGTTCCAGCACAATTTTCAGAAGCAGGCGTTCTTGTTCTTCCTGCTTTGAGGTGTTCCCTGGCCGGGAGGACCTGGAAGCGGGACCCCTGCTGCCGGCATCATGCAGTCAGCTCAAAATTGCACACTGAATTGGCACTAGCGCTGGTCTTGCGTACCTCGTGCTTCTCATGCGCTGGGGACCTCGGAACCGTATTTGCTTGAGAGGACATCTCCAAAGGACTGCCTTCGGCTCTGCAATGGGGACAGCTCGTGCCAGGCATGGACAGCTGCTGTTCATGGAAGCAGCTGGCGGCTAGCGATGCTTTGAGGGTGCGTTGTTGAGGGCTTCGACTTCGCCTACTCTTCATCGACTCAGACCGTCGACTGCCTGCTCCGACATGGGCGGGCTTCAAGCAAGGCCTTGCACGAGCTTTCTTCTTTCTTGAATGTTCTTGACTTCTTCATACCTTTGCTTCTCCGCAAATCCTGATCCTCGAGGTCTGCGAAGCAGGTGGCATCGAGGGTGCTGCACTGGCAGCTTGGATCCAGCTCGGATCGGACAGTGCGCTCATCACGCAGGCGCTCCCAGGGCGTCGTAAAGGCGTAAGGGAGCTCGCTTGAATGCTTGACGTTTGGATGCACCGCCATGTCTAGTAGTCGTGTGAAGCATATTAGAGCCGTTCTTAGACCTAAAACAGAGGTGAATCCCAGAGGTGCAAAATCACAGAAGAAGGGCCTCTCTGATTATCTCTGATTCTCATTCCAGAATCCCAGTGCCCACTTATGAGCCCTCTCGAGGGAGAGTTGTGATTGGCAAATCGGGTTTCGTGGGACCATGAGCAACGAAAAAACAGTGCTAACTACAATCAGGACATGCCACTATCGATTGATGTCGGATGCCAGGTTGGAGCCGCAAATCGCTACGAGCTCACAGAGAAGAGCGTTCGAAGGCCAGCACAGTGCACCAAGGGCAGTTGCAGCGGCGACATCTTTCTATGAGCAAGCGCGTGTAAGACCTGCAGCGATCTTGCCACGTGCATGTCATGCTCATGCCAAGCTTGACGTGAAAGCTCTTAAAACCGCACTCCGACCGTAAAACCCTTGGCCGACCTGCTGTCTGCAAGGCAGATGAATTGCACCAGATGGCGTGAGGCACGCTGCGGGTGCGTGTGGCTTGAGAAGTATGGAGTGCTGGGCTGAAAGAGCGCGGTGTAGGAGGCGAAGGAGAACATCCACACCGCCCGTGTTGAAAGTCTGCAGGATTTGCCGTGAGCTGTGAAGAAGAAAAAGCGGAGCAGACCAAAACTTCAGCACAGGCATCTCGTGCTTAGAGCGGCTGTGGCATGAGAAGGCATGAGCAGTGTGTGTCTCATAAAGCTCGGGCTGTTTGTCCTTCCCATGGCATGATTGCCGCAAGCTTTGATGGTCCCCAGGCCTTCTCTTGTGCAATGCAAAGTGCAATCACGTTCACATAGCAGTAAGACTTATAGTCGGGAAAGTGGGGATCCATCAGCGCCAATGGCAGTAGATGTCGCACCCACTTGTTCACCTGAGGGTGTAGCCTGCGTGCTTGAGAAAGTGAAGTTCTGTGCCGGCAGAAGAACTCAGAAGTTTGTGCGATCTGATCATCTGAGTGATCGGCGAAAGACTAGCTCAACATGACTGAGCAAGCGACCACAGCTGCCACAGCTGCAGCAGCTAGCAAGTGGTAGCCTATCGCAAGGTGCCTCAAGCACATCAAGATTCCTTCACCCTCAAAGCAAATCTTACCCTCCCCCCGGGTGTGAAGCTGAAGCTGCCCCGGTCAAGTGTGCTAAAGAAGACGGTGTCGCACAGTCTGTTACGAATTGCGCTGCTGATCTGAAGCCAGGCCTCTCGCGACGAGCTTCTGCAGGCACTGTTCTTCCCAAACGTTTCGGTTGATTCAAAGTTTTCTTTCCATGGTCTTCGTTTTTCTGTGGCAGGCAAGCCGATCCATCAAGGCATTGCAGGACGAGAAATGCGGCCTCCTGTCGGAGGACTGCCCGCAATCGCTCCTGCATGGAATTGCTATATTCAAAAGGACGAGCATGATGCTTCACAGTCTTGTTTTCACTGGGAGGTTGCAGAAGCAGAAGACGAGGCGACTGCGCTTGCTGCCACAAGAAAAGCACGTGTGAACTCGATTTCACTTTGCTCAGGCTCGGCAGTGGCAGCACATGGCAATGGTACTCCTGAGGAGAGCTAACGCAGCTAACGCCGGTGCAGGCCGCTGCTCTTGGTTTATCTGGAAGCAGCGCATAGTTGTTTCATGTTGCTTCGTTTGTGTCGGCGTCAGGCCCAGCCCACGGCTCACAAGCCGGGTGCCATGCCAAGCTCTTCACCAGGGTTTCATGGGGCTGGAATGTGGAATCTGCTTCTTTCAGGTGCTTCGCTTGCTTGGAGCCATCACTTGTTGCTGATGTTGTAGATGAGGCTCGAACAGATCATTGCTTTGTCTGCTCCGGCTGGTGACTGCTGTCGGCTCTGTCATCAGGTGCAGGAAGAGCTCAGTGAGCGGATGCTAAGTACGAGGCCGGTTGGCACCTGGGCTGTGCTTGCGCAGCCAAGTGCGCCCAGATGCGCTCAGGATCTTTCGGCAGGAGCTCGCCTTCTCTGCAGCACGTCTTCAAGAAGAAGAGGCAGACTTGCCAAGCAGCTTCGAATGATTGAGACATGACTGACGCCCGGAGCGGTCATTTTTCGCTACAATACCGTGTCTTCACTCCGTTCAAGTTTTAGGTAACTAGTAAATCCACACAGTGATTCGGGGTAAGTTCATTGACGGATTTACGAGCAGCATCCAACGACGGTGACAGAGCCCCAGACGAATGCAGAGAACGAGCGAGTCGCCTGTGCAGGTGCACAGACTCGATAAGTAAGCTGCTGCCTATGCTCGCTTGTATCAGTCTCTTTCAGCTTGTAGCTTTGTTACGACCCGGACGAGTATGTTGAGTATCCAGGTCTTCAGGTGTGCTTGTTGAGCTGTATACTCCAAGTCACTTTGCCCCACACATCCCCGCACCGAGGCTTTCATCAAAAAAAACAACCACCCGACAGTTGTTGAATCCAAAGCTTTAATTCCTGAAAGGGTGTTTTCGCGAAGAAGCTTGGAGAAACCTTGAGCGGAGCTTGCCACACGTGGCGTCACCCAATTCATCATGACATTTCTTCATGCAAACACCGCTTGAGGGTTCGAGTCATGTCCACGGAGCTGACGGCAAAACCTTTCCTGGCAGCAGGTTGAAGTGGATCAGCTGACAGCTGCCCTGGATGACCTGCGGATGAAGGATGCGGGCTGCACTGCTATGACTTCCGACGTCAACCTAGTTTCGTTGTATTTTGTCGCGAAGTTCAAGCCGGGCAAAGAAAAGTTCTTCTGCTTAAATGCGGCACTTGACCTTTAGGCTTCTGCAGCTGTAAACTTTACAGAAAGTTAGGATGCCCTTGTTGAGAGAGAAAAGCGAGAATGTATCACGAACAGACTTCATTCATCCATCTGACTTCGTGCTTGGAGTCCAGTTGTATTCTCCGAATTGCGATCGGTCTGGGTTCTTTATTCAACCTGAGGATCTCCTCAAATGCATGCGACACACGTGCAGCAATGCTGTTGATTTGTCAAGATTCAGCGAAAAATTGGGTTCGATGAGCTAGGGGACAGTACCTTACCTATCGCGGAGGAGCTCTCGGCAGAAGCCGCTGTCCAACATCGGGAATGGCACTGTGCAACGGTCCAGAGCAGCTTGGCGATTTGAACGGCTGAATGTAATTTATCTATCATATTACGCGAACTTCACAGAGGATAAAGTCTTCACAGGCACAACCCCCCATGCTTTGAACATCGCAGGCACGCGGCAGAGAATCGCCAAACAGGCTCAGGCCAGGCTCCGTCCTATGGCAAAGCATGTCTCGAGTCGTGTTGTTTGGAAAAATTTGGAAGTGTGGTTCAGTATTCCACAGATTTGGGCGTAAGGCGGAGTTGAACGCCTGGCAAGAAGTTCCATGAGCGCAAAAGAAGTACGCCCCTGACAACCATATCTGATGCGAGTTTTTCGGCTGAAGCTTCTGCTAAGGAAGCACGTAGGACTAGGATCTTTGGTGTGGTTAGATGGCCTTGAAGATTCAGTATTGCCGCACTTTCATCGATGCACAGGAAGGTGCAGCGACTGTTCCAAAGCGCTCTTGCAGCACACCTCCCTGCTTCGGTCGTCAGATTTGGGACACAGATGCCCATCGTGAGGAAGAGGGAATGAAGGCGTATGTTTCCACCCTTGTCCTCGCGACAAACGTATCTGACCTCCGCTCCCGGACAGACTCAAGTGCAAGCAACGAGCATCTTTCGCCCTCTCCCGGACACGAGGCACACGAGGCGCACGAGGCGCACGAGGCGCACGAGGCGCACGAGGCACAACCTACGCCTGGCGATGTCGATCTTGTCAGTGAAGGCAGTGTTGGGCACCCGGAGCTTTGCCATCGCCCCTGCATCTACTTCGCTACTGGGTACTGTGAGAATGGAAGGTCCTGTGGCTACTGCCACATGGAACACCGCGACAGAGCCCCAAAGTTGGATAAGCAGCAGAGAGCGATGGTTCATGGCCTCAGCAGGCCTCATGTTCTGGCCCTTATGCTCCGGTACCTCAAGTCAATAGCAAGAAGCCAGGGATTTGAGCTCCAAGCCGCCGAAGTAGTGCAGCTTGTTGAGCGCGAATTCTTCTTGCATGGGCAACAGGAAGACCAAGCTTTGGGGGACATACCGGAGAAGGTCATGAAGAAGCTGACCAAAACGCTTGACAGAATGCGTTTTTCTGGGATTTTAGGGCTTGCGTCGCAGGAGCAGATAGGCCATCCCCTTCGACAGCAAATGCTTGACGCACTGGAAAGGCTGCGTGCAGTAGCACCCGCATAGGACCCAACAGGGGTTAAAGTGAGTGGTTGCGTAGAAAACTGCATGGGTTGTTCGTCGCTGTACCCTGGCTGATGTTTTTTTAAGATCATCAGCCAAGTGGCTTTCGGCATCACTTTTTCAAACGGCAGTTGCTTCATTGCCAGCAACAGAAGAAGTCAGTTCTCATCTGTCGGTCATCTGTGAGTTGGTTTGGTTGAAGTGATCTGCAGCCGCATGCATTTCCCTGCCAAGGCACAGGGATGTAACTTTGATGTACCACTACCCAACAATGCCATGTCTCGTGACACTTGCGTCAAGGACAAGTGCAACCATGGGCTGGCATAGAATTCAAGTACAGGCATTCATTGCAAGACTTGTGGATTTCTGCTCAGCTTGCCTTGAAGCTGACGTTTGGGATGCGACTGTGCTGGGGGTTAGCTGATCAAGTCTCAATGCTTTGCAGTGACGATTTGTAACACGGACCAGCCTCTGGCACCGACGCAGCTCAATGTGGCTGCACTCGGCAGCGCACGAACTGTGCGAGTATTGTGCCAGCGCAGCCGGTCAGCTTGCCCTTTGATTTTCTTTGTCAGTTTTGTGACGATTCCAGCGGCAATATTTGTCCAGAGGTTTGCTGCTGCAGGCGCTGTAGGTAAAGTGCCCTGCACGCTTCGTCAAAAGACTGCCTATGCCAGAGCTGCCTCGAGGTGAGAGGACAATGGGCCTGTGCCATTATGTGCCATTGTGATGCGGTCCTGCTGTTTTGTGATGTGGTCCTTCCTGCTGCATTCCTGCTGTTTTGTCTTCACAAGCCGCGAAGGCCATTTCCACGTACCGTGACGCAGCTCGCACAGAGGAGCTTTGTGTCAACAGGCTTCGCGAACAGGTGCAGCAGCTTCACCAGGCCGGAGTATGCAGACATTTTGGGAATTCACAAAGGATGCAAGAGCGTTTGTCCACCATGTACTCCGGTTCCTGCCCCTCACGTGACATCTTGTGAGTTGTGCACACCGTAGAGTCGTAGAGTCGTAGAGCCTATCACCTGTCCCAGGACGAAGTCGAAGCGGCGACGGCAGAATGCTGGACAAAGTCGCGCCGTGTCATCTTGCAGAATGAGAGCCAGGAGCTGTCCGAAACTCTGATCTTGAGCTTAAACTGCTGCTACTCGTAGTGCCCTGGATTCGACAGATGGCTTGGAGAGCCACCAAAAGCTATCAGAGCTCACGGCAGGAGCTTCGCAGCTTGACCCTGGCTCTGTCGTTTCCCCAGCTGGGGAAGCTGGGATAAACTGTTCCTGCCGGCAACCCTGCTTCTTTCTCGAATCTGAGGTGTGAGGAGCTGGCAAGCTCGAACCACGAAGCAGGGAGCAAGCTGGAGGACGTCCACGAGCTCCCAAGACCCTCCTGGCAAGACACGAAGATCTAACTGGACTCTGATGCAAACCCTGAAAAGTCCACAACGTCCTTGATGCTGAAACTTGTAAACAGTTGGAGTAACCCCCCGAAGCTTTATGGCGTCCGGCAAATCCTTTTTCTATGAACATGACGGAGAGTTTTGATTCTATTATGGGGGGGGGGGGGGGGGGGGGGGGGGGTGGGGTAACACCTGCACATGATTATATGCGTACTTGAACACTTTGTGGCTGGCCAGAGTCCATCATGGAAATAACTGACTGGTTGTAACGTTCCAACTGCCGGCTGCTTCAATGCTCTGAGCTTCTGCTGTCTCTTTGAGACTCTTGCTGATCTGACGTGTCAGCACATCCGTCCTTGTGAACTTGTCAAGGAGAAGGTGCGCCTGTCTCACTTGGCACAGTTTCGGGTGCAAGGCTCGCGGTTGAGGCGCTTGCGCACCTCCTCGATTTCCATGCAATGTGCCATTAGTGCCATTAGGGTGGAAGGCCTGCAGAGATCATCTGTGGCAGGCAAAGCCCAGAGGGAATGCGCGCCAAGGACTTAGCCCACAAACGTTCTTTTCAAAATGCTGTTAGTGTCGAACGAATTTGTCAAGGTCGATGTGGGCTCCGCCATCACGGCCGGCATCTCCTCGCAGCAAGAAGAAAAGATGGCAGCAAGTCACGCAGAGATGTGGCTCGCCCGTCGGAGCCCGGGTCAGCCAGGGTCCACACGACAACCTTCGGCTTCCAAGCCGTGACGTCTGGAACTCCATGGAGGCTTCTCTGGATCTTGAGGACATGAAGGAACGACCCCATCCTGCTCTCGTTCGCACTTGGAAGGCTGAGAGACAGCGGTACCCGCTGGCTGAATGCGGATGTGGCAGACCTTCGCATTGCGCGACCCGACCATCAAGCACAGTTCGTGTTTCTTCAGTCTGGGCGTGGAAGGCAGGATAAACATGCGCCGTTGGGTAGTAGTTCTTACAGCGAGGAGATGATACAGGAGCCCTTTTCTTCTGCACCCCACTCGCGGTGCCAGGGCTGACCATCAGACACTGCTGGTCAAGGCTTACACAAAAAGTGCTGTGCAGTAGTGCCCGCTGCTCGAGTGGCAGGATGTTTTCAGAAGCTGATGCCTGTTGACGTGGTCGCTTGTCAGCGCCGCAGCTGAAGCCAGAAGGATGGGTCATAACTCATGACGATACAGCGAACCCAGAGCAGCAATCCATCACCAATTTTTTGGTCTATGGTGCAGCACCAATCTAGTGCTAGTGTTTCCATAGTTGTCACCCAACTGCCAGGACGGAGCCCATGGTGGAAAAGTGTTGTGTTTTTGGTGTTTTGTTTTGTGGTGTTGGTGTGTGTGTGTGTGTGTGTGTGTGTGTGTGTGTGTGTGTGTCTGTGTGTGTGTGTGTGCGCGAGTGAGTGTGTAGGCGTGTTTGTGCCCTGAAGCCGTTGAAGCCTTCGAGGATGGACCACCTCACCGAGGAGCTGCCTTTCAATCAGGTAGCGGCGTAGCGCAGGACTCAGCTTGCCGCATCTTTGGCATCTTTCCCCAGGTGAACATGGAGTGGGATGGCTATGGTTCGCATCTAAGATTCCAAGATGCGGCGATGAGTGGCTTCGGTTCGTCACGGCTGGGTTGGGGTGGGTTGGGTCTTTGTGCAATAAAGACCTCTGGCAATGGCAAGAAAATGCGATGGTGAGCTGGGTGACCAAGTTGAGTTGCAGCCATATATCCACGACTGGAGGCTGGAGCACTTCACCATCTACCTCGGTGAGCATGAGCGTAGCTGACTCTTGGATGCATTGGTGAAATGATGTAGATGATGCATGTCTGAAACTGGTTTTAGCCATGTTGGTTCGCACTGCTATGTGGGCTTGAGGACGTCCTCGGAAACCACGTCATGCAGACGAAGCTGCTGGAGGACTGATGCTGTGAATCGGACTGGTTTATGCCCTACTCCGTTCGGGATGCAGTCTTTCAGGCAGCGCTCTCAACTTCATCGAAGATCGGTGATTTGAGGAAAGCCAGCAAGGTGCATTTTCGCTGACGTCTTGCCACGATCGTTTTACCGTCAGGGCTTCGCTGACAGCTGCCAATGATGCACTCTCAACCAGTACTACCATGGAGTCGATCTCCTAGTGCGGCAGCAGAGGACCTTCCGGAAAACCCGCTGTCAAAAAGAACGTGTCAAAGCGATTGAAAGCGGCGAATGCAGTAACTCGTTTGCAAGGTCTGGTGTTGGGATGGATCCTTTCAGCACGCTGTTGCTGGATATGGCGCGGGGGGGCTTCGCTAGCCATGGCCAGTTTTCGCCAGCCGTGCGTGTTTTCTGGATCTCCTTGTGCGGAGGCTTTGCGAAGCGTCGTCCTTCAAACTGGACGCGCAGCTGGCAGTCGAAGACGACATGGAACGAAGGTCCCTTTGCGCTCCATGTGTCCGCTACTGTCAAGCCCAAAACCCAACGCCCTAAACGGATGTGGCCAGGCGAGTCACTTCTTCTGAAGCCAGAGATGTACTGGATAATGCCCATCGACGGAGTTCGCCTCGTCGGCTCAAAACTCCTCCGATACTGCAAACCTTCCTTCCTTCGCTGCATCGGCTTGCCAGCCGGCAGTTGCTTTGCACACCAGCTTGCGTTCATGTGCCTGCGTTTCAACTGGCTCAGTGTTAGAATCATTCTGTACATAGCTTGCAACGCACTTTCGCCACCCGCGCAGCATGTAGAACTACAGTTCCATTGCGCCGCTGGCGAAAGTGTGTGCAAGGAGGGCCTTTAGACTCGAGGTGCTCCTTCGGGTAGTTGCCGCACAGCATAGCGGCAGCCAAAGTAACCAAGTGATGTTTAGGAAAATTATGGAAAGATTTGTCATCTTCCGAAGTTCAACATAAGTTACCAACAGCTGCCTCCAATCCGGGCGGGCTGCCAGCTGACGCTAGCTGCGGACCGCCTTTCATTGCATTTGCGGAAGACTGGCACCATTGTGTGCCCCTACTCCTCCTCCTCCTCCCCTGTTTCTGGAGGACAGCTGTCCATGCTCGCGGAGATGCAGGAGGATCGCTCAGCAATCGGGGGTTGGCCAGCTTCCCAAGCCGACGGCATGCAGGCTTCCGCGAAGGATTTCGACGGCGAGTGGAGTTACGAAGACATGCCGGAGGTCGGAACAGATGGAACGTGAGAGAAGATGAGAAGAGTTTAGTCAGACAGGCCTGTACACTACTGTGATATCGTGTGTGTTGATTGGAAAGCTGAAAGTGTCTTGTGCCGTTGAACCGTTGGTCAGGGCGAGGAGGCCTCTTGGCTGGAGTCGTTCTCTTCACCGTGGTTCCTGGTGTGCTCCTCACTCCACTTGGGCTCTTGAAATGCTTCTGAAATAACTGAAATATGGGGACTTTAGTAAGGACGCAGGGGAGCCCCTGCTACCTTTCTGGACTGACGAAAGCGAGAAATCAGATCATGTGGCCTCCGCCTTACAGTCGCTTGCACTTGAAAGCATGCAAGAGCTATGCAAAGCGTGCAATATCTTGGAACCAAGGATGCAATCCTGGAATTCCACACAGAGCCATGCGCGGACTTTCAGCGCGGCTTTTGTGCCAAGCATGGCATTCGGGGCAAGGCGAAGCCCCGTGGTGATGTGCGCTGATGTGTGGATCTTTGCCGTTTTTCGCAAGTTCCCACTTCGGCCGGACCGAATCGGATCGACCGCAGCTGTGAACAGGGGATGGCAAGTTCGGACTGGCTCACGTGCGCGACGGGATTTGTTCAGACGGAAGCGCAAGCATTTGCACTCTTGAAAGGGTTTTCAGTTGCATGTTACATGGTAGATTGCCTGGCAGAGCTTCCCAGAGAGTCTGATGTTGTGTCGTCAGCAGTCGTCAAGACTACCGGCCTCTCATGTTTAAGAATGAAAAAATACAGGGTGCTGCGCTCCTTCCTTGCTGTTACAGCCTGTGCCCTCAGACTTGCTTTTTGCAGGCACTCCAATGCAGAGGCTTCCACTTTGAGCTGCAAGCTGATTCGGAAAGAAAATTGGTAACAAGTGTGGCAGAGTGTGACAGACCACATGTGAACCTGCCCCGGTGCGCTCAGTTCGCAGCGCCGTCGGAAGCCTGTGGATCCCGCAACTGGTCAGCTGTGGTGGTCTCAGCGAGAGCTGCAGCGGGAGCAGATTCCCAGATATTTACAGTTACATTCTTGTTACATTCTTGTTCCTATGAGCAACTCTTTCTACGAGTCGACACTGGCTGCGCAGATTTAGACACAGGACGTACTGGGAAGTCCCCTGCCCATCCTGGAGTGTTGAAATGGGCTTCTGATGCAGCCTCAGATGCCACAGAGAGCTGCCTCCACAAATTGCCTTAGCTGGGGTGTCAGGACTCTCAAAACTCTGCAAGACTCAGGCTGCCTAGCAGGAGATGCTTGTCCATTCGCTCATGGCCGAGAAGAGGCCTTTCTTGCATTTTCTTGCTGTGTGGTCCTTGCCTGTTTCTTGCCTCCGTGAGGTGTCTTACCATCCTGCGAAGTACAAGACCCGGCCTTGCAACGGTGCTTGCCTCAGGGCTTCATGCGCACCCAAGCGAGCACTGCAGTGTGTACCCGTGAGCAGCTTCAGGCACCGATTGCCGCGGCGAGGGAGCATGCTGCTTCGCTCACGATGAAGCGGAGATGAGGCAAGAGATGGCCCCGAGAGAGAGAGAGAGAGAGAGCTCCCCCCCTTTCCGGGTCGTGGCCGGGGACCTCCTTGCGGGGGTCCTCCTAAGAGTGGAGAAGAAGAAGAAGACGAAGAAGAAGAAGAAGACGAAGAAGAAGAAGACGAAGAAGAAGAATAATAAGAAGATGAAGATGAATAAGAATATGAAGAGGAAGAAGGAGAGGAATAATAAGATGATGAATATGAATATGAAGATGAAGATGAAGAAGAAGAAGAAGGAATAAGAGGAAGAAGAAGATGAAGATGAAGATGAAGATGAAGAAGAAGATTTTCACACCATGGACGTGGACGAGACTGCTGACAGGGACAAAACCGGGGACCTCTTTGACGCGGTGAGTGGCAGTCTACAGACCGACTACGAAATCCCAGCAGATGGTCCAAGATGGTGAGTCAGTTGGGGACGCGACGCCAGCGAGTAGGAGCCACCGTCAAGGCACTGCAGCAGAACCCGAACACCGGGGATCTAACGGACAAGGACCCACTTGGCCGTCGCGGCCGGGTCCCTTCCCTTGTGGGGGGGGGGGGGTGCTCTTAAGTGCGCAGAAAAAGAAGAAGAAGAGCTTCTCATGCACTTTGTTTAACCTTTTGTCCGCTCGTTCTTTTGAGCCTGATGATGCCATATGATGCCTTGTGTTTCCTTCCTCCACCTAATGCCCTAAGCTTTGTACGCGCTGTGCGCGAAGTGGCTCGTACTGCAAGGCAAGGTGCTCAAGGACGATACTCGTACTTTGTCTTGGCATCGTGCTGTGCCCAGAATTTATTTTTATTGCTCATTTGATGTGACCACTCTCTTGAGTGAGTTTGTGCACCCCGTGCGCGCCCTCGACAAGGAGTCACGTTTCATTGCTGTGGTCGAGATGCCTTCATTGTTCACTTCCCGAGGTCGAAGGGGCGAGCCCTCAGTGGCTCTCGAGTTCCTGTTTCTGAAACAGGCTGCAGGTCGGCAATGCTGGCAGGTAAAGGCAGATCCGTCGAGTAGCTTGTCACAGCCAAGTGCGCCAGGCGCACAGACCCGGGCGTGCGGACAGGCTGGAACTCCAATGTCGCCCAACGCGTTTCTGATAGACAAGTATGTCAGTGGTACTCGGACGCGCGCAACTGCACGGATAGGTGGGACTCTGAATACAAGAGCCCGCTTTTGTGCCTACTATCCGCATGACACTTGGTTTGAGGGATGTGGGCGGATGCAGGTTGAGTCATCTTGGGTAGAAGACCAGCGAGTGAGCGCCTCTGAGGCATGTCGGCCAATGCCGGCGTGGCTCCTCCTGCTCCTTTGCGCACTCTCGAGAGGAGGTGCACCGGTGCAGTAGGACCGGTTGCACAGTCTCAAGAGACCTCAAGAGCATTGCTGCAGGTTCAAATCCCGCTGCTGTCTGTCGCGGAAGAGGAGCATGAGGAGAGTGCCATGACTCCAGACTTTTTTACCAGGACCGCCAACATGCTTTCCTTGAGTGCTTCATGCACACAGTGACTACAAGGTTCTCGAATGCATTGAGCTGTAATTGAGTAGTCTCAGTCGCGCTGTTGGTTCAGACAGCGTGATGTGGCTGCAGGAAGTTCAAAACCCTGTGGTGTCCAATCGGTGCCTGGCATGCAAAGCTCTGCTTCCTGAGTACTTCATGACATCATGCTCTCGAGATGCCTGACCCAGGCGCGCAGCACGATTGGCAAATTTGTGTTCCGTCCTGAGCTGCGCTACCCACTCTCACTGTTGACCTTTGGGGTCTAAAGGTCTGGGTCGAGTTTTGGGGCAGTGTGCCACAATCACTGCCAAGACGACTACTACTGCTCCTGCTGCTACTACTACTACTACTACGACGACTACTACGACGACAACTACGACTACTACTACGACTAGTACGACTACTACTACGACTACTGCCACTACTGCCACTACTGCCACTACTGCCACTACTGCCACTACTGCCACTACTGCCACTACTGCCACTACTGCCACTACTGCCACTACTGCCACTACTGCCACTACTGCCACTACTGCCACTACTGCCACTACTGCCACTACTGCCACTACTGCCACTTCGTGGTCGTGGTCGTGGTCTTGATCGTAGTCGTAGTCGTAGTCGTAGTCGTAGTAGTAGTCGTACTAGTCGTAGTAGTAGTCGTAGTTGTCGTCGTAGTAGTCGTCGTCGTAGTAGTAGTAGTCGTAGTCGTAGTCGTAGTCGTAGTCGTAGTCGTCGTCGTCGTCGTCGTCGTCGTCGTCGTCGTCGTAGTAGTAGTAGTAGTAGTAGTAGTAGTAGTAGTAGTAGTAGTAGTAGTAGTAGCATAGTAGTTAGTACTCAGTAAAATTACTAATTAGTAATTAGTTATTATTAGTACTACTAGTACTGCTACTAGTACTGCTACTAGTACTACTCGAACTACTAGTACTACGACGACGTTGCACTTGGCACATTCTTGTCGCAACCCCTACCGGTTCCAGTGTCATCTTTGGACCATCCACTGAGAATCCCGTACTAGTTACTAGTCCCTTCTCAGAGGTCTACGCGCACACATACCAGGCCTGGATGTTGACGCTATGTTGAGCTGTTTTGCGCGTTGAAGTATCTGGCCAGGATGCCAGGCGTCAGGCCTGGGCACAGAGCAAGTTTGCATGCTTGATGCTGTTGCAGGATATAACTGCCTACCTTACACATCTGTTATCGTGCACGTGCACTTGGGGTGGTTGCCAATATTATCCTCCCGCAACCGCCAGCCATCGATCGGCTATGGACCGCAGCCATGCCCCTTCTGGGGCAAGAAGGACCGGCATGCTCCACGTGATTTCCCTTCGTTGCACAAGGGATCGTCTCTGATCTGCTCGTTTGTCAAGGACACTCGAGTCCGCTTCTCGGTCTGGGAGCATGCGGGTGCCAAGCATGCGTTGAAGTTTATCCGCTCACGCAGCGGTTGGAGCACCTCTTGCAAGACTCCGACATCGAACCTCCGAGCTCCGAGGTCGCCTACTCTCAGCGTTGTCCGCTTGGACTTCGATGTCCCTATGCACACGGTGCAAAGGAAGCCCACGTTGCACTGTCGGCAGCCGTACCATAGCAGGGTCCTGGCATGTCTCCGCGAAGCCGCGAAGCCTGTGAAACCGTGCGAGCCAGGAGCAGCTGTATCATCCGAAGTACTTCAGGACTGCCAGCTGTGGCTGGAATTGCAAAGAACAGGTGCGCTTGTGAGTGCGAAGCGTGCAGGACTGTCACCTGCCGAGACATGCAGATGAAGGGTCTGGCCAGCGTTTCATTGGTCTTCATGCTCTCCAGTGTAGTGTAAAGACTGGCCAAGGAGCAGAGCACGTTCCTAGCTGCACTGCCAGGGTGCCCGCGCCAACGACTCTGCGCTTTCTACCACCGAAGATCAGAGCATCGGAAGTGCGCCTCAAGATCTTCGCAAAGCAGTCGGCTATTGTTGGAGTGGTTCACACCTTGACACTTTGACAAAAGAGTTCGAGCCATTCTCAGTCTCCAGGGCTCTCGAGTCGATCTGGTTTTTTCTGTGAGGCAGACTGTGGACATGCACGACTACGACCGTCCTCTTCCAGAAGAGGAGCATAGTGCAGCTTCTGAAGCCTGCAATAGCATGATACAGCATGCTCTTGCTCGCCGCTGCCATCGTCAGCCACGTTGCAGGCCATTGATGCTGAATGGGCAGAGAAGTTTTTGAATCCGCCCATCTTCCAAGACGCAGAAGACGAGGCCGACTTCATGTGGCGGTGCACTTATCTGAAGCATTCAATTAGATTTGGAAGTTTTACTTGCAGAGGTGTCAACCCTGATAACTTCTGGGAGGCAGCTGCAGGCGTGAGTTTCGCAAATGCACAACTTTCCGGGCCTTCACTGCCTTATCCAGCCAGAAGCTCTGGCAGAACGTTCTACCAGTAACAATAGGTCCCGTCAAAACGATTTTTGGCCAATTTGAGGCAACTTTCAGCAGTTAGGCCTCTGACTTTCCGACAACGTGTCTTGACCAATGTTCACGCATGTCTGGTCTGCGTGAACTGCCTTGATGTGTCGCAGGCTGAGCCTAAGACTGAGGCTCCAGGCCTGGTGGGACACATCGCATGCAGCGGCACAAGTTGTAGCTTCGATCCTGCGCAGTATTACGTGGCTTGAGTGGCAGTTTGCTTGGGTTTATGAAGCATTTAGGTCGTACCATGTCCCCTGTGCAGGTGAATCCCAGCAGGCGGCTGACAACGTTGTTGTGAGACAAGGCATGATGCACTCATTGATACTCACTGAATGCAGGCCCTCGTTGCCCCGTTGCCAAGAAAAGTGGCGCTGCAAAGCGCAGCACTTGCCAGCCGGATGCCAGGGACATAGCAAAGAATGAGGCGAGTACCATAACAGCACAGAGCAGCATCAAGTTGACGCATGCTCTCGGTTTCTTCAGCTTTCTACTACAGCGTGCTGTGAGTTTTGCATGAATACTACAGTTGAAAACTCAGGCACGATGAGTCCTCGACACGTGCCGATGTACTGACCTCACGCCGCTTCCGAACTGCACGGTACTGAGACCGGTACTGGCTGCGGGTTGCAAAATGACTGTACTAAGGAGAGTCTGGAGAGTCTGGCGTCTTTGAGCTTCTACCATGCACAAATAGTTGCGGCCTTGGATGTCTACGAGATTCTACGAGTCAGCCAGAATTTGCAGAATGCCCGATCTCCAAAGAGCACATGATCCTCGATGTTGGCAGGTTCAGGCAATCCAGGCAGTTCAGGCAGTTCAGGCACATGAGTCATTTTGAGGCCAGCCAAAGACAGCGGCACAGTCGTCCCGGCCTCAGAATGTGCCAAGCATTGCGGGCTACTCTGCCCCTACTGTACTTGCTGCTTGCTGCGCTTGATGGGCTGGAGATGGTGAAGAGACGCACAGATGGTGGCATGCAGCTCGGGCCTTGATCGCATTTTGCACCCTTCTGTGCCTCAAGCTTTTGCCGCGTGTGCTCGAAGTTTTGGAGGTGAATGGGGCCATGGCAGATTTGCTTTGAGCGCAAGTGTGCCAATCCCCACTCCAGCTTGAGGACATGTTGATGCGATTTTTTCTATGGGGATGGTACAGTGCCACTTTGAAAGTCCCTTTAATGGGCTGCTTCAGCCTTGTACATATGCTTCAAAGACACGAATTCACACAAAGCAGGCTTGCTGCTTTGTGCTCCGGCATTTTGCAGCACTCCAGCTTTTCGTTTCCATGGGGGTTTCCATGACCGGAGAGCTTGCTGCAGAGCATTTCCTCTTCCATTGCATGTCGATAGCGGGCGCGGGACCTCGTCTTCAAAAATGCTGCTACCCACTACTCCATGCTGCTACCCTGTACAGCTGAAGATTCCTCTGTTTCATGTCGATGTTGAGTCCTTCCTGGCGCCCTGGCACTGGTTTAGTCAGCAATGATTCTCATGAAGAGTGTCGGATGTAATTGCCTGTCTCCGTGCTCCTCCTCACAGCACTCGTGGGGAGCTGGTGCAACTCGATCAAAGGGCTAGGCCGAGTCTTGGCAGGCGAACTAAATCTGAAAAGCAAATGCCCCTCGTTTCCAAGTACGCTGTATGAATTCAGCTCTTGCATGTGCCTTGTGAGGACTGCTTGTGCCGACTGGGAGCCCTAGAGGCCCTAGATCATATAGAGCCCTAGAGTATATCTCAGAGCTGATTTCAGCGGATGTGCAGCGGCACGGCTCTTCTTGACATGTCAGCAGCACAGCCAAAGTTACAATTTGGACCGCACAAGCATCTTGCGGAAAAAGGTGACGGGCCAACTGCCTTCTGCCACACATCCTGTCCATGCTGTTTGCAGTAGACTTGGTGAATTTGATTGCGTTTTCGCTGCATTTAGCTAGCTGCTAGCTAACATCGGGCCTCGGGGAGATATCCTGGGAGTTGTGCAGCGCTGAGCGAACCTGTGCTGCAGCCGCAGTGGTATTGGCTCGGGACACGGGCTAGCACCTCGCTGCGTGATGCAATGACGGCTGATGCTCTCGGTGTTGTGCCCATGGCGTTGCAAGCGCTGTAGCGCGTGGAGTGTAACATGGAGAAGGCAGTGATGGGGCTGTGGAGCCATGTGGAGCCATCAGGTTTACGTCAACTTCACGTGAGCCGCTTGATGCGGGGGAGGGCTTCTGCTTCAGTCTTTGCCTTGTTGCTTCGCAGGTCCAAGTCGAGGATGCGAGATGGAAGAAGGAGGCTTCCGAAACACGGAGTCAAAGTGAAGTTCAAGGGGCCAAAAGCCGCTTGTGCTTAGCAACCCATCAGGAGATACAAGTGCTTAGCAACCCATCAGGAGATACAAGAGCTGCAGCAGAGGAGCCGCGGCATGCTCCGCGACTTGGGCTGCAAAAATTGCAGTGCCCTGCGCCGTGCATCTGCAGTGCTTCTCAAGTGCTTCTCAAGTGCTTCTCAGAGACTCTTGGGTGAGTTTGCTGGGCTGCTTCCAGGAATCGTAGCAGCTGGCAGCTCTGGTCGCAGCACAGCTGTGCAGGCACTTAAAAGTGAAGGATGTGCACAGAGGAAGTCGTCTCTCCCCAAGATACCTGAAGTGCTGCTTGTGACCGCACCACGTGCTAGACAAAATAGACAAAGGTCGTGCAATTCCTGCATAGAGCTGGAGAGTCCTGTCGTCCTGTCATGTTCTTTCCACGAAGGCTCCCGAAGAGACGCAGTCCGAAGTCAAGCTCCTTCGGGCGGAGCTACAGGATCAGGACGGGGTGCTCCATGACTCGATGCCCAGCATCCCACTTGCAAAGCCATGGAGAGGTCTGAAGGTGAGGTCTGAAAGTGATGTCTTGCTTTGCTCAGCTGTGCAGTGTCAGATGGCCCGCTACAAGCGCGAACTCGCTTTCTGCAAAAAGCCCAAGCCTCGGAACTGACGAATTTGGGATCGTCCTTGCACAGTTGATGCTACTGCTCTCCGAATTCTCCGAGGTCTGTTCATGAGCTTTCGATTGAGCGCACCAAGTCCGAGGTCCGGGAACCTTGCGCAGATACTTTTCTGCAAGTGCGCCGCGTTTCTCCAGGCATCTATGTCGCTGGCACACGAGGCCGACCCACCAATGTACGCAATCTGGCGGTTGACGGTACGGTCCAATGCTCTTAGACTCGTAGACGGTCTTAGCGCAGGGTCCATGCAAGAGCTTGGCAGCATGTGTCGGGTGCTTGAAAAAATGCGCCCAGATCGAAACGCATGCGCCGCTCAAATCAATGCTTAGTTGTGCTAACTTGACTGCTAACGTTGTCTTACTTGACGAACGTTCTTAGACAGAGTAGCTCGTCATGTGGGCATGCATGCACGAGCGCGCGCCCGCAATGCAGTCTGTTTGCAGCATGCACTGGACCATGTGTGCAGGCCGCTTCCGAGAACAAGTTGGCGGAGAGAAGCTGTCAGATGCGTGACTTTGATTGCAAAGACATGGAAAGACACCTCTTCTGTCTTCTGCTAGATGCACGCCATCACAGCAACCGAGAGCAGCCATGTGCAGCACCTGCATCCAGGGTGGCAAAGTGAGCACCGGATATGGTCCGAGGAGCGGCATGTTTCAGAGTCGGAACCTTTTCCCTAGTAAATGTTTTCCAACCTTGGCAGCTCGAGACACCAGCTGAAAGATAGAGTTAGATAGGGGTCCTCACGCAACGGACGGTCCCCAACTGAAGATGTGGGAGCCTGGATTTGTCGAGGAGCGCCGACGGCTCAAAACAGCCCATCAAAGCAAGTGACTCAGCGGAGGGCCACTCTGTGCTCCAGACTTCTATGCAACGAAATCTGCAATCAAGGGCATCTTCAGGAAGAGCTGGACAAGTTTGAGCAGTTCAGGTTCATTGCGATTGCAATAGCAAGCTGCCGATTCCATGCGTTTGTTCATTACTACTTGATTTCGCAGGCACCGAATGTCGCAGGAAATGGCTTCGTCCAGGCGAACGCTTCACCGAAAGGTTGTAAGTTGTAAGGGTTTGGATGCCATGATGAGAGGGGCCTTTGCTGGCAATGTTGAGATAGCTCTGATATTAATGATATGTGAGCCTCCAGGCATTGCAAGCGCTCCTGCCCTAACTTTTGCCTCCAAAGCCTTTGCTCTGTGAGGCGAAAGCTCGAAGGAGAGGCTGCAGCCCTAAGCTTCCGTTGAAAATCCTGGGCGCTCGGTGACATGTTTCGGCAACAAGTGCTTCCTTTTCTTGCAGTTAGGTTCGAGAAGCCAGGCAACGGCAGCGAACAGTGGAGGGTAGCGAATCTGCATTGGCTCGGGGCATCATATACTCTTCTGACATGGAACCAGACGGCATCACACACGCACATGGCCGTGGGAGCTTTCTTATACATGACAGCGAGAATCAGGCAAGCTGAAACACATGGAGGAAGCGGAGGACTAGCGGCAAGCTGGCAAGACTGCAGCTTGAAGAGTCAACAGTGCACGTCCCTCGTAGGAGGCTCGTGCCCTTACAGCCGGCGAAGTGGCCGAGGCCACCAAGCCAACCCATGGTGTGCCCCTGCACTTCACTTGCTGGTTTGCTGGTAGGCCCAAATGCTGGAGGAGAATGAGGTTCCTGCAGCAGTCCAGGGGCAGACTTCGCCAACGCATGGTAGCACCATGGTTCATTGGTCATCACAGCAGCTTTCCGAGCTTTCCTTCACGCAAGACTAATCGAGACTTTGAGTGGGCCTTGCCTCAAACGGCGGCAATGGGAGGCTGCCCCCGCCTTTCCACCCCTCGCCCCATCACCCAACAATGACAGTTTGGGTATGGGGTCCAGTTTCCCATCAAACACCGGGGCCTTCGGAAGTTCCTCCATTGTTTCAGCTACTGTGAGTTCTTCTGCTTTCTTCGCGGCCTGTTGGTGATCTCGGTGGTCCAGTGAACACTATGTTTGTACATGCCTAGTCTTGTCGTGACAGGGTTTTTTTCTTTGGAGAGGCCTTCCAGAAAATCATCACAACAGAGTGTATCGTCGTCGGAAGGTGCAGCACTTGAGGGAGCTGCTGCGCCAATCACAAGATGAAGCATGGAACTTATTGTAGCTCAGAGAGGCTTAGAGCTGCTTAACGTTGAACAACACAACCCCAAGAGCCAAGGTGCTGGCACAGCAAGCGGATGCACGTCGTCAGACAGATGCTGCTTCGAAGCTGCAGGACTTGCTTTCCCAACATCCAGGTCGCTGAGCAATCGTCCCAACAAAAAATCACATTGTTATCAACAAGCATCAACATGCAGTATCGTCATACCGTTTGCTACACAGTTGTTTTGCAAAGATCACGCTATGGTCGCGAGATGCGTGCATGCTAGATCGACTTCGCACCGTTGCTCCTTTGTAGGCCCGGTTTCCCTTTTTCCGTAGAGAGCCGCTCCTGACGAGGCCATGTCGGCCTCCCCAGCTCCCGGCGAGACTTTGCCGGCTTCAGGGCTCCCGGCCGACGCCCTGGTGGTGTTCTGCAGCGACTGCGCCTACGGGCACCTGAAGGTTCTGGACGAGGAGGGGCTCCCGGGCCGGCGCGGGCACTGCCACAGGGAGCGGGGCTTGCAGCCGGTGCGCAGGCCAGCCGCCAGAGAAAGGCAGCTGGGCGCTCTGGCACTGCTTGGGCTTCGCGAACACATGCTACCACCAAGTGCCAGCGAGTCTTCACCACACGTCGTGAGGGCGTGTGTAGCCACTGCCAGAAGCAGGTGGAGAAGTACCTGTGGTGCTTAGCCGGAGACCTCCAGGCGCCGGCCAGAGCTCCGCCACCGCCAGACTCCTTGATGTCACTCGTCAAGGTAGTGGACGAAGAAGAGGAGGCCCTTCCCGAAGAGGCGTTGAGCATGGGTACGGGCGGCTTGAGCTCGGAGAACCAAGCCCTGGACCTTGCTATGCGTTTCATGGCTCGCGAGTCACAACGCAACAGAGCTTTCACGTACAGCCTCCCCCCGGTCGAGCCACCCGCGGCGAAGAGGCCCCGACCGTCTGGGGTCATCGAGGTGCCGGACACGCGGGAGCTACACCTCCCAGTTACAGCTGGCTGGCTGCTTCTGGTCACGTACTTCGCCCCACTGACGGCTGTCGTACAACAGGTTCATGAACAGAAGGTTGTGGGCCGCCGTCTCGAAGGCGTGACCCTCGTGGCTGAACAGGTGGCGCCTCTCGACATGCAAGGTCGCGTCCTTGTCTAGCAAGAGGTTTCGGTAACGCCCCAGCGTGGTCTCCAGGCTGACCAAGGGCCGGAAGGAGCGCTCTGGCGCCAGGTACTCTTACCCAGCTTGAGCAGGTACGGCGCCTCCTCGCCCTGCCGGGTGGCGCTGATCAGGTGGACCAGTCCGGCGTTCTTGGATCCAGCACACACGGCCTGGAGGCGCGGGAGAACTTGCGAGCACAACCAGGTGCCTTTGGGACGCCGAGCGTGGCGCGGAAGTGCAGGCGTCAGCTCCGGGCTTTTGAGGGACTGGCAGTAGTCCGCCTTGCTCATGCCACCACGCTGACAGCCACCAGGGTCACGCATACGAGTTCGAGACGGCGGCCACAACCTTCTGTTCATGAATCGCCAGGCTTGCCTGTTGTACGACAGCCGCCTCTGGGGCGAAGTACGTGACCAGAAGCAGCCAGCCAGCTGTAACTGGGAGGTGTGCCGCGGCGAGGCGCTGGGCATGCTCGCCGAGACCCGGTGGCTTACGCAGACACGCATGGACGTGCTGGAAGGACTACCACGCCTTCTTCTGGCCTGAGGACCAGCCGCCAAGGCCGCGTCTGTGCGACTCCATGGAGACGCTCTACCAATATGCGTTCGCTGTCTTTGAAACGTAGGAGGACTGGGATGCACGAGGCCTGCCCATGTGCAGAGGCCAGGTGTCTAACGTCCCTGTCGAGAGCTTCTTCCGCCGGAATCGTGGAAGGAATTGGAGGCCCCTGCCCTCCAAGCCGCAGAAGCCCGTGGTGCGATATGGGTTCCCCAATACCTGATCCGCTTTGCGGACTTGGACCCCTCCCTGACGGACGCGATTCGCAGCAGCTTGAAGCTGGTGGACCCGGATGTCCTGCGCCGTCAGCGGCGAAGCGCTGCTGAAGCGAGGTGCCTCTGCGGATCTTTAGTACATTGATAAGTATTGATGCGTATCCTAATACTAAGACCATCATAGTAGTGCCTGCGTTTTTTTTGGTCCTATCAGGTGTCCCCGATGTCGATCCTGTCTTGCAGCCAGACTGCTGGCCATCCAACTGCCATTTTAAAGAATGCCTGGTAGATACCCCGCTGCGCTGAAGGCAAAATCTGACGCTGCCAGATGCTGCAAGGGGGGGATTTCTTTGCTCGTTGCTGTGCTCCTCCACTCACACCCCTTTAGGATGCTTTGGCCATATGAGGAGAACACATTCTTGCAATCGTCCCAATGCGCACCTTCGTTTCAATGTGTCGAGGATGCTTTCCGCCTCGAATTGGTGGCTGCTGCATCTGCTAGAGAGGCAAGCAGCCGATGGCAAAACTGAGACAGTTTAGACCCTTTGAGCTGCGGGGAAAGGCACTGGTCGGGGACTGGCACTCGCAGAAGCGTCAGCTCCTCCAGGTCGGCAGCAGCGCAAGTGTTCAACTGCAACTCATGAAAGCTGGTAGGCCATGGCGGTGGACCGAAGAGCTCAGGAGGAGGTGACCGACCGTGAGGTCAGCCTGTAAGATTGTCAAGCTTCTTTGATGATCTTTGATGCAAATTTGCCTAAAGCCGAGCCATGAGAGGCAGCTCTGGCAGAAAAGGCAGCGTTCGTTGCAGCAGAACGAGCACTTGAAGTGCGCCCACGGCCGTATTCCACGGCTAGCCAGATGCAGACCTGTGCATTCATGTTGACTGACTTGCGGGAGATTCCAACAGCCTCATAGTTAACTCAAAATTCCCGAAGCCACTTCATGTCCTGTATCGAAATGGATTTGAAGGCCAGTTCTAAGGGCAGGGCTTTGGGTTCGATGGGTTCGGATTGATGCATGTGATGTAGATGTAGTGAATGTAGCGGTTCAAGATGCAGGTACGACGCCTGCAGGGCCTGCGAGAGGAAGATCGGATCGAGTCCCAAAGGCTTCGTGAGGAGCATAGACAGCCTGAGACAAACACCTCGCGTTGCTTTGCGATTTTTGCCATCTCCGATTCTTGAATGGTTCTTGCGGCCTTGCGCTTCCCAAACGCAAGGACCTTGCTGCTGCGCTGGACGCTGCCAAACATGCGAGGCGCATCTGTTCGCTCGCCCTCTGCCCTCGTGCGGCTCAGTTTGCTTCAGTGCAGTTCATTGCAATGGAAGGCTGCTGCAGAGCGCCTCTGCGGATGTGAGGCAGTCGATAGCTCGGGGACCATGCCATGCGTGCTTCCTCTCAGCTCTGACCTGACCAGGAAGTTGGACAGTGAGCTGAGCCGGCAAAAGGAGATGAGAGAGGAAGACATGGCACAGCTCCACTCCGCCTGTGAGGAATCCTTGGAAGGCTTGCCCCTGGAATTCTATCAAGAGCTGCGCTCGCAATCTGGAGATGATGATCAAGTCCCGACTGTAACTCGGTATGGCCACATCCTTCAGGCCGTGGGAGGGTGCGTCAAGACGCTCCTGCGGGAAAACATGCAGTTACAAGAGGCGCAGCGATCTACTTTGGGGGCGCCTTCTCTGACACAGTCAAGTGATTCTGCTCTGTCACTGGGGAACTTGGCCCTGACCCCTCTAAGCAGCTGTGCATTTGACCAGGATTCCAGTTTAGACGGGCGAGGCCAGGACCGCAAGAAAACGCTGTCGCCCATGGCCAGGAGAGCACATGACCGTCGCAGTGATGCACCAGAGCTTTCTCGGCAAGTTTTCGCTGCGCATCGCGAACTCGCACATTCGCGTGAGGAGGTTCGACAGTTCATGGTGCAGCGAGACTTGGAGCGCGAGATGAATGCCCGAAAGTCTAGTCTCGAAGGGATGAGAACGCAGGAGCTAAGTGACCAGAACAAAGAGTACCTGGCCGAGATCAAGGTTCTGCAAGAGGAAGTCCGTTCGAGACAGGAGTACTGTGATCTCAATCTGCCGGCGACAGGTCGTGCAGCTCCGGGAACAGCCGGGCTGGTTGGGGAGGACGTGAGGACACGCAGCAACGGCCAGGATGGCCGCAACCCCGCAAGCTTGTCCGTGGCTGGCAGCTGGCAGGGAGCTGCCCAAGTGCCAGCCAACGTAAGGCTGAGCCCGGCAAGGGCGTGCGACGAGATTCCTAAGCCTCGGTGGAGGAGAGACTGGTCGGGTCGAGAGAGCCCTGAGACAGAAAAGCCCATAGACAAGTCGGCAATTGGTGTACCACCGAGCTGGAGAAACAGAGCCAAGCACGAACCTCTCCACACGATAGATGATAAAGATCGAACAGACGGGCTACAGGCAGAAATGGCAAGAGGCGTCAATGCAACAACATTGTACAAGGCGTTTAGCTGCGCTGAGCAGCTTTGCGAAAGGCAGCACTACAGAGATGCCTTGCCGCTGCTTCAAGAGGTCGCTCAGTACGGTGACGGAAACCCAGAGATATTTGGTGCCAAGATGAGATTGTCAGATGTGTGGGCATACATAGGTGTGGCCAGTCAGGCAGAGGGTCTGACGGAGCAATCCGTGGAGTCATACCGCAAGGCCATTCGCGAGGACCCTTGTCTGCACGTTTGCCATGCGAACTTGGCATCGCTCCTGTCATTCCAAGACGAACATACCGCAGCGGACCACCACATGAGCATGGCGCTGGCAATTGACCCTCAGAACCAAGCTTATGCCAAGCTGGCACTCGAATTGCGGAGTGCCCAAGCAAGCAGTGGATAAACAATCTGAAAACTGTAATGCTAGGTGACAGGCCTGCATGCCGTGCCAGGGTTGCTGTGCATGATCCACTGGATATTCTGGACTGAAGGGCTGTCGAGTGGATGACGGGCTCTGTGACGTACGTGAACGTGCTTCAGCAGGGTCGTTGTTAGTTGAACCACAAAGCTCCGGGTGCAGCAGCGACAGATGGGAACGACGTGAAGTGTAGCTGTAGCTGGCCAATCATCGGCGTTCGCAGGTGTGCCCCGTACCTGCCAACTGCATTACCAAGAAAAAAGAGACGACACGTTGGGCTTCTTACGGCGTCGACATGGCCGATGCCTCTTCATGCCCAGACCGTGATGCAGTAATTGCCATCTGCTTTGGGCACTCCTGCCGATGGCTCCTACGTCTGACATGATGCTGTTGCGACTGGCGGAGCATGGGTGGCGAAGCTTGGGATGCTTACTTCGGATAATTATCACCCAGCATAGAAGCCGACGCGAGTTTAATTCCGGATATGCGCTTGCGCTGCCGGTTCGACTCACAGTTTGTTGGGCGCAGTGCTCAAAAAGTGGTGCTTGTCGGTCGTCCCTGCTTGCTGTGGAATGTTCAGGGTAGGAAAGGTGGCGAGGCCCGCCTGCTCACCAAGCCTGTTGCTTCTGTCAGCTGGGCTCAAGACAGTCCGCGAAGTTCTGCTACAGTCTGGAGGCACCAGGAGGAAAGTCGCAGATTCGTTGGTGAAGCTTTTGATTTCTAACAGTGGCAGGTTGCACTTCCAGCCCTGGAGGCAGTGCTGTTGCTGTTGGGTCTCCCCGGTCAGTTTTTTGATTCAGTGGTCTCGGGGATGCAAATAACATGTGTTGCATGCATGTGAAATGGTGCCGTCCGCACAGGCCGTGAGATCATGTCGAACGCCAAAGAGAGGGTCTTTCATGCTGCGAGCCTCGATGCTGTCAACGCTGCTCATCCACACATGGCAAGCCTGGCAAGTTCAAGCTCACTTTTGCAAAGCAGCCCGTCTGCACAATCATTCTAGTTACACTCTGCTTCGCGCGGGAGAGGGGACAGGGTCGACGCAGAGAGCTTGTTGTGGTGTGTTGTCATGTTCGTGCTCCGCAGCTGTGTGCAACTCCACTTTTTAGAAATTTCGAGTCCTTGTCCGGAGTGCACCGCCCGGACACCAGACGCTAGGACCGTAATGAAGCTTGCCTGCACTTAGACTCCGCATGTCTGACGATGGTGCAGGCCCGTTCATCTTGTCATCGTTTGCTGGTTTTAGTGCCTGGAGGCTCCAAAGAGCTCCGAGAACCTCTTGGAGGGTGCTCAGGACAGCCGCACAAAACGGATGCAAGTGCAAGAGATGGCTCCAGAAACAGCTTTGCAATTCTTTCCCAGAGCTGGCCATAGCGGGCCTGGTCAGGTGTAGCGTCTTCAGACGCAATTTTTCGACCGAGTGGCCAGGGCCTGAGCAGCAAAAGACAGATAGGATTGTGCATGGCAGAACTGACAACTTTTTGCGGGGTCTAGGTCGCAGTATGCAACTCGGACGCATCGACGACTTTCGTGCAGGCTCCTCACCGTGTAGAGTGTGCACTTCGTGTGCTCGTCCTGAGGCCTACAATACCCCTGTGTTCCGGAAGACCAAGCGCGTGCCTCAGAGATCTGCAAAGCGAAAAGAAGAAGGAACATACTTTATCGTGGCTTAGTAAACACGAATAGCACAGGAGGAACGACCTCGCAGAGAAGTGGGACAATCTGGGATTTTCAATCCGCCCACTGAACGGCCACGTTAGGTGTCTTGTCGCGCTTGAGCTCGCCCCTTCCCCGACCCATCCATGCCGCAGAAGGTGGTTTCGGCATTTGGTTTTGGGGTTTCGGATGACCAGCGCTGAGGTATACCTGGTCTGATGGAAACTGGGACTCAGGCGTGTTCGTGCCTGCTCCATACCAGCTCATGCATATCAACGCAGGACGCTTGGCCGCTTGAAGTCTGAAAGTGTAGATTGCTCGAAGATGCTCGAAATCGCGCGAAGCTACTTTTAAAGCTCGCCGGTAAGGTTAAACGACTATGTGATGTTAATGCTCTGCCATCCTGACATTGTGGATTAAGCGGTAGAGACTGAGGTGCTCTGCACTATGGCGTGTCTTGCTTTGAGGGAATGAAGGCCTCGATCATGTCTCAGTCGAGGAATCTTAGCAAGACCCCTGCCAGAATGTCCGAGACCCTTGCCACGTGACATGCAGATACCTGCAGGCCTTCTCGTGCAAAGACGGGAAGATCCGGCTTTTGAACCCGGAGCTGAACGCCAAGCGAATGCAAAAGGGTGCAGGTGCCCTATTGACGCCCGGCAAGCCCTCATGAGCCCGGCTTCGGCCGTGATGAAGTGATACCCTCCCAGAGTAAAGACGGAAGCCAGAAAGGAATCGTTCTGCAAGAGATGAAGAGAAATGCTCTGCCAAGGATGCCAGAGGTTCCCACGGACATGTTTGTTACTGCGGTGATGGAGGCAGTGCAGCGTAACAAGGAGTTCGTGCCTCCGTACGGCAGCTTGGCAGAACTGGAATCTGAGGCAGTCCCGCCATGCCTTAGCGATCCTGAGCTGGCTTTGCATCAAGGGCCTGTGACACAACCTTTGGAGATAAGAGCCCGAAAAGACTTGGGGCCCTTGGGGCACGCTGCCGCATGTAGGAGGCGTTTCAGATTGCTGTTGCCTGCTGAGGCAACAATGCTTCTATGTATGTGCGCCCCTTGCTGTTTGCAAGCGGACAAATGCTTGGGCTGGCGCCTTTGGCGAGCGAGTACACCTTCTTCGTGACGGTCCTCCCAGCTGGAGGATACTTCGGCAAGGGCAGTGAGGTGGGTGTGAAGGCAGGGCCCGGCAACAGCGAACCACATGCTTGGCTTCTGAACAGACACGGAAAATACCTCGAACTAGCAAATCGTAATTGTAAACGTTTGCGTGCGCCGCCACGGCAGCCGGGCTGGCCCAAGCCACGGAACGCGCATGTCGACGGTCCAAACGATGCACTTCGGAGTGGGCAGTCCACACGGTCGGGTTGCAGATGTGGAAAGCGATCGCGGCTCGAGCAAAACAAAAACCGGACCCGCAACCCCGAAACTCGGCATCAGAAGCGTAAGTGAGCTTAGGGGACGTAAAGGGGAGGCTTGCGTATGAGGGGGGTCCAGAAGGGGGCGCTCAGAAGTTTGCGGGTCCGTATCGGTGCCCCATGGTGCAGTGGGGTCCCAACACAACTAGCGGGCAGGAGGGTCCCAGCAATGTTCAGGACAGGAAAGTCGCAAGCAGCTTCGCAGGAAGTCCCAGGGCCTGTCTCACACTGCGTCACAGGCAAGGCATCCTTTTTTCGCGTGTTTGCTTCACCCTCTGTGTCTAGATGCTGCCCGGCCAGAGGCACAGGTGAATCTGCTAAAACTGGCTTGGGCATTTGGCCTTGAGAAGCACATCTAGGCATGCCCTACAAAGCAGCACCATGTACAGTAGTAGATCTAGGAGCCGACTCGCAAGCACTTCAAGCAATCCAAGCGCGCAGTCGTGAGTGCTGGGTTGTTACTTTAAAGAGCCACCTATTTCGATTGCCGGCGTGTTTTCCAGCTTTGTGAGCATCCCTTGTTGATCTGTGAGAGGCTCTGGTGAGCACCAATCATGATCGAGCAGCGCCGAAAGGCCTTGGAGCCGTGAAGGCGGCCGGCAACTACGCGGCCGACCTTTCACCTGTCCACGGGGCTCACGCCCAGGGCTACAACACAACGCTGTACCTCGACGCCAAGGAGCGCAAGTACGTGGAGGAGTTCTCCGTGTGCAACTTTGTGGGAATCACAAAGGACCGACACTGGTAGTATCGTGTGTTGATATGATGCACGCCGACGGCCGGCAGGCTTCAGGAGCAGATAATGAAGTTAGGGGAGCTGGAGTGACATGTGGTTGGATTAAAAAGGACGGGCGCTACATCACGCCGAAGTCTGACACCATTCTGCAATCCACCACCAACATAATGCTTCAACAGCTGGCCCGAGATCGGGGGATGATCGTGGAGGAGCGGCCGATTGACTTCCATGCGGAGATCTCGAATTTCAAGGAGATCGGCAGCTCGATAGGACAGTCTTGGCGGTCCTTACAATCCTACAAGTCTCTTCGTTCTTGCTGCGTGTTTGTCAGTGTCTGGCTGGTCGGCACTACTGAGGCATGTGCGGCACGGCTGCTGTTGTGGTGAAGGTTACTTCTATTCGGCATAACGACACCGAGTACGAGTTTGAAGCGTTTGATTCTTGGCCAGTCTAGGCCTCCTGCCGCTGTGCCTGCTGCTGCTGCTGCTGCTGCTGCTGCTGCTGCTGCAAAGTGATCTCTTGGAAAGAAGGTCCCATGACTGACAATCGTGCCCAGGACACCATCGCCAGCCTTCGAAGTGAACTCACTTCCATCCAATGCTGGGTACTTTCAGGGACTGTGGGTGCCTGAATTGCAGATGCCGTGAGCTTCTTTAAGTTGTGCTCCTTAGGTGGAGAGTTGGAGGACAAGCACGGTTGGATGAAGGAGGTGTGCGATGCAGTGGATGCTTCCTTCTCCGAGGCAAGTGAACTCTCAACGGTCTCGAGAGGCACCTCAAGTTGAAATATTAGAAGGTGCAGCCTGGCAGGAGTTTCCGCCCCCTGTCGCCTCTCTCGCCCCGGGCATGGTGTCCGCTGAGGCGGACTCTAGGACGAATAAGCTGAACTAGCGCCAGAGCACGAATCCCATCATCCCATCATGCGCAAGGCGAAAGGGAGCGTGCAAAAGCTGGGCAGCGAAGCCATGCATGGCCTTGAGCGATCCCTGTTGGAACACGTCGTGTCGACAGCCCAACCTGGCAATCCAGAAAGCGCGACTCGGAAATACGTCGTGCGCTCTCGCTTCTCTCTCTCTCTTGTGTGTGCTTGGTTTCCACCATCTCTCTCTCACTCTCTTTCTCTGCCTGTGTGCCTTTATCCCCCACTCTGCCGCTCCTCCTCCCGGCTTCTCTGCCTTTGCTTCACACTCCTTCCCTGTCCTTCCCTCGACTCACTCTGGTCCTGTCGTAGCATCAGGTAATTGCAGCGATGGATGCCTTTTGGAACAAGACGTTTCAAGCCCAAGGAGACTCGGCCGAGAGAACTTTGCAGTACGTGAGGTCAGGTCTGCAGATTTCGGCAGATGCGGTCCTCATGCAGTCCTTGACTCTCAGGAGCGGAGAAGTGGAACGTCAGGGGGCAGAAGATCGAAGAGAAAGTTCAGGAGAAGGTGCAGCTTAAGGCCAGTCATCGCAGTCGCTGCGGCATTTGCAGCTTGTGATTGCAGCGCTTTGCGCAGCGGGAGTCTCGGTACCGACGCTGCCAGGCAGGTTCTTCGCACCCCGTCCGCTGCCTCGAGATGGGAACTTACTGTAACCTGGTGACGAATAAGCACGTGGTGTAGCCTCACTGTAGCGATGTGACATGGCCGGAAGGCGCAGTCATGGTCCTTGGACTCCGGGCCCCGTGTCGTTTTGAGGTGGCTACAGTGCCCTTCGAATAGCCCGCAACTTGCCAGAGGGCGGCAAGCTCCTGAGCGTGGAGAAGGACAGTGAATTCCAGAGAGCAGAGGTCAGGGAGTCATGTGTATGCCAATGCCAGCGTCCAAGCGACAGGATGAGCTGTTCGCTGCAATTGCAACGAAGATCATCGAGTTCGCCGGTATGGACTCAAAGGTGAGACTCTTCTAGCAGCACCTTGCAAGCTACTTGCCGAACTGCTCGTACCATCTGCAGGTGAAGATTTGGATGGGCACAGTTCACTCTGAGCTGATGAACATCACAGACAGGCCTTGCACATGTGACGGGTAAGTGATGCAGTACGCGATATTCTGCGGGATGTTTTCGGGGACCAGAGAGGTTCAGAGCGTGTGAGGATGGAAAGACAGCCTGCTGACTTCGTTCTGGTGGACCACTCCAAGGACGTGTGATCATGCCTGTGCAGATCCATCAGCTGCTAGATAGCCATTCTAACATGATTGTCCAATTGGGCTTGGCCGGCAAGTGGGTCGAAGTTTCCAAGCTTCGAGGCACGTGCTCACGCGCTCGAGGAGAGATACGTCCCCGACCTCAAGTTGCTGGAAGACTGCGGCGTTATTGACAAGCTGCTGGGATGGAACAGTATATTTCAATGGCAAAGCACTGCAAACTGAGCACAGCCTGAAATGCGGCAGTGCTGTCAGATGTAGGCGTTACTGCAGGGAACATGAGTGCTTTGCTAGGTGCTTAGGAAAGCGTGCGGAGCTGCTGCATTTCCCGAAGTCAGCATTTTTTCAGGTGGGTTTCCTCATCACCTGGCTTCTGTTAACGCTGCTCGATCGACCCGCCTCGGCCGGGGCTCGTGGCCACGGCAGCGGCGCCGGTCGCCACTTCCAGGAAAGCTAGCTCAGTGGAGGGGGGAGGGGTAGCCGAAGGCGGAGGAGTGAGGGGTAAGGACGGGGGGGGGAGAGTTGCCAGGCGGCAAAGCATGTGGAAAGCACAGTGAAAGGACAAGGAGGGGGGAGGAGGTGGGGTATAGAGGGGGGGTCGGGTAGGGGGTGGCAGATGGGTATTGGGCGGGGAAGGGTGACTAGCCGCGGCCAGTTGAAGTGACGACTGGAATTCACCATATTTAGCCATACTACGGCCACTACAGGTCGTGAGAACAGATGTCGGGGCCCTGGCAAAGCAAAGGTCAACAACGGTGGTTGGCGATGTCGAAGTTTATCCAGGCGATGAGAGGCCTGCTTGCTGTGAAACACCACAACTCACACGCAGAGCAGCTTTGTTGGAGAAGCACCAGCAAGCGCTTGATGTTTGTCCTTGGCAGGTTGCCTAAGGCCATCCAACAGGAGATCAGCGAGTATTTCAGCGACAGGGAGTTCGCTCTGGCTTCGATGGCGAACCTGCTGAACTTGGATCCCCAGATTCCCAAGCAGCCCAAGCACTCTTGACTTGTGTTCCAGGACATCTTCACGGGAGCTGTTCTTCTGTTCTTCTTGAGAACTTTGGGCAGGGGAAGGAAGGGAAGGTCGGACGTGGAGGCTTGAGCAAAAGCACGGAAGAACATCGCTGAGCCCTAGATCTTAAAGCCAGCTTATTGCTCAAGAAGATCTCGCTGTGTTACAGTTGTAGTGGTAGTACGGTTGTAGTGCCTTGCTAAGCAAGTTTGCGCAGCACAGCTCGGGCACCTCTTGTGTGAAGGCGTTGGTTTCGTTCGGTTCCCCACATGTGAACACAGAATATGCCGAAGCCCTGCCACCTGAAAAATGCCCAGCCGGCCCTTCCTCCTTCAATGTCTTGCCTACTTCGGTACACTTCTGAGGTGTAAATCGAGATGTGGAGATGTGTCAGGGACTGGCTCCTGAATTGGCAAGGTGGGGCAGCAATTGGGGGACAGGCCTGCAGCGAACACACATTGAACACTCGTGCCCGGGTGCAGGTTGGCCATCCCCTCCGTGTTCTGAGTGGCAGCTGGTGCCTATTTAGGAGTTCAAAGAGGCAACAATTCCCACCATTTCTGGCCAAGCCAGATAACACTGAGCTCCGCTGAGATCGGACAGCTCAGATGGTAAGGCCGGCAGCCAAAGTTGACTGGCCCTACCCAATCAAGACTCTACCAGTAGGTAACCTAGGCACGCTCTGTGCTGTGAATCGTGTTAACTTCTCTAGCCCAGCGCGGGCTACTCTTGCTGAACTCTGCAAATCCCAAAGTTTTGTAGCTCAGCTGGCATACTTGCCAGCATGGAGTTCAGAGATCAGGTCGCTGAACCACAGGCGAGGTTCGAAAACCTGGCACGGCGATGACAGGTGAAGACAGTGGCTATGCCAGTTTCAATGTATTGATCCTTGCGTTGCCACCGGTTACGTGTGGCAGGACGATCCACGCTTCCTTTCTTTGACGAATCAGGCGCAGCCTTTGTTGAGTCATGCAATGTCACTCCTTTGGTCTTGATTGCTTGGGTAGCCTTTCAGTCGAACAACTGCATTTTGCGCTTCACGGTCTTCGCCCGTTGTGCTCGCGAACTGGGAGAGGAGGAGACCCTATGCATGTCTTTGTTTCATTCCTTAGTTTGGCAGCCTCGGTCGTGCCCAGCCATTGCCGCATGACTGTGCAGGACACTCGCTGCAAATATCAATACTACCGTGCCCAGTGCGCATGCCCCGAGTCGCAGTTGGAGGACTGATGCGCCCAATGGGCAGGCAACTTTGCAAGAAGCAGGCTTTGTGCAGATTCCAGACCGAGATCGTACTACCAGGACTGGATGGAACATCGTGCTCGCGGCTCCTGCCATTTGGATGTTCTGCCTGATCGCAGCACTGTTCACTGCAAGCAGTAGATTGCAGCTTGAGCCAAAGAGGTTTGTTCCGAAGGAGCTCCTATGCACAATCGGTGTGACTGTCAAGGATGCGCAGTTGTGACTTCTTAGAGCTCCTTTGGCCGTACATGCAGTCCTTGATTCATGAGTTCCTGCTGCACACATGCTCACTAGAGTCACTAGACAGTTGTTTATTCCTGTTTATTCCCTGCAACGATTGTGATTCTGGTAAAGATGACGATGGTTTTTGACCACAGATCCCGAAGAGATTCCGACGTGTGCAGAAGATAAAAGCCGGGCTTTGCGCTCCTAGTCCGGTATGCAATCAACTGCTGTTAGCAGCACTTGCTCCCGCCATGCCCTCATGTGATACGAGGATATCCGAGGTGCAGGCTCAAATCTCAAGAGCACCTTTCATGTCCTGGTAGTGAACTTGAAAATTCACAGTGTCCGGACCTTCACGACCCGCGACCCCTTGCAGGAGCCTTGGAGTTGCAGCATTGAAGGAAGCTGTTGCAACAAAAGCTGACGGCCCTTCTCTGTTAGCATCTCTTAGCCGCTGTTAGCCTTCGTTATTCTTTGCAGCAGGAACTGTCATTGTCAAACGGCACATGCGCAGTGGCAGTGGCGGGGAAGTTGCAACACTTGGGCTCCTCTTCGGACTAAGGCTGGAGGCGTGAACCAGCATGTACGGCAAGGACGTCGGCATGATGCAGATACACCTGCATATCTTGCAGCAACGTGCACTGATTACACACAGGATCACACAGGTCTCACAGATCCTTGTGTGAGCCAGTGTGAGAGTTGTGTGACCTCAAGGACAATTATGCGATGCAGCAAGGCCAGGATGTGATGACTGCAAAGAGATTGGCAAATAGCCGAAAATCTTCTTGGAGTTTGTCAGAGACATGTTGACTGCAAGGATATCCATATGGCAGCCCGTACGCCGCCTGGCCCCCAGACGCTCATTGAGTTCCTCTTGGTATCACTGAGAAGGCTTAGTTGTGGTATCACTAGATGCAGGATGAGATGGGCCCTTCGAAGCCACTCATGGGGCCTCCGCAGGCCGGACCCAAACAGTCCCCTGTTTTCATGTCTCTCGAAGTTCCAAACAATGTTCCGGCCGTGTTCCAATCGGAGCTCGAGTCGCAGATGGAGCGCTTCTTAGCTAGGTGAAATTGCTTACGGGCAAGCAGATGTGAAGATGACAGAATAGAACAGATGCATAGCTGCGAAGCTGTCTGACATGGAAGGCGATGACGCGTCAGCGTGTCAATTTGGTCGGAATCATTATGGCGCTGTTTGTGCCATGGTTTGTGTGCTTGCCTCAGTCAGTGTTTGAGGAATGTTACTAGCAAAAGGGCAGGGAGAATATGGGGTCATCTTGCGCCAGGTTCATTGCAATTTGCGGGCTGTGGTCCTTCAAGCTACGGTACATCTCACCTGGAGTGCCGCTCGACTACCATATTGCAACACGAACCATTGGAACATAGATGAGTCTCCCAGCAGAGAAGATTCGGTGACACAGGGTGATTGCCATCACGGTTTCGCTGGGAGTCCTCCTGGGGCTCTACACCCTCTACAGGGTCCGGCGCTTACTTGCGCATCGCCTGAAGGGCTGCGCTTGCTGGGACGGATGTCAGGATGAAAGTTTCGGCGCTCGTGTGACCTTCTCTCATTGTGGCTTAAGTGCATTCAGTGTTCAGGGCAGATTGCATGCTGTCAGGTTCAGCTGTCTTGCCGGGCCGTGATCTTTGGCCATTTTCACTTGGTTGAGACAGGACAACTCTGAGTACATACGTATGTTACCACGGGTCTGCTCTTGCATGTGCGAAGCCCGCAGGCCTTTGATGGGCTGGAGCTTGTTGTGTCCGTGTTGTAGCTTTGCAGGAAGATTTGCCGTGTGGCTGCTCTTCATCGCGGTGACCGCTTCAATTGCGTTCGTACTGGGTTTGCTCATGGGCAGACGCCATCTCAGTTGCTCTAAGCAGTCTTCAAGCACTTGGCCCATTGCCCCATATAGTCGCCAGTGAGCCAACCAGGTTACAACTACCAGACGAACATGCGCTCGATTTTCGACGTTGTGTCGCTGAACTCCTACGTTGAGGTCAATCCTTCAACGATGAGGGGTCAGGCGAAGATGCTGTTGACACGCATTGCAACCGACTTTGTTTTGTACTGCTCGGGCAGGAGTTGATGGATGCAGGCAAAGTCCAGTTCGTAGCAGGAGCTGGTCTGGATGTCCGTTTGGCCAATGGGTTCAAGAACACTGATGTCTTCTGCGCAGCTTTGGCATGCATTCTGAGACAGACGCACTTAGCACCAGCGGCTGGTGGACTGTGCATGTCTGCTGCATGGAATGCAAAACACACAGGTTGCTCCCATCACTGTGAACAACCTGGTGCTGGCGCTTGGATCTCAAAAAGCCTTGCTGCCATCCAATCTGTTCTTCGACTTGCGTCCAAAATCACTTGCCTTTCAGTTCCTACGACTTCTGGGCGGTCGGCAAAAATTGCTGTTCTGACCAGCAAGCAGACTTCAAATGCGGAGCGTCACGGAGCCATGCTTTCCATGATGATCATGTGACAAATGTGGTCCAAGGGTGAACAAGCAGACGGCACAGTCAGCAGAGTCCCCGCGATGCCAGGTACAACAGTGATGGCCCAAAGGGTGGGCTCAGGATAACCAGCGATGAGGATCGAGACTTCTACAGGCCGTTCTCCTTGGACCCTCGTGGCGGCTCGACGCAGCTGGACTCACATCTGCCCTTTGCAGGCTTGCAGTGCAGCAGGCAGAATCTGCCTACGCCATCAAGGCAGGAGGGAAGCCAGTCACAGAACACGTCAGCTGAGTCCTTCTCTAGGATGTGCCAGTGCCCGGCTCGAATATGCCGTTGCGTTTAGATGATTTTAGATGCATTCAGGCTAGCTTTCAGCTTCGTTCAGAGCTCGGAGGCCATCCACCCGCTCTTCTTCGAGTGGACTGCAGACTCCTCCAAGCAGGTCCAGGATGACGAACGGGCAGCTTGGAAGGAAAAGCCATGGTAAAACCGACACCAATGTGACACCAGTGGGACAGTCATGGTTCTCCAAGGCTGGATACCAGATGTTTCTGATTGGCATCATTGGACACTTCGCCTTCCAAGCCTTCCTGGTAATGATATCCGTGGCGTGTTTCACAAAGAACAGGTTCGAGTGAGAGAGAAGTGGCTGGGCATTAGAGGCCCCCCCCCCTCTCAGAGGTGAGAGAGAGAGGTGAAGGCTGTGTGGAAAAAAGGCTTCTGCGTTGTCTTGTGTGTCTTGTTTGTCTTGTGTGTCTTGTGTGTGGGCATTCTACCACATAAACACACACCTCCACATACTTCGACCTCATGATCATGGGGTAGCACGCAGCTTCGCCGCACCGGACGACTCGCATATCTTGCATGTTCTTCCACTGCTCTCCTTCTAGACAAGTTGCAAGGGACATGCTATATGTCGCACATGCTATATGTCGCCAGCTGCAGTACTATGCATGGATGCCCTCCTCTTTGAACCAGTGCTCACTCCACGTGCAGCTTTGTGTGCAGTGCTATTCGAACCCCAAGAATCCCCAAGTACTGGGTACTTCCCAAAATAGGAGCCTAACCTATCCCCGACGACAACAGCAGAGTTTTCAGTGAGTTCTCGGATGCCATGGGCCAGTACTTCTCCCTGCGTGGCGCTGAGGAATGGGCCGCAGCCTGAGAGGCGATAGGGGGTGGAGTTGAGGACCATGGGGCGCCACGCTACTCCAGGACTATGGGGTTGAGGGGTTAGGGTTTAGGGTTTGGAGCTGGGGAGCACTTTGATAGCATCGGAGCCGACTCTCAGGCAGAGACCCTGGACAAGGTGGGGGGGACATCGGGGGGAAATGATTCGCAGGTCCGTGTAAGAGCCTCCGCGGCTTTACCATTGTGAACATGTTTTCGTGGAAGATCTTTTGCAAATACCCGGACAGCAGGACACGCAAGTCGTAAGCAGACGTGGTGAAAACACTGCTTCCTCCCCACCCCCCTCTGCCCCGACCCTGCCAAGCGGGACGAAAGGTCTGGAATAGTATATAGTCGTCTCCATCTCAACCGGAGAGCATTGACGTCGTGCAGAATAAGTAGCAGCTGTATGCGTAAGGAGTTGTATCAGTATCAGATCCAGTACTCCGAACGGAAGGGATGGCCTTTGCGTCGCTCAGATGCTCATGTTCCGAACCTAGGTAAAACGTGTGCCCGCATGAAAGGGTGTCCTAGTCTTCCCTGGTTTCTAGGGTTGTCTACGCAAGTCCGAATGATTCGAGTTGAGGGCACATGGGTTGGGCTGTCGAAACGTAGGCTCCATTGTTTGGTTGCAAAGTTGGCGCACGGGGTAGGGGAAGGGCAGGGTTTGTGGGGACTCTGTGAGAGCGGAAAAAGGCCTTCACCGGCGCTCGCCCCCAGTTTGCGGGGTCGGCAGATCAATCAAACATAATGCGCACGCAATGTGAACTCAAGAGCCGGACAATGACGAATTCAATGCCGCATGTCGTAACTGTGGTTACCGCAGCGGTCGCAGCAAAGCACTGCCTTTAGAGAAGCCGACCTTGCACTGCGCCACTGCCAAACCCGAGTCAAACGAGAGTATAGCCTTTTCCTCTTAAGCTTGGTGTGCGATGTCTACAGCTGCGCGGTTTGCCGTGGCTACCAGTTTGGATTTTATGCTGCCCTGACAGACGGCTTTGCCATCGATTTGGTCAACAGCCACCTACACTCCCCTCGCCAAGTCGCGGCAGATCCTTCTCACGCGGCCAGGAAACGCGCGCTGCTGAGCCGATGGGGACTGCTTGAACTGCTGCGCTTGCCATATCTTGCCATCACCGGTCTTCCCGACCTTGTGTGGTTTTTCCGAGGTGGAATACGTCTTTCCAGGTACATTCAGGCAGGGCGGCAACTATGTACAGGCCGGCTGATGTCATCTCCACATGTTGCTATTTCGTAGTATGTGGTCGGGAAAGGTCAGTGAAGCTGCCGAAGTGGTACTCATCGTTGGCTTTGATGCGGACAGTGGCCGATGCTACTCAGCCCATCACCAAGTCCATTGAAAGTTTAGTGGGTGGTTCGATGCTGCAATGTGGAGTTTGGGAGCAGGCACTGTTGCTGTTTTGGACAGGGAGTCGTTCTCCAAGCTCATTGCAACTTTCCCCACAAGTTCTCACGAACGGTGGAAGAGGCTGTTTTCGTGAAAGTGTGGTAGCTCTGTTGCGTGTTGTTGCGTACAGACAGCGGTGAAGCCACAAAGTGTGGCCTGGCAGTGTTGCCATGCTTTCAACATTTGCAGGTGACATCTGCCGAGAAGAAGGAGACCATGCAGCAATGCTGCAAACGCAAGCGCGGCTTGTAGACATTCTGTCAGAGTAGTCAGGCATGCAGCCACTGGCAAACAAGCACAAGCTGCGACTCTAGGTGGCCCTAGAAATCTCTAGACACCTCGAGACGTCGCTTTCGTTTCCTTGCGAGCACCAGGAGGCACCCGCTTCGCCTTCAGATTGGGAGTCACAGCTGGCGGCTTTGCGAGCTTTGCGTTCTGTCGCCAGCAGCAGCATTCTCTGTGCTTTTTGTTACACTGCATTTTTTGCGGTTTTGCCTCCAACCTCCGAAGCATTCCTTCGTGAACTTTCAGCATCCGTGAACAAACTCCACGGGACATAGACACTCACGCAAGCCTGAACTCTGAACACCTAGACATGAACATCCTAAAACAAAGCACTACAACAGAGTCAGCAAACCATCTTCTCAACCATGCACTCTTGATCCCCAAGATCTGCAACCCAGCATGATGTACGCATGCAGACATGAGTAGTATACCGAATGCACTGTATTTCAGAAGAACGCGAGGACAAGATCCTTTCTCTACCGTCGGATGCCCGCCCAGGTACTTTTCGCAACCATAGACTGTCATCAGCGGTCAACATTCGAAGCCATCCCTTTCCCGGACCTCCCCCAACTTCCCAACTTCCCAACTTCCCAACTTCCCAACTTCCCAACTTCCCAACTTCCCAACTTCCCAACTTCCCAACTTCCCAACTTCCCAACTTCCCAACTTCCCAACTTCCCAACTTCCCAACTTCCCAACTTCCCAACTTCCCAACTTCCCAACTCCTCAGTTCAGCACCAATCGAGCTGTTTTTCCTATTCCCGTCCAAAGTCTACAATTCTGCATCACTGATGCAAGCACCCTTGTAGCGGTCGAAGTTGTCATCGTGACTCTGCCAAGGGACACGCGGTGCCCTTCAGTGGAGAAGCTGCGCAGAGAGTGCAGCTGGATGTGATTGGCTGAGCTGTTGGCAGTGCACGTCCTTCTCAGTTGCACGATGCTGGAAGCGCCATGAAGCCTCTCCAGAAAAGCTCTAGGTCTCGGAGCCCTTCAGGGGCTCGAATCAGCCCTACAAGCACTTTGCAACTGGGACTTCGGACTTACCCGCACATTTTGTGAGCAGGATACATGACCAGCTGAACGTCACATGTGACTGGGTCTTCAGGGCCAAGAGTGCCTCGCGGAGCAGCGGTCTCTCGCTTGAGAAGTTTGGCGAGTTGGAGGAGGCCGCACACCACGGTGCATGCTGCACGAATCTGCACGAATCTTGTACGGATGGCATGGGGCTTGACTGCTCAGTCTATTGTCCATTTATTGTTCATTATTGTCCATTATTGTCCATGGATTTCTTCTTCGTGCCTGAGTGAGGCCCCACCGACGCGTGAGCAGTTGTGGCCATGTTGTCTCTTCTACGCCGTAAAGGCCGCCAAGTTCCACTAAACCGTTGGTGGTGGCCTCGGCCGCAATTGGTTTCTGTGATGCGCCGACCCTTGTGCCAGGAGGGCATCCTTGTGCACTTTGCGGATGACATCGAATCTTGCGAAGAGGCTGACGAAGGTCTTTCAGGTACTTTGTAGTTTACATGAATGAGTTTGGGCGGCATATTTCATGTCTTAGATTGACTTAGCAAAAGGGCGACACGCAGGTAGAGCCACTGATGCCCCATTGTGGCGCTAGGAAAATGCTAGGTTCGTGCTACGCAAAATAAACAAATGTGCATTCCCATGCTATCACCGACCAACTCCAGCGAGTGTTTTGATTTTAAAGTGCACCACGCAAAACAAGTCAGTCGCTGTAGTTGGTCCCGCTCAGCTGTTGGCAGTTCTGAAGTCTTTCGCGTTCCGCTTATTTCCATCGACTTTGTGATTCACGCGTCCTGGTGTGAATGTGCTGAACGCTGCCCGCAAGTTTAGTAATCCAAGTGCGCGTGTCGTTACGACTTCAACATGCCTTGAACTGTTCTGGGTGAGCTCTTGGGGTGCTGTGGGATTGCTCTTGCGAGATACGATCAGATCGTGCAAAGGCAGGACAGTATTCTGCGCTAGCGCCGCGCTGGCTCGGCGCCAGCAAAATCTGAACCAACGCAACCTGCCAAGGAAGACCTTGGCCCACGGGCCACCTGGATTTTAACCATCGGATGTGGCGAGTGGAGCAGAAACGTTTGTGTGATCAAGGGTGTCTCAGCCACGAAGCTACCGCAGGCAGAATGGCGTGCAGCGAGACTCCTCTCACTGGAAAGGGCTGACAAAGGGTGCCAATGTCCACCTGCGTTGGAAGCGAAACATGTGTGGTCGGCAACATGCAGCCGCAAGCCACTGTGAGAAGCGGCTTGCGCGTTACCATACGGCAGCTTGCCGGAGCTCGCCAAACCTCCACCACCAGTAGCAACACTAGCAGTTCCTCTGACGATTCGTCCGACAGCAGCAGCTGAAAATCGAACTGTGCTCGGAAATCACGCTAGGATCCTTCCAACGCAACTTTTGCCACTCCATCTCAATCAAACTTCTTTTTCTTTGGGACATAAGGCTTAACGCAAGTACTGCCGCATGAACATCAATTTCGGGAACAAGCATTTTGACAACAACCCTTGTAGATGCGCGAGTTGCTGCAGTAGCTGCGGCTAGCCTGAGCACTTGGGGCAGAGTCTTTGCTTAAAACTCTCCCTGATGGACAGGTGGTTCGCTCTGTCCAAGCTCGATATCGGGATGCCCAGGACCCTTGCTGCAAGCTGTCAGAAAGAAGTGCCAGGCAGTTTCAGATAGTGATAGTAATTCTTGGCAGAGATAGGTAGCAGTTCTTAACACTTCTTGCGTTTAGCGTGTATCTGAAACGTTGCTGTCCAACATTTCAAGGCACTCCAAGCCTCAGTCCAAGCCTCGTGAGCACCTGAATAAGGAGTAGGACTAGCCTCGACGGAAGCTCAGCAGTTTCGTACTCTGCTCTGCCAAGACAGAGCAAAACCCGGTGTTGGCAACGTAACAGCCCTGAAATGATGCTCTCATCCAAATGTCCTGGACCATCCTCCGCCTACGGCAAGTCCAACCTGGATCAGCATGATTCGCATGGCAAGGTGTAGTATGACATAGTATGACGTGCTGAACATGTGAAGCGTGTGGTTTTTGGGAATCGTCCGTCTGAGCTTCGTGAACTGATCAGGAAGGTGTTTACCCAAAGCCGCAAAGCTCGTCTCAACACTGAGCCAAAACTCGCTTCAATCCCAAACATTTCAATCCTGTCCACACGCTTCCCTTCCAGGGCACGGTCGGCGCTCCTCCAAATCATCCACAGGCCGGCCGAGTCATGCGGCGGCTCTGTCTTCATGACGTTCATTGTGTCACTGAGGAAATGAGGTACTTGAGGCCCAAAACCCTAAACCCTAAACCCTAAACCCGAAACCCGAAACCCTAAACCCTAAAAGTTCACTTCGAGAACAGGTCCACATCGTCCGGCACAGTGCCGGAGGTGCTCCACCGGTGGCCGGACGCATGATCTCCCAAGTGCTGAGGAATGACCTGAAGCGTGACTTCAAGGCGGAGTCAAAAAACTCACAATTTTTATTACAAACCTAGGGTTGAGGGGTTTAGGGTTTAGGGTTTAGGGCTGTGCTTTCGTCTCTTTTTTTTGCATGGCGCGCGGGCCGCATGTGGGTGTGGGGCGGGGGGGGCGGGGGCTGCGAGAAGGGGGTTCAGGGTTTATGAGGCTTTCGGCTTATTGTTGTTTAGGGTTTCGCGTTGTCAGGGCTTATAAGGGTGCATTCAGGGTTTGGGTCTTGAGGGTTCAGGAATCTCGCAGCTTTGCAGCCTCGCTCGTTTTTGCAGTTTGCCCACACCCTCATGTTCGGGTTGCAGCTTTGTGCGGCTGCGTGGTCAAGATGGATGGATTGCAGCTTGTGTTGCCAGCATGCATCCAAGTTGGCGTCTGTCCAAGTTCTGAAGGTGTTCAGCACGGCTAGCCAGCAGAAAGATTTCACAAACTGCACCTTGAATGCACATTTCGAGACTGATGTTGCCTTGTTGCCCGTGAATGGTTCTTCGTTGCGGCTGACCAAGGTGTCGCATTCAGCATGCGCATTATCAAGGCTATGGCAAACTGCGCTGTGCAGAACTTGAGATCGAATGGAGCATCTGCAAACGCCAGCCAGATCAAACAGCTTTATGGAGGACTTTCAATTGGCGGTGCGCGGCTTTGACATCGTCAAAGTCCTTGCCTAATCCAGCCGCATTCAAGGATGAGAAGTGGGCTGATGTGTGTTGTGGACTGACCATGCGCAGGTTTGCCAGAGCAATCCTGCTCTTGGGCCATGCTCTGAGCAACCCTCTGACATTCTGGCGGTTTAGTTGATGACCCCTGTCAGCTGCTAGCCTCAGGCACAAGACGGGAGAGGTTGTCGGCAGTGCCTGGGAGTAGAGCCGGCTTGTCTTCCTTGATCGCAAGCCAGTGACTTCCAAATATTCAGCTGTGCGAAGTGGAAAACTACCCCGTGAGGAAGCTTTATCACGCGGTGTAAGTGCGCAGCTTCCTTACAATTGAAGATTTGGGATGATTTGGGCATGTATGCATGCGTGCTTTGAAGTAATTGAAATGGATGGCAAGGAATTGTCGCGCTTGCTGGAAGCCCTGAGGCCTCGACTCATTCCGCTGGCCACGAGATGCCGAGTCTGTTTCCTGTGACAGGTTGGGCTTGGAGAGCAGGCGGTCATAGACACTGTAACTGTAGACTGGAGAGACGTAGCATATCAGTGGCTCAGAAGGACTTGCACAAGTGGTTCCACACAGCATGTCTTCTAGGCCCAGCGGCCCAGCGGCCCAGCACAAGTTTCATTCAGGGTTTCACCTCTGATGTTTCACCCCCTAGGCCACCCGAGGTGCTCTAGGCGGGAAACGTGGCAAAAACCCGGCTGCACTAGTCGCCACGAGTTGAGGCAGTTTCCTTCGATACAATGTCTCTTGCTGGCAGCGCTGTGGCTGTGCTTCCTTTCATACATTTTTGCTGCTAAAGGATGGAAATCGTGATGGTCAGGGGGTACTCTCAGAGTCTCAGAGCTAACACAGCACAAGCAGGAGTTGTCCTAGCTTCAAGATTGACTGTTTGTCTGTATGTATGCCCAAGTTCTGTCAAGCGAAGAATTCTGGAAGTTCAAGATGCATTCGTGATTTGCCGTGTTTGGCGCTTCTTGGATCAAGTCACTTCGTGGTTGGACAACACATCCATGACATTCCTCATATTCGATCCTTGGCATGGTCTGGTCATGTCTGGTCACCTCACGCCATTTCTACATTTTTATTCTGCTGGCCTTGCAAGACGCAGCCCCCCAGGATGCATCTCCGAAGAGGAAGAGGAGCGGTGCCGGCCTTGATGCCATAAGCCCTGCATAAGCTCGTAGGGGCCCATAGATGCCCATAGATCTTCTGGGAGTAATATGGAGGTGTACAGGATGCGGGGAAGGAAGTGGCTAGCACACTGTCTGGAGTGGACGATTGACACCTGAGATCCGCGGCCATTCAAGGTTCTACTTCTGGCGCTTCGACATTGCTTTGCAGACGATCCTGTCTGCTTCCTGGATGTTTGCGTCAGAGTCAATGATCGGCAAGGTTCTTCCATCGTGCTGCAAGCAGCCTTCCGCAGCGGCTTCGTTTCGATCATGTTTTGTATCAGGTAGACGCCACGTTGGCCAACCAGCCGTTGGTGAGAAGAGAGGTGCCATCACATCACGGCTTTGACACTATGCGAGCAGTCGGTGCGCGATGATGACGATGATGACGATGATGACGATGATGACGATGATGACGATGATGACGATGATGACGATGGTGACGATGATGACGATGATGATGGGGATGGGGATGGCAAACCCCCCTCTGAACTCCAAAGACTCCTAAGCCCAGAGAACATGCAAGACGAAGTGTGGAGGCCAAGCTCTCGGAGTCCGACCTTGAGGAGCGCTTGAACAATGCTCTGGAGGTAGCACAGGTGGCAGAAGCCGCCGCCCCTCGACTTCAAATGCCTTCAAATGCCTTCAAGAGCTTCAAGAGCTGCAGAGACTTCAGCTAGGAAAGCCGGGCGGGTTTTTTTAGAGTTTCTTGGTTTGTGGGGGTGTGGAGTACAAGAAGGGTCTTGGAGGGTTTCGGGCCTTAATTTGTTCCGGCGGAAGCTGGTGGGCGTTGGCAAAGTCAAAGCTGCAACTTTGAATACTGTTGCCTGAAGACTCAGGCGGCCAGGGCCTCCGTCATGGTTGCAGCGCAGGCATCGTGGGAGTCGTGCTCACTTGAATGGCGCAAAGACATGATCTGACGTAATTCTGGAGTCAGATCGAGCTCTGCAAGAGCTTCGCGAGGATCAAAGGCTGACTGCCGCAGACGAGAAGATCTTCGAGCTTGAGAAAGAAAATGACGAACAGAAGAAGGCAGCTTAGAATGCTTAATGTTAGCAGACGGGCCTCTCGAGACCGAAGCCCTCCATAAGTTCTCGCATGTTCTCTTTGCATCATGGCAGTTTTCAATGCAGGAGCTTGAGGACGTCAGAGGAGAGCACGATGCTTGCGAGTGTGCTTGGAAGCCTTTGGCGGCTGCAACTCTAAGCTGACAGCTGTCCATGAGAGAAGGAGATTTCGCAAAAGTGAACTCCACCCTCGCTTCGGACGTCAATGAAGCTGGCGGCCCAGCGTGGCGAATGTCTGCTATTGTCATGGGTTGCTACAGTTACTCCGCAGCCACTGATGCAGCACATGTCCTGCTTGTTCCACAATTCTCGTGTCCTGCACGGATGCTGCGTGCGAGCGAGTGCTCTCGTCCTGAGGCCCTCAACCAAACAAATGCCACGGCTATCAGGCTACAGGCTGAGCTAGCAGGCGGCTGTGAGTGGAACTGGACTACTGGACTTCGCCGTTACTCTGTGTAGGGCTTGCTGTGGCAGGAGTTCAGGCCCAAGAAGCCCAGTTGAAGGCCAAGGACGAGATCTTGGAACGAGTGAGCAACCTCAGCTTATCTCAGCTTCAGCCACAGTATCCGCAAGGCATGGCACGTGAGATGCCTCGTCTGAGAGGTTGTCAAGGACATGGAGAACAAGGTCATCGAATTTGGGACTGAAGCCATGCGTGCGGCAGAGGGCTAAGCAGCGTAGTCACGTCTTGCACGCAGCGGCCACTTCAGTCAGACGGGGAAGCTCGCGGTTGGCTAAGGAGAATGCAGCCGGGCATGCGCAGAACGATGCGGGGAAAGCCAAGAACTCCTCCGACCTTCTAAAGGCGAGAGAAGCGAATCTGAAGTACGAAGTTGATGACCTTGGTACAACGTTCCCGGGCAGCAAGACTCTGTGCGCAGAAGGGTTGTGTTTGTCTGTGTGTGCTAGTTCACCGGAATGCCTTGTTCCGTGGTGCCAATTTAATGTAAGTATAGTGTAAGTCCTCATTTTTTGTTCAGGTTGGATGAGGTTCTGAAGGATCAGAACATATCCAGGAAGGCAGTGCAGAAGTTGCTTTCACGCACGCAGAACCTTGGAAAGACGATGCTGAAGATCAGTGGCAACTTGAAAAAGTTCGATGGAAGCCTGAGCAAGGCAGTGGCTCAACGGCACGTCCTCCAATTTTTTTGTGAGATGTGAAACGAATGTCACTGTGGCACTGTGCTCGTATCTGCTCATGGGCCTAGGTGAGGCAGGCGGTGGAGTCAGACAAGCTTGCCAAGATGGCCAAAGAGGAAGCAGATGATGCACTGGATGATGTGGAGTCTGTGGGCCAGACAGTCCCGGGTTTTGGTGGAGGCAGAGCCCGGCCTAGAATAAGAAGAGAGGTGTAAGATTCCGAGGGTCCAAGCCGTGACAGGCTACAGTCGTACCTCCACCGTCGTGGGCGAAGAAGGCCCCCGAGGGCCACCTGGGCCGCCGGGGCCTCCGGGTGATGCACGACCAAGAAAGGCCATCTCTGCGTGAACATTCCGAGACATGGTCCCCTCAAATCGTCCCTTCAAATGCCTGAAAACTCCTTTTGCCGTATCGGAGGTCTTTCGGTCCTTGTGCAGTTCTCATGCTTGCATATGCTCTGCTCATCTCTGCTCTTCGAAGGCGCCGTCTTCGCAAACGCGTGGTTCTCCGGCACCACCGGGCCCAAGCAAACAAGGAGGCGAAAGCGAGGAACCTGCCCCTGTACGGACAGTGGTCTCAAGCGCAATCTTGGCTGCAATCAGCGGAATTGGGCAGGTGTTGATCTTGACTCTCTGGATATGATTGTAATCCGGCAGCAGCCCACATAGGTGTACGATCCAACAACTGCAGCTGTGGCTGCAAAGCAGCATGCAAAAGCTGCCTGGGAAGCTGCAGCGGCCCTAATAATGCAGCATGGACATGTGCCTCCGGCCTGGCACGTGCTGGAAGACCCATCAGACAGTGCTGCTTCGAGGTCAAGCAAATCCAAGCCCAAAATTCCAAAACGCGGCCGGTTTATGAGGCACAAATGGGCTGCAATTTTGTTCATTTGATTAGTCATGCTGCAGCGACGCGGAGATCAGAGATGAGACATGCATGTTGAGCAGAGTCGTGCATCCAGTCTGGAGTGCCACCAGCTGTGCTTGTGTTGCAGGTAGCCTCCATGACGGGCGATCTGATCCAAATAGTGAAAGGTCCCCCCGGACCACAAGGCGCCAACTTCGAAGTGTCTCTTGGCTGTGGCCGTTGACTTCCGCCTTTTAAGTCTTCTGCAGGTGCACCTGGCCAGGCTGGAGAAGTACCGCCCACAGCTTTCTGCAACTACTTGCACGAGTCATTGCGTGTAGTTGAAGACGCTTGCAGCTATGAAAGGAACTGCCCGCCCAGGCTGGTGCCAAGGGGCAGCCGGGTCCTCCCGGTTTGGCACTCCGCGCGCCTCCGAAAGAGAACTCCACTGATTCCAACTCGTCACGGCCTTCGTGAACTTGTGATCGTGCTGGGCAGATGGAGTGGTCACAGTGGTCACAGTGGTCGCTGCCGTTCAATGGAGATCTCACCATTCTCATGCAGCTAAGGTCCAACGCCACAGCAGCGTCCAAGGCAACAGATGTTGAAGCTCCCCTCAAGAAGGCCGCGAGCCTTCCCATGTATTTCGCAGCCTTTGGTGCACCTCGGCCGCTCCTGCTTGTGATGGGCAGATCTTGTCTAGGAACTTGAGTTCCTCTGTTCTGCTGTCTTTTTTTATTCAAGTCAGACAGTCAGACAATGTCAGACATTATGAGAAAGGCCTTGAGAAGGACAAGTGACCCGATAGTCAAGAGCCCAACCAAAGGCATCGGTTGCCATCCTGCTGATCCTCTACAGATCAATCGATGCGATCATCGTGACAGGACCCATGGATGTTCAGAGGGATGAAAACCCGTGCAACCCCACGCATGTGCTCGGACGTGATTTCTCCTTGTCATTCTGCAAGTGCCCAGCCGTCAGTACTGCTTGCAGTCATACGCCTCGAAGACGCTGGCCAGGCGACCTTTCTGCACGAGCATGGAACAAAAAGAAGAAGCTAAGGGACAGGGACTCAGCTGCTTGAGAATGCTCCGTGCAAGTTTCGTACGCAGCTCCGGATGCTGCAGGCTAGGGCCAAAGCAAAAGCCAGTGCAGAATCGGCGACTTGTCTGTCCCAGAAAGCTTCTTCTGGACAGTCCGAGGGAATCAGCTGATTCTCATTGATTCTCGCCAAGGCAGCGGCTGCAAGTGCAGCGGCAAGTGCCCCCGCCGATCCGGATGAATCGTAAGCTGAGCGGCATGTCCACCGAGCCGCAACAAATGGCCCACCTGTTTTGCATGCTCTTGCATATTGTTTTCTTGGCGCCGTTTGAAGACTGCGTTCTCCTGTGTTGATTGGAATTGGGCAGCACTGATGCCGGCCAGGTCTGTCGGTCGTTCTCAGGTTTTGAGTGCATGCGCTCGCCGTCTTCTCAAGCTCCGGGTGCTTGCTTACCAGCTAATTCAATGGCGCTGTCGGCTTGTGTTTCATGAGCGCGCCGCCTCCGGCCGAAAAGCTGCTGGAGGTTGGGGATCAATTGCCTTAGCAGTCTTGTCACAAAATTCTTTCCAGCAGAAGGTATGGGGTGCACTGGGCATCTTCTACGTGTCCATATCGTCTTCTTGAGAAAGGGGTAAGTCCTCACTCATACCCCTTTCGACACCACATTCCCTTGTGTTCCGTGGAAGGTGAAGCATACACTTCATCAAGTGCTGCGGCGGGTGGACTCCAATGGCGTGGCCTGGTCAATCCAGTTCAATCGGTGTCAAGTGATCCTACATGTCAAGCAGGTTTGCCTCTGAGTGCGAGCATCGACATAAAAACCTGCTACCAATCTTCCGCGAGGGGCGAAGCTTTGGTGCTTCAGTCTTCTGCAAGCTAAGGATGGCTATATAGACAAAGATGAGCTCTATTATGTCCTGGACAGGGTTGGCACATTCAAGAAGGCCAATTGGCCCTGGGCCTAGTTGCAGATCGTGCAAGAAGAACAAGGCTCAGATGCCAATTGCCAATCCGGATTGAAACGAATTTGTTGTTGAATTCCATGCTCCCACTGAGGTCCAACTTGCCAGAGACCCTGGACCGGCTTTTGGCAGGCGTGTGTGCAAGAGGGTAGAGGGTGAGCGGTGATCACAGACAGAACTACAGTACCTCACTGTGTACCTCTGCCATAAGTCGCCTGGACTTCGACGTAGCAGGTTTGGATACCAACGGAGATGGCTTTGTGGCATCTTGCATGCACTTCATCCTACATGATATTGTCATCTTTCTACAAGCACTAACTGCTAACTCACTTTTTGCTTCTTCGAACTAAGGGTTCTTGTGAAATCTTGTGCCCGATGCACCAAGGATGTAGATGAGTTCCTTGACTGGGCATTCTCCTGAGCTGGAGTCAGCCTTTCTTCTGCGCAATCTAGAGATCTCCAAGGTATTCATGTGACTAGCTTCCGAGGTGCTGCTGGACAAGACTGAAGTGTCATCACTTCACACCTTGCAGACGCGACATATTTTTCTCTCAGCCGAGGAAGCAGAGCCGCACTTTTCATCTTTTGGAGGGCGCTGAAAAACCGCTGAACCCTGAACTAGGGGTTGCTTGTGACTGTTGCTGCATTTGGGTGCACTATCTCGCTTAGGACGAGGCCCGGATGGTGGCTTGCTGGCAAAAAGGTCACAGACTGTTGGCGAAACTTTATCGGCCAAGTGATGCTAAGGAGCGAATCGCCTTGTTTGACTTAGAGTGCAAGGTGGGCTCTGCATCGGTTTGTAAGCTTTGCGCGGAAGCTATTGTCTCGGTTCGTCTCACTATCGCTCTATCTCTTTAGCTCTCTCTCTCTCTCTTTCTCTATCTCTCGGTCTCTCTATTTGTCCGTCTCTCCATCTCTCTATTTCTCTATCTCTCTCTTTCTCTCTACTTCTCTATCTCTGTCTCTACCGCCGTCGCCATCGCTTTCTTTATCTCTGTCTCAATCTTCATTATTTCTCTCAAATCAGGCGGCCGGAACTTGCATCATTTTAACAAAAGCAACTCGTCTTGAACAATACAAAGGAGGCTGGAACTAACAACGTGGTTTACCGGCATCGGTACGTACATGTCGGTATACGGGTATTCCGTTCCGACGATGAGACGAACCAGTACGGCATTCACCGTGACTGATACAATACGAGCAGAATAGCCTTCGATAAGAATGTTGCGACGGGGCACTAACATTCGACCGCCAACAGTTGTATACACGCACACACACAACAAGAAGTGTGCAACTGCCTTAGATGGGCTCTGCATGCCACCGAAGCAGAGTACGTGGCTTGCTAAAGAACATCTCAGCGACAGCTGCTGTGAATCGTTGCGTAGTACTAAGTGCGCTCGGTACGAAGTAACAGTGAGGGCAGTCTGCGAGTTGTGCAGGTTCGAGACGGCTGTGAGAAACACATCCTTGGCCATTGAATGGCTCGAACACACCCACGAAGCTACCCGTCTCATTTGAATCAAAAGTCCCGCGCCTGTACCTCGACAGAGTCCAAGCAGCGGGAAGAATTAACCGACCGCTGAAAGTTGCGCACGCACGAGAAGAAGTGACAACTGCGTATGATGGGCTTTGCATCCCACCAATCATGCGTGGAATGCAGCGTGGGTTCAGGCACCGTGGTCCAGTTGAGCCGTCGTTTTTTGTGGCTCTGGGGTTGTTTATGGTTGTTTCGTTTCCTGTGCAGGCCGGGTGCACAGGGTGCACAAGGAGCCATGCAAATCTGAGACGACCTGGGAAATAATGGCCCGGAAGAAAGACAGACAAAACAAGTTCCATCAAGAGGCGCTGCAGTTCTTGCAGCGGCTATTGCCAGCTCAGCCTCCTGATTGAAGGCACGGGAAATTGTGGAGGAGGGCCCGTGCTTTTCTGGCCCGACACCTGCTCAGTGTCTGACTGCACTGGAGGCGTACGAAAGCACATCATGCCCCGAACTGGGGGCGGCGTCCCGCTCACACCTCTGCATGCATCTTGAGGTATAACGCGCTGGTTCGTGCAAAAGCACACGCGCAATGCACCAACTGAGAGTGGGGGACCAATTCGCCGGGGATCGCGGGGTTCCTTCTAAACAAGGAGGCCCAAGCCGTTACAATTGGGGACTTTTGCATGTCCTTCTCCCCTCTCTCTTGTCGCTCTTTCCGATCACACACGCCTGAAGAGTCGGCATGGCGAAGCTATCGTTCTTCTGTATGTTGAACGTCTGCTGGCGCGTCTTGTTTAGCATGTTCAGAGATGTTGCAGCAGGGACGTGAGGTTGTCGGTGTCAATTGTTAGAGAAGCAACAGGCTGGTAGTGTCGTCGTGCGCAGGAGAACAATGGCATCCTTGCTCAGGCTGGGCTTTGTATCCTTGCAGCATTAAGAATCACCCATCAAGCAATCCAGCGCGTTGTATAGCTACTGACAATGCAAATGCTAAAGCCAATGCCACTGCGAATGTTACTGCTAATGCCAATGCTAAAGCATTAGTCGCGGTGTCTGTGGTGGTGGTGGTGGTGGTCATGCTACTGGTGGTGGTGCTGGTGCTTTTGTGCTGGTGGTGGTGCTCATCGGGATGTGGGTGCAGGCTACAGCACTTCTGCAAGTTTGCATTTCGAGAATGTCTCACAGATGCCAAGGTCAGCTCACGGATCCGAAGCTCCTTCTGCTCTCGGTGGGCTCTTCCTCCACACAGGATGGACTCACCGTGTTCGCTTGGATCGGTTTTCCCTGTTTCGACATGCAAGAAACATTCAGGCATATGATGCTGCTGGCCTGTCGGTGTCTGTACCGACAGGGACCAAGGCGTGAACTCATGTTTGCACAAGAGTGAGATTGCACTGACCGGTCCAAGATGGTCCGAGCATCAGGAACCTGGTACCAGTCCAGTAACTAGTACCTCCTGGTACCTCTTGCCAGCTTGCAGGTTGCCAATGGCCGGGCCTTGAAAGATCTGATCTCTGGTATCAAGCAGCCGGCGCTGGCTTACCGGCTGCTTGTTTGCAGTATCTTGCGCGCACCCTTGCTGGGAGCTGACGATGTTTTGGACTAGGGAGATCGTGCTCATCAACTCGATTGGGTACTGCAGCCTGCTTGCACTTACTTGGCGATCGGTGCTTGGTGCTCGAATATGCTATTGTTTCTGAAGCCAATGATTTTTTCTGGCGGTGTTTGCACGATGCGTTCTCTCAGAGCCTTGCATCTCCCTTTGTCCTCCCGTGGTCCTCCTCACGTCCTCCTCACCCCTCCTCCTTTTCCTCCTTTTCTTTGGTCCCTAAGTGCTGCAACCGACCGACCCCGTCCTCGTGGACCTCGGAGAGCTCGCAGCCAGAAGCCCGGAGAGCGCTGCTGGGCGCTTCCACGCAGCCTTGAAGGAGGCGAATCCGAAAAGCAACATCCAATCTGGCAGCCAGTTAAATTTATATTTTGGATGTGCGTGTGCGTGTCCGTGTCTGTGTCGTCCGTGTCTGCGTCCGTCCGTCCGTCCGTCCGTGTGTGTGTGTGTGTGTGTGTGTGTGTGTGTGTGTGTTTGTTTGTTTGTTTGTTTGTTTGTTTGTTTGTTTGTTTGTTTGTTTGTTTGTCGCATGTGGAGGCCTTCCCATCAGCGCAAACACGCGTATACAACCGAGCGAAGGACACTTCGCAATGCTGGGAATGGGGAGGATCTTTCAGCAAGCATTCAGCGATCGAAGGACCCTCAGACCAAGCGCTACAAGTTTCCTCAGCTCCTCAACGATTTCAGCTTGTCCCTGACCAAGGCCAGGCCCACACAGTCAGCTCTGCATGCGCTTGACATCACTTCGCCATACTTGAACAAACTTCACCTGCAGGGCACAGTTGATCCGTGCTTTAAACACGTTTTCCGGAGTCTTTTGAAAGGTTTTGTAGACATTGTACACTGTACACAAGCGTGATAATGGCCTTCAGGGCTGCGGCTTACCCGACGAAAGTTTTGCCCAGACCTGAGTGTTATCACTAGGGTGAAGAACGTCGGTACCGATTCCCGCATCCAAGGACTTCCATCCAGACATCATTGTGGATTGGGGTGGTTCATCTTACAAGGTGTTTATGGATGGCAAGCGTATTGGAACCGAGGCCGGACCCCACGTCACTATGCAAATGTATCACACCTGTCACACCTGTCCCTATGATCACCACAGTTGCCAGATTGGCAAGGTCATGGATGCAAATGCTTTCCTTTGTGATGGAGACACTCTCCTAAGAGACCGCAGCCTGCTTGAATATCGACGAGCTTCAATCAATGTGCCATCAGCCAAGTTAAGCAGCCGCGTGGCAATCTTTGGCTTTGGCCATGAGGTCTTCCCATTGCAATCAAAGAAATTGAAGCTTGTGTTCAAGCCCTCCTACAAAGAGAAATGCCGGAGCGCAGCGCCCACAAGAAGGCCCCACGCCTTTCGGGAGCAATGTGCAATCGGGTTGGGACAGCATGCAGTACAGGTGCATTGTGGTTGAAGTTTTGCGATTGAAGTTTGTAGCACGTCCTGTCCACTTCACTTGAACCTGCCACCCCAATCCCCATCTTTGCAAGAGCTGAGCAAGTTTTGTTGTGGCAGAGCCTGTTTTTGTTGGTGTGAAAGAGGGCAGTTGGGCCCTTGGATTTCAGAGTCAAGCGTTTGTGTCATGGAAAGGTTGAAGTTTGAAGGCTCAAGAAAGGATTAAGAAGCGCTCGATATGGGTGATTAAGTCAGCGTAGCTTAAGAAACGCAATGCACTGCCAACATAATTATGGTCCACTACTGCTGCATTCGACAGCCTCTGAGAAGAGCACTAATCCGGAGAAGAGTCGGTCCTCTAGTGCCAAGGCCAGGTTCTGATGCCAAAATGTGGCGGTGGCAAAATTGTTGATTGTGCAAGCTTGCTTCCGACTGGTTTCGTTGGACCTGTACGAAGCAAAGTTGAGGGCCCCAGTCGGAAACTTCAGCAGGCGTTGGTCTCAGTGGCCTGTGAGGAAAGAACAGAACCTCACTGGCTTACTGGTTCCATGGCACATTCATTCAACGGACAGCCGCATCGAACCAGTCTCGAACCTCAACTCCAACCCCATCTCCCGGAACCCATAAACAATCTCCCATCCAGTTAGGCACAGGCTTAGGCCATTGCTATGGGAAGACAAGGCTATTAAATTCTCCCCAGCTTCGCCGAGGCTTTCCATAGCTAGGGTTGGCATTAGAATGTTTTCAGACTGAGCGCTGCCAGGGGAAATATTGGGAGCAAGACGTCGTATTGCCACATGCCACCGGGGTTCGGAAATGGCAAGCTCACTCTGCCACATCCTTTCCACACATCATGACCTTGTGAGATGCAAACAATGCCAGAGCAACCCATGTGGCAGGTGCTGATTGCACAGACCGGAAAGGCGCGAGAGCTTGCAATGCGAGGGTGAACCATGTAATTCTGAGCATCCGCCTGTACACAATCGAGACTCCGGTGTGCGTCATATGCGGTTCAACAAGCGTTCTGCATTTGACCTTTGTTGTTGTTTTTCTTGTGATGGCCACCTGCTAAAGGTAGGTGGTGAAGTTTCACATGACCAGCATTTTGACAGCCCTCAGACAGCATACCAAGAGAACATCGTAGCACCTGTAGCAGTTACATTCAGCCTACGATGGCTATTCAGGATGAAGTGCGGGTTTTATGGGGCATTGACTTCTGAAGCGCTTGAACTTCGCACAGGCCATCGCCAGAGGTTCAGAAGACTTCGGAAAGTGTCTCACAGAGTTGACACAAAACTCCAGCCATTGTCGATTGCCATGTCTTGTGGAGTTGACAGTCTTTATTCATGAAGTGATGCCGGCATTGCGGTATCTGTGCTTTGCATGCGCCGCCTTCTTGTCTCTGGTTAAGCAACTTCAACCATCCGAGAATCTTCTTTCGTCGGAAGCGCTGCCATGCCAGAACTGCTCAGCTCTGGCTCAGAAGTTGAAGCCCAAGACAGACATGCCTGCATTGCATGGCTTGCTCGGCAGCTTCAGCTTTCCTAAAATGCACAGCAAAGACTGGATGAAGCATTCCTCGCATCTAGTCTTCGCCGGCGTAATTGAAGCTAGATGTGCTGTTTGAGCAACACCTTTCTTCAGAGAGGATGGCTCGTCCGGCTTGTGAGCAAATGTTCGATGCGGAAGTGATCTCAGATCCTCGTTTGCAGTTGCAGTTTCGGGGATCTTGGTCTCAACTGAACTAGTCGTTCCGGATGGAAAAGAGTCGCCCGTTCCAAGCCGTCACAACAGAGCTGAAGGTGCTAAAGCACCCTAGATCTCTTGCACGTTGCCTCATCTTCAGGAGCTGCGGCGGCAGTTTGACGCCGCGGATGAGGACGGATCCGGCGAAGTCGATGCAGAGGAGGCGCCATTCAGTGCTTCTTAAAGCAAAGATGCGTCAGGAAGCGCAGAATCGTTTTTGCAAGCATGCTTTTCGGGGACCATCCGGACATACCCAGGCCTTTACATTTAAACTTAAACCAATCTCAGAGCGGCCTGTGAGCACGTGAGTCAGGCTTGCAAGCTCTTCGCCAGAAGCTGTGATGAAGCGGCTACCGAGCCTTGTTTTGCACGCGCTGGGTGGGTGTTTCGCGATCCGTCGCTGTTTGTGGAGAGAATCCTCAAAGGTTTTGGGGTCATAGTCGGGCTCGTGAATTTGACTGAACCAGTCATACCCAGTCTCTAGCCGGGCAATTTTTCATTGCTGTCTGTAGGGGTACGACGTCACCAAAACTCACGGCCCCAATGGCGCCACCCAGATCCATGGCGTGCATGGCGCCAACGGCGTTCCGGCTTTCCAAATCCACGGCGAAACGCCTTTGTTTTTGGACAACACAGGGCTCTCATGATTCATGCAGTGCAGAGCCTGACAGAAACAACATGAAGAACTGCGTTTGGTAGGCTTGAGCTTGGTGTTGTGGTGCGTTTCCCGTTTGTCCGAGTCAGTCTTGTACCGCCCGCTGTCCGCAGAGAGGGAACGGATGAAAGAGAGCAGAAGGTGGCATTCAGGAATTCGGACCAAAGCAGGGACACAGGAAAGCACAGAAGAGACCTCCATTTCGAATCTTGTGGGCCATAGGCGCAGCATGTTCAACCCCTGTTTTCCTTCCACATTTGCACGGCTACTCAGCCACTCATATCTCAAAACACTGTTTAAAACTAAGTGCAGAGGGCTAGCTTTCAAGCCGCAGATTTTCGGGCTTAGGTCGTGCACTTGCTCGTTGCACCTACTATGATACGCAGAACGAGTGCTTGGCGTACGCTGAGGATGATGAAATACGTAAAACAGCCGAAGCATTGCGCCACCAGCTGGACACAGATCGTTCAGGCCACCCCCTCTGCATCATCCTGCTGCGTAGAGCAAGGGCTTTGCTGTGATGGTGCCATCCTTGACGGACTTGGTGAGGCAAGATCTCGTTTGATGAGTATTGCTTCCGCTTTGGCCGGCGCTACCAAATGGAACTCAACCGTCGCAGACGTGTGAGCCTCTGTTCTGCAGCTGTCGCTTTTGCATCCCTGCGACAGATGTGGTGTCAAAGAGACACATGCTGCTTGTTTTTACTAGCATGTCAGGGGCTGGTGCTGCGTCCAACGGCGTTCCGAAGCAAGATGCTGCTGCGACAAAGCTGGACGAGGACCTGGCGTCTGTGACATGCTTTCGGAATTTACAGCTGACGCTGGGCCTGCAAAGAGGAGAGACAAAAGCTGGAGCAGGAACGTGCCGCCATCAGGCCAGGGAGATGCGGCCCATGATGCGGCTTTAATGAAAGAAACTAATGAAGCTGAGACTCTAAAGTCTTGCGTTTAGCTGCATCCGCTGGATCTTGATTTTCAGGCAAGAGCGGGAGCGACTGCAACTGGAAAGAGAACGTGAAGCCTTGAAAAGGGAGCGTGAAGCTCTGGAGCGAGAACGCCAGGCATCCACGACGGCAGAAATGACATGTGCCCTGAGAAGTCATCTGTTGTCATCTGCACATCTTTTCACATCTTCAGCACATCTTATGACTCTGTGCTTGGATCCTGGGTGTCGGCTGGTGGCTAGGCATCACAAGCCACGAGCAGCTCGGGCAGCTCGGGCAGCTCAGCTCAGGCAGTTCACGCATGTGCGCTCTGGAATGTCCAAATTTCTTGCAGACGGCTTGAAGCAGGCGCTGGTTCCTGGGACGCGTGTGCGCATCCAGGGTCTTCGTGGAGCACCTGAGCTGAATGGCCTGGAGGCAGGGTAGGGACGATGGCACAGTCCAGCGTGGCTAAGTCCTCCGCGTACAGTGCATTCTTATCATACACTTTTGCCTGCCTGGAGGCTACTATTGTGCGGTTTGACGAGGCTTGCAGCCGTTTAAGTGTTTATCTGTGGGCTTGATTGATAAGTTGCGTTGTCCGTTTCTTGGAGTCGGAGCTGCAGTGCAGCAGGCATCGGGACGCTTTATTGTCAATCTTAGTGAAGACAGAGGACAGCGGCTGGACTTAACGCATAATTACTCATGTGGCACTTTCTTTTCCGACACAAGGGGCTCGGTGCTTTGGTGCTGTTGTGGCTGGAACATAAGTGGCGCGGGCACAAGTACCGGTGCAATCGAGGAAAAGCTTGAAGGACGCCAATTTGATCCGGCTTGAAGCGGCGTCTGCTGGGCTGCCTGGGCCTTCCACTCCTTGATATCTTAATCAGTTTTTGCTGAAGTCTGTGGTGCGATGTGGTGAGTGAAGCGCATGCCCTTCTCAGGGGTCAGAAAATTTCGAGCCTGGCAAACAATGCCTTTCGCACCGAACTCAGTGCGGTAGGAATTGCGCCCCCAATAGTCAGCTGCCATGGAGAGCAGAAATGCGGCAAGGTCACTTGCAACGTGGCTGCGCGCACGTGCAAGCTACTGGGCTGCAGCACTATAAGGATGAGTACGGCGTGCCTAGGCTCGTAGCATTTTTACTTGTGACGGAAATGCATGTGTTGAGCTCAGTTGTGGATCGCGAACTCCGGATACACTTGGTGGCAAGTTCTCCTCGGTTTGGCTGTAGCTCCTGAGCCGCAGCTTCGCACGACAACGTGCAGCAGAAGAAGCCGTCGCGGGTGCAGTTGTGTCAGAGGGTGTCCGAGTGGGTCCGAGTGGGTCAGAGTGGGTCGTGGGTCAGGTTGTGCTGATCGCCAGCGCTTTGATGCAGGCCAGTTCAAGGCATAGTCCGAGGAGCCCTTGCCTTGAGTTCTGAACCAAGACCAAGATTGCACCAAGGTCCGTTCATAGGAGCCTGCTGTACGGCCATAGGGTATGTCCTTGCAAGGAGACCGGCTTCTTTTGAGAACAGCCGCGAGAGCCGCGCGCAGTTCTCGGAAGAGAGAAAATACAAGCCCAAGCACAGAAACTCGGCTACAGCAGAGGGCTTGCAAGGCCCCATTCATCTGCTAGATCTGAAGGTGAGGAGCCTGCCTTTCACCGACGACCCTCTAGATATGAAGACGACGATGACCCTGGACCTGCCCTTACATAGGGGTAGAGTGGGCGTTCGAGCGGGCCTGCACGCTTCCATCACGTCTTCCGCAAGCTGTGACCTGTGTTGCGCTGCCCCCCGCTGCAAGACTGGCCTTTGAGCCTGGTGCATCAGGCTTCGCGGACTACGATGACTCATGGGGTGGGGGCTTTGATTTCGGAGGGATGCAGCCGCTTGGATCTTGGATTGCGTGTTTGCAACTGTCTTTGTGCGCGGACCTGGGTAGAGCACTGCAACATGCAGCCACATGCTGCGCACTCATGGCCCTTGGCGTAAGGAAGTATCTCATAATTGGTGGCTTGGCTATCTTATGCTGGAAAGGCATTATTCCGATACACCGCATGGAGTCTCGGTCTGCATTAGCTTCACGCATGTCACAAGTTCTAGTTCTTGTCAATCTTATGGTTGTTTGTGTTCTTCGTCTTCTTGTTGCTGTTGCTGTTGTTGCTGTTGCTGCTGTTGTGGTGGTGATGTGGTGGTACTGCAAGGCAGCACACAGTATTCCCGAGCCAATTCCACCCTCGTGCAGTTGACGGCAGTAGACGTGGTAGTAGTCTCGGCTTGTCAGGACTGGTTCCAGCTGTACATGCTGTGGAACTTGCTGCAGTCCACGGGCATACTAGGCTTGATTCTGGCGCTCTTTACTTGTGTCGTGGTAGCGGCTGTGGCAGCGGACAATGCATGCAGCCATGGCATCGGACAAGACATTTCGCCAGGTGGTCGCGGCGGTGGCCACTACGGTGGGTTTGGACGAAGGCGGAGAGGGTTCTTCTGAATGGCTCTGCCAACCTTCACATCTTGAACGAGCTCAGCAACTTCCTGCACGAAGAGCTGGCACAGACAAGAGCTTGAGGATATCAGCATCGCTGCCTGCCAGGCATTGCCAGGCATGTCCTCATGTGCTGCAGTTCAGTGCAGCTAGGTTACGCTGGCATCATACTTGACCTGCGACCTGTGACCTGTTGGATGAAGTCAGCGGCTTCTGCACAGGATGGGATCAGCGCCGAGGTGAAAACATGTAATTTGCATGCCGAACAGTTGCTCTGCTGTGGAAACTTGTCGCAGAATTGGAATGATTGAGAGAGGCTTCGCTTTGCTTCGGCAGCAGATTTGACAGCATGCCAACAAGTTGATACAAGTTGTTGAAATGTTAAGCCATTTTGTGGTAGCCCTCACTAAATCATCACCCTTGTTGTCCCAGTTTGCCTTGCCATGTCAGCATGGAGCTGCTGCGGCGCCAGCCATGCTGATCTTGTCATTGCTGCTGGTCGCCCATGCAGTATCGCAGCAGAACACGGAGGATTTCTGGAGCTGCGCTGGAGATGGACCCTTTTGGCACAGCTTTCGGGAAACTGAAGCTCGCTGCCAGTTCAGACACGCAGTAGTCTTTGGTATATTCCATGCTCATCAGGAAGCCGATATGGATGATACCCTATAGCTGCAGCAACATGTAGCAGCACTCACAGGCACGGTACATCATGTACGATGAAAGCAGCGTGGGACTCAGCCAAAGATCCCGCGTGGTGACCGGCACAAACACCTGAAGTATGAGCAGTTATTCGCTTGGTGAGTGGAGGTCCCCTACGCACTTCGCTGTCAAAGCTGGCTGGCTTGCTGCCGGCATCGCGGCCGAGTAATTGAGTCGTTACGCTGTCAGCTCCTCCGCCCCAAGCAGTAACTATCGCTGTCGGACTGCAGAGCCGTCAGATGCCGTCAGGTATGGCAATTGCAGGAAAGCGCGCTCACAGACCCTAGGCGGGTAAGTGAAGGCTACGCATGCCCTGCAGGCAGGGGCACGAGCGTTGCGCAGACAGCAGACAGAAAGCAGCACAGAAGAGGCATACAGCTAGGCTGCAGACGCTGCAGAAAGCAGGGCATGACTTGGTGCAAGGCGAAGCCTTCCTGATGTTGCTCGATATCGTTCTAGTCATGATCTTAGCATGTCTTAGCATGTCTTCAATAAAATGAGTCTGCCCCCCAATGGCATTCAGAGCAGTGGCACTTCTTCAGGTGAACAACGCCCTTGTCCGTGCAAACATGCAGATCCAGAGCAATGTAATCGAGAAGCTGAGCAGATCACTAATTCTTTTGTGACCGTGGAAATGTGTTGCTGGATAGCAGCATCTCGCTTCGAACTGATTTGTAAATCCTCTTTCATCTAAGTACGCAGCCACTTTTCAGCACCTTGGAGGTACTGCAGGTGGGCTTTCATTTGCTTTGAATTGAGTGTTCGCACAAGCTCCCGTCTGTGTGGTTTGACGCATTGGGCAGGCACGTGTACCTTCCTTGGAGGCAGTTGCGCATGTTGCGCGCATCTGCTTCCTCAAATGCGCGTGAAAAGAACTGAAACCGGTGTTCAGATCTGATGCGAACATGATCCAGCACCGTTGCGTTGCGCCAATGGCTCGACCAGCCTAGACAGGCCATGCTCGTTTCTGGGTGGCCGCTTTTTGGTTTGCTCCTTGGCTGCGCAGCAGCCGTTGTTGCAAAAAACAGATCCTAGACAGCATGCTGATCACTGGCCGATCTGCGCCGCAAGGCTGGCCGTTTTACAGGAGGGGCTTTTCGGACTGGGTCGCCTGGCGGCGCAGACGTTGCTGGTTTGCAGCAGTTCTTCAGCAATAGCAGTGCTCCCCTACCCTGGCGGAAGCAATTCTTTCTAGACGTGTGTGTGTCTCTCTGTGTGTGTCTAAGGCACTCCTTGATTCGACAGTGGGGCACCATGGCTGAAGTGTGTCAGGACAGCTCACAGATACAGTCATTGTAAGTGCTTCTCGTGTCCTCACACCTTGTCGGCCTCGCGCACACCGAAGAAGAAGAGTAACACGCATCATGACACATCATGACACCAAATGCGCGCTGGGAAGTCGTAGGGGAAGCCTTTCGAAACCTGGTGCTAGTTGCCTGTTGAAGTCTGTTGATGCTCACAGCGATGCTGCACAATGCTGACGGCGGTGCTAGAAGCCACGCATTTGCACGTCTTTCCGCGCGCTTTCAGCCACCCGCCGAAACATGTGCGCTGGACGATGGCGATGACATGCGATGACTATGATTTCAAGAGGCATGATGAAGGATGAGCAGGAAGGAGGAGGACGATGACATCGATGAGAAAGAGGAGGAAGAGGATGCAGGTGAGGATACTTTTGCTGCTAGTGCTGATAACGACGATGATGATGATGATGATCCTGAAGGAAGCCTGGCCATTGCACACGGCCTTGCTGACTTGGCTGGATGCGACGCCTGCTCCACAGGAGTCTATGAATCTCAGCTCGAATGGTATGTGCGGCCTTCGTCTAAAGAACGTAGACGTTGCAGTGTCGTTATTGTTTAGCCTGCTTCATGCGTAGACCGTAGGAAATGAGGATTCTTCTTTTGGTTTCCTTCTTCGCTTTCAAGTCACATCGGTGCCACGAGCCGCGCAGCAAGGCCTGCACTCTCACCCGACACTCGCCTTGAAGCTCTTCGACTCAGAAAGCAGCTTGCCGCCTCGCCTGGCCTGTGCTCCGCGGATCCAGGTGCACCAGTGGGGTCAAGCTCCCTTGCTTCAGAGATACCTGTGCATTGGGAAAGGTGCCGCTGCAGCTGTTCATCTTCTAGCAAGCGGGCTGTTTACAGAGGGGTCGAGCTCACTATGGAATGGCACAGGTTGGACTTTGAACTGTCAAGTTGTACGTCAAGTCTTTCTGACTTTCTGCATGGTTGCACTCTACTCTTGGAGGCTGGAGGAACGAGTTCGGAAGGCTTCGGGAAATGCTTCTTGACTTGACTCTATGAACTGTTGATGGCGCGACATGGGTTCGAAAGAATTCCGAGGATGGACAAGGCATTCAAGACAGTGTCTTGGGGCCGACTGGTATTCACAGGCTGCGGTGGAAGCGGTCCACTGAGTAGATATAGGGTATCAGACTGCGCATTGACTCAGCACATGTTTCCGCGATTTCCTGTACCTGCATCTGCCACCGGAGAAGTGTTTGATGTAGAGAGTCACGCAGGCTGGCCTCTGCTCGCCTTGCTTCATCGACTTCAAGAGGCCTACGTCCGCGAGGCTGAGTAACAGGGATCATCGGCTTGGGCTGTTGTTGCCTGGGTTACGAGCTCTCTGGCTCAAAGCCGTGGAGCGCGCTACTGGACAAGCGGCGAGGAAGCCAGGGAAAGCTTTGGGGAGGGAGCCAAGCGAAGCTGAGGGTTGCTGGCTTGATCCAAAGCGGCGTGAGAGCAGCATGATTTCCGGAGGCGCTGTGCAGCCGAGTTGAGAGGCAGGTTGCAAGTGGGCAAGCACTGCATCACAGAGCTGTTGGCACAGAGTGGTAGGTATGCCTATGCAATTCCAAGCCGCGCAGATCCACAGTCTGTGTGGGTCTGTGTGCGTCGGGCAAATGATGTTGCAGCTTGTATGCACGCAGACCATGCTCCTGCACTTCGTCATGATGCAATGCACATGCACCTTTGCAATGCGGCTGCAATGCATGCTTCTTGACCAAGGTCTATGAGAGATGGCGCATGCAAGGCTTCTTCCCAGATTGCTTCATGATCGTTCAAACCGTCCGCGAGTTGCCACTTGATTTCAACAGTCCGAGAAGCAGTCTGGGAATAGTGGAACTTTGATCGTTTCATCGTCAATTTAATATTTTCGTAATGTCCACATCTCTCATCCATGAAGTGGGGCATGTGTGCGGGACCGCCATCCTCGTGACTGCTGTCATGTTTGGAGCTTGAACGCTGCGCGGGCCCTCACGCGGGAAACTGCTGACAAGTTCAGCCTCAAATTGATTTTATGCCACGGGAAACCCCTTTGCTGCGTGTTAGTAGCTCAGACGACCGGTATGTTGCGGCGGCGTTTGGAGCGGATACGTGTGTCGAGCCGAATGACATTTTTCCGGAAACATCGGCTGGGTGGACGCCCTGGGGTTCGACCATCAGTCGCCAGCACGCTCTCGCGTGACAAATGCGAAATGCTGGCGTAGGCGAAAGGGTACTCCTAATGCCTCCGGGTCCGATACTTCCTTGTTGGTTTGTGGTCGAGGACCCCGGAGGCGGCACTGAGGCATGAGGTGGGGAGGGTCTCCTCATCTTAAGCCGACGAGCACCTCGACCATCAGCAGGTTAGGACCAACACGGAGTGACAGTGCCAGGCAGCCAGGGGGCGGCACGAGTACGGTGTACTCCGGGTGCCGCTCCCCTCAGGCAACAGCCAGCAGCCGGCATGATGATTCGCAACGGTTTGGCTACCACGCAGCTCACAGAGCCCCGGGGGCGGCGGGAGTAGGGTCTACTCCGGACACCGCTCTCCGCAGGCGGACAGCGGCTGCAGGCATCGGCGAGCGATTCGATGGGTCGGGAGGCATCGGCCGGAAGCAGCGCGAGCGGTGCTCGCGGGACCTGTGACCGACAAATGCCCGACACGGCCCATCTCGCACAGCGGCAGTGGTGTGTGGCACTTCGTTCTCGCTTTCGTCGTTTCGTGTTGTTGTTTTGTGTTGCTGTTGCTGGTCGTTGTGTTGCTGGGGCTGGCTCTTTAGGCTTTCCGCCGGAGGGGCCGCCGGTTTGTTAGGCCAGGCTCGTGCCTCTGTCGATGCTCACCTCACCTCACCTCACCTCACAGTACTGTAATGAGTAATGACTGTTATGTGGCCGCTTTGCACGGGAAGTATGTGCACTTAAGCTGTGTTTGCTGCACAACGGCACCATAGCCATGACTCTCAAGGCCCCGCGCGTGTCCAGTGCTGGACATAGGCCGGGGCCGGGGTGCTTCAGTCGCCTGGGCTTGCTTCGTTGTCGATTGCAATGCTGAGCCAGGAGCTAACCTTGGTGGCTGTGCGTTGATGCTAGCCAAGGACTTGACACTTGCTTCGCGTGCTTGCACGCCTGCTTTTTTCTTGTGTACAGGATGAAGCGCGAGTTTAATTGCATTGACTAATATCCCATGAGAGACCGCCACAAGGAAAGTAAACAGACAAGGGACCGAAGACTTGGGAGGATGGGCACCCTGTTTTGGCAGTGGAGCCTGTGCCCGTCCTCGCGGCTTTGCTGCGAGCATCTGTTGAAAGAAATAGCTGCGCGGATGCACATGTTGAGCGGTCTTTTGCCCAAGGAAGCCCGCCGTGCGCCATATTGGTTCTTTGATGTTCTTTGCGCGTGAGAGCTTGAGAGCTGCACAGGTTTGACAAACGTGGAAGTGGTAGAAGCAGCCGTCAGCCGAAGTTCTGGAAGCGGCTCTCTGCAGTGTGTTCCGGGGCACAGCGCCACTTGTCGGGTACTTCCGCCGCTTGGGTGCACTATGGGCACTTGCGTTTGTGATCGTTTGTGACCGTTTCTGTGCGACGTGTGCTGCATGCGAATTGAATGGGCCAGTGCTTTTCAACTTCGTGTGGTGAAAATATTTATAAAAGCAATACTCGGCACAAGCATGCTCAGGACAGGGGCTGCTGCCAATGTGAAAACTGAGCCTTGATAGAGAGTGAGCGAGGCTTCCGTGCGACTTTCCAGCCATCTGCTGTTCGGTTGCGACAGTGCTGTCGCTATGCCGATTAAGCGCCAGAATGTGCCAGAACTAAGGAATCACTAGATTCGATCCTCCGTTCCCGCGGATGGTCGCATCCCTGTGCCCTGAAAATCGACGTGGAAGGCTCAGAGCTGGAGGTCGTGGAAGGTGCTCCCTGTTGTGCCCCCTGTTTGATCTGCTTAGGTGGCACTGACTGATGAATTTGCCATAATCGGCCCTTGCTACTGACAGACGTGCCCTTCTTTTACAGGTGCGACTCGCACACTGTCGCGTTGGCCGCACATCTTCTTAGAGTTGCACCCGTACGAGCTGCGGGACCGTGGTGGCTCCAGCAGCCAGGCTGCGAATCCCTATGATGATGTCGCATGTCATGCGGGCTCGAGCATGGCCCTGGTTTAAGAAATGTTTCCAAGGGGGGCGCTGCATCAGTTACCGATGGTTTCGTGGAAACATCTTGGGGGGTAGGAAATGTTACCTGGAGAACCTCCTTCAGGCTTTGTAACATTTTGGCTTGTGTGTCTTGCCCACACAAAAGACCTAAGCATATATCCTTTAGTTCTCTGTCTCTTTCATGTTTTTGATATGTTACGCGGATTGTGGGGTGGGTTTGCACGGCCCGGCGAGAGACCCGGAAATGTTGCCGGTAACTTTTCGGCCCCCCCCTAAAGCAAGGGCCATGCTCTAGCTTTGTTTAAGATGATCGTAGGTGCAGGGCCTGTGCAAGGGGGCAGTCGCACCAGCACAATATCATTCAGATTATGAACAACAATAGGCGCTCAGACCTCGGCTCGCTCTTCCGAGGTGCAGACACGTTTGATTTGCTCCTGCACATGGGGTACAACATGTTCGAAAGCGCTGACCTGAGAATAGTTGTTCGATTGCTGTGGATAGGGCCGGATGGGGCCTGGAACGACAATCATGGTTGAGTTGCGCAAGCCTGCGTAGCCCGGCATCGCTTTGCCAGCTTTCTTTGTTCCTGGTCTTGCTGTCATGCAGATGCTGCTGGTACATGCTAGACGCTGTATGATGTTGTGCAGAGCTCGAAGAGTTTTGTGAGTACTTATGTGTAGCCCATGCTGGGGTTCTGACTTTGGACATCGCAGCATGGCTTTGCAAACAAGTGTTTTCGCAGAGACACTGAGATTTCCAGGAAAGCGTGCAGCTTTTCGATCTCTCAATTGTCAAGGAGCACCCCCAAAGCCAATCCTGGCATTTTCATTGCGAACGTGCACTCTCTGTAAGCAATTGGGAGACGGATGAGAGACGAACTGATACTGATATATGCACAATTTCCCCCCCCCCCCCCCCAAAAGCTGCAGATGGTCACGAAGGGTGATTCGTCAATTCGCAACGATCAGTGCTTGTTTTTTGACCGGCTGTGCTGCACTTGTAAGAAGCGCATATCGGGAATTGCGACCTTGCACTCTGCTTTGATGTTGGGGTGGTGATGGTGGATGCTTCCTGCATCACTGGTTTTGTCCGCGGACCGTTGGACTCACTGCCAGCTTGGAAAGGGCATGGCAGCGTAGTGTCACGACGTTTCTTCAGGATTGTACGCGCATGGCATGCTGGATAAGATGCTACGGCAATGCTTTCACAAACACTGCGTATCTGAGGTCCTCCCTGCGGTACCAAAGTCAGTCCAATGGAGAGGCCGTGGCAAGGGTGCCTGTACCGCAGAACGTTCCACCGTTCCACACCATTGCAATGTGTGCTGCGCATGAATCTGAGGAATGGCACCTACTCCAGCGCTCGTTGGGTTGAGGGTCGCCCAGTGCCCAACGTACGCTTGCCACGTGTCGCCGACCACTGTGCCTGCGACACTGGCCGGCAATTCATAAGGCTGATAAGGGCTGTCGGAAGACCAGCAGGGGTACTCGAAAGGTGGTAAGGTACTAGTTACTAGTACCCGAAGCATGACGCCCTTAAAACTGTTCGTGGTCGAAGAGTTCGAAGTTACAATCTGCGTATTAGGACATGGCGTTTCCCGCCTGCCTTGCTTTAATGTAGCATCAATCCTTCCATTCTGTAGGCACTGGAGGCAGTCTGTAGGTTGCGGTCTCGCAGTTCTAGGATGAGCGACTCCTCGCCAGCAGAAAGCTGCCTGTTGCATGTTTCTTATATTGCCTGGAGTGTCGTCGGCTCATGCCGTTGATAGCATCAAGTGCAGAGGGCAACTGTTCCTACCCGAAAACCCGCAATATGAAGAAATGCCCGTAGGTAGGCTTTACATCGTGACCCACTAAGCACCAGGAGCGTGAATGCAATCTTCGGCTGCTTCCACCAAGCGGTCTCCTCCTCAATCTGGACAGTCGTGCGGATGGGCTTCAATCAAGCATAGGCTGGCCAGCTCCTACATTATGCGTCAGCTGACTTTGAGCAGGTCAGTTCAGTGGTGATTGCCGCTGTTGGGAATTCGAAGTGGCTTCCGGCGATTGCGGCTTGTCCGATGTGATTCTCTCTGTTCCCTTTGCAACTGCTGCAGAGGCCTCGTCTTTAGCTTTTGTGACTGTAGCCGAGGCACTCTTTACTCCAGTCACTCGGAGTACTTGTGGGATTATGGGCTGGTTCTTCGAACCTGGCTGAGAGATCAGAGATGATGAGGGTACATCCGCTCAGTTCAACAGCTCTTCGCTGTTGCTAGGGCCTGTGTTATTGTGTGCTATCGAGCCCCTGAGGCCTATTTGGATATAATCTCATGACCCTCTGCTGCAGCTACCCTTCCAGCTTCAGCTCGTTTGCTTTCTCCAAGGTTGTGGAAGAAAGTTCAGCTCGCTCGTGGCAGCAGAAGGTTGGTGGGCGGGTGAGTTGAGCGGAAACTGGCACCTGTGGCGAGAATAAAGAGGTCCGCGTTGCAAGTAGCGAGCCGTGCAAGTTGTGAATGCAAGAGACAAGCTGATGCAAGTATCCCAGAAAACATGTGCTTGCAAGTCGTACGGCGTACAGCCTACACTAAGGAGAGTGTAGCAGTGATAGTTTCACAGCATCTATTTCCGGCAGGTGCCACTCTAGCTTAGATCCAGCATTATGTACTGGTATCGTCGAACCGCTCTCTTCTGCGCTTGGGTTGATGCATCGCCTGACAGCCACTGTTCTGGTTTTAGTCCGCATCCGCTTCTCCATACACTCTTATCAGCTTCAAATGAAGGCAGCAGTGGGTCCCGCTGTCCCTTTGGCCGCCTGACCACTTGTGGCTTGCGGCTTGCAATTTCAGTTAGTCAATGTTAGTCAGACATGGAAGCTTCGTGTCTACGAGCGTCTGAGATGGGGGTCTCCCACAAGGCCGGCCCGTTAGTCATGCCAGGCTTACTAGCTCACACTAAATTCATGGCCCTCAGCCTGCTGAATCATGGATGGGACCTGTTTGTGTCCTGCGCGACGTCTCTTTGTTGGTGCCCTGAGAATAGTTTGAGAGTGCTCTGCAGCGAGTGTGCTCAAACTTTTCTCCAAACGAGTTGAACACATATCTTTATGGCGACCGAAGCGATGGCCGTTGAATTGCCGCCTCCTGCTCTTTTGAGACCCCTTCCTGCGCTGCTCGGCCGGGTTCGTCGTGATGCATCGCCCATTGCGACCGTTGTCAAGGACAAGCAGCAGGGAGGGGAGAAATGTTGCTGAAGTGTGGAGCGGGGCACTGAATATTGAACCCTGTATTTGCAGGAGGACAAGTATGACAAGGTGACATTTCAGCCTTCAACCTTCAACCTAACGAAAGAGAGGGCCGTGGCGCTGCAGCTGGAGTTGATGGCCCACTACAACACGCCGGCCTTTCAGAAGCAGCTCCATGAGCTCGCCCGTACACTGGGGCTTCTTGGCACAAGAGCGGTGTTGGATGGTAAATGTTGTTTCTTCACTGGTCTGGCTTTCCAAGCTGAGTAACGGAACATTTCGCAAAAGGAAGACTGTTTCGGAGTACAATACTGGGTGAATTGTTGAGCACAGCAGAAAATGAACCATGACGAAGCTAGCCTGTGTCATCAGGCGAGCACGTACATGAATCCATCCACGCGCCGAACCTAGTAGCTTGAATGCATCCGTAAGGCCCAGCAGCAGCCAATTTCGGTCTGCGCTATGCAAGCTGGTGCGGCGTATCCAGCTCAACGTCATCCCTAGGTACGGCGACTTGCGTTGAACAGTGCTTAGCTTTTGAAGACAAGTGGGCCTTCTGCAACATTGTTGAGAGAACCTAGCACCTCTTCCTGCACTGAGCGTGGCATCCCAACTGTCTCAGCTATGCCTTCATCTCAAGGCTTCGATGGATCTGAAGAGGGGGTCCAGGAAATGCTGCGAGCTTTTAAGGCGCTGGAGAAGGACCCTGACATTGAGGCCCAATGTCATGAGTATATGGAGTAGTTGGACATATATATATATATATATATGGTACCCCCCCCCCCCAGTGACCTACCCTTTTTCGCCTTGTCTTAAGTCATCCAGCTGCACTGCAAGCAAACTCGATGTGCAATATAGCGTGTTTCTTAGGGCGTAGACTAAAAATAAAACTAAAATCCGAATACACGGGCAATTAAAAAACCAAAAACACCAAACCAAAAAAACCCCAAAAACAACCAAAACCAAAAAAAACCCAAAAAAATTACGTGGCAATAACTACGCATTTTTAAGTGTGTTTTTGTACTTGCGAATTTGCTTGTGCATGGCCTTCACGAAGTACTTTTCTAGGAAGATTGTGCATTTTTAAGCTTGCTTCTGCAAATTATGCCTTTCGGACATAGTATATAAGTGGTCTTAATGAAATACTTCAGAAACAAAGATTTCATTGTTATGCAAGTAGAATCCCTTCTATTGCTGTTAGTGTTTATTTCGTATTTTGGTTGAGTATGGTCCTTTAAAAGTAATCACTTGAGTCAAATTGGGTGCTATTTCATGAATATGTAAACATAAGATATTTCAGTGAACTTTTCAGATAGTATTTGATTAATACTTTGCCTAGCACACATGCTATTATGTACAAAGCAGTATTCTTGTGCATGGCCTTTACTAACTATATTTCTAGGAAGGTATATAAGTGGTCTTTATTTAGTACTTGAGAAGTCTTTTACATTGTTATGTAAGTAGAACCGCTTCTATTTCCATTAGTGTTTATTGCATATTTTAGTTGGGTATGGTATTTTGAATAGTGTTCTATTTCCAGTAGTTTTTATTTCACCTTTTGGTTGAGTATGGTATTTTAAATAGTGTTCATTTGAGTCAGATTGGGCTATTTACTTAATACTTACTCTAGTAGATAAATCGCATAGAATGATGATTTCAAAACAAGAAATATTTCATGAATATGTAAACATAAGTTATTACAGTGTACTTTGCAGATAGTATCTGGTTTATACTTTGCCTAGTACAAATTCTTTTTAAGTACAAAGCAGTATTCTTGTGCTGTGGCCTTTACTAACTACTTTTCTAGGAAGGTATATAAGTGGTCTTTATTTAGTACTTGAGAAGTCGTTTACATTGTTATTTAAGTAGAATCGCTTCCGTTGCCGTTCGTGTTTATTTCATATTTTAGTCGAGTATGGTATTTTGAATGGTATCCGCTTGAGTCAGATTGGGCTATTTACTCAATACTCCAGGACTTAGATTCGCATATAATAATAAGCACAGTGTTTCATGAATATGTAAACACAAGGTATTTCAGTGGACTTGTCAGATAGTATTTGATTAATTCTTTGCTTAGTACAAACACAACTGTATCTAAAAAAAAAGTAAATAAATAAATAAAAAATATATAAATATATTAGTTGCGCAACAAAACATTATTTGCCCGTTAAACGCACAATTTGCCTGGAAAAAACCAAAGATCTAAAAACCTAAAACCAGCATTGTCCGCTTCAGATTCAAAATATAGATTAATCCAATGCTGGCTTATCGGGGCCTGCGAGGTGGGTGTCCCAATAGATGTCCTTCATTACCCGGTGATTAACTACGCGACTTTTCGGCCTTCGCTATTCTTTTTTTGTAAAAAGGGCCTAAAAAGGGTAGGTCGCTGGGGGGGGGGGTAGCATATATATATATATATGTCGTCAGCACACATGTTCTGGCAGTATCATGGCTGTGCCGATTTTGTGCAGGTCAACGGCGTGGCCATCAAGGAATTGCTGTCTGTGGAAGTTCCGCCCATGGAAATGAACGAAAAGAACAAGCTCATCGAACGACCTGTTACGAAGCACCGCATCCTGGACCTGTGCCTCAGCTCAAAGCTCTGACCGGCGGGGGGCGGAGGATTCGAGAGGATTTCGATCACTGGCTACGCAAGTAGGAAGCCTGTGCGGCCCTACTTCATTGGTCATTGGCTCTTGGGTTTCAACATTCTCGGTATTTGGAGAATTGGAGGTGTTCCCGTGCTTCAACGTTTGGCGAGGCTGCGCGTCCATCTCATCGAGTTCAGCAAGGCCACTTTCCAGGCCGGGAAGTGCGGAGAGGCCGCAGTGAAGCCAGGCTTGGTGGTTGGCGTATGTTCGCGTTTCGCCAGGCCGACGTGGAAGAGCTAAAAAAATGCGCTGACTACAACTCCGGCCGTGCAGCTCGCCACAGTGAAGACACAGTTGCAAGTGCCGCAATGGTGGCTGCCGAGGTTTTCAACCCGAAAAAGCCAAAGGAGCAAGGCTCGTTAGAAGACATGCATCTCTAACTAGAGGATCTTTCACAACCATTCGACCGGGGGACGATGTAGAGCGGAAATGATTATCCCTTTCGGCTGCCAGGCTTTGAAGACCCTGACGGCTACTATCACCTCGAGGGCCGAGCCTTTGAACAGTGGAAAGGTGGTAGTTGATGAACGTTGCCGAAGCTGCCACGTCTTGCATAGCGCTTGAAGTAGAACTTGAGGCACGGCGCATGGCGCTGCACACAATATTGCATCGGACGTACTGTAGTGCAACACGCAACAATGCAGTGGACTTAGGAGCAGACCTTGCCCTCATCGTTCAGAAGCAGCTGCTGCCTCAGTATGGCTTTGAGCCCTCCAAGGCGCGGCAGCCAGACTGTGGAGGGAGAGAGGAGAGAAAGAGAGAGAGACTGAGAAGAAGAAGAAAAAGAAGCAGGAGGAGGAGGAGGAGAAGGAGAAAGAGAATAAGAACAAGAAGAAGAAGAAGCAGGAGGAGGAGAAGGAGAAGGAGAAGGAGAAAGAGAAGAAGAAGAATAATAATAAGAAGAAGAATAAGAAGAAGAAGGAGGAGAAGCAGAAGCAGAAGCAAAAGCAGAAGAGCAGTAGGAGGAGGAGGAAAGCGAGAGAGGAAGAGAGAGAGGGAGAGGCAGCGTTGGAGCCGGATGGGGGCGCGCTGTCGCGCGGAGGGTTTTCCCTCCAAGCCCCAAAGAAAGAAAGAAAGGGAGAGGGAAGGGAGAGAGAGAGAGAGACAGCGGGCGGACCCCGGGTCCCTCAAGCCCTGTAGAAGAAGAAGGAGAGAGAGAGAGAGAGAGAGACGGGGCGGCCCCCTCGTGGGGTCATACGCATAGCAAGCAAGCAAGCAAGAGAGAGAGAGAGAGAGAGAGAGAGAGGCAGAGAGAGCACCGCTCCGGAAACAGGCGCGGGCGATGACGCCCGGGGGTTCGCCCCCATGCCGCTGCCCTCCGAAAAGAAAGACAGAGAAAGAGACAGAGATATCAAAGTATTAGCGCGGCCTCTTCGCTGGGTAGAAGGAGAAGATGTCAAAGCACAGCTACAGGAGACCCTATTCCGTCAAGTGGGCAGCGCGTTTGGCGAGACCAAAACGGGCAAGGAGAGAGGAGAGCACAACCCAGGCCCAATGCCTCCTCGAGCCTTTGCACAGCAAGAGACGCCCCTTCAACTTCGAGCCGTGGATACAAGAAGTACAGGATTGGAGACTGGAACGAGAACGATGTGGTCGCAGGCCCACGACAACTTCGGCGACACGCTTCACACCCAGGCCATGGACTACATGCACGAGGAAGCCACCCAATGGTCACGAGCCCGGGGATCCCAGCCAACAGTGAGCGATGCAGCGACCTCACCACCGAGGACGGGCGGGCCGAAGGGACGGAGCAGCTCACGCAGGGCCAGATGGAGAGTGAAGCTGGGAGACCATCACGCGTGGGGACCGGGACTTTCAGATCATACGGAAGCGTCCAGCCGTGGGAGCCAATGGCAGTGGAAGGGTCGGAAGCTACCCAACAATGGGGACCGCCGTCGAGAAGGGAGACGCCTGAGGAAGCATTAGATGGAGCAACATGCACCTCTACACAACGGGACACCTAACATGCGAACCGCTGGTTCACGCGAGACACATGGAGCAGTGGGCCGTCGTGGCCGGGGTCCGTCCGCGAGGGGGGGCCTCTCCTTTGAGTAGAAGAAGAAGAAAACGAAGAATAAGAAGAAGAAGAAGAAGAATAAGAAGAAGAAGAAGAAGAAGAAGAAGAAGAGAGAGGCAGCCGGCAGCAGTGTACCGTCCGCGTATAAGGGGACCTGCTTCGCAAGTACTCTGTGTGACTCGACTTTTCGGTGTTCTGTCAAAGGAGGCGAGAAAGAGGCTGTAATTCAAGATCTTGTTTTCCGTGGAGTGTGCACGGGAGGAGGAACGCAAGCCACTGTACATGGAGTGAGGCATAAAGTGGGGGGGGAAAAACGGAGAGGGGGTCGATTCCTCCCCCCGAACAAAACCCGGACACTGGGGCGCGCTGAATGCGCGGGGGCCTCAACCCAGAAAGAAAGGAAGGAAGAATGGAAGGAAGAAAGGAAGGAAGAAAGGAAGGAAGAAAGGAAAGAAGCAGTGCACTTTGCCGAAGCCCCATGAGAAGGAAGAAGGAAGCACTGCACTCATATCACGTTTCAGCTTGCGGTACATTCTGGAGTTCTGGGCTGACTCTGCTTGGCTTCTGCTTGTCCCTGCGCGCGTGGTCGGTCACTCTTGGGCGCTTGACAGGCAGGCGTGCAGGACATGATCCGACAGGGACTCAGATCGCATGATCAGGAGAGTTTGACACTCTTGCATTCGCCCTTCTTGGCTTGCGTAAGGATTGCTGAAGCCGGGCACGCCAATGACATGCGCGTGCTTCACTGAGGCCACTGCGCTCCCTTTGTGCAGGACCGTGACGTGGCCAATCTTTTTGACCGCGTGAACGAGTGGCTTGACTGGAAGAGATGCCCAGGTCCATTGAACTTGGCAATTGCTCTCGAGATTTTTTTCTGCGGATGCCCCTTTTCCTGACCAGGAAGCTTGGTATGTCGACAGCTGCCTGCCAACGCTTCAGGGAGCTTGTCGCGCAATTGTCGTGACCGACAGGGGAGCCTCAGCAAATTTGGACGGTGCTGTTTGGAGTTTTTTGTTTTCAGTAGTCTCAACCTCGACCGTTGGCATAAGGCTTGGAGAGCAGAGGACCAAATTTGAATTCAGTGACGTGCTCCAGATGCAAGAGGACTCTAAACTTCTAGTGCTGATTCCATCAACGGGAGACATGCAAGATTCTGCAAGATGCATCCGTATTCCGTCCGAGGGGCACGAGTTCCGCACCCCCTGCGCAGTGAACAGATCTTCTGTCACCTGTGCAGAATGTGCAAGTCAAAGCAGCAACAGCAGGCTGCATGTAAATATTATACTTCAATTCACGCAGTCTCTTTAAAGGAAAGAGTCTGAGAATCAGAATGGTCTTCCATTCCTTCGCATGAAGCGTCCAGCGTTGCTTGCTCGACGTTTGCCGGCTTGTACAGGAGAACCCCCAGGTTGAGCTTCGGCACTTCCACCGTAAGATGCCGTAAGTTTGGGATATGCTGGGGTGTTTTCAAGTGGGAGTGTGGATTCTCAGCACCTGGGCATTATTTAAAGATGCTCCATCGGTTCAAAGAGCAGCTTTGAAATTCGAGAGGTTCATGGCCGTAACGGCAGCATGCGAAAAAGTCATCCGTGCTCTCAGCATCCCATGGTGATATGCAGTGAACGTAGTGCTGAGGTGTCAGGAGTTAACTCGCAGCTCAGCTCTTTAAGATTTCCTGTTTGACACTCTACTCGTCTCAAATCAGCGGAACAGAACATATGTTCAGAAGGCATTGAGATTTGTCTTTCTGAGGCGCTGAATCGCAAAAGCGGCAGGGCATCACTTGTTGCCGTGGTTTCTTTCTCAAGGGTTGCTTTGTGAACGGCAGCTGCGTCGAGGATGCTGGCTTTGCCCTCGGGCTCACCTCACCAATCCCATGAAGCCCGCACTGTCTGTTGGACCTTCAGGTCATTTTTGATGACTAGTTGTCACCAGCCCTAGGCGCAGGCTGTCCAGGCCCTACTTCGGCTGATTTTGCACAACCTGAAACAGGGCATTCTCTGAATCCGAGCTGTTGAAGATGAAACGTATCTTCGGGCCGATCGGGCCTGAACAACTTCAGGCCGGGGGGCAAAGCTCCCACAAGGCTCCCTGCCGGAGCCCCATTGAACCTCAGCGATCCTAAGTGCCTAGGCACAATCGGTGCTTCTATAAAGCTAGTTGGCGGGTATGCTCTCAGGAGCCAGTTAGAAGGAACATGTCTCCACTGGCACGCGGCCGCCTCGTTGGTTGACGCATGGAATGCCAGTTCGAATTCGCGAAGCAGCATATCCAGGTGCTTGCGCACACCTGGCTCTGCCACGGGTTCCTCGAATCCACAGCAGGCCAGGCTGCAGCATGTTGCTGCACTCAACGGATTTCTAAACTCTTCGCTGCTAATTGTACTGCTTGGGCGCAGATATCCACGTGCCGTATTCAGCACTGCTGCTTCAGAGTCTCGAGACTTGGCCGCCGCCTTGCACGCTAGTGAATAGGGCACGGAGGGCAGGGACTGAGCCTGCTCAGGCTGTTCAGGCACTTCCTCCGCCTCCTGTCGTCGAAAGGTGCCTTTGCTGTGCATGACCCGCCCCAAGTAGTGGCTCAGAAGCAAAGATGTAGAGCAGCAATGGGCCAGGCCTTCGAAGAGCTCGGCCATCAAGCTTTACTGGAAGCTGGCCAAGGCCAGGACAGGAGCCGACTGGAACGAGCTGTGTGAATCAGATTGCCTAAGGGCAAGCTTACCTTGTGGGTGTCCTTATCAGCACGGGCCTGAGACACTCCTGAGACACTCCAGAGGCGAAGACCAGGTAGGGACGGCCCTAGGTGCGGAGCGCATCCGCGGGTGGTTCTTGTCATGCGAAGGGCTTCATGGCTGGCTTAATATCCGCAAAGACTCGCACGAATAACGCGGTCGCTTTGCCGGCTCTTCGTGGCAGACTGCCAGTGCAAAAGTGGGTGTTTCTTTTTCTGGTCAGCCGGCTGGACTGTAGATGCGAGTCCTGACTCATCGGAAACTCACGATTGCTTTCGCAGGACGTATCTACAGTCGACCTAATTCCTCGACCAACAGCAGATGGGCCTGTAAGGCCTTCGCACCACTCAAGCCCTGTAGCAAATGCTTTTCAGGCAATGCTCTCAGAAGTGAGCAGCAGTCTGCAAAAGGCTGTAAACACAAGGCAAGGAAGGTAAGTTGCGTGACACCATCATCATAATGCGCCGGGGGGATGTTCGCGCGCCCGCACGCCCAAACAGTACAGAGTGCTGAAACCTCTGTCCCTGCCGAGGAAGTCATAGTGTACACCAATGTTGCTCGAAAATTGCTTATTTTTTCTGGCTTCACTGGGCCTTCCACGCGGCGTGCCGTTCAAAACAGCCCGTTTGCATCATGCTTGACGTCGCAGTAGTGCCCAGGATCGCATCCTACACGTCCGGCTCATGCTGTACGATAAAGATGCAGAGCTTGAAGGATCGTTTACCCAGGCTTCCGCAACAAGCGACGAGCAGAAAGCAGCGTGGTATGCGCATTGCGAGACGCCATTCTGCCTAAGGCGCCGACGTAGTTGGTTTTTCCAACAGCAATTTGACTCTCGCACTGGTTGTCTCCGCCAACCACACGAATATTTCTTCCCTTAGGAGAGAGACACGCAGCTGGCTTCTTTGCCACAGCAGCCTTCTTAACAACGCGAGCCTGTTTAGGCTGGAAAGAAGACGCGGACATGGATGCTTTTGGCCACAGAGCGACAGTCCATGTCCGCACGATGATAGCGTCCGTGTGACCAGTGCGTGCGAGTGGCCAGAGCATCCACCTCCGCGCGATGATAACGTCCGTGTGACCAGTGCATGCGAGTGGCCAGAGCATCCATGTCCGCACGATGATGACCAGTGCGTGCGAGTGGCCAGAGCATCCACGTCTGCATGATGATAGTCCGTGTGACAAGTGTGTGCGATCCATGTCCGCAGGATGGATGCTCTGTGGCCACTCGCACGCACTGGTCACACGGACGTTATCATCGTGTGGACATGGATGCTTTGTGGCCACTCGCACGCACTCTTCACACGGACGCTATCATCGTGCGGACATGGATTGTCTGGCCACTTGCACACACGCACTGGTCACACGGACGTTGCCATCGCGCGGACATGGATCCTCTGGCCACCCGCGCGCACTGGTCACACAAACGTTATCATCGTGCGGACATGGATGGCCTGGCCACTCGCACGCACTGGTCACCCGGACATTATCATCGTACGGAAATGGATGCTCTGGCCATGCGCATGCACTGGTCACACTGGTTATCATCGTGCGGACATGGATGCTCTGGCCATTCGCACGCACTGGCAGCTAAACATGGCATCTAGCAGTTTTTGCATGAGTTGATGCAGACAAAGCATTTCCTGCCGCGCCGAAACACTGCATTTTTGCAGTGTTTTTGGCATGCGACCCACACGAAACACTGTAAATACCGATGCAAAACCATGCAAGAAGCGTCTGGAAAAAGGAGGCCCCGAAAGCACTGCGCCCCCACCCCCCTGGTGTTTTCGGCATGCGACACACACGAAACAATGTAAATCATCCGACTGGAGGGATCATCACAACGAGAGGTGCAAGCCGATGTACGCAATGATTTTCAGCCCCTTGTGGAATTTCAAGTCAGCTTGTTGCACAGGGTAAATTGTTTCGTGTCGTGCTATGTCGTGCTCTCAAACGAATGCTACAAACGACGCATACTTCAGCTCAGGGGAACCTAGTCGCAACACCGAAGTCTGAGGCAATGCCAGGCTATTTCCTGGCGCTGCCAGGCGTGATCGAGCCATCAGTTGCTGCTGCTTTGCGGGGGGCATAGATGCGATCTTTCCAGCTTGCAGAGCACAATTTTCACTCTAGACATCAGACGAGCAACAGGAAAAGGCATGCGCATCTAGGTTTGTGGGAACCTTCTTGACGTCTTCCTCGGCCCAGACTATGAACCAGATGATCGAGGCTTGGCCACGAGAGGCTGTGAGGTCATCCGCACAGGCAGCGCTAGACGCAGTCTGGACGGGATGCACATTGACATCGGTTTCAAGCTACTGGAAGCAAGTATGATGCGAAAACTAGGGGGTCGGTCTAAACCCCTTGTTTGTCAACGCCAGTAGAGGGGCTCAGGGGCTTGACTTCAAGGTGGCATGTGTTTTACCTTTGTAGCTAGCGTGCGCAAGTCCGGGCGGAAGCGGTCCCATGTGGTTTTGCTTTTACTTTTTCTTGCACGAGTCCACACCATGGCTTCTAGCAAAGCCCCACGGGAAGCGGGCCTTCAGTTCGAGCACTGGCTCCACAGGCCAATCTGCCGGCCCACCGGCAAAAGCATGTCTTTTCGGGTGGTTGCAAAAAAAAATGAGGTTTTCGACGGGTACCGCCAGGCACCGACGAGTACTTACAGCTTCTCAACATGCAAACATGTAAGTTGTTGAGGCTAGCTCCCCAACAGGCCATCGGCGTTGCGAACATAGGAACCAACACCCCCACCACTGCACCACCCTCCGCCCCCACCCAGGGTCCTGGGGCATTGCGCAGGCGCGCGGACGAGCAACAAACCTGCTAGTCCTTCATGGTGTCATTCCGGGTGGGGGTGGTCTTGTCTGGCTCGTGTCTGGACCGCGGCCGGCTTTCTGAACAAATCGTTTTCGTCTATGGGTCAGGATCTCCCCGGGACCCCGGCAGTCGCACCACTTGCGCATGGCGACGCGAAAGACTTTCGGGCAGCTAAGCTTTTGAAAGATGGAAATGGCTGAACATGTGTCGCGAAGTGCCTGTATACCATGGTCATCCACGGTCTGATGAAGTTTTGAGAGCATTCCCCTGTATCGCATGTACTGCAGCCAGGTGGATCGCGACGCCCGCATGAAACGTACTGCAATGAGACCGCTTCCGTTAACAGCTCAAATCGGGAGCTTCTGCCAATGCTGGATGTGTGCTTGATATTGCTTGATGAGTTTGCATGCCCAGGTCAGGACAGCTAACCTCCAATGAAGCAGCGCGAGCTCGTCTCAGCATGTCTCAGCAGCCATTTCGCCGGTGAGTGGTGCTCTGTATCACTGCGTCAGCTGACCCCAGGCTTCGCAGCAACGGCGGGTGCTGTAGGCCTGGCTACACTGGGTGCTCGCTGCTAAGTTGGGTGCGAGCTTGCTGGACAGTTGCTCGTTGCATTGCAGTTTGCATCTTGCCCACCACCCAGATCGGCACCACGGGCTCTACCGCTGCAGTGGCTGCAACAACGATGGTGGGAATCTCGGCCACAGCACGCGCACACTTACACTGACGCTTACACTTACACTTCGATTGCACTGACACGTACACGTACATGTATGCCTGCAGATACACGTTTAGTAATTGAAGTGCGGGAGTAAATTCAAACGACACTTGCACAGGCGATTGCTCTGAGATTCTTTTTCTCGACGCGCAAAAGGCTCCAGATCGCTTCAGCCATAGGCGAAGGTTTTGCACGTGCGTCAAACACCAGGAACAAAAACAAGCCGTCGGAAGCTGTCGGGGAACACAGCAAAGGGGCTGATGCTTCTGGTATGATCTGTCATGCGGGGTCTTGGTGTTTTTTTAGATCCGGCCCGTGCGGGAGGCCAGGATGTGCTACGTACACACACACACAAACACAAGCAGGAGCACAAGCACAAGCGCAAGCGCAAGCGCAAGCGCAAGCGCAAGCGCAAGCGCACACAAACTCCCTTGCACACTGTCTTGCATTAGGCTGGCGCTCAATCGTGTTCGGCTGACTCCACCAGTCCACCAAGCATGTGAGGTTGCGTACCTGACGATGCATAGCCGTGTAGCCTTTTTAAAGCATCATTCTGTCGCTTGGATGCTGAATCTTGTTGAGGTGACATATGCTGCGGTGTACACTCCATTGAAGGCTTGGTGTTGTTGGGGCACTGTTTGCGTGGATGCTCGCGCTCCTCTGTAAGCCGATGACGTCGTGCAGAAGATTTTTAACCGCTAACGGAGGCCGCCTCGGCAAGGGTACCGAGGCTGTTGCAGGGTACACGGGGTGGGCGGCAGGGGAAAGTTGACAACGATGTGGGGGTGGGGGGGACCATTCTCATGAAGGTTCCCTAGACCTGGATCTAAACGCCGGCCTCCGGCCTCGGCGGATCAGCCATTGCGGATGCCTTTTGTACTGCCGACACCTCAAAACAACACCCAATGCACAAATCATTTGCTCCAGATGGTCTGAATGGGAGGTTCGGAGCCCGTACAACACTCACGTTGGTGCCATCAGCGGGTCGCTTGCCGTCTCTAGCCACCATGTCTCTGCGGCGTTGGTCGTGTGATAACAAACCAGTTGAGGTCCTTGCCAACCCTTATGGGTTTCACGGCGGCCTTGAGCACTGGCTTATGTGCCACCAGCCTCATGTACTTCCCTTCTTGAGAGAAGACTGCTGCACGCTGCCGTATGCAAACGCTCAGGTTTCACCGTGGTTACCACATGCTGCCTGGCTATTCGGGACACGATGGGTCCTACATTCTCGATGGGCCATCCGGGGACATCCCGCTGAATCCCGCTTTTTTTGGCTGGCGCAGGATGCAAACCCTCTGGCAGATGCCGCATTTCTACTCGCTTGCATGGTCAAGTCCTTGGATCTTCAAAGTGTTCTTTGCAACAGCAAGCCATGAATTCCCTGAGGCTGCACAGAAGTGACTACCTCAAAGGAGGCTACACCATGCTGCCCGTCAGCAGAAGACATGCAGGTGTTTCGGAACAGCAGATGCTCCTCCCACCACCAATGCAACACATGCAACTAGATGTGTTCATCTGAGGTTTCCGCTGTCTGATGCTACAGGCACAACTGACCCTGCCTGCCTGTCTGGATATAGTTTGTTCTTACTGATACAGTATCACAGTCGCGAGCAGGTACGGAAACAGCTGCAATGTCCAAACCGTACTTAGTGGCGCTGTGCATTCTGCCGCACCCTTAGCACCAGCTGTTCTGGCCAACAGAAGACCGACTCACGCTTTGACAATTTGAGGTGAGTCTGGGAGCTGTTTTCTATGGTTCCGCGATGTGGGGTGATGTGGGGCTGGGGTTTTCACAGGCCTTGGGCCATGTCGGCCAGCGGATCTGCTTCTTGGATGCTGCCGGCCCAGTTCCCAGCCGCTTCTTGAGTTGTGCAATCGTGAGCAAGGCCTTGCATGATCTTGAAACCTCCACCATGCTATCTTCCCTGCTCTCTGAAGGTTGGAGCCACATTGCCCAGTCTTTTCTGGTTCTGACCACAGCTGTGATCTGTGCAGCAGCTGTTGTGCGAGAGCTCTGCCATGATTGTTCCTTTTCCGGTAGCACACCAGCTCCACAGCCGGAATCTTTGAACAGCCAAGACACTGGTCAACTCAGACACGAGAAAGCAGTTCTTGATTTCGGATCCTCCGCTCACACCTTCGCCTCTCGCGGTCGTTGTTCCTTTGGCGCCTTCTCTGGGCTCGACGCCCCATGACGCCCTACAGCAGACCCGGTTGCACCAAGCCCTTCCCCGCCCTTCAGCACACCATTCGCTGGACAGAAAACACAGGGTGTTGGATTTGTTGGATGCTATTGGATGGACCAGTCCTCTCAGTACGACATACAAGTTGCGGGACTAACAGTCACGAGCATGAGCTCTCATGATACTCATGCCTCCCCAATCGATGACATGAAGGTCATCGTTTGATGCAATGCAATGTGAGGCGGTCTTGTCCGAACCGGCAGTATCCGACTTTACCTTGTCGTGCTATCTCAATGTTCTTGCCGAGTCGACTGACGCCTCGGAGGTCTTGGCATCTGCAGGTGTGTGAGTACCAAAAGCAGATGCGTTCCGATCATTCCAGCATGCCATTATTTGAGTGGAAGGGTGGTTTCTTTGATCCAACGACTTCCCGGGTTCCCTTTTGTTTGTGCTGTCTGGCACCGTGCCTGCACGGCGCTGTTGCGTGCCATCTGAGTGGGTAGCATCTGGTTGAGCTGTGGATACGTTAGGGCACAAGAAAGATATGCACCCAAGCAAGCTCTGGCTCTCTGAGTGGTGCGAGCATGCTCTGGGCTGGGCCAATAAGGAGTTTCTAGGAGAGATTGGAAAGGACTAGATGGGATTAAGTAAGAGGTTGCAAGGTTTCTGCTGCCCTGTTCGGACGTGCCGAACCCTTCGAACCGTTGGTGAATGGGCATGGGCGCATCTTTAGGCAAATATCGGAAAGTCGTTGCGCCTGAGGTGGCGCACACTCAAAGACTTCGAAAGACTGCCCAGTGCTACCACATGCAGCGACATGCTCAGCAACAAGTCTGCTGCCACTCCTTGAGTCTATCTACATCTGCACATCTTGCATGTCCATCCCTGCTGCAAGGGCGCTTCTTTCTCGGTTCCCTGCGTTTGCCCTAGCTTAGCATCGTTGCAGAAGCGCCTGAGTTCCAAAGCTGCAGCACTACTCTTACATGAGCATGCTCCCGCTGGCACAACATGAGATAGGTCTTGTTGACAGCTGCATGAAGGTCGTACTTGATATCGATGCTGGCGCTCTTCACTGCATGTGCACGGTCGTCAGACGACAGCCGCGTGGCTGAGAGTGACCAGGCTCATTGTGGCGGCACACGCTGCTTTGCTACCAGTATCGGCGATTCTAGATATCTCTTGCGCCCACGGCCACGGGGCTTGGCGGATTTCTTATTCTTATGGATGCGACAGCAGTTTCTCACCTGTGCAGGGAGCCCCATGCCCAGATCGAAGTATCCTCGAGCCCTCGTGGAGAGCAGCTCGGGCCAATTTGAAATGCCAATCTTAAGCCTTTGTCGAATAGTGCCTAAGCCCAAATGATGTGCTACACAGCGGATCTGAGCAGCTGAGGCCTGCATGCGCTCCTACCTGCTGGGCGCATGTCCTCATGAGCAGGTTGGGCCTCGCCTCTTGATCGTTCGGACCCCTACTTGAGCTGCAGCAGTCATGACACGTCCGCCCTCGAGCAGGTGTGTCGCGATCTTCTTCACACGTGTGGACAGACTGGAGGAAGGGTCAGAATGTGTCAGTCAATCGAGCTGAGAAGCATGATCCATGGCTTCAGGATGTCCCTTGGCAAAGAAGCAGCTCGGATCTGCAGCTGCAGCTGAATGATGAAAATTGCAGTGATTGCAATGATTACTGTTTGAGAGATAATACAGAGGAAATGCAAGTCCTTGAATTTAGTAGGTCCAGATGTCCATGACTATTCATATGACCCCGGACATTTTCATGAATATTCCTATATTTATGATAATTGATTTAGGAGAGATAATCATGGCTATTTTCAGATGATTATCTCACCTCATAAGAATCATGCTCCGTCAATATTACATTTTTTATTTGATTGACATTCAGGGCCCACCACGCTGAAGCTCGCCCTACGACCGGAATCCGGCTTGCAAACTTGGCCCCGGAAATCATGTTTTCAAGCAACCTAAACCAGCTCAAGAGATGAATTGATTGTTTGGTAGGGAGGAAACTTCGCATGTCACTCATAACATTTTTCTTCTAAAGTGTTGGTTTCTGTGGGACTTCACGTGGCGCCCGCGTTCTTCTGCGCGGGAGCACACTGGGTTTCGTTGGGGCCTGCGTTCTTCTGCGTGGGAATGTACTAAAATTCGGTGGGGCCGGACGGGGCCGGCGTTCTTCTACGTGGGATTGTGTTAGGTCTCGGTGGGTCTCGCGTTCTTCTGCGTGGCCGTATTGGGTCTCGGTGGGACCGCGTTCTTCTATGGGGATCGTATACCGGTTTCGGCGGGATTCGCGTTCTTCTATGTGGGACCGGACCGTGGGTTTCGGCGGGATTCGCGTTCTTTTGCGTGGGATCGAACTGGGTTTTGGGGAGGTCTGTGTTTTTCTACGTGGGATTGAATCGGGTTTCGGTGGGACGTTCGTTCTTCTCTGTAGGATTGCGTTGGGTATCGGTGGAGTCTGAGTGTCTGCCTAGTCGATTCGGAATGGGCTTATTATATTGGGGTGGATTTATTTTTGACGTTGTTAAATGGTCAATCGTCCGATTTCAATACGAGGGATCTAAATAATATCGTAGGAATATCGTTAGGCAAGTATGGGCGAGACATTTATCGGAAGGGCTTCTACAATGCCCGGAAATATTATAATAAGGTCCGTGCAAATATCTCGGATATTATAATTCCATTAATGCTTGGCATCAAGGTGCCGGTTTGACATATAAAATAAATAAAATCTATATAAAATACGTGGTTTTCGGCTTCGTTTTTGGGGAAGGGCAGAGAATTTGCGGCCGCCCCATGGGTCCAATTTTGGAACCGTAGAATTGTCGTTTTTGGGGTCGCCCTTTTGGCGCCAAATATTTGTTTATTTGTCGGTTATTTTCGTGGTCTGGATTCCGACCCGTTCGATGGGTCCAAGAAAATGACCCACGCATATTCAGGCGGCCATCGCACTGACATTTGCCTTACGACCGGAATCCGGCTTGCAAACCTGGCCCCGGATATCATGTTTTTAAGCAATCTAAACTAGCTCAAGAAATGAATTGATTGTTCGGTAACGAGGAAACTTCGTATATCATTCATAATGCTTTTCTTCTAAAGCGTTGATTTCTATGGAATCATATGTGGCGTCCACGTTCTTCTGCGTGGGAGCATACTGGATTTAGGTGGGTCCTACATTCTTCTATATGGGAATACATTAAAATTCGACGGGATCTCTTCTATATGGGACCGTACCAGGTCTCGGTGGGGTCCGCGTTCTTCTGCGTGGCCGTACTGGGTCTCGGTGGGATCCACGTTCTTCTATGAGGGGTCGTATCGGGGGGACCCACATTCTTCTGTATGGGATCGAACCGTGGGTTTCGGTGGGGGATCGAACTGGATTTTGGGGAGATCCACATTCTTCTACGTGGGATTGAATCGGACACTCGTTCTTCTGTGTGGGGTCGCGCTGGGTATCGGCGGGATCCGGGGGATCCCTCCATTCTTCTATATGGGACCGTTCGCCCCATTTGGATTTTTCAAGGCAAATTAGGAGAAGGGGAGGGCTTCGCTGGATCATTTTGATCGTGTAATTGTAGTATTGTAGTCCAAGTGCCTGCCCAGCCGGCGCGTTGGCGTGTGATCTGCACAACCTGGAATGGGCTTGCCATATTGATAGACTTGCTTTTGGTGCCGCCAAGCGATCATCCATCCGGCTTCAATACGAGGGGCTCAAATAATGATTGGGGGAATCTGAAGCCATTACTTATCATGAATATTCATGAATATCAAATTCTTCTAATGGAATATAGAATTTATTTTATTATTGGGGACGAAATTAGAATCTTTATCTCCTTGAATTAATCTATGAGATTGTCTTTTCTTATATAATGAATCATGAATATAAAAATAATTTCACGTATTATTTTCATTTATAATATTCATTGAGATTGCCATTAATTTGATAAAAGATTTCTATATTAATATATCGGATATTCAGAGAATTTTGTCATTTGAGATTTGCCGGGATCTGCTCTGTCGTCAATGATTCGGGATATATTTCGGGATGAATAAATTTCGTGGATTTCGTGATATTATGCATTATTAAATTTGAATCTCCCCTAAAAAATCAAATTATATCTTTTCTCTTCATCATTAGAATATAGATTTCTTCATTCGGGAGATCTCGAGAATTTAAGATTGAATTATTTGGCAGAAAATATCATTAGGCGAATCAATATGATGGAAATTTCGGATCTATAAGATCGGAGAAGATTCCATCAGGAAAACCAAGATTTGATATAATTCAATCACGATCATATCTTCATTATTGGATTCTATGATAATTCTTGAAGAATTATCCGATATATTCCTATAATAAAATCTCGATATATTCATTCTTGCCTAATAAAAATATATCCATTAAATTAAGCATTATCTTTATATTTCTGCTAATAAATGGCGAAACTTCGAATTGAAATCATAAATCAATTAGAGGGGACCCATCGATTCCATCGACGACATATTCGCATACTAAGTTTGAGAAATAGTAAGGGAAGATCTTTGCAGAGAAGCGCGCTCCAAATAGGAAAAATTTGGAGATTTTCTGAGAATCCCGGAACAAGCAGAGTAGAGGGGAGAAACCACAACGAAAAGAGAAGGCTCGCGTAGTTGTTTAACAAACGAAAAAGTTGTGGCAATCTCACCTGAGGCACGCATCTGAGAGCAAGACCCACAAGGCTAGTATCCGAGCCGAGCAAAGAAGAATCTCAATATTTACGATTTGATTGGATCCATAAAATATGATAATTCAGACTTGCAATATGATGGAACGGCACCAGATTTCGGACTTAGCAGCATGGAACTTGCAGGTCCAGAGCTGCTCTGCAATGCACTCTGCAATGCACGTTGCAATGTGCACTTTGTATGCGCTATATTTTGACTCATTTCCCTTTGACACCATGCCTGTTAAAACGCACGCTAAATCCACAAAAGTTGCGCCAGCGCCAGGTTCAAGTCGAGCAGCCCATTGACCTGGGGACGCAGTTGTGAGAAGAATGACCAATGACTTGTAGAGAACGGCTGCAACACCCGCTGGTTTTCTAGTTGAGAGGTTCCCATCACGCAACAAATGAACACATTCCCAATTCAATTCCAGGCTCGGTCGCGGGCGAAGAGCTACAGCGTGGTGCTGCTGCACCTGCAATGCACGCTACAATGCGCTCTGCAAGGCGTTTTGCGTACACTCGGCATGCACTTTGAAGACACTGTGTATACCCCTTGTATGCACCTTGTACGCGTGGGATGCTCTGGTGACCCGTCCGTCTCCCTACAAAGCGTCCTTGACCCGCAGTCCCCCTGACAACATCATACAGAAAATTTTCTCCAACGCCAGGTTTAAGTCGAGCAGGCCGCTGACCTGGAGATGCAATTGGGAAAAGAACACCAATGGCTTACAGAGAATGTCTGCTGCAATCACTAGTCTTCTAGTTGAACGATTCCCATCATATAGCAATTCCGCACATTCCCAATTCAAGTCCTGGCTCGGCCGCGGGCGAAAAGCTCCAGGGCGGCGCTGGGCGAAAAGCTCCAGGGCGACGCTGCTGCACAAGCGTGAAAGGTCAAATGATCCCTCATGGTGAGTTTGTTGTTGCTGTGAGTCTGTTGTTGCTGATATGCGATCGTGAGGCCGAGCTTCTTGAACAATTGCTGGGCGACGACATTGATATTCATTAAAGATTTGGTTGTAAATTGATGCTTTTGGGAGCACAAGTCTCTTGCACCAGGGCGGCGCTGCTATACAAGCGTGAAAGGTCAAATGATCCCTCATGGTGAATTTGTTGTTGCTGTGATTCTGTTGTTATTGATATACGATCGTGAGGCCGACCTTCTTGAATAGTTGTTGGGCGACGACATTAACACTCATTAAAGATGAGGTTATAAATTGATGTTTTTGGGAGCATAAATCTCTTGCACCAGGGCCGTCATCTTAACTATCCTGCAGAAGTCCAGAAACCCGAAAAAAATCAAGAAGAAGAAGTAAAATAACCGACAAAGAGGTCACAGAGCGAAAATAAGAGTCGAGCCCGTAACCTTTTATAGAGACACATTTCTTAAATAATACGATTTCATATGATAATAATCCAAATAATGAAAATAAATATCCATATTAAAATTCATCATTCTTTATATAATTATTTATTTCTATTAGCAAATGAAATCTTCGATCAATGAAAGAATAATAATAAGCCAATGAATAAATATATAAGAAACATATTCATATAAGAAATCCATATAATTAGAATCTAAGAAAAATAAAGATTTACTAGAGGGGACCCGTCGATTCCATCGACGACATATTCGCCTATTGAATAGAAGAAGACGTACGCCAAAGCTTTGAAGAAATACGGACAAATAAAAGATCCACTTAATTTCGGGATCCCTTTATAACATTCTGAGAGCCTGGCACACGAGCGTCAATAAGAATTCGAATACGAATGATGAAGTGGGAAGGCAAGATTTAGGGATTGTCGCTCGGATTCGGAAATTTATTCTATAAATGGAATTCATCATCCAAGCATTATGTGCGCCTAAACAAATAAAAGGAAATCCTCATCCACGAGAGTAAGATGAATTTCGAATTCTCCAAGATACCTCGATATGCTTAAAAATCCGTCATCACCCCCAATTACAAGTCATCCCATAAAGACGAAAAAAGAATAAGAAGAATCGAAGATTCCTAAATATAAAGAATCAAAAATGAGATGACCCATCGATTCAAAAAATATTCTGATGAAATGGAATATAATTTCAACCTCCTCCAATAATATCCATCATATTCAAGAAATAGATTCGACCCATAATCCTGCACGAAGGATATCCTACAAAGAATTCGAATGAAAAGAAATTCATAAGTCATTCTTATAGATCCAAGAAAATTGCGATGGCATCAAGACGTTGGCTTTCGATAATATTATAGAATCCCCGCTATGAATCGAAATTCAAATGATCCAAACATTCCTGAAAAGAAGATCCCAAACCACAGACCCCCCACCACGAGACCCCCACCACGAGACCACCACCACAAGACCACCACCACGAGACCACCATCACAAGACCACCACCACGAGACCACCTCCACGACCACCAACACAACCACCCGCATGGACCCCCACCACGGACCACCGCCACGGACCAACCCCCACGGACCACCACCACGGGACCACCACCACGGGACCACCACCACGGGACCACCACCACGAGACAACCACCACAGGACCACCACCACGGAACCACCACCACGAGACCACCACCGCGGACCACCGCCACGGACCACCGCCACCCGACCACCACCATGGGACCACCACCACGGGACCACCACGACGGCCACCAGGGACCACCACCACCACCACGGACACCGCCACCACCACGACAGACCACCACTACCAAAGGAGCACCACCACCACGGGACCACCACCACACTGTGGGACCACCACGACGAACACCACGGGACCACGGACCACCACCACGGGCATTCGGGAAAACCCCCCAAAACCCCAGCCTGTCAGCCCCAACCCCTCAGCACCCCAAAACCACCCACCCCCCACCACACCCGACAGAACCCAAACCATTACAACAAAAGCAAAAAACAAAACCCCTCCAAAACACGACAAAACTCCGGACACAAACCCTATACAGTTTCTATTAAACCCAAAACCCTACACCGTAAAGCGTAAAACCCTGAACCCGGGGCATCCCGAAAATTCCCGGAATTTAAATTCCTAGGATTTTTCGAGAGCTGTTGCTGATATGTGATCGTGAGGCCGAACCCCCTTGAACAGCTGGCGGGCGGCGACCGTCATCGGAACTACCCTGGACCAAGAGATTTCCTTGAAGATTTCCTTGAAGGTGAAGGGGCACCCACGTCATCACTGTTGCGCTGGAACCTTAAATCCAACCCGGCAAGCCCAAACCTCAATCCGGACAATTCCTAAAATTCCGGGAATTTTCAGCTCCGGGTGATTCCCAAAATTCCCAGGATTTTTAAACAAAAAGTGTTAAAATTCCCGGAATTTTCAGGATCCCCCTGCAAGGCCCTCACAAGCAGCCAAATGGACCGGAAGAGGAGGCGGGGCATCCGACGGGGCGGCCGCAGAGCGAAAATAGGGGTCGAGCCCGTAGCCTTTTATGGGGATATATTAATATATCCATATAACAAGCGCGATAAAACGACAAATATTCAATACGCCGACATCACAATCAATTATTATATGACGAAACGAACTCATTAATAAAAGAATATCAAACATCATAAAATGCATTACAACCTCGCAAAAGAAAAACCTGAGAGCTCAGAAAAATATTATCACTCCAAGCACAAATACAAGAAAATTTCAAGAACTTAGAGATTCGTATAGAATTTCGTATCATAAACAAACCCCCTAGAAAAATATTATAAGCCCAAATTCAACGGAAACCAATTCATTCAATAATCAATAATCCCATAAAAATTAAGGAGTAGGAATTATCCTGATGGCAAATTTTCGTATTCACGATGCATAGGTTCTAGAATGAATATCGCACGTTAGATTTTTTTCATAAGTCGGCGTTGCTTAAAGAAGATGCAATCCCTCGAAATTCGAATAGAAACAGATTATTGGATACGATCTATCTATAACCCCTATTTTGTATGGATCGTCTTTTCAAAGCTGATTCCCCATTTGAATATTTTCTATGATCCTCGAACGAATCTAGCATTTGAATAACATCATCGGTTATGAATCTCGTGTGACCTCTACACACATCACGTCCAACCGAGCCACTATCCACATCTGCTCGCACTTGCGGCTTTGCCGACGTGCCATCTCAAAGCAGAACGCCCAGGTACTGAGCCTTTGGGTACCTGGCTGCACATATCCCAATACATGTCCCAGACTGCTGACCACGATCCACACTGAACACAAGTCCCATGCTTCGTGCCTCGCTGCGAGTTCTGGCCAGTGCACGACAAAACTGTCGGAGACCAGGTACAAGAGCTTTCCAGTCATAGACCTTGCAGTGCTTGCTTGAAGCGCTTGCAGCTGCCAGGAAACGCTCCGAATCTCTTTGTGTTTTTTGGTTGCCTTGACGTCTGCCTGGTCTGCAAGATGTCACTGCAAAGGGCGCGACAATGACTTGACTCGGCATACGCTTTCGACCTCCGTTACAGCCCGAACTCAGAACTTGCCAGCCACAGTCTAAAAACACCAGGGCCATGGCGAACACAAGCGACAGGTTTCGGAAAGCCACTAGCTCGAAGAGCAGAGCAGCAGCCACAACCTGATTGACAAAGCCCCGGTTTGGTCCGTGAGAGAACTTGAGATAGCAAGGACAGCCGAGCTGTGGGCAGGTACGCATGTGCCCGGCCCATTCACAATTAAAACCTTGCAACTGCAAACTGGTTCTGACATGAGGTCAGGCGAACCCCCTTCCCAAAGCACTTGCCTGTGGGCAGAGCTTCCAAACGAGACTCAAACACGCGATGAAGGCCTGCAGCATCTTGTGACGACTTGGTTGCGTCTGACTCAATCTTTCTGATATTTCTGAGTTCTAAATTCTGTGTTCTCGGGAGGAGGCCCTGCAAGTCGAGGGAAGCGAAGATGCCCACGACTGGCCAACCTACGACATATTTTCAACATCCCAGCTATCCACCACGACTTCTGCAAGATGCATCCATGTCGGTCCTAATCATGATCGTGCTGCGCGCTTCAGCGGGAATCGCTGCTCACGTGCGTTCAGACACCAATGTGGGCAGTTGCTGTGCAGTTTCACCAATGAGACTTGGAGGGATTGTGTCCGAACTCTCTTGGCCAGAGCCTTTACCAGCACGCCATATTAGGCGCTGTGACGGGGGAGCGCTGAAGAATCAGAAGCATGCTGGCAGGAGCTACCCGCGCTCAATATGAGTGATAGGGGCAATCACATGGAAGCAGGCATGCGCTTGCCACGCGCTTCCCTTCTGCATGAATACAAGCAGAATGCAAATAACTCCCGTAAAATAGGCACATACACAATGATCCACATTTAACAAGTTTTGCTCGCTCCATCTCGCTCCCATGAGCTATCGCCCAAGTCGTTTCCACGGTGATCCGGGCGTTTTGCAATGGCTGGTTGCATAAGCTTGTCTTGTCCGAGTTTCTACTCAAGAGTTGCATGGATGCTTTGATCCCAAGTAAACGTCTGGTAGCTCTAAATGTGTTCCATGTGAGATTTTGCCAATGATTTGCAACATCATAATCCTCACAGACCAGCTCGGGCTGTTCCTCCGCACAGAAGCGGCGCTTGCAGTTGGGCAAGTCGGCCATTCTTTCGCTCTGCTCTGCCCTGGACAGCCCGTGGGTCGTCTGCCACATCTTCGTCTGCAAGTACTCCAACTGCGCCCGCTTCTTGGGCGTCAGCTCGGCGACGGCAGCCGTGTGGAAGTGCCGGTGCAGGTCCGTGTCCGTAGACGGCGGGGACTTGGCGTGCCCTACGCGCCCCAACACTCCGCGCTGCCTCATGTGCTCTGCCAGCTTGTGAGGGGCTCGCGGCTAATGCTCATGATGCTGGCCCCAAGGCCGGCTTGACGTGAGGGGGCTCGCGGCTGATGCTCATGATGCTGGCCCTGAAGCCGGCTTGAAGTGAGGGGGCTCGCGGCTGATGCTCATGATGCTGGCCCTGAAGCCGGCTTGGTGAGGGCGCTCGCGGCTGATGCTCATGATACGGGCCCTGAGGCCGGCTTGAGGTGAGGACTCGCTGGCCCCGAGGACGGCCTGAAGTGAGAGGGCTCGCGGCTGATGCTCATGATGCTGGCCCTGAGGCCGGCCTGAAGTGAGAGGGCTCGCGCCTCATACTCATATTCCTGGCCATGAGGAGGGCTTGAAGTGCGAGGGCTCGTGGCCGATGCGCATGATTGAGGGGCAGGCCGATGCTCATGATGCTGGCCCTGCCTGATCGGCTTGGAGTGCTCTACGATCTTAGCCAACCCCGCATTTTGTACCTACTGGATATTGAACAGTCCAGGTGGATGGCCAAAGCGGTGCCTCTCGGCTTCGCGGAATTGTGTGGAAGTGCTGAAGATTCGCCGCCAAATCAGGGCGTGTGGCCTGGACCTGTAGCAGCAGCCAGGCAGCACGGCAGCGGCATGCTCTAGTAGCTCTACTCGGGACAAAGCGTGCCCCATGCCTTCTTCAAGGATGTGGAATCTGTTTCGCCCATGATGAAGTGACACTTGTACCTGCTAAGACTTTGTCGATGAGGTGTGGGACACTGCAGCTCGCCCAGTTCTGGATTCGGTGTCCTCATCCTTGGGCCCTGAGCCTCCTCTCATTGCCTACAAAGTTTTTGCCAGATTTGGCATTTCCTCAAAGTGCAAGCTGAGAGAACACTGAGAACACCCATTCGTTTCTCCCAGCTTCCTTTCTCGTCTCATGCTTACCTGACCTTATGAGCTTAAGCTGATTGGGTTCTGGCCGTCTGGTCAAGCTTCTCAGTGAGCCCCAGTGGAAACAGACATAACAATCTGGTCCCCCAAACCCCCTTGAAACGAAAAGTGTTGTGATTCTTTGGCAAACAATGACTGCACATGCACGTCGTCTGGCGACGGTTCAACAGTTGCAGCGCACTTGTCTTGGTCCAAGTCCTTCAAGAGAGACAGCATCTCCTGTTCAATGTCAGAGTGTAGGCGTGCAACTTAGTGCCGAAAGTTTGGCACATGACTCGAGCTGCCAGTTGGACAAGTTGACAGGAGCTGCCTTAAGAATACGCTGCATGCAGGGATGCCCTGTCCATCGTATGACCTCCAGAGCCGAGCACGACAAGGGACCGTAGCGGCAGTGGCCTCGCTCAGGTTCTGGGTCGTCGCAACATATGTGACAAGATGTGTCTTGCAAGCACGCGCTCGGCTCATGACTTTCCCGCCCATCTGCGCCTGCCCGCTCAAGCAAGGGGATCTATAGGCCCAAGCAATTCTACGTCTGCCTGCTTTCCTTGTGGGCCCACGAGATACGTCCATAAAGCCACCTGATTTGAAGTCTGCAGTAACTTGTAGTGTTCTGAAAAAGCACATGCTAAGAACTTGCAGCAGGTCAATGCTATGAAGAACTCAAAACAAACTTTGCTGGGCGCCAGAGAACACGAGCTGCCAGCGCCAGCAGCCATCCGCATGTTAGCCTGAAGTCTCCACTGGCTGCTACCGATACTTGTGTGAGGAAAAGCCTGAAACCTGGCAACGAAGTTCGCAACTGCTGTGCTTTCGAAAGAGCACATCTGCCTGCATGTGCTTCTCGGAATGATGGGTTCTAGCTTTGCACACGGAAGAAGAACACCTTTAAAACACCCTGAAAAATAGCCTGAACAACATGTGATTCGCACATGCTTTTGCTTTCTCTGTTCCAAAGCTGCCAAAGCTCGAGATGCACTGCTACACTGCTACCAGAGAAACCTTGATGAACTAGACCACCACAAGCTGATTGTGTGCTGCAGTGTGACGCTGATTGTGAGGAATCAGCAATGTGTACTGAGGACCAAGCAACGCAACTAGCATCGCTTCAGGACATGGCCACGCATTGCATGGGGTCCTGTCCCATTTCTGTTACTCCAATCTCATGCAGCCCACACTCTCCCGTCTAAACATGAACGAAACAGCTTGCTGCCGTTGAGTTCCTGTAAGTCCATAGCTAGAGCAAACTCACGGCATGCATTGGCGGGATAGTTGCTACTTGTCTTGCCCTTTTCGACCATGACGTTGACGGCTTCATATTCTTAACTTCTTGGCTGCATCTATGTATCCATGCAGAGGCTGACAGGACAGAGCATGCAAGTGGCTGGTTCTGGCAAATGCCTTGCAAACATCGCCATTTCATGGGGATTAATAAATTCCTGCTGTCCCATGTATGTATGACAAATATCGCACGCCTGTACATGAAATCGCCGCTTGCCAGTCCTCACTTCAGATTCCAGAGAGCTGGGCAGGGCAAGCGACATCAACACACACGCTGTTGCGACCATACTGCGCTTTAGCGGCAGTTGACTGGGATATGCACATCTGTGAAACAATCCAAGCCGAATCGGTTCCTTGCCCATGTATTAAGCCATGCTGCTTGCTCCGAAAGCTACATGCCATGAATGCTGCGGTCGTCGTGCTGCGATGTGAAGCAGTCAACTAGCAATTTCTTGTTTCTGCACCCAAGAACGTTGTGAACCGATTCGATCGTTACCAAATCCGAGCTGACTTACAAGTCCCCCTCACACGCCAGGACGCAAACTTTCTCCAGGTTTTGATGTCGGTCCACATCCTTGACTTTGGCACCTGACATCGTCTCAGGGAAGGAGAAACTGTGGATGCTTGTGAGATCTGCAGCCAAGGCATGTTGGCCTGAGGAAAGGAGTTCGACTAAGTTCGACTTCTGGATGAAGCTAAGACCTTCGTGGATTGCACTGCGTCCTTCTATCTCATGGCAGGAATATGCGGCTAGGCAGTGCTGTCTGTCGGGACTGTGCCAGCATGCGTGTTCATTTGTGTTTTGGGGTGGGATGGAACCGCAGCCTACTGGCATCCCGCCTCCCAGTGGCAAGAACGTGTGCTCTTAACGACTGATATCGTTTGTTTTCCGCTACACCCCGTGACTAGACGATCTGTTGAAGAACAAACAGGAAACATGTGGACCAGGAAAACTCGGTTGCCCTTCAGAATGGGCTTGGTGGACAGATGTTTGCCCACTTCCTCACTTGCCGGGTCATGAGGCGGCCGGTGTCATTGCTGTTTCTGCGAAAATGGGCCCCTGAATGAAAAGCATTCAGATGTGCCGACGCCTTTGATTTTTTCACTTCGCATGTTTGTGGCTTTGGGTTCGTCGCTGGAGCGTTCGGCTGCAAGCCCCTGACAAGGTGGGTAAACAAAGCATGCAATTACCACTCTTTGCTGTCTTTTTCAGTCGCCTCTGCAAGAAGCTGAAGCACAGTATTATACGGTACCACATTGACTTTATGGCGTTGTGTTGCATGCTTGCCTCGGGTCATCTGCAGACGCAGTCGCTTCCGGCGCAGGTTTCTGCGCTGCCTCGAGACATTCACATCGACCACATGGAGCAACAAATCAGCCTACGCTGGAATTGAACTTGCGGCCTCTGCATCCGGCTTGACACCTGTGCCCTCAACTTCTTCAACTTTCTCTGGGCTCTCCCCTGCCCCTTCTGCCCCTTCTGTCGCTGCTGGCGCTGCTGACGCTCCATTTGCATCCGCAGCTTCTCCCATATCTGCCGACTCTGCCGTGGCTTGGGGTGCTGAAGGATTGCCTTCCGTGCCTTCGGCTGGTTGGCCGCCTGGGCCGCCTGTTGTGGTGTCGGCTTCTGCGGCCTCTCTCTTTTGTGGCTCTTCTTGTGCTGGATCTTGTGGAGGCTGCTCAACCGACTCTTCAGCCCCTTCAACTTTCTCTGCCTCCCCCGTCACTGCTGCTTTGTCAGCCACGGCTTCGCCCGACTCGGTGGCTTCGGTGGCTTCGGTGGCTTCGGTGGCTTGGGGTGCTGCTTCGGGGCTTGTCTCTGCTGCTTCGCCTGGTTGGCCGTCGGTACTCTCTGCTTCTGGCTTTGCTTGCTCCTCTTGTGACTCTTGTGACTCTTGTGCTGGAACCCGTGTTTCTGTGGGTGGAGGAAGTGCCTCAGCGTTTGGCTTGGTCGGCTCATCTGTTGGATCACTGGGGGTTTCGGCTGCGACCTGCTCTGCTGGGGCCTCCGCAGCCGGCTCTTCGCCCTTTGCCTCGGCAGGCACGTCAGCTTCTTCTGAAGTGGGCACATCTGCTTGGGCCTCGGTCTTTTCAGCTTTGGCTTCGGTTGGGTCCGCTGGGTTCGTTTCCTCTATTGGCGCTTCAGGCGCTCCAACATCTGGCTCCTCCGCAGCTGGCTCCGCCTTGGACTCCTCCCTGGGTTCTTCGTGCTTTCCTTGCTCTTCATGCTCTTCGGCAGCTGGCGCCTCAACCGGCGCCTCAACCGGCTCTGCCTTCGGGGCGTCTGCGGACTCCTCAGTCTTGGGATCGGCAGCGGGATCCTGCTCTACTGGCGGCACCTCCGCCGGCTCTTCAGCCTTGGCTTCGGCAGCTGGCTCCGCCTTGGGGGCAGCCGGCTCCTCAGCCTTTGCCTCCTCCGTGTTTGAAGTTTCTGCAACCGGCCCTTCAGGCTTTGCTTCAACATTCGGCTCCCCAGCCTCTGCCTTAGGTGCCTCCGCCGGCCCTTCAGGCTTTTCCTGAGCAGCTGGCACCTCAACAGCCGGCTCTGTCTTGGCCTCCGCAGTCAGCTCGCCCGTTTGTGATTTCAACTCTGTTCAAGCGCACGGAACAGAGCAGCTCAAATCGGCATCACTAGGTCTTGAGCAGGTTTGTTTGAGGAAGCTTCCTTCCTGACAGTGATCTGACATCCACTGCGCACATTTGCACTCTGCACACAGTGTTCGGACCTCGTCTTTTGCCGTCTAGGTGAGAGCATGACATCTTGCCTCATGAACATTGTGGGTGCACATACCGAAACACAACGAATCAAACCATTACGATTCGAAACTAGAAAGCTCGCAAAAGTGTACGCTGCAAGTACGAGCCTTCTGCCTTAGGCAGCTTCTAGCTTGCAACATGCAAAGGGACTTCAAAAAAAACACAACTAAATCCTGCCTCGCTCCGGCCACATCATTAGCTTCAGAGCTCTCTGCCCGTGGAGCACCTCGTTCTCAGCTTGTCACTACATGTCATGACAGTTCAGGCAAAAACACAGAGCGCAGTTCAGTCATGGTTGCAAGAACGGAATTGAAATGCGATCAGTTGGGATCGACCGCTTCCTGGCGTTGTCTTTACGGTTCGTAGTGGGGGCTGCGCGGAAGTGCAAGTCGGGCGCATGAAGACTGGCTTTGCTGAAACTTGGCAGGTACCTCCGAGTCTCGGAGTAGAGCCCTGTAGGGCCCTCATCAGAGAATTGGCGACTGAAAGCCACTGTTAAGGGGACAGTCACAGAGTCGCCAAGGAGAGTGTGAAGCTGCGGCCATTATGCTGCGAGCACGACTTTCTGCAGTGAGAGCAAGGCAACGAGCCCTGCAATCCTACAACAGGTTGAGGCCGGTTCGACCGGGTTGCCTTTGTTGAGCCTCAGGTTACCTGAATTTGCGTGAATATTAACATCAATCAACGAACAGGAAAGCCACATTGGTTCGGGCAGCACATACACTGGATCTGGAGCTCCACAGGCTATGAATGTCACCATGTGAGATGCAACGGAGGCGGCAGGAATTTCGAGGTATTCACCATTCCGACTTAGTTGTGGGCGTCGGATTGACGAGCCCACGGGCCGCTTGCGCTCCTGGGCGTTGACTTCGCTTTGAAGCTTCGCCTTGAGCTCCTGACAGAAACACGAATACAATCGAATACATGTTCATGGCATGTGCCAAGGCACTCGCGCAGCACTCATGATACAGGATTGGCGGTTTTTACGATGCTACAGGCTCGTTCATCTCTTTCCTGCCTCCAGAGCCTGAGATGTTGCGGGTGGAGCACTGGTACTGTTGTCCGACCTCAAAGGCTGTTCAAGGCTGCCCCAAATGTCACTGCACTACTGCACTGACAAGCGCCAAAGTCTCTGGAGTTCATGGTGTCAAAAAGCCCGCAACTTGAGACTTTCTTGGATCGCGTCAGGCGTCATGTACCTTATAGTGTTTGAAGTTTTTATGCCTCTGCGTCGAATGCTCACTGAATGACTACACGGGCACCTGCCTGTTCACACGTTCCCGGCGGGAAGAGGCCAAATGCTCCTGCACGATGAAGTAAGTAAATCCAAAGCCAACGACATCTTTTGCCAAATATCAGAATGAACTGAGCCCTTCATGGACGTATCGCCGCCTGTTCCAGCGCCGCTATCTCCTGTCGTTCCAGGGGCTTGCCAGAGGTGCCGCAGGCATGCATGCACATATATTATATGCACACACCCCAGATTGTTGCATGATTGCATGCGTGTGTGGTGGTTGAACACCACCAACGATTTCAGATTGCTGCAGCCGTTCAGAAAATGTACACAAAGTCGCACCTGGTTACACATATTTCAGAAGTGCGTCGCGTTTGTCATGGACAGCATGTTTCTCACACTCGTGTCGCAGAAAAGAAGTCTGGCCACGGCAGGCTTACATTCGACCAACGTTTAGCAACGTTCGCACAGCGTGTGCATCCAACAGTACTACAAAGGCATATAGGTCTGCAGTGGATACATGAATCACAACATTAACATTCCCTCCAGAATAACCCATACTGCGATGAAATGCCATCAGCAATCAGGTAGCTGAGATTGCAACACGCCATGACTTGCTCAACCAACAGCTACGCTACATCTTTGCGTCAGCTGCGCGAACCTTCTCGACCTTCTCTCGCCGATGCAGCTCGGCAGCCTTCCGCGCTAGCTCGCGGCGGTAAGCCTGACACAGCTGAGGGAAGCATGATGCTCTGTGCGAGTGCCACACAATGGTCATGCATCAGGTGCATGGTCTTCCTCTACTTGCGGCAAGGTCTTTTGAACCCGTTCTGTGCGCTCCTGGCACTGCACTGTATAACATGCTGAGGCTTGACGCATTGAGTACACTTGATGCCACACACTCTCGGGGACCCGATCAAGTCCTTCTCCTCCAGAACTCGCATCTCCTCCTCTTCCTTGGCCTTCCTCGTGCGGGATGCCGTAGCCATCGCAACTTTTTGCATAATTGCACAGTCCACAATGTGACAACAGCTCTGCAGTTCGCCGGAGCATCTGATGTGGCAATGCGTTTACTTTGAGCAACACTCTGTGCCAAGACCCTTCTCTCCCTTGGCGACTCGGTTGGCACTCTTTCATGTGTGTCAGCTGAAGAAATCGCTCCTGCTTTGCTCAGGTACATGTCCCACGACACCATACATGCATTGTTTCCATTTCTTCCTTTTCTGGCTCGACTCCGTGACAGAGTGGAGATTGTGTTTTTCGTCGTACCATGCAGCCCCTGGCCATTCCTGGCCTTAACAAGAAGGAAACCGCCAAGCACATGCGCAATCAGATGTGGGGGCTCCTCCGTTTTTGCCTCAGGACATGTCGAACACGCTGCTGCGCATCCTGCTGAGCCATGAAGTTCGGAGGTTCCTCCTGCACATTTGGCGATTTGACATTGGTGGCGCGAGCGATTCAGGCAACAGCCTCACTGTTCACAGCCACTGGCACAGGTGAGGGTGATCGTGCCTGACGCGCGCCAGGAGAAGACAACGGAAGACAAGTTTCGACAGGGATGCGCTCACTACTTGGTGCAACTGTGTGGACCTTCTCTCTTCCAGGCCGAACCATTCCTCTGCCACGTCGCACCTTGGCGGCTCAACTACGAGTACTCATCTGCGCTTGAGTTCCTTTGACATGTTGAACCTGCTCTTGGAACGATTGACAAGCGTCCCGGACATTTCAGCGCATGATGGAGATGGAAGAAGCGTCAATCAACATGGTTATTGCCAACGCGCCCCGGATGTACTCGTACGCACAACAGTTTGTCCAAACAGCACAGCTGTTGGGTCGTACTATTACTATTTCAGAATACTCCTCGCCTGGCCACCTGACGACAATCTCGCCAGGCGATAGGCTGCGATGAGAGATCATCGTCACATCAGCCCGAATCTCTTTCCTTTATTTGACTTGGTATCGTGCTGTATCTCAGTCTCGCGGGGCAGACATGTTTTCTTTTTCGACAACGCTTGCAAAAAGACTGTCAAGTGGGCGCGAGGCCTATCTTACAAGCTCATACAAGCTCGGCCAATGCAGCGTCCACATGATGCACAGAGCGCGCACAAGTCGTTACGGATGCAGAAGCTGAAGGCCCCCAGGCTGCGCACTGTTGCCCATCAGTGTTGCGATGCGAGCTTTATGACCCTGCATAGCAGGATGCTGGATGGGTCTGGTTTGGATGGGGAGGGGGGGGGGTAAGATGGACACTTAAAGGCTATGCTGCACGTGCGTGCCTTGTAAACAAATACTTCAAAGAGGAAACACCCGCAGAATAGACGCAACGCACCCGCAGAATAGACGCAATGCATCCTGAGCATCAGCACACTGTGTCCCGGGCGGGGGCGGGAGGGCGCGGAGGGCGCGGAGGGCGGGGAGGGCGCGGGGGCGCGGAGGCGGGAGGGAGCGGAGGGCGCGGAGGGGCGGAGGGCGGAGGGCGGGGAGGGCGCGGAGGGCGCGGAGGGCGCGGAGGGTGCGGAGGGCGCGGAGCGTGGGGGGGGGGGGGGGGGGCGCATGTTTGTCACCTGGCGGCCACTGATACTCTGGATATTTACCCGCACCCTTGCCGATCGCAGCCTGACTTGTACAAGTACAGGTCATTACAGTGCCAAAACAGCTGCTGCGACCAAGTGCCCTCAACTCCAACATTGGTTTGTTGTAGTTGCAACCGATTGAAGTGTCGCGAACATACTTGAGCTAGCCGTGCTGTCGAGCAGTCAACTGCTCCCAGCTAGCAAGCAGCGCAGGTGTTGATTTCAGGAAGGGGTGCGCAGAAACGGTTTTTTCTGGCTTGCTGCACCCTGCCACACAACTGATGTTGTCACCATTCGAAACATTGCTAAGGCAGCAGCGGAAGCCTTGACAGGCAAGACAGGTCTTGACAAGGCAACGTTCTGTGCCCTTGACATCCTACTACATGAAGGCACAACGGAGAGGGTGCAAGAGTAGATTCGGGGGGTCTAGCATGGTACTGCTCGTTTCCTGCCTCCAGAGTGGGTGTGGGAATATGGTCTGACCTTAATTAGCATGCAGTCGACACTATATAGCGGCTATGCCCGATGCTGCATACCACATGCTGGCGCACGGCTCTAATTGCACCGATTGCACAATTGCAGGCCCTCGTTTCCGTAGTTGGGAAAGTGTTGGGAACACGGAGGGCCACTCAGAGCCCGGACTTGAGGACGTTCTCATGGATGGCGTCGGGCGTCATATACCTTTCGCAAGTTAAAACTCAGTAGAACTTTGCAGTAGATACTAGTAGCTCAGCATTGGCAGCTTTTTGCCTGTTCACACGTTCCCGGCGGGCGGAGGTCAGCTGTTCCTGCACCAAACTGGCATCCGACGTTCATCTTGTGCCACTCTGCGCTGCAGGCAGTCTCTACCATTCGGAGTACCACTAGCCTGCTCCAGGGCCGCCGTCTCCTGTTGCATGGGCTTGCCGTTGCTGGGCGTCTTCTCTCTTCGTTACAATCTGCTCGCGCGTCCGCAGGGGGTTTTCAAACGTGCAGCTTTGCGTTCAACACCCTGAAGAACCCTGTACCAAGCCTACCCTAAAGCCCAGCCCTCACCCTCAACTGTTAAACACTCTAGGAACCCTGAACCCCAACCCTCATCACCCTACCACCCGAACTTCAAACCCTGACCCAAAACACCCAACGATAACAACGGAAAAGCCTCAACCTAAGCCCTTAACCCAAACCAACCGACAGCCTGCCCAATGGCCCTAAACCCTGAACCCTAAAATCCCCGACCTCACCCACCGAAACCTAAACCCCCAAGGCCTAGAAACCTCAGCCAAAGGCCCCAAAGCGTGACGCGAAACGAACCTAAACCTGAACCCTACCCTTGTAACTTACCCCAAAAGTTCGAGATTGCTGTTAGGTGGATTAGATTGGGTTGGATCGTGTTAGGTCAGATCCGTCTTTGAGGCTTGGTTGCTGAGCAAGAGTGCTTCCATATCCACAATAAGAGGCAGTTGGCCGTGAATCAAGCCCCCCTAGATTGTTGCACGCCTTTGCGGTGGACTGTTCTTGACGCTTTGGCCGCGCACTTCTTCCATTTCGGCAGAGGGCCCCGACTGTTTCGCACGAAGCTTAAGACAATGCTAGACGACCACTTGCACGAAACGGTGGTGTCAAGTATGCAGCTGCATGATTGGGGTCCCAGAAGTCTGAGGCGAAATCAGACGTGGCATCGTGCTGTGCGAACCTTCTCGACCTTCTCTCGACGATGCAGCTCTGCAGCCTTCCGCGCGAGCTCATGGCGGTATGCCTGGCAAACGCAAAGCGAAGACAAGAAATAACACGATTTTGGACTTCACATGGAGTTCACATGAAGTTCGCAAGTTCATTCGGAGTCCTCCACTTGGGGCAAGGTCTTGTGAACACGCTCCAGTCGCTCCTCTGTTGAGCCGCTGAGGTAATGCTGAAGTGTGCTCAGCAAAAGAAGAGTTCTGAGTCACTGTCAGCTTCCGTGAATGTGCACGTCATGTCCTTCTCCTCCAAAGCACGCATCTCCTCTTCTTCCCTAGCCTTCCTGCTCGCCAGCTGCGACTCAAAGCTGTAAGTCAGACAGGCCAGCAGCAACATGCACACGTGCAGCACTGTTGAGAATGCACCTGCGCTTTTGTCTCATGTGATGCCGGACGCGCTGCTGCGCATCTTGATGAGGCATGTAAGACGAAGATTCCTCCCGGCCGCAGTGCTTTGAGGTTGGCTGTTTCCATGATTCGGCATGATTTGGCGATGCATGGCGACACTTGCTGCATGCCTCGTTGTGCACAGCTCGCGATGGAGAGGGTGATCGGGCCTGGCGATTGGACCGGGCCAGCCATGCTGCTTCACGTTCTACAGTTGCACACGGCCCTCCCCGCCTCTTGCGAGCGTACAGGGCTGCGGGGGTGACCGCTGCGCCCCGGAGAGCGCATTAGTCTCCCTGAACATGCAGTCGAGCAGGCTGAACATTCAACTCATGTCGTCCTGCAAGCATTGTCCCGAGCCTGGATTGGGAGGAGGGGCCTCTTGGCTGCTTACCTGCAGACATGAGGTTGAAGACCAGGACGTCTGACATGGTATGATGATATTGTGCACGTGTGCTGCCAGCCTGTCGCAAAAGTCGCAGGCGAGGGAGTGAAATCACCGCCTGCTGTGCACGGCCAGTGATGAAAGCACCAGCACATGCATGGCGAATTTATGGCGACGTCTGGCCTCATTGCCCGGCGCTTTGGATGCCTCCTTGCAGGCAGACATTGAACTGTGCCCTGAGATCGCTGAAGAGTGCAATGGAGAAGCTAGCTTGGGCCCAAATATAGCACTTCCTGTAGTTTTACATGTCAGGACCAGGGTAACATTTCAGCCACTTGCCCCACCCCCCTGCCCCCTTCCCCACCCCCTTCCGGCACCCCCCTTCCCCGCCCTCCCCCCACAACCGAGGCCGAGGCGGGTCGCGTAGCGTAAAAATCAGCACAACCCCGAAACGTTGGGGTTTCGGGTCCAGTGTCCTGATGGAGCCCTCTTGCCCCATGCACGTCGAGTTTTGGCAGCATTACCTGAAGGATCGTGGGCAGGACCAAATCTTGATCGACTGCACGACTCTTGCGATCTCCAAACTGAGCTGTCAGCTGCGTGAACTCAGTAGCAACAGGATGACATGCTTAAGGCGGCATGATATGCACAACTGCACGTCTTAGGGTGCAAGGGCTGGCCAAGTCGCGTTGATGTTGTCTTGGTGGGATATGCTGCAATTCAACTGATGCACACGAGACCTAGTCTAAGACTTTCTGAGCCATGCCACAGCAAAGGGGGTCGCTTGCAACAGAACGCTCTGTCTTTTGAACTTGCCCGCAACCATCCAGCATGCATCCAATGCAGACCATCCAATGTCATGAAGTGCAATTCGTGCTCGCCGTGGATGTGAGCAACTGTGAGCAACCCTGTGTGACCCAAAAGGAGGTCACCTGTAAATCCATTTAGAGACCCCGTCTCTGTGGCGCGATCATTTTCCACATGGGTTCGCCGCGTGCTTTGTTTAGAAACGTTAGACACAGCAGCTCTTCTTTGGCCACAACTTTAACTCCTTCTTGAGTCTTTCATGGCCCTTTGGGAACATAACCTTTAGCGATTGTTGAGACCACATAATTTGAGGGGTCTCTCAGCGTTGTATGCTTCTCTGCGACAGATTCCAAAAGCTCAGAGGCATGTGAGGAAGGAATCGTAAGAAGAGCCTTTACGGCTTCGTCAGAAAGCTGAAGTCCTATTGACTCAGCTCTTTTCATTCCAGGTGAGTTGATGAGCTCCTTTGCAGCAGCCTCCGCTTCTGCAGCGGACAACTCCTTGATGGGCTGCTTGGGAAAGAACTGTGGGCCTGGCATGCCTGGGCCAGGCCCAAAACCACCATAGCCAGGCCCAGGACCCATTGGACCAAAGCCGGGTCCACAGCCTCCCATCCCTCCCATCCCTCCCATTCCCATACCCGGGCCAGGTATGTGCTGATACCGGCAGCTGTCGCCGAACTGGCACCAGCCTGCCTTGGCAAAGAATTTGCAGACCTCTCCTGATCCACCCCCCAACATCGGATCTGGAGGTGCTGGTCCACCAATGTGCTCATGCCTACATTGATCGCCATACTTGCACCATCCAGACTTGGAGAAAAATTGGCAAACCTCGCCAGACTTCGCCGCCGGCTGCGGCTGTGGCGTATCTGGTGACAGTACGTGCGCATAGCGACAGGCAGGCCCATATTTGCACCATCCTGCCTTTGCAAAGAACTGGCACGTCTCTCTCGGTTCACTCGGATCTGGGGGCCCGAGGCCCTGCCCGAGCCCTGGCAAGGATCCACCCATGCCCGATTCTGGACCAGGTATATGCTGGTATCTGCAGCTATCGCCGAACTGGCACCAACCGGCTTTAGCGAAGAATTTGCAGGGTTCTGACGGATCTGGTGGGGGCCGTCCCGGGTTTGCCCCCTCGATGTGCTCGTGTCTGCACTGATCGCCGTATTTGCACCATCCTGATTTGGCGAAAAACTGGCAAACCTCGCCAGATTTCTCTCCAGGTGGACCTGGCGGACGCCCAGGCCCTCCGTTCGGAGTATCAGGCCCTGGAATGTGGGCGTGTCTACATCCATCTCCCCACTTGCACCAGCCTGTCTTCACGAAGAACTGGCAAACCTCGCCTGTCTGCGCACCGGCAGAAAGAGCGCCCGCAGCCGCATAAGGCTCTGATCTCACATGAGGGAATCTGTCTGACAAAGGTCCATACGACATGGCCTCGACGACCGAGGCTTTACCAATGTTGCCTACTGCTTCTACATTTCTCGAGCCGATGCTTGGGACAAGACACATAAACAAGCCAATGGTTCCATGCCGGCGCTTGAACCAGAAATGATGTAGCTGCCTGAAGCTACGCGAGATGTTTACATATTTGAAGTCATTCTTGTGGAGTCAGGCGGCCCCATTGACAGCGTCACGATTTGAGAGGCGGGTCTTCTTGTGGCTGGGACCTTGCTCATGTCGAAGCTCTACATGCGAAGGGATTGCCAAAAGAGGTTCTTACAAAGTGAACGCGTGAGTCCGAGAGCCAACGCAATTACCAAGTGCCCGGTGCATTTTCCGAGCTCTCCTGCCCTGACTGCTTCTTAGCGAAGCGATCCAAGCATGTCGGTCAGTCCGCGGAGACGGGAAGATCCGGAGATGCCCTGCAAGCAATGCTGCGCAGATGTGTTGGTATTTGCGCATTTGCCTTATGCTCCTTATGCCCGTAGTGCCTTCAAAAGTGCACTGGTCTTCCGGTCGGCATCAGCCTCGCAATGTCAGCATCCAGGAAACATCAGGAAGCCAACGAACAACAGACTTGATTCTCGCATCCGTTGCCTCCAGGGCTTGCTTGTTCCAACCAGGGCCCAAAGCCTTGGAGAGCCCATCCGCAGCTTCCTGAGAGGTCACGGCATACTCGGGCCTCTCCTTCGGAACCATCGAAGCCTACCCTAGGCCCTGCCTGCATGTAGGGATCATCGTCTTCCATGTCCATGCTTCCGCCGGTACTGCAGAACAAAGCCAACTCCACCAAGCCAACTTGAACATTGCATCCAGCCCGTGAGAGAGCGCAGCTCTTCAATGAAATGATGAGCACAGATCAAGGTTGTTACCGTAACCGCCGTAACCGTTACCATCCATCGCCTTGGCTTCTGGGGACTCTTTGATGGCGGGTCGTGCGTCATCATCTCCCGCATTTGCTGATGCAGATACGCCTGCAGCCACACAGAAGCTCTGGCGGAGTAGCAACTGCAAGTGGCCAAGGTGCCTCGTTGAAGTGAGGACGTGTGACCGCATGTACCTCAGACTCGAGAGCATCAGCAAGCTCGAGTTTGTTTCCCACTGGACCCGCGGCGTCTGGCTGCAGGTAAGTCGGGCACGGCGCCTAACAGCGCAAGCAGCGCGACGACCCGGCTGAACATGATGCCTGGCCGGAAAACATGCTGCTGCTATCACCAACTAGACAGCCTGCACCAAGTGTTCCTACGATTTTCAGCATCACTTTCGGTCTCTCTGCCACCTGCCTGGGACTGTCGGCCGCCCCTTCGTTTTGTCTTGGACCAGTGGCAGCATGCGGAGAATCGCACTCTCGAATCTGTGAGAAACGACACGGACACACATCATCGCAGATCAAGTATCATCAAATTCGCAACTCATTCGGTGCATATTGATACTTCGACTTCACCATCTGCTTACAGAAAGCAAGAGGTTCCATTCGCCAGTTTGCCTCGGATTTTGCTTTCGTGTTAAAACAGATCTTGCACTTGCACACATGATTTCTTTTCAAGGGCGCTGAAGGATGTGGCGGGAATTGAGAGGCTGTCGAGTTGATTTCACAGGCATTGCGTGGAACGCATGGGATTCGGGAAGCTTCGTTGGGTGACTTGGGGACTTGATTGTGGGTGCACAAATGGGGGCTGGCATTCAATAGGTTGGCTGAGCGATTGACTGCTGCAACTTGGCACAACCAAGACCAAGTCTCGCTCTTTGGTAATAAGGATGATTTTTCTCGGCGCTCTAACTGAGTGATTGAGCGATTGCTTGTTCAGGTTGCGCTTTGTTGAAGACCAACATCTGTGAGAAAAGATGGTCTACGATTGGAAACCAAACTTTATCCAACGAGACGGCCCGGTATCGTGATGAAAAGCAGCTCCATCGGCGAGCAACATCAAGCGGCAGGTGCATCTGAGAATCTGGAGTTAGACGAGTATAGTTCTGCAACATGTATGTATCATTCATTGGTTTACAGACTACAGAACAGAAAAGGTGTCAAGAGAGAGAGAGCAGAGAGGGAGGGAGAGAGAGAGGGAGCGACAGAGAGAGAGAGAGAGAGCCGAGAGAGAGAGAGAGAGAGAGAGAGACGAGAGAGAGAGAGAGAGAGACGAGAGAGAGACGAGAGAGAGAGGAGAGAGAGACGAGAGAGAGACGAGATAGAGACGAGAGATAGGAGAGAGAGAGAGAGAAGAGAGAGAGAGAGAGAGATCGAGCAGTACGCTACATGACATACCGCATCAAGATGAATTCGGCATCTCTTTGCCTTCCTCGTGTCGACTGTTTTTCACAGAAGCAGAACAGAAGTACATCACTGCAAATGTGCACTTCTGGGCGGGAAGACTCTACAACTCTAGGACTTTTCAAACTGCAGCTATTGCGGTGCTTTAGAAACTTCAGTTATTGCGGTACGCACGCTCATCCATACACAAAGCAAACACAAACACTGGCTAGCTCATCGTACTCTCGGAACACAACATAGCTCTCTCTTGTGGCTCAGGCTGCTTCGGCCGTTCTCAGTCGCATGTTGGTTCATCAGCCGCAGAATCGAGTGGAGGGTGTTGCGCGCCAGCGCACTGTCCTAGTCGTCGCGCACCGCGACTTTAGACGTAAAGTGCGTGTTGCAGACCGAGTGCACCTTGCCGACCTTGCGTCCAAGATATGTGCAGCAAGGCAGAGCAGCATGATCAACGTCAGCCGTCTCCGCGGGCCGAACGAAGTGAGGCGCATCCGTCGGTGAGAGTCTAGCTGGCCCACGTCTGCACGGCATCCATCCACTCCTTTCAGACAGGCTCAGAAAGGAAAAACCGATAAGTGAAATTCTGCCAGATCGGGCCATACGCTAAGGCTGATCAAAAAGACGCTCGATTTCCATGATGCTCCTTGGTAGTCTCATGGTCACGCCCATGACCTCAAGGTGCCCACCCGTCAAACACGTGTCACTGGCACGTGCTAGCATGTCCTTGCTATCATTTGCTATCGCTTACGTGCAAACAGGCTTGCGCAGCTTGGGCCGCCACAAATTAAAGCGCATCTGAGGCCGAGCTGGGCGAATCGTGGCGCGGCTTCGAAGTCATCGAGTTCCAGCGCAGCATCATAGCCAAACTTGCAGGCCTCCAGGTTGTAGCTCTTCCTTGCAGTTTCGAGGGCTCCAGTAGACTAGACCGATGTATTCATGGACGTTACACTAAATGGACAGGCCACACTGCGAAATTCTCCTCCTTGTAGAGCCTTAGCAACCTTTTGGCTATGCGAAACTTCTTCGTCGAACTTCTGCTGGAGTACAACAAGGCGGAGAGCTCTCCGATTCGAAGTCTTCTCTTGTCGCTGGCAGCGTGCATGCGCATAGAACACACACTGCAGCTGCACCGAAACTGCCAGTTGTCCTGCAACATCTGCTGGCGCACCTGCCGGGGCTCCCGAATGTCAATGTAGGAGATGCTAAGCTCCTCACCTTCGCATATGGCCGTCTGAGCATAAACTTCCATTCGCTGGTCCCGCTCGTTCCAGCTGTAGTCGCAATTGGCATTGCAGGAGTGGTTTAGTCGACTCAAATTGAGGAATATTGCCTTCCTGCTGATGCTCTGGCCCGCAGGCTCACACTCTATGCCGTTTGTCTCGATGATGCCACGGAGTGTCTTGCGGCCACGTGAGGACCAGGCATCTGCCAAACCCATAATCTCATCTTGCATCTTTGACGGAAGCGCTGCAAACTTCCCTTTCACTTGCTGTATGGCCTGATTTGAGTCCGTCTCGAATGTCAACTGAGGCGTCTCAGCGAAGACTAGATCGCCAGCCTCCAGGTTCTGGTTTGCAATAATTCCAAGTCCCTTGCCCTCGATCTCCTCGATGCCATACCTGAGAAGGCAAAAAGCTCCGGATGTTCCATGGTTTATGGCCCTGGGCCCTAGTCTTCTCATGTATGGCTTGTCTTTACCGGCCTGTGTCCAGCAGCCACGTACCTCCGCACACTGGGTCTGGCACTTCCTGGGCACCTCCTTGTGCCTTTGCTACGCGTGGTGGCGACCAGGCCTCCCAGAAAAGATGGAGGCTCTGCACGGGGGAGGGTTTCGAAGGGTTCCCGAATGAAGCTTTATGAAAATTCGAAGCAGCGTTCGTTTGCACCAACACCCTGGCCTGAGCCGGCAAAAGCACTGGCGACGATGTACAAGGAGTGGCCACGGCGACCGGACCAGCTGCAAGTATCGACGTCAGCGGGACGTCGGACAGACGGCGCCAAACAACAGGTGGAGACCGAAAGCCGTGGCTCCTTCACAATGTTGATCATCCAGGGCACAGAAGGTGGTGTGGAATACTCAATGGAACGGTGTAGAATCTGCGGCTTACGTTGCGTGTTGCACCTGACGGCAAACTTGCCTCGCGTGATATTGTGGTCCCTCCGAGCTCTGAGAGCCAAGGAAGCCGGGGAAGCCCATGACCGAGCAAGAAAGTTGGTGTAACAACAGAGGGCAGGAGAGCAAAGGTTACGAGACACGTCTTTCCGCCCCTGGCCTTCCCGTGCATACCTCACAAGAGGTCAGATGATTAGTGAAGAACAACTCCGGCTAGTTCCAAGGAAGAAGTTCCTTCTTCAGGCCTCTGACTGAGGCTGCAGGGAAGCATCTGCAAAAGAACGTGGCTCTGCAAACTTCCTGCAGAAGGTGCAAGAACCATGTTGACCATTAGCGCTGGCCCGACACACAGGCCGCAAGCCTTACCCTTGTCAACACAGAAATGTCAAGGATTTGTTCACATAACAACGCCTTGACATTTGCTACAGTGATACAATGATTATTACTGTACGGCACATCCTGTCTATGGCTGCGTGAACCGCTTGTCCTGCATGCTGCTACATGCCGGCACGTAGGTGCGGCTCACAAAGCTGCGCTGTGAATTGGGACTCTCAAGCGTTGGCATTTCCACTCGAGACCTGCAAGGAGAACTATAGCATGACCCAACTCACTAGTTCAAAATGCAGTTGAAGTGCTTGTGTGTTTGTCTCGTTCTGCGCAGTGTGTCATTCAAACATAGAACGAGTCTAGCACCCAATGGCGTTGCCAAGATCCACCTACATGGCGGGGAGTGCGAATCATTAGCCCCGTCTTGTCCCCTCGGTGCAACTTTGAACATCGTCCTATTACGCAAATGAGTGCGACACTCGCACATGGTGAAGCCGAACCTGGTTTGCGTATATAACGCTGTCATCCTTGACTGTGGTTGTGATGTCGCTACTGCCGCGGAGAGGTCTTACTCACCTACTTGCGCTTGAGGGTTCCTATCTCCTCTACCAGAACATCTGGAGAACACCAGTCGTCCCGTGTTTTTAGAGGGGCAAGTGGCAAGTGGGCCCTCAATGTTCAACAATTCATGGCAGGTCCCATCTTCTGTCTTCCCGTCAGCATCCCTCAGCGATGGAAAATCTGACTCCCCTGCCCTGCCCCTGCCTAAGCAGCTTTCGCTGCAGCTGGATGATCTGGACGTCCTCGTCTGCCCCAGAAGTCTTTCGGCCAGTCCCAGGATGTTCCGTGCAAATCATCCAGCCAGCCCATAGCGCCGTAGTTCACGTTGAACTTTTCCTGCTGAGCTTCAGGAAACGATAGGAAACGGGCGTTGGCACGCACAGACCTTGAACCCTACAGCCCCAATGGTTATACTTGGTGCCGTCGAAGAGCGTGATGAAAATCGTGGAAGTTTGGTTGTGCCTCAGCCTGGCATGAGAGTGAGCGCTCTTCATTGCGCAGCCTGCTGAGCTGCACGGAACAGCAAGGCAGCACGTTAAAAGAGAAGAAATCGATCCAAGGCCATCGGATGCCACAGTGGTGTGTCTGTGTTGCCATAACTGCGAAAGCCATCCAAACCACCTTGGCCAAGGCACTCAAGGCTCTTGAACAAAGCTTGACGAAAGGCTGCGCTGAGCACCACACACCAGTGAAGGCATTCGTCCGGACAACGACTAGGCCGGCTCCAAGCGGCCTGCTTTGTTGCACGTTGTGCCACTTACACTTCATACCATGGACACGGTCACACTCTGAGGTGCGAAGGCTCACAGGCTGCACTGAGACGAAGACATGAGATCAGAAACAAAGAATTCTACGGGATGGCAGTAGATCGCCGCCAGTCCCATTGGTGCCTCGCTGTGGCCACAGATGGCGTGAAACGGAAGTTTGGTTTGGGCTGGAGCAACCCATGAGGATGGAAGGGCGTGACAGGGCAAAGGCGAGGGCAAAGCCCTGCTTTGCATCAGACACATTTCCAAAAATCCGCACATCGAAGAAGCGCTGCTGGCCTTGAACTCATGGTGTATCTTGTGGATATTCCTGAAGCAACGATGGACTCAATGTAAATTCAAGCAACGCGTCATGCAGATCATGCCCCCCGCCCCAATGCATTCACCCATGCATGTCAGGACTCTGCCCTTAGAATGGAAAACCAATGCAAACAAAACATGCTTGAGCCGGGCGTGCCTGTACAAGTACTTGTTGGCATGCATCATCCAATGGCCATAGAAGAACAGCACCTGTCAACTGCTACATGCTGCTGGCATACATAGCCCTAAACCTTAAACCCCACAACGTCCCACAACCCCCAGATGCTGCTGGCGTCACTGACTACCCGACATTCTAAGCCCGCCTAAGCATCCCCAAACTGGCACTAGTAGATGCTGGAGTCACCTAACACCCGAAACCCCCAAAATACCTCTAAGATGGGCCGTTTAAATTAAGTAGCCCAGACTCATGGCAAAAACAAACCAAGGCCATCTGCGCCACCTCGTTCACAATGACACCGAACCCTGCCAACGTTGCGGCGGCGCAGCGATTTGAGTGAAATGCTTACTTTGATGGTTCAGACAAGTTGCCAGGGGCCTATGTGCGTAAACATCTCCCACGGTCCAGGCAATGCAGCAGGCACTCCTCGGATCGCAGGAGCCGCACATGCCTAGGCCTAGCCTGGTCGGCTGCCAGTGCTCTTCTGACTAGCAGGTGCAAAACATGACAGATCCAGTGTCCCGCGTGCGACAGAGCGGCGCAGCCGCTGCCACAAGGGAATCAACAAAGCCAGCAATACTGGCAACACCTCACAGACCACTTTTTACTACCAGGTGGCTCATCAAAAACAGCTGGCTCCTTATGAATACCGCATCAATTTAGCCAGTACCAAGTTTCCTTTCGACCATCTTCACTGCACGAAGATGCATGTGAAACCCTCAATGCAGCACGGCACAAGGAAGCTCGTCATCGCTAGATTTCTCCTTGCAAAGCAGTGCATGGGCATGGTAAAATGTGCAGACCGCCACAGAAGTGCTTTCAATCAGTCAACGAACATGCTCATGCTGACATTGCAGTTTTTTGCGGGGCTCCAGAGAGCTGGCATTGCCGGTCTACTTGACGACCTGTCATGAAGTAGACTCAGGAGACCGTCGATTGGAGCAACAAGCTGGAAACACTTCAGTGTCTGAATGCGGTAATCCCCAACCAGCTGCGGGAACAGCGTTTCCACCTTGGCTTGCACAGCGCTCATCGCTGCCAGCTCAGCTCCTCTTCTCAGATGAAAAAACTCAGCTCACCACTGCAAGTAGCAGAGTTCCGTTCGTGAAGTAAGTCACGACGAACACTGCCTCAATTTGTTTCGGCACGGGCGCGACTGTGAGGACGGGTTCTAACTTGGAGTTGTCACAAGGCAGCCCAATGACAGGAATTCCTCGCAAATCTTGCGGAGGTTGGTTTAGTTGCTTTTTATGGGTCTTAGGTTTAGTTCGGGTCTGTGTGACACTGATTCCTGTACAATCCATGACCTTGCCTGCAACTTCGTTTCAATCTGACAGCCCAGTCGAAAAAAATCTTGGGGACCACCAGCCCAACAGCTCTGAGCAAACACAACTCGCCGATCTTCTACATTGTTGCGACCCAAAGTGACCTCACCGATTCGAGTCAAACGACCATCCCGAGAGCATCTCGAATATTGAATATGGATGAATTGCATGATTATGACGGGATGCACGGGTGAGTTGCAGCCTGCAGCCAAATGTCGACAAGAAAGTGTCAACGTCTTAGCGCTGCACCCACAATGCAAGGGCAACCGTGACGCCTTGTCCAGTAGGATCTACCTCAGAATCCCGGCTCAGTGGATCGGCATGGTCTTGGTGCAAGATTTCTTGTATGTTTGCAAACATGACAGGCTTGAGTCAGCGGCCTGTGGTACAGCCTTGGCATCAAGTCCAGTCGCAATGTGACCATGTGCCGTTCAGTCAAGTGCCCGAGCTATGGACCATCTTTGGCATAAACTCCACAATGCTCACCCTCGGACGCATCGGCAATCCCAGCAATCAGTGTCTGATCAGTTGAACTTCAGTCAGTCGCTGTCTCTTTTTGGCAGCTAGGAAGCCAGAGGCTCTCCGGCGGTGTCCAGACCATGAGGACGGCCAGGAGGATGACCAGTGGGCTGGGCTCAGGGGCCTGTCCCGAGCTCGGAATCCACGGTGGCAAGAGCGCAAAGATGTGCAAAGGGCCTTGCTGAGCAGCACCAGCAACATCAGCTTGGCGAACCAGCTGCCTTCTAGAGCCTGCAAAGCGCAGCCTACCGTCTCTTTATGGCAGGTGCACATAGATGCATCCTGCACGCTTGAAGTTGCAAGAGCCTCGTGCACGGGCATCAGGAGCTGCTTGATCCGGCCCTCCAGGAGGATGACGCACAGCAGGCTCCCGAGCACCGTGCTGGCCGCGACGACATTGAAGCAAAAGCTCCTGCAGGTGCTATGTGGAATTGCTGATTCTCTCACCAGCTATGACACATGCCCAGGCCTCCCCATCGCCAAAACCAAGCAGGACACGAACGTGCCCTTCGTAAAAGCACTAGGATCGTCATGGAGCCAGATTGGAGCCAGCAGGAGCTTAGCTGCTTGGCCATGGTGAGGAATCCGCTGACCAGAACGGTTTTTTCCGCTCTGCGGCTCGGCTCCGCAAACAAACACAGCCAGTTGCCCGGCCCCCCGCACTGAACCCTGCTCCTGGCCCCACCCCGCTCCGCCCAAACCCCCGCCCCCCCCCGCCCCCCCCCCCTCCCTGGCGTGGCTTTTTTTCTCTGCCTGGACGTTTACGGGGTCGGCGGAAGTGGCGCTAGCCTTTAGATAGTCACGACTATAGTCACACTCGTATCGATATGGTACTGCCACCTGCTTTCACGCTTGATCATGTCTTTCCCCAAATGTACATCCAAATGAAGTGACATCAGGTCGCACCATCAGGCCATAAAGGGCACGGTTTCAATGCTTGCAGGACGTGAGGTCAAGGGTGAGCTTGTAGCAAGCAATACTTCAGCAGATCGAGTTTCTACTTGGTGTCCTTTTGTGTCCTTACTGCATGGATACCATTTGCTGCGGCGCTTACTGATTTGCACGTCGCCCGGTAAAACTTTACCGGCTTGGCGTGATATGCTTATCTACTCAGGAGGACAGTCACCGGCCATTATTGGCAAGCTCACTCATGAAGCCCCTCAGAAATTCCTCACTACTTCGGAAGCAGCATATCCATGATATCCATGTTTAGCCGTTGCACGCAGGAAACGATTTCTTCTCAAACCAACTTGTGCATGAGCTTGGCCGCGTTGCGTGCGCTTTCCTTCACATTGCATGCAGATGCCGGCATCTTCTTGTGAATGGTTGCTGGACGATGCAAGAACTGGCAGACCGACTAGAAATAAGCTCGAACTTTATGGATAGGGCCAGTATGCACGCATCTTCGACTCAAAACAAGCACATCCGACGTCCGACGTGTTGGCAGTTGGGAGGTACTGCGCAGGCACACGGGCCACACGGCTCTGAGATGTGGTGGTCCCTTGGCTCTCTATGAAGTTAACATGTAACCCAAGTATTTGCATGCTTGCAGTAAAAAACGTAATCGCTTAGATTCATACATCCACAAAGATAGACATCGAGCTCACACTCTGCAACAAAAGACAAGCCGAAGCACCCCAAGGCAAGCGGTTTCTTTTTGGCGGTGCACTGGCAGGCGACGGACAGGCAAGGTCTCATCCGCGCAGGACTCTGCCCAGCTGCGGAAGGCCTGACCTGCCACCCGACCAGTATGGGCGGAGTGCGCGGGTGTCTGAAATCTTAACACAAACCTCGCGACCCAGACGCGACTCAAACTCAGGCTCGAGCCGAGCACTACATAACAACGCAGAGTTACCGCTCGCGCATGTCACTACGTACACTGCGTGCACTGCGCAACAGATGGACAGATGGTAGCAGCGACCTCATTCTCCATCAGCAGGTCGTTCCCTTACAGAAGATAAAGGACAATGCTGCACAACAGAATGTAAAGCTTATATAAGAACAATCTGCCAGTATGCATCTGCATTAGGCTTTCCGGCATTTACGAGAAAGAAACGGTTTAAAGAAGAAAAAGAATGAGACGCGTACGTACGTCCAGGCTTCCTCGCGGCACACGGGGCAGCGCATGACTGCACGCAAAACAAACGATAGAGACGGATCGCGAGTGCTCTGAGCAGCAACGGCTTGCGTAAGATTCCTGGAATCGCGCACACACAAGTGCATGCCGCCCTCCGAAACAAAGCTGTTTTTTAGACATACCTGTTTATATATTACATTTGAAGCTATCGATAAAGTTCAGAAGCAAGATAACGGCTGTGATGTCGTCCATTGCTTAGCCTTTCAGTGATAAAAGAAGATTTTATATCAGAGCACGTAATGTAAGTATTCACAACACATACAATAATCTTTCATTACTTGAATATCATTTATCCGAAGCAAGAAATGTTTCGTTGTGGTAAAATAAACGAGATGAAAACGTACAAACAAAGTTATGTTACTTGCATGTACATGCACAGCTGCAGCGAACAAATGGTCTGTCTCTGGTGGATGCTCTCTGGGTTTTCACCGTGAAGCTGGCCGCTCCTCGCTGAAACTAACTGGCGCAGGCCCCAGGTGCGGACGATGCAGCTATTCTGCCGTTGCGACCTGAAGCTGCGGTGAGACCACTTCACCGCCTGCCAGCTTGCGAAGAACAAGCAGCAACTTGCAATAAGCCACAAGGATGCACAAGGCCGGTTGGAAGGTGACTGCTTTAACTTTTCAGTCTTAAAGGCACCCAGGCTGGATGCTTGCTCGAAGCCGACAAGAAAAAGACAAACGCACTCCAAGACTTGTCGCGCTCAAACTTTCTTTTCCACGGGGCATCGGGCAAAAGTGACAGCTCGTCCTGCAAAGCTTCTTCGAGAAGCTGCAAGCGGACACGCTGATAAATTCAAATGCCCGGATAGTCTGTACAACCTAGAAGATGAGAGTGCTTCAACAGCTGGGAAAAGGCAAGGCCTCGAATGAAGCCTTGTCAGAAGTACCGGCGCCCAGCGCAGCTTCTAAGATCTTCGACTGCAAGGACCAGGAGCTGACTTTGAAAGTAACTTCCAACACCAGTCTGCAAGCATTGAAAGCGGCTGCCCTGGTCACCAATCTGCCCCGTGTGACATAGACTCATCCGGAATGGACGGTCTAGTGTCAGATCTTTCACGCACACATCATCAACACAATCGGCGCATGACAGTGAACGGTCAGGAATCTGTCTACCGTGCCTGTGCACGACTTCCAAGGCACTGAGCCCATCCCTGCCCGTGCGAAAAGCAGACGTCGAATCCATCTGCTCGAGCAGGGGGCGGCCCATGTGCCAGATTCAAACGCTGCTAGACTGCAGCCGTCACATGAGACGTGAGGCTCACCAGTTGCGAACGGCCCTGCACAAACAATACCGCTTTCATTCTGCAGCACGACCCGCCCTGCATACACTCCTGCAGCGAACCCCTCGGCCTCTGACGAAGCCCGTTTCACGAAATGCCTTGCTGATTGGCGACATTTCGCTCTCTGAGATATCTCCTTGGCTTGAGCTGAGCCCCAGGCTTCCTCGGAGCACGATGAGGGGCTTCTGGAACCTCACGTAGTGCCCGAATGCCATGTCTGATGATCACAAGCCACCACCACATACGGTAACAAGAGCATTTGCACTGTCGCTGTACTGGCTTTAAACTGGCACGAAGATGCACAAGGGATAATCACTGTTTTGTCGATTGCAGCGGCACCTTCAGTGCAGCTACTCATGCAGCCCAGCGCAGCACGCCCTGAGCATTCCAGTCCTCCTTGAGACTTGAATTAATGCTCGCAGAAAAGCATTGATAGCGCCTGCACCTAAAGGACACGACCTACGGCAATGCACGTTTCGCGGACTGTACAGCGAGTTGCCGCCTTGGCGTTACAGCTTTAGCCGAACTTTAGCCGCCACATGCTCGCCATCTGTGCTCTGAAAAATGCTTAATTTTCTGGAACAGCACAACACCTGCAAAGTGCAGGTGGGTTCACGACCCAGTGCAAGAGTCGGCATGATTCTAAATCAGCCTGTCACAGTGGACTAAACCCGCCTCTAAGCAGCCTTCGCTGCAGTGGGCTTGCTGGGAAGGCTTCTCCTTCCCCAGAAGTCCTGCATGTTGTTACTGGGTTCAACTGGATGCGTGATGTCATTTCTTTGCCTTGCCCTTCCAGCAGTCCTTTTGCCAGTCCCAAGACGTGCCATGCAGGTCATCCAGCCATCCCATGGCTCCGTAGTTCACATTGAACTTCTCCTCGGGAACCAAAACGACACCCCCCCCCCCCCCCGCGGCCGCTGCAACGACCTTCATGCACGACGCATTACGACATCCGACGCAGCCCATCATGCACACCAAACTTCGTCACATCGTGCAAAACCCGGCGCAGCCGAGGTCCAACTGAGCCAGTCCGCTCCAAGAAGTGCAGCCGAGGCACGTGATGAAAGTCATGGAAATTCGGCTGTGCCTCAGCCTCGCGAACTTCAAAGTCCAAGTCAGCACATGTGGAAAATACATCGAAGCAGCCAGCAGCTTTTTTTGTTGCAAATTTTCGCACCTGCATGGAGAAGAAGTCGATCCAAGGCCATCGGATGCCGCAATGGTGCGTCTGTGTGGCCATGACTGCAAAAGCCATCCACACAACCTCGGGAAATCGGCATGTGCATGCTTCGTACCGATCATAAAGCTCATTTGATCCCATGGATGGTGGTACAAGGGCGCTGGGGACCGTGCGCCTGTGAAGGCATTGGTCCGAACGGCAACGAGACCGGCTCCAAGTGGCCTCGGCATGTCCCGGCACCGCATCGACGGCTGCCTGAAAAAATCTGCTTTGACCTGCACACGTTATTGCATTATGATGCTTGTTATTGTCATTATTATCACTAGAAGAAGCCCAAAAACTTACAGTTTGTCGGCTTCTGCTGCAGGCTTGAATCGGCTTGAATTGAATGCTGTGCTGCACGAAAGGCATACGAACCGTGACTTTGTGCCGCACATCAAATCCGCCGCGAAGAACTCGACAGGATGACAATAGATCGCTGCTAGGCCCATCGGTGCCTTGCGGGCAGAAGTGGGATAAGAACTCTCAGTTCTCACTACCCAAACACACTATTGAAGGTGAACTAGACACAGGGCCAAATGAACACATTGAAAGCATTGAGAACATCTATAGTCTATAGTTGTTCTCGAAACAGCCTTCAACACTCCATCAGTGCAACAGGCATCACATCACCACATCTCACAAATCGATTTGCAAGGGTCTTGAGGGGCTGAAAAGAGCGGTTGGCAGATGCACTACGGAGCACTGCCTGAATGAGGGGTCGCTGAGGTCCAGCCAAAGCTGATGTGACAGTCCGAAAAAACATGAGCAACATGGTCCCTGGCTCGTAACGTCTTGACAAGACTGACATGGAGCCCACCTAGCCTTGAACTCGTGGTGGATCTTGTGAATGTGCCTTGGAAAACATACTGAAAGGCGAAGACAATTGCTCCTGGACTTGTCGCGCACTTGTAGAGAAACTTGTTGGCATGGAAGAGCCAATGCCCGTAGAAGAAGAGCACCTGCGCCATCATGAACATGAACAACTTCCCATCTGCGCAGCAGCTACAGCTACAGTGCTGCAGCTGCCCATTGCGGCCCATCGCCTCATTCACGATGACGCCAAACCCTGAACTCGAAGCTGGTCACATGCGCAAAGGCAGACAAGTATCCCGAATGTCTCGTGCTCTGCCTATGTGTGTGAACATCTCCCACGGACCAGGCAAAGTCTGCGTCACTCCTCAGACGGCATGCACGAGAAGAGCTTCGGACATCATGTGCCGCTAGGGAAGTTGAATGGAGGTCAAGTTTATAACAGGATGCTGTCATGCCTTGCTGCACATCATAAAACTGCTGCTTCGGTAACTCGTTGCCATGCCCACCGGCTTCAATCCAAGATCACCCCATGCAATCGACAATCGGGATACTCCCAGAAGTTATGCGTTTCCTGCAAGCACCAGCTAAGATGATGCGTGATCGTCGCGCTCCCCGTTTCTCGCTTTGCGCAGTAAATCTTATCGACTTCTCACTGGCTCGAGCTATCGATGTGCTGGAGATCGTGCCTTGCATGCCTCGCATGGCCATTGAAAGAGGCCCGTCACCACCCATGAAAGCTCGCCAAAATGACAGATCTCAAAAAACAAGGGCCCATCTCATCCAGCAAACGAAGACCCTGGCTACTCGTGCCGGCACAGTACAAGGCCTGCGAGGCAGCATGTCAAAGAGTTTCTTGAGAACCCAGAAAAAGGCCATACAGATCATGCAGTGTTGAAGGTATGTTGAGTTGAGGTTATATATCTCAAAGGTGCAGACAGTGCAGCATGGTGCAGACAAGGTTCGCAAGCGTTGCCAGCAAGGCATCAACAAAGTCAGCAGGATGGGCAGCACCTGAGAAGTAACAAACTTGCCAAGCGAGATGCAATGAGACGCATGCGAGACGAAAATGTGCTTCATCTTCTGCCAGCTCTCGCAACAGTCATGATCCATGATGTCATCTCCGGAACTGAAAGCTTGATTCCTCCAAAGCTTCAGCTGTCAGCAGCCCCACCGATCATCCGTGAAACATGGAAGAACACTTCCGGCCGGCGCACGACGAAACTTGTGGTGGCCAGATTTTTCCTAAGTGATATGACACTTGTCTCTGGCGGCATTGTGACGCTAAGGCGCCCAACAACATTGACCGGTGTTGCTGAGCAAGGCCTACGCTAACAGCAACTGCCATCGAGCTTCCACAGTGCAGACATCGGCGGCCTGCTAGAAGGCCTGCCGGACAGAATTCACAGCCGGCATCTTCACGATCTTCATGGGTGTAGCTTGAGCACATGCAATCTCAGGAGTCGCTTCAATGTCTGTATGCGGTACTTCTCAACCAGGTGTGGCCACAATGTCTCGACCTTAGCGGTGGCGACTTCAGCAGAAATGCCGAGGCACGGTGCAAGTGCTCAGGCTGGGAGGTGTGCCACAAGCAGCAAGAGGCCGTTGGTGAAGTATGTCACGACAAACATCGCCTTGATTTGTTCCTATTTACGAGCACCAAAGGTATCGTCTCTCAAAAGAAAAGGCATGAAATCAAGCATCGCACTGTGGAAGTCACTGCCGCGGAGGGGAGAGAGTAGAGCGGGGTGCTACACCAGTGCCGACCAGAAGGACACTGCAAGATTTCACAAGAACTCTGCGAGTCTCACCCACAGAGCCAGCGCCACTGTGACACCCTGGCCAGTGGGATCCACCTGACAAACACTTGGAACCAGCATGTGTCAACGCCTTGGTGAGCAGACCGTGTGCTCTGTGCACTCTCAAGGTCCGGGCAGTTGGAATCGCCTCGCATCTCCAGCAAAAGGCGTCTGGACTGATGTCAACACGGAGCTGAGTCGTGGACCAACTTCGGCATCAATTCCAAAAGGTGCATCCTAAGCTGGCCAGGGGCCCCATGCCCTGCTGGCAAACGTGCCGCTGGAGTGAAGTGCGTGCCGAGAAGCCAGAGGCTCTCCGGCGGTGACCAGACCATGAGGCCGGCCAGGAGGATGACCAGTGGGCTGGGCTCAGGGGCCTGTCCCGAACTCGGGAATCCACGGTGGCAAGAGCACAAAAAAGTGCAAAGGGCCTTGCTGAGCAGCACCAGCAACATCAGCTTGGCGAACCAGCTGCCTTCTAGAGCCTGCAAGGCGATGCAGCCGTGAAGAAAAAATCTCTTCATGGCAGGTGCACATAGATGCATCCCGCAAGCTTGAAGTCGCAAGAGCCTCGTGCACGGGCATCAGGAGCTGCTTGATCCGGCCCTCCAGGAGGATGACGCACAGCAGGCTCCCGAGCACCGTGCTGGCCGCGACGACATTGAAGCAAAAGCTCCTGCAGGCGCACATTGCGCAATGACAGGATGCTGGCCAATACCGGTTCGGTCCTTCCCATTGAAGGAAACGGAAAACAGCACCGTGTTGTTGGGACAAATCTAGGCTAATGGGCTGTGTCACTTGCTTGGGCCGATATTAACGGAAGACTGCAGGCTTCCAGAGCTCAAAGAACGAGGACATAATGGGACATTGCCTTTTCTGTGACTGAGCTTTGAGCCTTGCAATCTCCCATTCCCTGAGGATGGCAGAATTGGCCATCTCTGCAATCGGTCACACGATCTGGCAGATTACAGGCTGAGGGTGAATCTTGTTGCGAAACAATAGGTGCATACTTTGCATTTCCTGTCCTTGTGAGGCTTGATGCTGAGCCTCGCTCAATCATGCTCAATCCACTCGACTGCCAGCCACTCATTCAGGCACGCACGCTGAGAACACGGCTGAACTTTCCTCAACACTGGTCAAAGTGCGCCTCTGCAAAGTTCATGTCCAACACGGAGATTCTCAAAAGCAAATTCTGTCGTGAATGCCTTCCCCAATTCACGTGCCAAACCGTGGAGAACGTCAGACATCGCAATCTGGGCTTTTAGCCAAAACACCCTCTACAGACGTGGCCTGGATTCCAGCAGAAATCTCACACGAGCACCATCGGCTCCACCACGTGCAGTTCTCGCCTTATGCAATCATAACGAAGCAACTTCCTGGAAGCAATGCGTGATATTGTGTGCGTGCACGCCAATGTCGAGGAGTTTCTTGATCTCTGGTGTGCTGATGTGTGTTGCAACCAATCTGCACCCAACTCAAACTTTATTTTTCCGAAACGACACTCCAGTTCGCAGGAGAAGAGTCTCACTGAACCTAAGCAGAATGCTCCATGCCAACTTGCTGCATGAGTGTTGAGCCCCTCACTGTCTGCACACTCGCCTCGGCCTGACCAAGAGAGATGCGGCACAGCTTGCGCAGTTGGGGGGGGTTTCTAAACCTCATCTTGGGGATGTGAGCTCTACATGCAAAGAGATGGGATGTGCATGATGCAGGATTGCTATCGCGAAAGAAGAAACACACCGTCAAGGCACTTGATACAACTTTTCCAGACTCCACACTGGCCTGACTTTTGGTTTATATAGCATATAAACTATCCAACTTTACATCCCTGAGGGGCCAATCCACGCCTCCCGGATCACCTTCTTCTCGGGACCGCGATCAGTAAGCGCTGGCTCCTGGCCGCGTGCTTGGTGGGCGTGACAGTTGATCACGCTGACTCTCTCTGCCCAGCAACCTGCCTGAGTTTGATCTGTTTGGGACGGCAAGCTCAACGGTAAAGCGCGTATCTGACCGCACCTGCTCGCACAAGCGCACTTCCCGCAGGCATAGAGTTTCACAGCTACAGCTGGAGCCGTGCACCTGCGAGCAAAGTGCTGGTGGCTCAGTGGCGGAGGGACCTCAAATTCAGTCCCTAGGACATGCCTTATGATGGCTTATGATGTGGAGCATTCCCCCCACCCAAACCCTGTGCTTGTAAGCACCCCACATCGTCGGCGACACTGGTGAATCCCTTGGGCAACACCTGAACTTTCGCCTCAGCACAGTTCTCGAGAGTGACCTTCACTTCGCGGCTGTTGCTAAACACTGAGCTCCCGCACAAGTGGGCTTGTCCACTGGCTTGTGCTGGACACGCTGGATGAATCCTGGCAGGCATGCCCGCGACGACAAGGACGTGTGCAATTCACGCATGCACTTTCACGACTAAGTCACTACTACCTTCCTCACTACTACGCTAGCTGTCTAGGCATTCTCGGCCTCGTCATCGTCGTCCTGATCCTGGTGCACAAGCGGCTTCTCTCTCAGCCGTCAGTGGAGCACGATTGCGCTACGGTTGCCTACATTTGCTTGCTCAGTCGACTTGCCACTCGCTGGACGCCAGTCTGTGCGGGTCCAGCCAAGGGATGTTCCGAATCACGGGGGCCGCCGCGCTTCGGCCTGCACATCCGGCATGCATGGTGCTTTCGCTGTGTCTTGGGGATCTCTTCGGCTTTATGTAGTAACACACCAAACAGGCAGCTGCTTCTGATCGGAAGGCGTGCCTGAGGCTGTGTCCAAGTCGTGAGCTGGTATCGTGGAGGGCCCTGACCGTTCATCCCCCTAACTGCTCTTTGCATACTGAACGCATCAGCTAACCATCCGGAAGCACTGTCCTCCTGGCCGATGTCTGGGAAAAATCCTGTTCTGCATGAAGGCAAGGCGCCCGAATCAGTTTGGGAATCCGGATCAAGCTGCGCGGAGTTCAGTGCAGATTCATTGACAACGCCCCGCAGGTGCTGTCCTGCGATGCACTCGGAAGAAATCCTCTGAATCGGGATGACTTTGGCCTGCGCTCGCTCTCCCAAGGCTTGAGCAACCAAAACAAAATTCAAAGCCCACGTAGAACTACTGAGTAATGCTAAGTGGACCATCGTGAACCGTGATGGGCCTTCGGCCATGTCGACAATCGCCCAGCCATGATGAAGCTGGTCCTCTGCAACCTGCCAAAGCCAGGTACTTTTCAAGGCCACAATGGAGGAGCATGCAATAGTATAAACAAGCTATAGTAGTGTGCATCTGTTGCCTCTGCTGCTCCAGGATTCTCTGGCTGTGCGAAGCTGTCGCCCGGCCATGATGCTACCTGCAGTTCTCAATTCCTAGCAGTTTGCCCTGTCAAAGCGACATGCTCGTCAAGAAACCAGACATCGAACAACAGAACCAATATTCACGGCTGCACCTGTACCAGTTGCACAGCGCATAGGGTCCAACTTTACATCCCTGAGGGGCCAATCCACGCCTCCCGATCACCTTCTTCTCGGGACCGCGATCACTAAGCGCTGGCTCCTGGCCGCGTGCTTCGTGGGCGTGACAGTTGATCACGCTGACTCTCTCTGCCCAGCAACCTGCCTGAGTTTGATCTGTTTGGGACGGCAAGCTCAACGGTAAAGCGCGTATCTGACCGCACCTGCTCGCACAAGCGCACTTCACGCAAGCATAGAGTTTCACAGCTACAGCTGGCAGCTAGTTGAGTCAGACTTCTGTGTCGCACTGAGAACCCCTGACTGAGCCGTGCACCTGCGAGCAAAGTGCTGGTGGCTCAGTGGCGGAGGGACCTCAAATTCAGTCCCTAGGACATGCCTTATGATGGCTTATGATGTGGAGCATTCCCCCCACCCAAACCCTGTGCTTGTAAGCACCCCACATCGTCGGCGACACTGGTGAATCCCTTGGGCAACACCTGAACTTTCGCCTCAGCACAGTTCTCGAGAGTGACCTTCACTTCGCGGCTGTTGCTAAACACTGAGCTCCCGCACAAGTGGGCTTGTCCACTGGCTTGTGCTGGACACGCTGGATGAATCCTGGCAGGCATGCCCGCGACGACAAGGACGTGTGCAATTCACGCATGCACTTTCACGACTAAGTCACTACTACCTTCCTCACTACTACGCTAGCTGTCTAGGCATTCTCGGCCTCGTCATCGTCGTCCTGATCCTGGTGCACAAGCGGCTTCTCTCTCAGCCGTCAGTGGAGCACGATTGCGCTACGGTTGCCTACATTTGCTTGCTCAGTCGACTTGCCACTCGCTGGACGCCAGTGCGGGTCCAGCCAAGGGATGTTCCGAATCACGGGGGCCGCCGCGCTTCGGCCTTCCCACTTGAGTTTTTGGTAATGGCATTTGCATGGGAGGCCCCAGCACAGATGGATCCATGCTTCAAGTTTCAGAGCCTTCAGAGCCACCCTGCCTGTCATGTCCTTCAAGCTTTCCGATGTTAAGCACGGGCTGCCGAAAGCGCCCAAGCTTCGACCGCTAAACCTTGCAAACGAAAGCGCAGCTGAGCAGCTGAGCAGGGCATCGGCAACATCGACAATGAACCCGGGGCGCGCACGTCAAAGTTGCTGGGTAGCTTCCTCCACCTACACACACGCGAGGCTCGTCATGTCATCAACTTGTTGATGTATTAGCCGCAGGCCAGGCCTGTTGCATGGGTCTCGCCGCGTGTCCTCTGCTATGCAGCGTTTTCTATGTTCTGCCACGCTTCGCACGGTCCGTGCTTCGAAAGGACGAGCTTGACAAAGCAGAAAGCAAAGCCTGTGATGCACTTCGAAGAATTCTCGTCGAACTCGTCGTCCAGATCCTACCATAAACCAGCATTATTTAGAGGTCTCTCTTTCCGCAAGGCGTATCAAAGTGGAAGCAATCAGCAGGGAGTGAAAAGGTGACATCCTGAAAAGCTGCTGTGAATTTCCAAGCGCTCGAAGCTGCACGCGGAGCCCTGAGACCGAGTCACGAAAGATAAAGGTTCTGAAAAATCTGTTGATTGAGGTGCATGGTGGGGTCTTCCCATTCCATGGTCAAGCCTCGGAAGCCTTTGAGAAGCCATCGCTGCTGTTCCAAGCTATTCCATCGCACAGTTGCATTGACCTGATGCCGGGAGGTGACATGCAGGATATCCGACACAGCAGTTGCTATCGCATGACCTCATGCCAAAGTCAAGCTACAAAGAAAGAGGTCACAGCCACAGCCCGACTTAGCCCAATGCCTGTGGTCTGTGCAAATGCCATGCACGGCGCTGGGCCCAATTCCGTTCGGGGCCACGGTATGTGGCGACATTGCTGCTATCAGACTTCAGTAACTCTAGCGACCATGCCCTCAGATTTACCTGGTGCTGCTGACTTCTGACAACGACCTGATCGACACAGAGGTGCGTGGTCTGAACTGCATCCTTGTCCCGCCAAGCCCCTCATTGATCATCATTGATCCACTTTAACACAGCCAGACGCAGACGTGTTCAAATGCCGACATGCTTGGCAACCTTGCAACATTTTGCAACTCTGCACTGTCAGAGCTTGGAGGCATGCTGCACATGTCACCCAGAACCTTCTCGTGAAGCTGCAGGATGCCCAGGCTGTCCTACCCGGGATTTCGAAAGTGCCATCGGAGCTTTGCTTCTGATCCGGGAAAGGTCTGCTGCGCATGCGTCCGAAGATCTCTGCACTTAGCTACGCGATTGCTTCCAACCCGTCGTCTGCCCATGGTCCTGCCCCTGCAAGTGCTCACGTGGTTCCACTCTTGCGAGTGCCTGGGCTTCCAGCAAAGCCCTGCACAGCCTTCACTCAGCTTCACTCCACAGCACGCAACAGGCCACCTTGCCTGTTTGAGTACCTTCGATGTCGCCGCACTCCAAGCCCGTGTACGGGGAGAAGGGCGTGACCTGAAGGGTAGCAAGAGATCAGAAACCGGCCTTTCACATGCACATAAGTGCCTTGCTGCCTGCTCAGTTGCAGCAGCTGAGGTTCGTTAAAGCTTCAATTTCTGAACTTTCACTGCCACTTCAAGCATGTGAGGACATCCGTGAACGCCGGCTAACTCGACAAGGCGTGCACCAGATACACATACCGATCTCTTCACTTCTAACGATCGGTCGTGCACGATACCCTGACATGCTCAGATCTAGTGGAGGCATTTGCGTTGATGTGGAAGTTCGTGTCGAATCACACCCGGATTAAGAGGTGACTTCGAGCTTCAAGGAGCTTCCCAAAATCAGGGAGAGTTCGATCCAAGAGCCGAGCTAAGTGAGTGTCGTAGATGTTGATCGGCACATGCCCCTTGAACCTGTACAACAGGGCACGGTCCCTATCTGACGACCTTTTTGGACCCTTCGAGAGCTTGTATGGCTTGTGCCAGCAAACGGACTAGTTGCTTGCAACCTTGCCCTAGCCTCTGCGGTACTGCTCCTGGTATGTCAGCCCGGATCAAGGATGCCTGTCAGATGTTGCCAGCTTGCTCAGATGTGAGTGATGCCAGTGTTTGACGTCTGGGGAGTCTTCTGAGTAAAGTTATAACCTGGGCTCCCTTTACAAACCCTTGCATACATGTGAGACCCGGCAGGCATCAAACAGAGGCAGCTGCAGACTGCAGAATACTGCAGCGTTATGTGGAAACTTGTGCCCGGCTCGATGCTTCACATAAAGAGGCCTGGGGCTCTCCATTGTCGCGATGCAGCACCTCGCACGGTACTCCGCGCGGGCTTGCCGACGATCACACTGCAGCATCCGAAGCCACAACTGCGATCCGTACTCGCGGTGTTGATCCAGAGACAGGCCCGACCTGATTGCCCCAAGCTACGAGCCAACTCGTACGAACTTTCATGTCATTCTCGTGTCATTCTCGTGTCACTTGCGGAATCCGACTCGCAGGGCTCCAGCCTTGCTTGGAGCCAGCGGGCTGTCCTCAACCTCTCGATAGAAGGGGTGCGTGGTTCTGGTGTGAACCTGGGCTCAAGAACAATTGAACACAAAGACAAAGGCAGGGCAAATACTTGCAGCATGAAGTTAACAGGCAGGCATCAGTGGCAACTTTTTGAAGCTTCCAGGCTCATCTTCGTGAAAGCTCTCCAAACGCAGCATAGAAGGCCGCAAGGTCCTCTTCCGTGCGCGGTGCATTCGCGGGCATCCTGCCGTACTCTTGAAGGGGTTCACCTTACATACCCTATGTAAACTCCAACAGTTGCCCTCTTTCTGTTGCTCTTGGTGTGCAAAAGCGGCAGTCCCCGAGGGCGCCATTGTCAGCACAACCTGCAGCACAATTCACTTGCTTCATTTACCAATCTCTCTCGCAGCAAATGTCACTCACTCGTTCCTTCACGAACCATGCATGCTCCGTGGCAGTCTAGCACAAGACCGGTAAGCCATTCCATCGTGGTGTCCATCACAGTGGCTCTGGCTGAGTTCGCGGGATGGAGTCGGATAGCGGGAATCTTGGGACAGGCAACCAAGACAGGTCTCAACGATGCATGTGTACGGCGCGATGGCTGGCCGGGTTCTCCCAAGATCGCTCGGAAGGTGAGAGTGAGATGTAAGGCAGCACGGGTGACGAGCTTTAGGACTTAGGGTTTGACGACAACCAGGCGCAAGGCTGCAGCAGGGCTGCAGATGGCTGCAAACTACGGAAGCAGGGGGCCCTGGATTCCATTTGCTTCCGTCATCGAAAGACAACAGAATTCCCTCACGCATTCTCGCCTTGCTTGGTCTTGTCGTGAAAACAAGTGCATAAAGACACCCGTTGATTCAAGCGGAATACTAGGAAGCCAATGACGCGCGATTTCGCTTGACAATTAACCGACATTGTGGTGCGACCGAGCGTGTCGTTTTTTTGCTCACCTGCGTCTGGAGTCTGGATTCATGGCAAACCACAATGAACGGCTAATAGAGTGGAACGGCCGGTGGCTTCGACAAAAGTGAGCCTCCCGAGGTCTTCCATTCTCAACTGTTCCCACTTTTTGCCATTCCTATGCCGTTCTCATTGTTGGTTTCAGGTGTCGAACATCGAACCCAATGCTCTTCCAATGGCTTTTATGCAACAACGCAGCAGGGCCTTTGATGCCGACGTAGCCGAAGCGGGTGAAACCTTCTCTGGAGCTTCCTTCGACAGGGGCGTCGTGGCACCACCTTGCAGCTTGCAGGTTCTGCGAGGCACTAAAAAAAGGGGACAGCAGAAAGATGGGCCAAGGATGGAAAAGGGTCTCTCGAGCTTCAGACTGTTGCCGGACACCTGCGCTGGGTCTGTCCGTGAGCTCGGATCGCACCGCAACTCGCAGCTAAGGGCCTATCGTCCAGAAACCAGCCTTGTCGAAGAGCTCTTTCTTCTTGTCCTCGTCCATTTTGGACAGGTTTGCTCGACCTGTGTGCCACGATTAAGAAATCCCAGTAAGGTAACTACCCAAGAAGTTGGTCAAGTGCCGCGCTTCTGAGGCCCGCGAACCAATTTTCGAATTCGCGGCGAACCTTCACCTACAGCATCTGCAGAAGAACGTTCATGTTCTAGCTTCCAGCAGAGACTGACACACTCTAACACTCTGGTGGCATCCTGGTTCTGCTCGAGAAGTCGCTGGATGCCCTCGACGTCGCTCTTGACACGTCGCCTGGCGCGCGACACCCTGCAAGTATACGAGAAGCTGAGTAGCTTAGGCTTGGCGGTCAGAGTGACGGTCGGGCGGAGCGAGCAGCCAAGGTCCGCACAGCTCGCCAGTCTTCTCGCGATACTGGCTTTTCAGGCGCTCAATCTCTGCTACCTGGGCATCCCACAACAGAAGCTGTGCCATCTTGCAGCCTGTTCAATCACTCACAATCCGCATGCCCATATATGGGTCACGGCATGTTGTGTTCATGGGGATGTATGGGAGGTAGTGAAGCTTCGTCACACTTGGCACGATCTACACTGCACATGAACATAGCCTCGCCTCGGCCAGCTCTTCTGGACCATCCTCAACAGGTGCAGAGTCGTCATAGCCAGCAGCTGTCATGGCCTCAGCCAAGCAAAGGCGTCCCGTGCACGGCAACGCGTAGTTAAAACATAGCGAAGTGAACTTTTACTGGCGAAGCGGTCCAGATGTACGTCGGTTCCACCGAAAGTATTCTTTGCGTGTATGGACCTATGCAACGTGCGAGTACCATCGGGTTCCAAAAGCTTTGGCAGCCTCGGAGCTGTATAGTTACATTCGACCTATCGTTGCTTCCGGCTTGCACCTGGACCCTGCAGAAGCTCACAGCGTTGCCATGGTAGGAGCCATTCTGAATGCATTATTCACATTCCTAATTTTCCCTGGTGCATATGCCCATGTCAATTATCCACCCTCGTTTGTTGCCTCATCTAAATGTGTCGTCAGCGTACAGCCGGAGCAAAAGTATGAGCAGTATTCGTCAAAGTACTGGCAGTAGTAGAAGAAGTAGCCGTCGTAGTAGTCGTAGTCGTAGTCGTAGTCGTAGTCGTAGTCGTAGTAGTAGTAGTAGTAGTAGTAGTAGTAGTAGTAGTAGTAGTAGTAGTAGTAGTAGTAGCAGGAGTAGTAGTAGCAGGAGTAGTAGCAGCAGGAGTAGTAGTAGCAGTAGTAGTAGTAGTAGTAGTAGTAGTAGTAGTAATGATAATAAGAATGATAGTAGTAGTAGTTGTAGTAGTAGTAGTAGCAGCAGCAGCAGTAGCAGGAGCAGCAGCAGCAGCAGCAGGAGCAGGAGCAAGAGCAGTAGCAGTAGCAGTAGCAGTAGCCGTCGTCGTCGTCGTCGGAGTATAAACCCTAACAGATCCTTAGAGAATCAAGTGCAGAATCACATATTCATGCGAATGTACTTGCTAGCTGCCAACCACCCAGAACCAGGCTGAGCAATGTCTGACATGACGCCGCAATCCAGGGGCCAAGCACGCTCTGTTCGCAGTCGCAGCAGCCTGCTCTTGACCTGAGAGCAGCCATCGGACCATGGTGCACGGCAAGCGGCAACCATAAGCTTCGCATCGCCACTGGGCTTCGCACAGAGTCAATTTCTGCCTTGAGCTGGACTGCCTCAGGGAATATGAGAAGCCGCACCAAAAGCAATGTCGAGCGCTGCAGTACTGGCAATTTCTTGAAAAAAGAACCGTTCACACGATCACCTTTGAATCTTCTCGACAGCTGATAACGACCATCCACCCCATTCTGGCTTCACTACTAGTCTCTCGGGCGGCCTCCTTTCCCAAGGCTTGTGCTTGCTCAATCCTTTCTTTTAGCAATGCCTCACCAGCATCACACTGCTAGGGTGGCATGTATCTGTGTTCTCTCCTATTCGGCAGCCTTGTTCTCTTTGAAAGCCTCTGGCGGTTTGTACACTTTTTGCCAGAAAACCTGGTCCGGAACACAAAAATCGAAGGAGCTCAGAACAATCGTCGCTTCAAGTATTGGAAAGCACCTCCAATGCCTTCTGCTTGTCCAGAAGAAGTTCAGCTGCTTCGTCGGCTGGCGGCATTGTCGGCTGCGGAAGTCTCCGCTTGTCCGTCTTGTCCTTCAGTTGCTGTACTCGTCAGGTACAGAAGTCGTCAGACGTCAATGAAAGTGCTAGGGTACCCTGTTAGATCGCTGCACCAAGTGCACGCCGACAATGGTAAGCAGATCATGCAAGATGGCCTGCGGAGCTGCAGACTTGGCGGTCTCCGAAGTTGGTGGGGCATTTCCGCTCCCGAGCGCTTGCTGTTTGGTTGCCTAAGTGCAAGGAAGAGTGCGACCATACAGCGTGCAGCAGCAAGCGGTACTTGAAGCCCGGCCGTTTCAGGGCAGCTACCATTCGCACGCTCCTTAGCTTGAGCAAGGCTTCCCAAGTCTGCGACTCTCTCTACATTTGTGGCATTGCAGGGACACGCAACTAAAAGAATCCAAGGCTGCTGCAGTTCTTTCCGGAGAAGCCGCTGCTGGTTGCGATGAAGCAGCTATAAAGGGGCGTGAGTCCCCGCGCCTTTCCATCCACGGACACAATGCAGGCTAAGCGGTTAGACTTAGACATCAGAAGTGGGGCCCTGTGCGAAGCTGCTCCTACACTTGGCTCAAGGGCTCAGCTGGTCAGGTACTGCATGCCCAAGCGAATGCTCACAAAACGGAAGGCAGTGCACCCCTGCAACTGCAACTACCCAAATTCCCTGCACCTCAAGTGCCTAAAAACTAAGCAAAGCCCGCGGTGTTGAACGAAATGAACTAGCAAATCGTAGCACTCTTCCACACTTGGGCGCGAGCTGCTTGGTGAGCATTTTCACCATCACCGCAATTTCCTGCGAAATTCGAACCCTTCAGAGCGATTACCTCCAAGTGGACTGCAATTCTTTCGAAGTGTCCTGGTCACGCTGAGCGACCTCGGCTCGACACGAACAAGGGACAGAAACTTTGCAACACTCAGTCGTACAGTAGCTTCCAATCCTTCAAATGGATGTCCGAATAAGCCAGGCAAAAAAACAACCCCCACTCCATTTTAACAGCTCCAGACACTTCATAGACTCAAACGCGTGAGATGAGTTACGTACATGCATACCCAACAGCTAACAAACTCCTTGCTCCCTTGCAGTGCTAGCGTGGTTAGGATCAAGGTTGGTGAGCGGAGACGCCTCCAGCTTCAGCTTCTTGATCTCAGACTCCAGCGCCGCTGCACCTCCTCAAGCGAGTCCCACATGCGGTCACCACTCACGACCCTCAAATGGCAGCTGAAGAAGCAGCACCTTCGTCTTCCAGGTCTTGTGTTTGCTGGCCTGAACCATGCTGGAGCTGCCGGCGAGGACAGGATGCGCACTCACCAGAATGCAGGGAAGGCTCACCTTCCCTTTCGATACACATGTCCCGCAGAATGCGGAAGCAAGCGCGCAGCCTGCCAGAACCGGCAGCTTTTTTGTAGCTTCTGTGAACATGGTGGCTTTGATTCTCGATCCGGACGTGCCTCTCAATGGAACCGCACATGAAAGGCTCCTCGGACTTTACACCTGCTGGAGGCACTAGGCTAGTTCAGCAGGAGTGCAATGCATCAAAAGGATACTTGGGCTACGGCCCTTGGAGACAAACTGTTGAACAAGAGCCCTGCACTGGTCAAGCCCTTCTGTCGTCAGCGCCTTCCACGATATGCTGGAAGTCTCCAACGTAGGCGCCCGACGCAAGAATGGCGAGCGGCTTCGCGGCTTAGCATGGCTTAGCCGAGTATAGCCAGCCCACTCTCAATGTCTCCAAAGTTTCGAGCGCCTCTGCTTCTTGGCCATCTCTGCTCGCCCGAGCAACCTTCACCTTGCAGAGGGCAGCCAATAGTAGATAACAGTAGAATTCTCGGAAAACAATTCTGCCAGGCCTCTTCCTTAAGCTCCGCGACCTCTCTCTTCAGTCTGGAGATAAGCAGGTTCGGATCAAGCTCCTACCAGGTATTACCAGGTAGCAGCAATTCCTTCACACACGTCACGGCTGCGGACGCGTGCAAAGAAGCTGTGGGCATCGAGCGGGACGCAAAGGCGAATGTGCAGAATTCATGACACAGTGCTTGTCATATGTTAGCTGCCTGGGTTCTTCTGGATCTGAAAGGTTCCAGCAACACACGACCGAATGCTGCTGTGCAGGTCCTCGTTAACCCGGGCATTGTTGGTAATCTGAGCCACTCGTTGAGCAAAGCCTGAGGCAATGCCAAGTGACGCCTAGGACTTTAGTTCGAGGCCTCGAGGCTTGCAGCGCATGCATTCACAGGCAGGCTGCGGCAGGTAGAAATGGACTCTGGGATGTTCGACGCCTGCACTCCCAGCGAATCGTGGTTTATGAAAGAAGGTTTCCAAAGCTACCCGCGAATGCACCTCACCAGCAATGCAACCGACCATGGTGGTGCGACCTGATAGATCTAATCGCCACATGACCTACACATGCGCCCTCCTAGGCAACTAGGAGGCGAATTCCATGAGGCTGCTGCAGTTGCCGCCCAACGAGTCACGCAGGACGCTGGTCATCATGGAGTCGCGGTACGGTACATGTGCCTTGTGGCAGTATACCAGGCATGATTTCCCGTCGCTCTCATCAGCAAGCAGAAGTACTGAAGCAGCCTGGCCTGCACACCCTTTGATCGGGAATGCAAAGCCACAATTACCCTCTCCAGGTAGTGAAGGGAGAGGTTGATAGCCTGACGAGTCTACAGTAGTGCGTACGTGGGTGAGCAAAGTGGGAAGAATGTTGGCTTGCCTTCGCCTCTGCAAGAAGCTTTCCATCCACTCCAGTTTGCGAGACCTTTGCTGTCAGTGCTTGCTTCTTCAGTTGTCAGAGATGTGTTTTGCGATGACCGGCCCGCTCGCTGCCGGCTAGGTCAACAAGATGCAGCTTCGACCGTCGCACAACCTCAGAGCTAAGCTTGGTAAGGGAGAGCCCCTGAGAGTTACTTATCATGGACACATGGCACAGCTCAGGTGCAAGCATCACTTCCTGATTGAGTGGAGTCGACCCAGATGATGAACAAGCAGTGCGAGCGCGTACTGGCATCGTTCATGGGGGTCTCCTGACAAAGCAGAATCGTCCTCAGACTCAGTCGATGCGGGGTTTTTGAGGCCAGCACAGCGACAACACGGTTTGTATCGCCCAGGAACAGCAGGTTCAGAGCATCCTGCCAAAGCCAATGAAAGCAAACCCACTGTAAGGATCTGCAACTCAAGTTGAACTCATGATCAATCAAAGTCCCAATCCAACTGCCTCGCATTGCAATACTACTCACAGTGGTAGTAATGTGACATAGTGGCGTAGAGCCAACTACTACTGCAACGGCTGCAGCACATGCTGATTCCACCTCTTCTGATGCCGCGAGGTTCACCGAAAGGTTTCGAAGGTGCGTGTTGCCATCTTCATCCTGTGTCGTCGGATGAGCAGCCCACCAAGCAAAGGTAAAGCCTAACCTTTGCCTCACGCAGCGCCACTTTTGGCAAATCTTCAAGTCGCCGAACCTGGCAACAGCATGAACCAACTTCATGTTCTGCACAAGCTTGTTTGGTACCTGTTCTTTGCAAGCAGCAACAGTCTCAGCACTTGTTCAAAGGCATGGACGCTGTCATCGCGCAGCAGATCATAGCCACTGTCCTTCCAGGCATTGACAAGAAAGGTCTCCTCTAACAAGCTGATCAGGACCAGATTTGTTTTTCGCATCAGCTTAAACCCTGTGACAGAATGTCCTGATAGATTTCCAGATAAGAGATGTACATGCGGTACTGAGCAGGCCCTTTGCGAAAAGCCTGCCAGCTACTCTCCGGGTTCTGTTGATACTAGCTGCCGAAGCTTTCTGCCTCGAACATGAGCCGGATCGTGCGGGGAATCAGGCCACGATCTTCATAATTCGAAGCACCGCCCGTGATGGTGAAGGTTTTGCCACTGCCTTTGACAGGAGGACTCTTTCTCCAGCACTCTGGCACAAAAGCCCACGCGTCCACAACCTGTTTGGCCATAGGCGAAGATGGTGCCATTGACGCCCTGCAGTACATCCTGCTTCAAGCAAGCCCTTGACGTTGTATTGACATGAAAGTATGGCGGCAGGGAAGCCTCTATGACCGGCTTGGCGATAATGTCTAAAACCTCCTGCTGTTTGATCTGCATGCCAAGAACCTGACAGGAAAACCGTAGCAAATACCCTTTAAAACGTTGAAGAAAGACAGAGCTCTGGGGACCGTGCGCCGTCGAATTGAAACGAATGAGCAGCCTTCTGGTTGTTGACGTCATAGTCGGGCCTTGTGCTCAGAGAGCTGCCACACCATATGGAAGTGGCGAAGCGTGGTGCAAGTCTCACGCGAGGTTTTCTCATGTTCAAAGATCAAGGTCTTCTTCTCCTCATCCACCTCGCACATGGACTCAAGTGGCGCCAAGAGTGACACGAAAGGAAACAGATTTATGCAGCTTGTGAACATGCCATTGCATGCGTCGGCTCGAGCCTTGAAGCCTGGAGCTGGACGTCCGGGACGAACACGGATGAAAACCTCCCAGGTCAAAACGCTTATTAAGAGTTCAGCTACAGTACGGCCCTACTGGCACAGCTCAGCCGCAGTTAAGGGTGGGACTTTGATGTTCGACGCCATCCATCACAAACCTGGACGTCTATCAAGTTCCGCTCCAAAATGTCGAACTTTCAGAGAGGAATGCCAGCAAGAATGCAGCAGACTGCCTCCATGTGGCACACGGAGGCGAGGCCGGACCATGGCGTCGCGCCTCCGCCTACATTTGCTGAGCTTCGCCATGTTTGGGGAAACCACTGGCTGTGTGCAGCGCCCGGTGTAGCTTAGCATCTACTCCATGGGCAAATGCATCGTCAAGAACTGCTACTAAGGCATGTGAGATCATCTGAGCCGCCGGGTGAGGGAGCGCATGTGCAAGCAAGCACCAATCGCATCATCCACGTCTTAATCTACTACCCATAATCCCTTTCCACTCAGCCGAGACTTCGACTTTGTAGTCCGGGGCAAGGGAGTTGTTGCCAGAACTGACGTACTTCCCAGACAATATCCTTTCTCCCGACCGCTCCAATGTCCTGCGACAACGACTGGCATCAAAGGTCGACAAAGTTTCTCCATACTTCTTCGACAAGCCTCATTGTGTCCCGTGGCGTAGTGGCGTTGACTCTGTTTCTGATGTTCGGCTGAGACATCCTCAGGTACATGGGTGCTGCCAGTGCTTGCTGCCATCACCAAGACCACTTTTGCTTCAGAGAGGCTCAATGTCGTGGCTCTCTGCAGGATTGTGCGCATAGTCCTGGGAACAATGCGTGCATCTGCAGATTTAAGTTGAATGCAATGCCCAAGCAGATGGTCCCTCGTGGGAATTCGCGAAGATGATGTGCCCTCACTGCAGCGTCTGTTAGTTTTGCGCGCTAAATTTGCTGTAGCCACTTGCCAGCCTTGAAACTCAAGGTGTCCCGCGAGAGCTGCTCGTGTGTTCGTGTGGGCGGTGGAGTCGGTGGGTCCATGGATGTTGACTGCAGGTTGTACCTGCCCGGCGCCATTCTAGGCGACGTCAATGTGAGTAGGCCTAACCGCCAAGAAAACAACCGGCAGGGAGCCTCGGTGTCAATGGATTTGTCTGCCGCGTCTTCTTAAATTTTACCTTCAGGCACTCTGGGACCACGGATGAGTAAAGGTTGCTACTCGATCGCACGAAGATCCGATACTCCAGGTCTAATGACAACAACGACGATGCTAGAATCAAATGCCCGCTTGTGCAACTGTTGGTGCTTTGGAGTCCGGGGTGCCTGTGGCCTACACCTGCTACATGCAGTGAGAGCTTGCTGAGAACACGTTCTTTCTGTTGGGAAGTACTCTACTTCTCGATGCTCAGAAACGAATAGTTTAAGTAGGTTCGCTCTTCTCTCTGCAGCTTCTTCCGCAACATTGCCATCTGCAACCCAGCCTTCGGCTGCGCACCGTCAACATCGTGGGTTGACAACGACTTATCTTGCGGCTTGTTGGTTGAAGGGTAGTGGCTCTTTGCCACCGACCCTTTGATGAAGTCCTGCAGACACCAGGCTTCACTCCCCTCCACTTCTTGTTCCCCATATCTGGGACGTCACGATTGCAATCCGACATTCAACATCTGCCTTCTGAGGTGGATCAAGATGAAGGCTCTGCGTCATAAACCTCAAAGCCGCAGTCACATGTTGACAACGCTCCGGAGTGCTGCATCAAACCACATTTTTGCCATACCTGCATTCTGAACAATCGAGCTCTCCGCGATGGCACAGCTCCGCGTATATCGTGAGCCAGCAACGACTGGGAAGTCGCGCAAGCGAACCAAGCATTCACCCCACCCCCTCCCCGCTCCCACGCGTTCTAAATCTCACAAATCCGCCGAGGCCGGAGGCTTGAGGCGTTTAGATCCATGTCACCCCCCCCCCCGCCCTGGCACCACACCCCCAAACCCAAAACAACACCACCCACCCCTTCCCTGACCCCCACACACACAAGACAAACAATACCATCCCCCACGCCCCGCCCCCTCCCCCTCCCTTCCCTACCCCCCCCCCCCCTCCCTCCCCTGCCCCCGCCTCCCTACTCTTGCCAAGGCGGCCTCGCGTTAGCTGTGAAATTATGCCAGCATCGATCCCGGACAGTGTCGGATCATTTACAATTCCAAGTGGCTGTTGCGACTTTGCAATACTTGTAGATTGGGAAAGTACGTAATAAGAGGCGAGTGCAAGGCCTGTGCAAGACAGGCCGTTCCTGTTACGAGGCCAGCTTATTTCAGCTACAGGCCTCCTCACAGTTCTTGGTACAGCTTGGGCCTAGTTTCTCGAGCCAGTTCCTAACGCCCTGGTTCCGGTTACTGCGTTTACTCTTTCCTAAAAGCTGGGGGGGGGGGGGGGGGGGGTCACGGCTTGGACCACGGACAGCAAAGACTGTACTATTTGCCAGAAATCTCTCCGGAGCACTCGGCGTCTTGGCGAGCGACAGGGTCATCGTTGGCGAATTGAAATGCACACGGCGACTCTTGGCGAAAGCGAAAGGGGCCCACAAGAAACGCCGAATGGGTCGGTTTCGAGTCCACGTGCCGGTGAACCTTTCCTCCTTACTTCCAACGTAGGAATCCCATAGTATCACAGTGCAAAGGCTGTTTGGGGAATATCATTGCGCAGCAGCGAGCCTGCTGGTAGTCTTTCTCACACATGATTTGGCCGCGAGGAACGTCCTTGGGCCTCACCACGTTCATCGACCTTGAGTAGACAGTAGATGCAACGCCAGATGAACACACACACACACACACAACACTATCCGACAGAAAGTAATGTCCTCACTCAGAGCAGCACATTACATCGGCGCGCGGGGGGAACGGCATCGGCTTGCCATCATCTGATGGATGATGCAGCATCTTCAGGCCCTGCATGAATAAGCTAAGCTTAGCTGACACCAAACTCAAGAGGGTCTCAAGCGCCACAGCCAAGTGATGAGGAATGCACATGGCACCTGCGGAGGGACAGCGTATCCGTGCGTGGTCAGCGTCATGGTTGCGGCCAACTACCGGGGGGCCTCTGCGAGTCCTCTGCACATCTACTCTGGTTACAATGCTCAACTTGCAGGCCTGGCGAACACTCAGACTGGAAGCCTAAGACCCCATTCAGCCTTGGCTGATTAAATGGCTTCACTGAGCTTGTGTGTGCAGATGACTTTCCAACTCCTCAGCTTGAGCAGAAGGTGACAAGGTGTAGGTGAACTCTTCGGCTGCTGACGGAGCAGACGGAAGTCTGCGTGCCGATATGTGCCGATGGGTCGATTTCAGCTTTTCAGGGACTGGCCGTGTCAAATAGTATGCGCCTTTTTTGCAGGCATGTATTCGCATACGGTGCAGTGCAGCTCGGTCCGACTCGTGCAACGCTTAATTGCACGAATCATGAACTGCTTGCCGCAACACGGCACTTCGACGAGTCTTGTGCAGCACTCTTTGCAAAAAACACCGGTGATTCCCGTGAGCAGCCCAGTTGCGCTAGATGCGCGTACGCTTTGAGACTGTGCGATATTTGCCTGTACATACGGGCCACTGCCCATGCCTTGGGTGATTTCAGAATGGTAGTGGTCGGGGGAGTATCCATTGAATCCAACATGTGGCAACCGACTACATACTTCCCAAGCCAGATGAACACGTAAGCCGAAGTGAGCTACAGGTTTACACATGGTTACCCGTGGCTACAGCGTCAACCAGTCACAATCAGCCAGCAATTCTGGCAACTCAAAGAAAAAGAAGGGAACCTCGCTTCGTGCAACGCCCTCAGCTGGACCCCGTAGCCATGAACACTTTTCCTCTTCCCAACGGACTGTGTCGCGAAGATTCGCGAAGCGGCTATTCATCTTGAGTTCTGAATCCACCCAGCCTATGCTGCATGCCACGAACCGCGACATGGCCGTCACTTGCTTGGAGAGTTATCTGACCACACACCTTCCTCCGCAGGAATTTGAGCAAGAATCCCTCAAGATCCGCAAGCAAACAACTGCACAGATGCTGCCTCCTCCAGGATGCTCAATCCACGAGCCTCGGCCTGCACAAGGCTGTGAGAATGCAGCACTTGCCTTGCAAGGTACAACACAGCGGTGGACGGAGTCGATGAACCACTATGAACCACTCTCAAAGTGGAACTGCTTGGCTGACTTGCGCGATGATGCTAAGATATCAGCCTGGACGCCAGTTTTCTCCTTGACACCACTGCTGTGCTGGAAACACGCGAAAGCTTGCCGTGAAGCATCGGAAGGACTAAGCAGACTGAGTAGTGTCCTCTCCCCGCTTCTTCAGATACTGCAGGAGCTCGGTCTTCAGCTGATTTCCGGTCGCTCCGGAGAGTGTGAGTGCCTCCCATGCAGGGTGGATGGGCGAGAGGCTCAGGGCCTGCACTGTAGCCGCGCCACTCCAGGCCTCAGGGTGGCGGCCTTTCGGGAGCCCGAACCTTCAAAAAATCAGAGCATTTTCCCTGCCTCTGCAGTCTTCCGTCTGCCATAACACGATAAAAACGGAACTTCTGAGACGGCAACATGTTCGTGGTTTTGGAGGCTAACCTGTGCGCCCAGAGGAGCTCCTGCATCTGTCTGCAATTCATATTGCTGCACTGACAAACTCGGATGTCGTGCTGTCCTCGCTCTGGGGTATGTGCCGAGAAGGAGCCAGGGCCCGTGGGGCATGTCTGCGAGGGCGAACTATGTTGCTCGAAGGCGGGCTCCAGTCAAATACAAGCAGCACAAGCTCATCCAACATCCAAAAAAAAGCATCAGCAAGCTGTGAATCCAACCGCAGGGAGCCGATGTGTGGATTTCCTGGCGATGCTGGCAGGAGCACACTGTCACACAGCTCATTCAGCTTTGCAGGGATTACAGCTTGCAGTGGTGATCAGCGGAGAGCAGAATGCATGCTCTTGGATTGGTTGACGGCGCTGTCCAGCATCGAGACGCCAGCAATCACGCGCGCTGTGCAGGGAACCACCTCAGGCTGCATCTTTTGTCGGGCAGAATAATGCGCAGCATCCGTTTAGACTGCGTGGGATCTACGCATTCTGCAAACTGAAGACCATGTAAGGATCGAACTGCTAAGAACACTGTCCGTGTCATCCCTGCCACGAACGTCTGGCGACCTAACTACTCAAGCTTGAAAAATGGGAGGGGTCAGACAAGGCTGAATCCCTGAAGTTGAAGCAACTGCAGCAGCGGTGAAGAAGAACATGCAAAGACAAAAACGCAAGACTTGGTCCTCGGCGCAGAAGACAAAGAGCTGGAGCTGGCCAAAGACAGATCGTCGAGGTTATTTCCATGCTTCGCACAAAACCAGAAATGGCAGAGTGCAGGTTTAAATCACCGTCCTGCGCTCTGAGATTCCACGCTGCTCGGGCGACAGGCCCCTGAGAGCCAGAGGACCAGTGAATTTGTCAGACTCAAATTCTGCAAAGGCGGTCGCCTTTCCAAATCGATTTCGGAGTCCGTCTCGGCAAAGTGCTCCTGCCCGGGCTCTGTCATACCCACTCCACACAGAAATCCACGGATATGTTGGAACACGTGCACTTTTCGTGATGTTTCTTTGCAGCGAAACAGTATTGACAGCTGCCCGTTCCCAGCCAGCATTATGCGTTCCAAACAACGAACCCGAAACAAACACAACACAACACAACACAGCACAGCACGGCACAACACAACACTGAGATTGACGGATGAAGGACCTGCCCACCCGAAAGCGATGCAGCAAAAAAACAACAACATACATTGACATATTAAATGCACACTGCAAGCAGGGCCGTACAAACGAGAGTTGAGCACAACTTTCTCCTTCGCACGCATCTTGACATTTCAGCTAGCGAGTCGGATGGCTGCTCGCGGCAGCCATCTTAACCGCTCACAACAAAGCCGCAGAAGCGCGAATGTGCTCACATGTGATTGACATCTCGTGAATCCCTTGCCCTGTAATCATATGCATCTCTCAATGTTCGCCAGGCTGTCCGTACTTTTCCAGTCTGTTCACGAATGGCGGACCAATCGGAGCTCCCGCAATTTTCGCTCAATAATCACCAAAATTGCAGACTCCGAACACAGAAAGATCGACCCTGAGGCAAGAAGTCAAAAGCATGAAGCTGAAGCGGAAAAACCACGAACTATCAACACTGCACACGCTTCAAGACTCAGAAGGAAAGGCTGAAAACACCTTTGCGTCTTACCACTTGACCGACCAAGTGCCAAAACCTTATCTGATGGAAGGCCCGCGGTAATTCCACCTCTCGCTTGTTTTCTTACTGCTGCAACATGTTCGCTGCCGAAACGTGGCGCGTGGAGACTCAATTCCGAAGGCTTCAGAAAGTGTCTTTGGAGGTGGGTGTGCATTCTCGGCAGACGCATCGGGCCTCTTTGATTGGAGCGAAGTCCTCGCGCACAGATGGGGACAGAACATGACAAGCACTAGCTCTGCTCCGCTGTGTGCTGTGATGGCCAACTGAGCGCGCAGCAGAGTGGTGCCTGCACATGAAGCAACGGCACGTAGCGACGTAGCGTGCAGGCGAGAGAAGTAGAGCATTGCAGCGAAGAAAACTACGAAAGCATTGCAGACATCAACATCCAAGAGCCCACAAATGCCACCCTCTATTGTTGTGCACGGGCTGGGCTTGGGATGTTCCTTCCAGTGGTTCCCATAGCTTGCTGAGCAACTAGCGGGCAGCGTATATTCAGCAAATGCACCGCTGTAACCACAACAAGCTGAAGGCAAGCACACTGCCTTGGCCGCTGAAGTCGTTGTTTCAACTTTTGGCTTCGGCTCTGCCTGCCCGTGGTTGCCCTTGGAAATAATTGCCCATCTTTGTTGGATCGTCTGTGTGCTTATATTTATTGCTCAACATGCCAGGGAACCGTCACAGCCACCTGGCCTAATTCCTTCCATCAAGGAGAAGAAGTAGGCAGCATAAATCTTGGCATCGACGAAAACCTTCCACCTCAGCTTTGTGACAATCTACTCCACGGGCCGGCTGCTTTCAGACGTGAAAACCACCCGAGCACGAGCACTGCAGCTTTTTCAGGAACATGGACTCCAAGCGGTACAGCGCACCGCTCTTGTACCGAATACCTGGCAGTCTCGCACACTCATCATCACCTGAACCTGAAGACGTAAAGGCAGCCTGCAACTTCGAGAAGGCATTCTTCGAAGTCCGCATTCCAGGGATGGATGTCTTCCCACACCTGCTCAGCATGACAGAAGCAGTTCCATGTCAGTACCAGTGTAAACCAGGGAACCGGCCTTGGATGCAATCAGCAGTCCAGCAGTGACCAGAGAACGCCAATTGCCAATCGTCAACACAGTGTCAGTCTGAGTTGCCACTCAAACAGCCCACGCATCAATGACAGCACTGTACATTCGTATCGTGAGGAGCGGACCTGCTCTATCAAGCGCTCAATGTAAATAGCACAAAGAACAACTACCTGAGCGTCTTGGGAAAATCAGAAATATGTAAGACTAACATGCAAGTGCCGCGCAAGTCCCATGAGCTGCCCGCTTGCTTGCAAAAATAAAGCGAATCGGATATGTCATTCAGAAAGGTCAAGACGGCCTCATGGGACCTGTCAGGCAGAGGCAGAGGTATCGATGCAATGACCGCTCAAGAGACTCTTGATGGCAAAGGCTACCATGCTAAAGGTCCCGCTGCCAAATAGCAAATGAGCACTAAGCTTCACACAAATCCGGCTTCTTTCTTCTGCGGGGACAGCAGCACCATCTTCGACGCAGGAAGTGGTCCTAGTGTCGCCAGAAACACAAATGTGCAATAAGGTTTAACGGTCCAGCTTGCAGCTTAAGAGAAGCATTGTGAATTTTGCCTCGTGGAACTCGTCATCCTTCTTATCCCGAGCCTGGCAGTCTTGAGCTTTTCTTGGGCAAACAAAAGCGTGGAAGAGATGCAGAACAACGCAGAACCATTGCACCACATCGACTGCTGAGCTAAGTCGTTTTGTTTCCTACACGGTTATGCCATTTCAGCCTTACACTATTGAATCACTATTGTTACCGGCTGCCACTAGCTGCTGCTGCCCTTCACCCTCGCCTCTGCTTTTGGCTTCCCCTCTTCCACATAGCGGCATATGAGAGTTGCCACCTTCAAAAGAACCAAGGCAGCGGATACGGCAGCAGGCTAAAAGAACAACTTCAACAACTGCAACTTTTTGCCTTTCAATCTTGCAAGGCGCCTGCCCGCTGATTGCATGTGTCGTTTGTTCTTCGGTGACAAAGCGTGGGTCCAGGCTTTCGCCATCCCATACATGCCTGAAAAGCTACAATTTGGCGACAACTGGTAGGCAAAAATGGTCAAGGGGCTCGCAACTCAGACAGGCCTCGTGCCCGTGGAACGCAGGGTTATTTCACCATCGATAAAATCTCTGGTCTTTCTGGGTTTGCCAGCCTCACAGTTCACACGGGGCAGGGGGGCTCTCAAGGGGTTCAGGGACTGCGGAAAGGGCTTCAGCCTTGAAGCTGGCAGGAGCCGACGGTAGGCTTCCTCCACTTTGAGGAGGCTGCGTACTCAGCCAGCTTCCTGGAGCAAACTCGCATTACTCTGGTTCAGCATAGTGGAACTTGAAGCTCCAAGGATCCGCCTTCCGGCTTGAAGGCCTGGGCATCCCAGCATATGCCAAGCATGCAAGCTAGGTCTCTCAAGCTCTTTTGAATCTGGTCGAGGACTGATCGAGTTCTTCGTTTGCATTGTAGGCAACAGAAACAGTGGCCTGACAGCCACGGACGCCTTGGTTTGGGTTTCGCACTGGACACCTCCAGCACAGAGAAGTCTTCTGACCTTGTACACGAACCTTTGACAGCCCCCCCGGCATCTGTCCTTTCCCGTCTGCCCACGTGTGCCCACGTGTGCCGACGTGTGCCCACGTGTCCCCACCTCACGATGGGGCTATGATGGGCTATGAACGCCCAAGGAGTTGTCAGAGCGCAGCGTTGTGCAGCGTTGTGCAGCGTTGTTGCCGCTGCGGTGCCGCAGCTGCAAGGGCTTGAGACCGCAAGGTGCCGGCATGACATAACGACTCAGCAGATTTTGCTGGTGTGTCTTCGTGGGACAGGACAGGGGCCCAAGGCCCGGATTCAAGTCTAGCCGCGATCTCTCAAAGTAGTTGAGGTTTCAACGGTTTCAACAGTTTCAACTTTCAAGGAGGTGCAGTACACAGGGGTACACCGTGGATACCGTGGTACATTGCTGCACCACTTGCCAAGTGCACGGTGCCAAGGCCCGCTCAGCGCAATGGGTCGTTAGCGGCAGCAGAGGCTGCTTCAACCTCGGAGAATCCAGGGAAAAAAAGGCAGTGCGGGAATGCTCATGGTCAACTGCAGCATTGCCGGTAAACTGCCTAAGCTCTCTTACGTCTGCTCGCGAGAGATGAACATGACAGTAGGATAAGTCTTCCAGCTGAAGCTCTAAAAGCACCAATCGACCACAGAATCTCTGATGGTCTCATGATCTTGAACTTGCAGCACACGGAGGCACATGCTCTTGCCACACTCTTCAGGCAAGAGCTGTGCATCCTCGTGGCTTCCCCGCGTTCTCAAGTAGCTAAAGCTGTCTCCAGCGCCTTCAGGCTGCACTCTGTTCGGATGCTGCTTGTGGCTAGCTTGTGTTCTTTCCGTACACTTGCGCGCTGTGGTGTCGCTGTGTATCGGGCGCGGCAGCTGTTGGCACAGTCTTGTTCCACCGCTAAGCAGTGCAGTGCTTGGGAGCTCACTCCTGAGAGGACAAACCTCTTGAAGACTTCGCTCCCATCACCTCAGCGAAAGGTCTTCATGCTGAGTGGTACATAGACTATGAAACTCCATGAATCTCACAGGAAACGCGTGGTCAAAGGCTACAGCCGCTGGGCGTTCACGATAGGCGTTCGACCGAGCGTGTGCGAGAGCTGATCGAGCCATGCAATGCGGAGTCGAACATCATCAACCACTTCACGAGCAATCTACATGTTGAAGCCGCCAGCGGAAGCCAGCGAAACTCAAGTCTCACAGCAAAAGCTGACCAAGCTCTTGTCCTCAGATCTCAAGGCCGCTATTTCGCTTTGTACTTCGTACCTCCTAAATTTCTTGGTGGCCCCTTAGTGCCTTTTTCGGGCCTCAGTGAGGCTTCTTCCTTGCTCCACCAGGAGAGCTTTTGTGGACTTGCGCAATGCTCTCCAATAGCCTCAGTACTGGGGAGTGGCTCAGGTTTGAGTCACGCTCCATACAGTACTATCCTGTGTTCGAGGTACTCCCTTGTAGGAACATGCTGCCAGGCCGTCGTAATCCAGCGCGGATGCATGTGAGCGGGAAACTTCTTAGATGGTGCCGACGGTACTGCTGACCTAATCCCCCTGCATGTGCGTCGGTGGGCACCCTTTGGGATGAGCTTTGAACCCCGAACTCGAATCAGGCAATGCCCCGCGCCTCTTGGAGATTGATGCTACTACACGCGTCACCCCAACACCTTGTGTCATGATTGCGTCATGACGTATCCTTGAACTGATCACAGCATTGTCGCTCTAAGCATTGCAGCACTACGAGCGTGGGCAATTTGATTTCCCTGTCTTAACACAATTTCTTCGGTTCCTTGTCGTGCTTAGGGCTTTCATAGTCGGATATCTGTCAATACACGTTGGCAAGAGCTGCAAAAATAGAGTCAGTAAAGCCAATGGACATAGCCGAAGGCAGGTACAAACAAAAGAGTGTGTAATTAGCTGGCTAGTCGAACATACCGAGTCATCGAACGTACCTCTGAGGCAGGGGGAGGCGATCCATGGATCCAAAGATATTCAGGGTTCAGAGCACGACATGTGCATTTTGAATGGTTCGTGCATCTCTGTCGCAAAAGCTAAAGAGCATTAAGAGCCGAATTTTGCTTCTATTGTGAAACAACATACAAAGAAAGAGCTCTCCGGGCCGGGCTCGCCCGGGCCAGAAGCATGCCACGAATGACAGCAAGCGTGCCCTGTACTTGCAGAAAACGTATGTACAGTCCTTACACGACTTGATCAAATTAACCTCAGGCCCGGCGGTGCGTCGAGACCTGGCAGAAGAACGCGAAGAACGCGAACAAAACGAACTCCTGAAAGCAACTTACTTTCAACTCACTTCCAACTCACTTTCAACTCACTTTCAACTCACTTTCAACTCACAGCATCTTGCGCCTGTTGCAGCAGCTGCGCTGCTTCAGCCTTCTCCGGAGCGCTGAGTGGGGACTGGGCAGATGAGACCTAAGAGTCCAGAATAGGCCGCAGTGTTGCCCTTGTTTGCTATTGCCACGATGGAGCTTGTCAAGGCTGGTTGAGGGCTTGGCCTTCTGAAGAGCAGAGACAAGATCCTCGACTTGGGAGGCCGTGAAGTGAATGCCCTGGTTCAGGGCCTCACCGCGCAAACAAAATCCCTTCTGCACATCTCATCAACAGATGTCTGCCCCATGGCAGGTGTGGTCTCCATGCTGCAACGCTCCCATGACCTGCGTGTTTCGCCTGCTTGGCTCCCCTCCTAAGCCACCCCGGCAAGGCTCCCTGCAAGGCTCCCTCTGCCAGAATTGATATCTGTTAGTTGATTACTGACCATCCTTCAGCTGCACGCAATTGGCCCGAACACAACAAGCTCCAATCTCTGGCAAGCAGCACCAAACGATGCAAGTCAAAGGTAGGTGTGACAGTCTGCCTGCCACAGCCAGGAAAAGATCTGCTCGATGCTGGTGGCAGCCGGGTCCTCAACTCTCGGCTTTTCTCGACTGCACGAGTTTGAATCTCATATGCAATGACCGACACCCCCGATCACCATTCTATGCCACGCAAGAAGTGGCGGTGAGCCTTTGCCGGTGACGAGAGGATATGTATCAGGCGCCTGATCCTCAGACAGTTGCTGAAAGCAGTTGGGCGAATCAGTGCTGAAAGGCCCGGCCAACTCTGCCGGTGATGCAACCAAGGCTGACTGGGGTGCAAGCAATCTCGAGTTGCTCTCGGCATCCAGTCTGTCAACAATTGGACCTTCTGCAAGGGCAGTCCGGTCACTGAACTCCCCAAAGCCACGAGGACTAGCGACTTGCGACTGTCTTGATGCCAGAAGCTGAGGACTGGACCTGTATGCTTCATGAGCTGAAGCAAGCAGGTTTCTTCAGGCTCTGCAATGACCTGTTCCATGGGTGAGCTTGTAAGGCATACTTGGACATGTTGGCATCCGAAGGCCTGCTTGTAAGCCTCCAGAAAACGTCTCTCTGCACAAAGCTCCATCACAGAATCCCAAAGTTGTCCACCAGCTTTCCTCAAATTGCGGGCGCACTTGGTGACAAAGCTTGGACAATCATTGGACACTTTATGACGAGAGCCCTGCTAATCACCAAGCCCAGGCATTGACAATTATCGGAAATCAGTTCCTTGACTCAAGTTTGCCTGTGTCTACCACTTGCAGCTAAGCGTCTGTGAAGAGGGCTTGGCTGCTGACCCCGGGTCAACCTCCACGACCGAGAGGGGATCAGTGAATCAGATGCATATCTGTGCACCGAATGCCGGAGAAAATCAAAACCTTGTCTTGTCGCACCTTGGCGCGGCCAAGAGCCTTAGCAGGTCGATTGACCGAATAGGTCCACCGGAATTCAAAGAGGCATTCCTGCCGTGCCCTGTCCTCATGTACGCATCCCACCGGTTGCAGCATCGTGCAACATCAAGGCTTCTCAAGTACTGGGTGAGCTTGCCAGAGGTCGCTCGCTGCTGCTACCGGCAAGGGCGCCGCCGGCCCCAACTGTCGCCGCCTGAGAGACATGGCGATCCATGAGCTGATGCACTCTCTGCTAGTCCGTCACTACAGGTGACGAGAATATGCCGGATACACACCGCATTTATGTCGAGCGCATTCCTTCCTCTCCCCTCCTAGAGGGCGCTTCTTTCCAGAAGCTGTTGCGCCATGTATGCGCGATTACCAAGTTGTCTGAACTCGATCACGCGCCGACGAGGACCTATGATGCCGACTTCGAATGCCTTCCCCGCTTCCCGTGACCCTCCAGCTTGCCTGAACTCACGCATGCGCAGGAACTGTGACGAGCCGTTAGTTCGGTGTGGATTTTGGTGGTCTTCGTCTTCGGTTCGTTGTTTCTGAGTACGGTTCTGGACGATTCTTGTGTTTCCTGCTTAGTTTGCATATGGTTCTGGGCGATCTTGACCGTTGTCCTGATTGCCGCTCTGGCGGATCTTCTTTGCTCAAAGTGCCGGAACGGCCAGTTTGCCGACTGCGAATGTCACAGATGAAAAACCTTTCCTGCAGACCACTCGGGGATGCTTTGATCTCAAATCTGTGCATCGCGGATCAGGAGATTCTGGACGACGCTCTAGAATACTGTTTCGAACGATGATCAATGATGTTGATGCTATGCCCCATGTTTCTAGAACATGTCAAAAAGAAAAGTTCTGCACGCAGCATATCGGTCAGCGCACTGTGGGGGCCTACCGCAGGGCAGATACTACTACCAGACTGATCGCTGAGCTGCGCACGCCATCCGCATTCAAGGGCGCCGCTGCTGGACTCGGGCCACGAGGGGCCTCATGCAATGCTTGAAGTATCATGCGTGACAGTTGAAGCATGGACACAAACAAATAATTTGTAGGGGGCATTTGCAAAACCTGATGGGCAGCAGCTAGCGGTTGCGGGGAGCCGGTCGGAGCAAGGCAATGGCAGGGAGGAACGAATATCCCCAGAGGCACCGAAAACTCTTTAAGCATATAAATCATGTGACCCAAACAGAGACGCAACCTGACTAAGCAAGCATCAAGCCTTAAGCAAAGCGGCTTCAGGTCCGTCTTTCCACGCCTCAGCTGCCCACCTGGTCACATCAAGGCGGGGTGGTGTTCGTTGCGGTCATATGTAACTGGCTCAGAGTGGATGTCGGAAAAGGGAACCTCTTGGCTTGATTGCCAGCACCACCTCTGGCTTCCTGCTGTGAGCAAGAGCATTGCATATCAGGTCGTGTCAGGTCATACTCTTCCTAACATGCCGTTCACATTTTGCAACACTTGTCTGTCCTGTTTGGAGGGCTTCACGCTGCTGCTCGATGCCTCGACACAATGCATTTCAAGCTGAAAAGCTTCCGTGACTTCATGTGTGCGGTGTGTAAAATTCTTGTTTGCATTTGGTGGAAACAACAACGCTTCCGCGTGCGAGCTTCCGCTGACCATCGGCTAGATTTCAGAGTTTTGCTTTCGCGGGGCTTTTGCAACAAGGCTTCTCCTCTTGTCATCGGGCTGATCAGTTAAGAGGAAAAAAGAAGCGTGGTTTCCACAACCCTCTGCAAGCAATGAGCTTCCCCGGTTACAAGAGACGCAAACATGAACACTGCTCATGTTGGGGTGATTCTCATTTAGAAGACCTGAGCTTCAAGCCCCAGCATGTTTGGATACATTATGCATTGTGCATTCCCTGGTCTGCTAGTCCCGCATCGCCCCACACACACACACAACCCAGCCAGGCCGTGCTGATGAACGCGTCAGTCAGCAGCATCTGCTTTTCCAACTCGTGCTCCTGGTGCATCCGTACATCCGAGGGCTTTTGGAGTATGCCGGCATGTGACAATGGGAGAGGGTTCGAACTTGGGTTCATCAGTCCAGTTGCTGAACACCTTGTTGAAGACTTGCTGAACAATCTGCATCGAAGTTTCTGCAGCTACAAGTCGGCAGCTGCTCCCCAAGCGACCAAAACAATGCAGGGCCGAGAGAGTCCGTAAGAGGCCGTACTGAGTGGTCGTTTGACTCACGCACACGCCTCCCAGTAGCTGGTCGTGGGTCGTGTTTTAGTTGCCTGCGCTCTCTTCCGAGAGGCATGTGAGGCATGAGAAGAGAGTTCGAGGGAGCTGAGGCAAGTTGAGCTGGCCAATATGGCTGCCCACCCCGAGACTACGGACGCCGATAGTGATGACGTCGATTGCGGTGAGTGAAGCGCCCTTGTTTTGTGCTGCGGGTCACGTTGTGACGCAAGTGTGATCAGCGAGTTGCCTGGACCACTCTGAACCAGTCTTTCCGACGACCCGGCCGCGCAGTGCGGGTTCTGACGATGCATTGCAGGCTCGAAGCCCTTTGCTGTTCGTGTAGCTTCAGCATGGCCTCTTGGTCTTGCTCGGAATCGGTGTAGTGACAATGGGAGCCAAAGTATGCCAACTCTACTCGGGGCCTGTTGAGCATGCTGCGGTCTCTCTAATTCGCCTTGAGCACAACGCTCTTTGCAGAGCAGTCTCTATGCAAGACACACTTTCTGCATTGACTTCGGCTTGTGAGCTTCCGCGGCTCCTGCTGCTCCAGCTGCTGCTGATGCTCATTCAGCTGCTGATCGTTCTGCTCTAGCCGCTGGTCCTGCCGGGACACTCCCAGCCATTGATGACCAAATGTGTGCCCATGGAAGGACGCGCCTGCTGCTGGAGCTGCAGCTGCTGCTCCTCGCGCACTGAAGACAATCTGAAACCATACACAGAATGCCGCGGAGCGTCAAGTTCTTGCAGTCGAAAGTGGGAGGTGAGCCCAGTTGTGAGCCCAGTCTTTGAACCCTCGGCTCCTGGAGCTGCTGATCCTGTGCAAACTGGGTCGACAAGTATCCATGCAAGTCCCCTTTCAGAAGCATGGGTATCTGCGATAGTATGCAAGTAGAAGTCTGGTACACGCTCGCTACAAGCAGGGCAAGGCTGTCCATCTGCACCAACTCGTCATCCTGTTGCGCGAGGCGTTCCTCCATCAATTGCATCTGCTGCTCCTGGTGAATGCTGGCGAGGTTATCTTACGAAATTCTTCCTGGAGAAAGCCCCAGTGCACCAGAGCAGGCCTGGGCTTCTATCCTCCGCTGCTGCGTGGAAATGAGCTCACCTTGGCCTCGCACAGATGGTCCAGCGTCTTTGGACAAATAAGCAGCACATTGCGGCGCCTTCACAGGTTCGAACCAGCTGTTGCAGCCTGAAGCAGTGGTCATGACTGCTACTGGTAGAGCCAACAAATGCCCACAGAATCCAGAGTTTGCGGCATCTCTCCTGCCCTATCTGCCCTACGTAAACGGTGCCTTTCAGTCATCTGCCGGTCTGAGCGACGTTTCTCGTCCTCATGGGCGTCAAGGCAACAGATGGATAGAAAGGCAAGGAAAGGGAGGGACAGGAGAAGACGAGAGAAAGTGACCGGAGAGGGTAAAGGGGGCGAGAGAGGTGAGAAAGCCTAATACACAGATGTTCGGTCAAGTGCTGCAGGTGGATCATAGTTAGACAGGCTAGCATGCGGATGGATGATCAAACACATGAAAGCAGAACATGCTCCTGCAAGTCGACAACGTTTGAGAAGATCGTGGGAAAAAGTATTGTGACAACTCGAACTGCACTGCGCTGCCCCTACGAGCAACAACCTACTCGAGGTTGAAGTTATTCCTGGAGATGTGGTCGGAGTGAGTCACCGCTAGTCCTCCATGGATGCGAGGCGTCGGCTCAGAGCCTCGATCTGCGAAAGGAGTGCAGATGGTGCAGTCTCCTGAAATGCAGTGTTGCACAGCGTCATACAGCGTCGGTACGGGGGGCCAACTGTGTATTTGGTGGTAGACACATGTCTCCTCGCGGTCACCCATGGTCGCCCTGCCAACGTGTTGCGGAACTAGGCGCATCAAAGTTATGCATGCATGCATTGCATGCATATGCATGCATCAAGGCACATCATGTAACAAAATCAGGGATGCGATGGTGATTGGCTTAGAGAAGCCTGTGGGGAGGCGCAGGAGCTGAAGCAAGCTGCTCCGAGTGCGCAGATGAATCGTCCCACCTCAGCTCTCGATGCTCGTTGTGTTCGTGTCTTATGACTCAGTTTGGGTTGGGCGGGGTCAAGAAAGATGGTTCTGGGTATCGCAGCTCCTCATTTTCCAGCATCTAAAGTATCTAAAGCTATACGAATCCCCGGCCGAGCGGCAGCCGCCAACAGTGAAACCTTTACCAGGAAGCCTTTAAAACAGTGTTTATAACTAACGCTCGAGATCGCTCGAGCCCATGATGTAGACCTGTGAGATAGGGCTTGCGCAGCCCCGTGCAAAGCCCTTCAGCCGCCCCCACCGCGGAGCCTGCCAACCATGAAACCGTTGCCGGGCAGCCCTTAAGCTTCGATCCCCTTGAACAGACCAGTGAGATTTGGCTTGTGCAGCCGCAGCCTGTCAGTGGGGCCCGCCCACCATCAAACCTTTTCGGGAAGCCCTTGCGCTTCGCACCCCAGCGAACCCTAGCCGGCGCCGCCAGCGAGTGTGCCGTGCCCCCTCCAACGAAACGGGGCACATCAACAGCGAAACCTTTTCAGGCAACATTCCGATACAGTTGTCCGCCTTTTGCCCTGAATGCTCTACAGCCTGAAAGCTGTACTGCCTGTGTCCTGAGAATGTCACATCACACACGATGCCCGTGCCCTACTTTGTCCACAAAAACCGACAACTACGCTACACACACAGAGACACACACGCACACGCGCACACACACACACACACACGCACAGAAGCCACGAACGACAGCACAATCAAAAACCCACTCACGCACAACTACCCACTTTACGTACACTTCCATCCACACATTGGTACCGGCATCCACAAACATTTAAATTTGAACCTGCTGTTGCGCATGAGCAGACGGGTGCCCGACCAAGGCGCTGCTGGGCCCTGACAGAGTCGCGGCAACTATCGGAAAGCTCCAGCTAAAGAGTCACATGCCCAAGTCTTGTCAGCACAGATGCAGGATCTGCTCAAATTGTGCGGAGACAAAGTCAGACAAAGCGCCACTGATTCAGTGGAGTCTTGGTGCCAGGCATCTGCCTCAGGGGCTTCTCTGAAAGCCTGCCAGAACTGTCTTGAGACACCTCTTTTTCATGACCTGCCCATCTAAATATACCTTGAATATCGTGAAGGAAATTGGAAGGAATCTGTTGAAGAATGCCGCACAAGGATGACTTGTTTGCACCCTCTCCGACCTCTGCCCCTGTGCATCTCCGGGCCTGAGACTTGATTGGATCCTCTTGGAGTTGGTGCGGAGATGCCTTGAAACTCGAGGAGTTCCCTAAGCCTCCCGAACATCTTTCCCAGTATCCCAAACACCCTTGCGGTTGAGAATCTTGAAGCCTAGCTTCTGAGAAGTGCACGTCAGAGATCTCTCTCGGCGCTGGCCTTAGATACAATCTACACAATTTGCTCGCATGGGGTTTCGCCTCGCTCACTTGTGAGCTTGGAAAGGAGGTTCTTGTGGCCGCAGAAGCTGGGGTGCACGCGCAGACGAACAGGGAGATTGCGATGGAAGATCACCAATGCCTCCAGAATTGTCCAGTCTAATTACGCACCTCCCGTCAAACTCAAGCAAAAAGCGCTTGCCTGAATCTATCCTGTCGGAGCCAGCGGATGTCGGCTGCTTCGAACCTGGCAGATGCTCTGCCTTCGACCGACCCACAGCTCTACTGGCACTGGGTCCCGGGCTCGATCTGAAGGCTTTCGCATCCTCACCAGAGAAAACAGAAAGAGACGCATGCACCCACGCAAGCACGCACCCAAGATTGCAGGGCACTTTGGCATCCAAACCTTCACTCCTACCGTATCCAAGATCTCAGATCTAAGACTGCCCGCAACCCCCGTGCTAGGGGGGGAGGGGGGGGGGGGGCGCGGGCCGCTGCTGCTGCTGCTGCGGCGAAGCTGGTGAAGTGATCTACGATGGGGCTGCTTAACCCTGAGTGGGGGTCTCATTGAGACCCCCGCCACAGTCGCAGAGGATTCACCGTGCTGAAATTTCTTTCCTTCGGTATAGCGCATAGCGCACTTTTTCGATGTTGTATCCTTCTGCTTTTTCTTTAGGGAGGGCCTGTCTTCAGCTTGGAGCCTGCTGCTTCCAGGCCCTACGGTATGCACTCTGATCACTGTAGGTTGGGATTGCTCTGGCACTGACATGTCTTCTGAATGATGAGTTTATTGACTGTTTCATCATGTGGTGCATGCTCCCGTGTCTGGGTGCGCACTTCACGACAACACGCAAGAATGCCCGGCAACTATGCTGAGCAATCTTGGATCATGGATCCCAAAATCTTGAATTCCGTACCTTTCTGCAAGTTTGGTATGCATAGTCCCCTGCAAACTGTCATTTTGTATCTGTGTGTATTCGATGCGTACTAAGGAAGAATATGCAGACCTTCAAATTTGAATGAACCTCCCTGACCATAATGGTTTATATAGGACTTTGTGTAGAAGAATGTTTATTCCTCTGTTTTTTGATATCTATAGAATGCGATCCAGATTCTCCGCAGCATTCTCAGGGGCTGATGGCGGGCACTCCAGTGATTGCGGGCAGGCACTCCAGAGAGATACTCTGCGGAATTCTCTGCAGGATTCTCTGATGGACATTGGTCGCTCCAGCTCTGCGGGATTCTCTACACGATTCTTGGGAGGTTTGCACTCCAGGGATACTCTTCTGTCAGATTCGTGGGCACTCCAGAGATCTCCGTAGGAATCTTTGGGAGGAAGCTCTTATGGATACTCTGCGGGTGCTGGCAGCGATACTGTGCAGGATTCTGGACTCTTTGCAACACCGGATGTGGGAGTAGGAGAAACAGCTTGAGCAAAACCTAGCAACCCAACCACCGATGGTGAGGAACTCAAGGGATGTTTGGGCTGCTTGATCTGTGAAAAGTCCTCAGCATCCTCCATCCTGATGGCTGGCACTGGCTTCCTGTCGAAAGATGTCACACCCTTCTGGGGTGTGAAGATGATGAAGACGCAAGCCATTGCCACTCCCGAGCGCCCGGCTTTCTTGCTCTTGTGGCAACGCCATTGCCTGCCTGAACCCACCCAGCTTTCACAGCAGGACTCGACTTAGCAGAAACACGAGGGTCAAGGCACTAATGCAAGAACCGACCAGGCTAGAGGCTCTGTTCACAGTGGATGTATTTGCTGGGAGTGCTCCCTAGAGGACCTTTACATCGACGCCTGACATGAGGTGTACATAGGCCTACGGGGGAAGCATGAGCGTGATTGCGACCCAAACCGATGACCCATGAAGTTTGGCCAACCACTGTGGTAAGTACGGCTCCATGCTGCACCCTTTTGGATACGCTTTCCAATCACGGGAAATCATCTGAGGTCAATGCACATGAATATCTTTCGTGCTGCGAGTGCCAAAGAGTGCTGGTCTTTCTCGGTGTGGGTCGCTGGCTGTATTTTCCGTTATTACACGTTCGGAACGCCGGCAATCTGAGCTCTAGAGTTGACATCCGCTGTACTTTGTGGTAGATGGACTGCATACCACCACTTTGACAGCAGGTGCAGGCACACACACACACACACGGCAAGTTTCAGAACAAGCTCCAGCAGATCTAGGTCATTCGCCTCCACGGAATCGAGTCGTTGCCCACTGTTTCCTTTGGCAGGGGGATCTTCCAATGTGAAGCGTGAACTCGGCACCACAGAACAGCAGCAGCAACAAGAGCAGGAAAAAGAACAGGCCGGGCTGGCCAACCGCTGCTTCGTCAACATTAGCCTCTGATGGCATGCCTACGCAATGTACTACTTTCCTGAAACATAATTGATGCTGGCCTTGGATGTCTGCGGCGCCAAGACATCTGCCACTACATCAGCAGTTCCTGTGAAGACTCAGCTTCAGAACAGATTGCGCAAGGCGCGGCTTGTCAAGATCTGAAAGCACTGAAATTTCACCAGCCTGAGTCAGATTCGTCCTGCCGCAGCGTGGCGACATCACTCAAGTGACTTAAGTGACTTAAGTGCAACAAGGCAAACGAGAAAGAGGCCTTGCTCCGCCCAGGCGAGCCCTGAGCTGGCAGATCCTTCGATGGATGTCGAGTGATACTGAGTGAAACTCAATCCTTCAGAGAATCTCAGAATCCTTCCTCAAGGTGAATCTCCGGATGCAGTGAGCGCCAAGCAGCAAGCAACAAAGCTTTTTGTTGCACAACACATCACTCTCCTCCAGAAGATCAGCTTCTGTGCGAGCACAGCCTGGCCCGACGAAGGAATCGCTGAGACCGTGCTGTTGCCGTGCATTGGTCGAAGATGGCAAATGCGCTGCCAAAAGTGGCAAAGATGTGACAGAGCGTGACACGCATGGACATTCTGCATGAGGCACAGGCCTCGTGGGTCACTTCCACCCGAGCTCAGCAGCCTGTCCTGGCAAAGGCAAGATGAGATTGCGTAAGCAAAATATGAACACATGGTGATACATACATACACACACTCATACACCCATCAGTACAGACAAGCAGAATCTGCTGAAACCCCAGGCTCTTCGTAAGCCGTAGAGCTTATCAATGCCGGTATAGTAGACACAGAGAGAGCGAGAGCGAGAGCGAGAGAGAGAGAGAGAGGGAGCGGGAGAGACAGAGAGAGGAGATGGGATGAAATGAGAGAAAGAGAGATGGACTCATACACACACTGCTATGAAGGTTTAAAACGTGGCCGAGGAGGAGTTGGGTTGGATGTTTAACTAAGGTCAAGTGAGGTTATACACCCCACTCTTTGGGAGTTTCTGGCTGACCCTGGAACCACTCTCGTGGACAGAGAACTGCCGTCTGCTCAAGACTTTCCTCACTTGTGCAACGTGGGCTTAAGGCGTAGATGTAGAAACCAGGGTTCAGAGATGTCGCTCAGCTCCCTCCAGTTTTTAAGCCCCTCCTGGTTTTTATCCCTGGGCCCCGACCCCGCCTCTTAGCATGCCGAGTTACCAGGAAAAGTTCACGTACTGCCTCTAAAAAGATTGCAAAGCTGGCCGCCCTCCACATATCTTAAATTTCTGAACCGTAACTTGTCAAAATGTATCCATGTGGTACCAGCATGCACCGCTGGCCTCCGCCGCAGCCATGCCCGGCATACCAACCACAACATCTTCAAAGTCGTCGCTCGCTGCTGGGTGCGGGTTGGCCTCACGCACTGAACAACTGCTTGCTGGGCAATGTTGCGGCATGGGGCTCCCGGCAGACTGCTGAAAGAAGTTAGAGTTTGCAGGCTGGCTGAAGATGGACACTCGCTCACGCTTTGGCCTCACATGTTGGCAATGTTGACCCAAGGCACATAATGACGAACTCCTGCCTGGGTTTCTTGGTGGTGCTGAGGTCGGCGTTGCTCAGAAGATTTTTCACTGCAATGTTTCTCGCCACCTGTTCACCGCCAAACAAACTCAAAGCCCAGCCTTCTGTTGCTTGCTTTGAGGTCCCTGCCTTCTCAGCAGCAGCGTCCTGGAGCCTGCGTCGCAATTCCGTGACTGAATTGCACGTAGCGGTTCCACACAAAATCCAATGGCCTCTCTTGTTTATCGACAATTCGATCTTCCTGCACCCAGCCAGTGAGTCAAAAAGACGGCGCTGACGTCTAAACGTAGCTGGGCAATTTGTACGAGCCTTTGTACCAGGGTACGCATAACTAGAAAACACAAACCCAGAGCTTGGCAATGACAGGTGACACTGGCACGAAAGTGCTGGCCCCATCCTCCCTGCTTGCTTCAGGACGCTTGTCTTTATGCACATCTACTTCTTTTTTTGGGGGGGGGGGGGAGGCATTGGACACTTGCCTCCAGCTTGCCATCAAACTGGCCAGTGCTGTCACGCAGATCTCGTTCACGGGTGGCTGCTCGGACCTGGCACAGACTTCGATGCAGTGCCATAGCAAGTGAGGGTCTGCGCCAGTCTACTGACTTCTGGCTTGACAGCATCTGCTGGTTTCCTCCATCCAACCACAACGTCGATGCCTATCTTTGCATTGCAGCAGGTTTTCAGTGTGATCGCGGACTGCGTGCATCTTGCAACGGTCAGATAGCTTGAAACATGTCAGCAGCTCGTTCCTCCCTTGCCTGGATCCTGATACATTCAAGACATGTCACAGCACCGTTGTGTTTGGAAGCTGCAGGCTGACGCCACGGACACAGTAACACATGCGAACTCAAGCAACAGAGCACAACAGCAACACATCTCTAAAAAATCTGTTCTGATGTCGGGGCCATCTTCTAGCGACACATCTGCGGAAGGCCTTGAGCACCTGATGAGCCGTCGCTGAGCCGGACCTGGCAGCAACAGGAGATGTGTGTGTGTGTGACAGGCTCTGACAGACATCTTTCTCTTCAGTGACCTGGTCTTTCTCTGAGGCCGGGCAAGGACTGTTGGACCTAAGCTGCACAGGAGTCGATCAGTTTGAGCCAAAAACTCTACGAGCATTGCCTGCACATGCTTCTCAGGAGTCTGGCCGGACAGAGACTCCGGAGGTTCGGTGCCACGTCTGGGCCTTCGGACATCTTTTGTGCCTCTGTGCCTAAAGCCATCGGCCACATGTTGTCGCTGCACCTCCCGTTCTGCATTTGCGACCTGTGCCTGAACAGCACAAACAATCCGCACAAAATCAGCACAAGACCACATAAGATCTCGCACTCAGCTGGGTCTCCCACCGCACAAGGGCTGCTGGATCGCAGCGGCCTAGAAAGCCACAATCCGGCACTCTCACAACCGATCCATGCCGGTGTGCTTTGGTCTGCTGGCGCCTGTCATTCCTCTCTCCTGGGCAGGGGCTTTGCTTGACAATCTACAGTTGCACTGGGCAGCAGCGAACCACGTGAAGCTTCTTACCTGCCGCCCCTGCATTTGCAGAATGAAATCCGCTCGAACGACATATTGGTGTGATCTGCTGGGCCAAGCCATCTCAAGCGCGAACGTGAAACAGTTTCCGGAGCAGGCACACCCGCCGAAACCAAAATTTTGACAGCACCTTTTGCAGGGTGCAGTTCTGAAGCAGGCTCGAAACTTGCAGGAACTAAGCCCCCTAATCCTCGTAGTCAGGAACTCATTCCGAAGTAGTGAAAATCAACACACATCTGCAACATCCCCACTGCAGCCACAGCCGGTTGTCTTATCTGGCTGTCCTGCGAGTGTGGACGTTGGGCTGGGTGCCGCCTGGCATCTCAAGATCTCCACATATTGCTGAACAGCACCCTGCTTGAGCACGGTTTTGGAGCGCAACCCACATGCCACCATTCGCTGCCTTCACGGTGACAGACCACCGCAGCAAAACGTCCTTCACCGCTTCTCGGACTGCGCGAACCTCATCGGTTGCTGGTTTGGCGAACTCGGCACACGGCTCACGCATGTCGTCCAGTTCAACCAGTTCACAACATGTGCAAGCACCTTGTCATCTCGCAAGCCCTCCATCATAGCAGAAAGCCGCTTCTGCAAGGGCGTTGGGCGGGTCGACCTCGAGCTACCACAGGTGCGGCTCACGTGTGCACAGCACACCATCAAAGCTGGTATGCCTGGTGCGGCGACGCATTAACGGAAAGGTGCTGGCGGACTTGGAGGTGTGGCGATCTGAAGCGATGGGCCAAGCTCCGCATGGTCGCCAACAGCTTGCAACACTTCCACAGCCTGCAGATCACAGATTTGCGGTACAGACGCTTCAAGCCAATAGACCGTGTGGTGCCTGCTTGCGGGTCTGCCAGTCGGATGTCGAATTCAAACATATCTCCAAGCCTCGAAGGCACTGTTTTCTGTAGGGCAAAGCTGTTGGTAGATTATGGCTCTCTGGGCACTGGACAAGGCATCAGGGATGGCAGCACTTCATCAAAGTCAGTGAGGCTGACAGCCTTCACAGCAAGGCTTCATATAGGCCAGGATGACAAACGCTGAGGCTGCAACACAACGCTGCTAAGACTAGTGAATCAAACCACGCTCAAAAAAAAAGCTCTCCTGCATCACGTGGATGCAAGCGCTCAGTAGCTGTGGCCGCGCCATTGCGAGCGGCAAACTGAGATGCTGCACCTGAGAGAGGAACCAGAGAGGCGAGGACTGCTACAGGTGCCCCTGACCAGCAGCTAAACGATCCAATGACCAAGTATGACCAACGCGATGATGCTCCGGGGCTTGGACCAAACGTGCAACAAGACGTCCCAAATTCTCGTTCAGGACAGCTGGTGGAGATCCCTGGAGTGCAAAATTCATTACAGCGTGATTTCAGGAAACGCTGCTGGACCGCATCCTGGATGACTGCGCAGATGCAAGATGCCGCGCCGATCTGTACCTGGAAGTGGAAGTCCAATGGATCAACCCCCTCCCCCACAATGCTGAAAGAACAAGCCCAGGCTGACCCACTTGTTGTGTTCGGTTAGAGAGGCGAAGAGAGGCTTGAGCAGTGTCGCAAAGACCGGCGACCCATCAGCCTGGCAGAAACCGCAGCATGCTTGGTAGATTGGTTCCCGTAGAAGTTCTAAAGAGAAAACATCACAAGCCGGGCACACATCCACCACGAGCGCCCGTGTGAGTCTAAACACCTAAGTGTGATGGAAAGCACGGGCACCACAATGCACATGTGCGACATGACGGGACTGCAAGGGACCGCATATGCCCAGACCATCCCAGACCTGTCTCGATCCCTTTCCCGGCCGAAGGCGTGCAGGGGCGGAGGGGGGATCGAAAGCATGGATCTTGGCCGCTTTCTTCTATCCCAACAAACTTGCCCAACCTCTGGTTGCCTGGTTGCGCAGCTGCTGTATTGAACTGTATGGGGCAGCCGTCGAAGCGTGCCGCGACACTGTGGCGCAGTGACAGGTGATCATGCTCCAACCTTCCAATGCGTGCGTGTGCGCGTGCGCGCGTGCGCGTGCGGGCGTGCGCGTGCGCGCGTGCGCGTGAGCGCGTGCGCGCGTGCGCGTGTGCGTGCGCGTGCGCGTGCGCGTTCGTGGGTGTTCATGGTGGGTTGTGTTTGTGTGTTTGTGTGTGTGTGTGTCAAGCCTACGTTTATCAGAGCACGTTGATTGAGGATGCATTTCCAGGGTATAAGCGTTCTGATCTTTAGACGCAGGTGGTGGTCCGTGGTGCCGGTGCATGAGCATTAGGAGCGCGAGACCATCTTGTTCGGGCCACCATAGTTGCGTACAGGCCGTGTCGCGCATACTCAGTTCAAGCCACCTCAACCTAAGCGGGCCTCACGGCATAAGCACAGAGACGCCCCGGTGGTACTAGTATGCGCAAGCTCTGAGATTCTCTGAGAGGAAGGGCAGTGCAACTTGTCACAGCATGGTCGACCCCAAAAGCCCCACTTAGTATTATGTGGACTGAGCGAAGTGACCTCGGTTAACCTCTCACCGAGCAGATCCGAGCAGATCCGAGCGAGCGTGCCGTCTCGGCACAGGCTTCTCGCAGGTGAAGGTCTGCATCCTGCGCACGCGATGTACCGACAGAAATTGAGCGAGAAAATCAGTCACGACATCTCTCCCCTCTCCTGCAGTCGAGTCAGGACCACTTGCAGCATACGCTGAAGGAGAGGGATGACCTCGCGGCATCTCCCTAAGGGTCCACATGCAATGCCCGCATCCTTCTCCACGCTTGGTAAGCTCGGCTTGGGGCTGCGTCTCCGTGGAGCTCAGCCAGCAGACCAAGCAGCTTGACACCTTCCACTATAAGATCTTCCCCCTCCACCCTTACACTTCCCCGGAATCCAAGTCTGTGAGCCAGGCTCTCGCACCGACCCAGCGGCTTCAAATTCGTGCCGGCCTTTGGAAGATTTTTGGAAGTTCGAGCGCATTCGTGCTCGCTCGGGCTCGGGCCTCGCCGATGGAAGCAATCACCATTGGAAACCTTGGCACGACTTTGGCATGGGCAGAGCCACTTTGAACGGAACGTAACTCCCTTCTGCCGGTGAATGACGCAACGGCAAGAATCAAGATTGACTTCAGATGCAGAAACTGGTCGGAGGCTGCGGCCAATCGGGATACAGTGTTTGAAGAAACCTCAGGGTCCAGGGCATGCCATTTGATTCCTCCTTCCATCCTGCCGTGATGGCTCTGCAGCAATATCTTCAAAACCGCTGTGCCCTGCACTCCCTGATTTCCTCAATGCCGGCACGTTGTGTGTCCTGCCCCAGTTGCATTCGCAAGCACTGCCACAAGACTCACCAGACGCTAAGAACCTACTGCGCAAAGGAAAAACTCTGCCTGGTCATTGAGGCGGCTGAGCGCAAAGTCCAGCTTCGTCTTGAGTTCAGCAAGGGCCTCTGAACAGCTGCGGGGCGTGCAACTAAAAAAACCAGAGAAAGGCAGGAGTCGCCAATACAGACGAGGTTCCTGGATTAACGGCGCCAGTGCTTTTCGCCCAAAGAAGCAACATGAAGCGTGCCTCCTTGCTCTCACGGTTGCCATATCGAGAAGCTGCCGTTGACCTGAAGTGGGAGTTCGTGACGGCAAGCCAAGGCCGAATTCCGACATATCTTACATATTTTCGGCTCCCAACGCTGCCACAGGAGAGACCACCATCTTTTATGCGAAGCCGCCTGAGCGATAGCGTCACAACCGGATGGCAGTCGCAAGTCTGCTGCACCCTCAAGCATTTCCAAGCGTTCCGCGGTTTCGAGGGACAGCATCAGTCATCCACATGACATGATTTGGCAGGATTTCTGTAATGCTTTGGGCTGTAAGGCTGTACTTGCTGGAATTGACTTCAGAGAAGAAACAGATGACGGCAACGAGGTCAAATGTCGTTGTCTTTGGCGGCATAGGGTGTTGTGTCAAAAGGTGTCCGCAAACATAAGGTCGACTTGAGTCGCTCATCGAAGCACATGCTGCTCTGAAGCGGGGAGCTGCAGTCGAAGTTAATGTTGGCAGACATAACTGGATGCATTCACCAGGGCAGAGTCTGCAGCCTAGTAACCCACATGCCGTTTTTTTCCAGCGGCTCACGGCTTGAATCAAGCCTCGGGTAGCCATCTCGTGCTCGTCGGCTGGGGCAAACAACTCTGTTGCCACCGTTTACCTGGTAGTCGACGTGAGCCCAAGCACACCCTGAGCCGTCACCAGCTTCTTCACGTTGCTGAACCCGGCAATGTAACGGCTTCCGTCCGAATCTGTCGGAGGTGTGCACATACGGCGAGCAGAACCAAACGAGTCAGGTCGTGCAGCCGGCATAGCTACTCACTCCAAGTCCTCAGACGAGCAAACCGTTTCAAATCCTCAAATCTGCAGGGAAAGATACGATTCTCCTGCCGAGGGTCGCGAGGACGAACCGGCTCAACACAAGCCCCCTCTCTCGCCAAGCAGATGCTGGCAACGGCATGACCTTTGCCACATGCCTCAAGTAAGGCCTGCAGCAGATCTGAGGACGGCTGTGCTAAATTACCCTCTAAGCATGTCTGCAACACTTTCCATGGGCCGTCCCACCTTCTGTTCTGCGTCTGTGTTCAAGGGCGCCGATTGCGCCAGCCAGGATGACAAGAAGCCTGCAATGAACGCGTCACCACAGCCTGTAGCATCCACTATTCCTCGGCTTCAGGCTGCAAAGCGGGCAGCTTCTGCCCAGCACATGTGTAGCACATGTCCAGCATGAAACTCGCTTCTATCCCGTCAAGCTGCGAGCTGCTGGCTTTGTAGGCACGTAAAGAGCGTGCATACCGTGCCGATAGACAGTGCAACCATGCTCCCCTTGAGTGACCACCTTGCAAATCCGTGTGGTGGCTCGATCAACTGCACAGCGCGTGGTTCTCTACGACCAGTGCCAATGCATGAGCATCCGACAACGGTGGCGCCGGGGAACCTCTTACACCTCGTGCCAAAGCGAACAAAAACTGAACAAAAGGAAAACGTATGCGAACAAAAGCATGCTGCCAACAACGCGCTAGAACGCAAACGCCCCTTGACATCACAGGCATCGCAATGCATTGAGAGCAAGGAGCAGAGCGCTGATGGAGCGATCTCCCTCGTGGCATAGTGCCGAACAAAGGTGCTCGCCTTCAGAGATGTTGACCTGCAGGCACACGGCACCCAGCTGAGCAAATCAGGTTTCACGAGCTGACAACCAACAGCAGCCAACGGCATCACTCTGTGCAGCTGGTCAGCGAACAAGAGGTCCACATGTGGCAGGAACTCCTCCCACCGACGAAGTATGAAGCATGAGGATGAAGAAATGTGAGGAAGCATCGCGGAAGGCGCACTGATCCTCCAAATGGTTGCCTTCTCCACACCAGTGCCCGGCGGCATCACATCTGGCCAAGGCGCTATGTTCTATGGCACGGCACAGCGGATTGAGAGAACTTCTCTCACCTTCATGTCATGCAAGTTCTCTGCCGAATCAACCTAAGAGAGGCACTGTGTGTTCATGGAGATCGTCATGTTCCGAGCTTTGCAGTTGCGGATGAAGTCAGTGAAGTCCTGGCTCTGTAAACCTCCGGCGCCGTGGCACAGTGCAGCAGCAAAGGGATTTACGTAGTCTACCAACGACAGAAAACTCCATGAGATTCCACGAGATTGCGTGCTGCTGGCCCGGCCACTCGAGTCAAGTTTTTCGAGTGCCCCCCCCCCCTCCCCTCGTGTTGTCTACCTCCACAAGAAAGGTGGCGCACCAACAGACTCCCCCGCATTCGTTCTTGAAAGGTTCCAGCTTTGCTGACTGCATGGATCGTACCACCTTGGCGCTAGTGCAACCGAAATTTCCTGAACACAATGTGATTCATGCGACCCACAAACCACAAAGATGTGACGCTGAGCCTTTCATGTTGAAGTAGCCGCCGAGGTGGAAGTGAGTGCATCCTTCCAGGTGGTCGGCCTGCACCCGGGATACCCGGGTCTCTGACGCGCACGCCGAAACTTCGAACGCAATCTCGCCCCTGACCTGCTCCTGAAGATCCCGTGTTGTGAGAGCATCGGTTGTGGAATAACAGGAGACGAAGGCGCGGTCAGCAGGTCCAGTAAGGACGATGCACACCGAAGAAGGCAGGCTGCTGAACGTCTTTATCGTCTCCGTCGGAAATCCCTGCCCAGCTACTTGCTGCAGCAGCGACTGCCCCAGAGTGTCGTTTCCGACCTTCGTCCACTTATCGAATTCACTGGTGTTCCACCACTCGGACTCAGCACAGTTCTTGAGATCCCTCTCAGATTCTTTCTTGTCACAAACTCCCCTGAGGCGAGCGCCGCACCAAAGAAGCGAACTCGAGTCCCCAGAGCGTGCAAATGACGGCCCTGGTTCAGGGCACTGCCCCCAGGGAGCATCTTCACGCTCTCTGCATCCACATCAGAGTCCTTGGAAGATCCGGCCCTCACATCTCAATGACTGCAAGAAAGATTCTCCAGGTAATACTGTTGGGTCCAGGGTTTCAGAATGAGGCCATTGGTACAACGCATTCTGTGAAGCCCCTGAACCAGGCGAGTACGTCTCACAAGCCAGCATCATGTGAATTAGGTGTGGACGAGCATTTAGACAATGACTTGGTTTCAGGCCCACATGGGGAGCTTCTTCACGGGTGCCACTATGTCAATGAAGATGTCCCCAGTCATGGCGACGCACGGGGGACGCTGCTGGCAGGAAGTCGCCCTTATCATGACTACGAGCACAGCAAAGCCGAATTGACGCGCAGCTTGCTTACATGTAAAGCACATGACATGCAAAGTAAGCTGAGGCTAATGCTGTGACCGGGGTGGAGCTGGCCGAATGCCATCCTTAGCCAATCATGTGCAAATGAACAGGCGTGTGTGCGCATGTGGGCGCGAGCGCGCCCCTCTTTGTGTGCTACTAGTATACCTTTTGGGAGCGGGCGCGCAAATTGCTGCAGTTTCTGTACTACGTTACTAGTGCATCCATGGTGCGTGCAACAAGTGTTCGGTGCCAACAAGCACCACAGATGCACGTGCCAGCTGGCCCCATTTGGCCCATGCAGTGCAGCGGTGCATTCTGTTTGAGCAACTACCTTGAGGGCTCTGAGGCTGGCGGTGGGGAACGGATGCCTGAAGCTATCTACAGTGGAATAGACCGAATAAGCATATAAGGCCTCCGCGTCAGAATCACCCGCGATGCGGAGCTTCAAGTGTATGGTTCCAGGTTATGCGGCTTGAGGGACAAACGTGCGAGGGCGGACGGAAACCGCTCAGCTTTCCATGCATGCAAACACAAATCACTGCGTGCTGTATGGCAGTTCCCGGTTCCCAAGTTAATTCGATAGAACTCTTTTCGCGACTGCACCAGTCTGCCTTCGTAGAGACTCTACATTTTTCTGCATTGCCATGGACGTTTCAGGCAGAACGCGTAGAGGTACGTCCTGCACCGACTTACGCGAAGCTGTGACTGTCTGCGCAACTTTTAATAACTTTTGGCCTTACCGCAGCGGCAGCCTTGCAGTCGAGCAACACTGCTGCAACAAATGCTCCACGCAAGTATGCTACAGCCCCGGCATGACATGGACTGCGTCCTCGTCAGCTGTACAAGGCAAGCCTCTCGATGTCCCTTAAACACTTCCTCCAAAGCATTTTGCTTGTTGTCGACAAAAGAACAGAAGCAATGTTCACAAGCAGGAGAAGAACAGGTCCTGCGCATTTCTGGCATGGTAGCACGAAGCGGGTCTGCAGGCGCATCAGGCGCATCCAGTTTCTGCAGTCGCCATCTCCGGATTGTCCGGGCCCTGTGAAGCAAGCCGAAGGGTACGAAAGCTGCTGTTCGCGACAGCATCTGCAAAATGTCTATACAAGTATCATGGCTTATTTCTTGCTTTTGGTGGGTGTCTGGTTTCTTCTCGGTTACATGGGGCTGCTGCAGCTTCGCTTTCAGTGCCAAGCTCACTCGGGGCGGCGGATGTGAGGCATTCAAAACACAGGGGCGCAGATGGCACATCGGGCCACGAAAGCTGCGTGCAGCAAGATGCCTTCTGGCGGAGTCTCGCATGCAAAGCTGAGCGACCGGAGCGAGAATTTGGGAGGAAGGGAAGGGGGAGCTTCTTCCCCACATAGTGCTAGCACATGCCTGCACCATGGTTTTTTGCGTTAGGTTCACCCTTGCGATGTGCAAGGCGTGCGGGCCTCGAAACCGATGACCCTTCATCGGTGTTTCCTGTGCTGGCCGAGCGCTATCGCCTGATTAGGCCTAGGCGGCATGCATCTTGCAATCGCGAACGATGGCCTTTTGGTGGTTGCGCCTGCCCGCATCGCTCTCGCCTGTAGGTGCTGCCAATGGACGCTCTGGCCTATGTCCCGTGCGCCTTGGCCAGGAAGCAAACTTTCTCAAATGTACCTCGGCTTCTTGGGGCTCTTGGATGGGTTATCCTCGCACGTCCGTTCCAGGGCCGTGCGCGCATGCTCCTCGCGAAGTGCGGAACTGTCGTCGCTTTTTGGGGCCCTCTCTCTTGAGGGGAGTGCTCTTGGAGTGCTTTAGAATAGAGCGTATAGAATGGCCTTGGAGCGCTTTTGGAGGGTCATGGTGGAATAATGGTTTGGACTGCTCTCGAAGTGGCCTTGGCATGCTCGTGGAGTGTTCTCGGGGTGCTTTTGAATGCTGAAGTGGTCTTACAACTTAACATCGGCGCATTCCGCGCAAGAATGCAACCTGGTATGGCCTGTGTGTCCCAACACCTCCTAGGGCTTGCCTAATACGTACCAGAAATCTCGCACAGTACATGAATCTGGTGTGCATTCATTCTTCCTCGCCTTGGCTCTTGGAGTGGCAAGTCCGTGATGTTCAAGGGCAGTGTAAGACCTTTGTGCAGCGGAAGCTGTCAGTGTTCTGATTGATGCTCTTACATGCCCTTACTCTGAGGCAGCCTAAGCTTGCAACGTTGCTTGTAGAGCTCTACCATTTCGACCTCATGCCTTTCCAGCCTCGTCAGATGATCTTATGAACTTCAACTGCCTGCTACACATTCGCGGGGCAGATTTGGCTGAACTCAGACGTCAGCTTTGAGCGGAAGTTCATGTGTCGACAGCTAGCTGCCAAGTCCGCTTGGCGGACCTCTTTTGCCAGCCTCGTGCCAAGAATACAAAAGACGAAGTCGGCTGTCATCTGCCTAGACCAACTCTTGAGTCAGCGAACAAGTAGCGGGCTTGCTAAGTCGTTCTGCTGTGTCTGGCTCATCTGTGTCCTGAAAGAGGGAGTGGCGGAAGGGCTCACATGTGAATTCCATGCATCTTCGAGTGCAGCGCCAGGCGAAATGGACGCTGCTTTGGTCCTGAAATGCGAATCTCGAGTCCTTCCATGCAGTGCTTAGCGATGGTGAGGAACCACTGGCCTTCGCCAATCGTTCCCCTTGCTCCACGCTGTATGCCTGGGTCAAACTCAGTGTCAGACATGCAAGCGTGCCTAAACTACAAACAGAAACATGCTTCAACGGAAACCTGCCTACTTCAGTCTCGTCCTCTTCCTCTTTGGGTTCACCAAGGAGCAGATCCCGGCACTTTCTCAAGGCCTGTGCCACTGTGGCGATCTGACCGAGCCCTTTGATGCCCATTGATGCGCAAAGGACTGGGTTCGCAACGACGCGCTCCTCTTCTCTATCCTTGAAGCGGCCTAAGTTGCTAAGTTCGTCACTAGGTGAAACCTCCACTACGCATGTATGCACGCGCTTGTGTTTCGAGCGCTCTATCGGCATATCAAGCCAGACAAATTCGCGGCCAAGTAGAACCCTGAGCAAAGCAGAAAGCGATATACCATTTTGTACCGAGTTCGAAAGCGCTCTGTGCGTACGGTCACAGCGTAGCGGTGAAGGGTCTTTCGAATGAAGCTCCGGCTGTTCCAGCCTTTTCTCCAATCTTGTCACCGAAGCAAAAACTTTGTTCTGTCCGAGCAGACCTGTTGTGACAGCGGCACCGGGAGGACTCCCCGAAAGGACCACCTGGAACATTGGCTCCATCATTCGTCGATCGATGTACCAACGTAGCCGGCTCCGCCGCATGGCTCTCCGCACTGGGCTTCCATTTCTTCAGTCCAAGATTGCTCATGATCTTGATGGCTCAGCTTCGGACGCCGAGATTTTCGTTCCCGCATGGCTTGCTGAGGTCAACAATTCCACATGCGTTCAGACGCGTTCATTTGCCTTGCAATTCAGATCGAATGGGTAGATGACTTCATCCAGTTGAAGACCTTCCGGAGGTGCAGTCGGTATCTGACGGCGGTTGGCCAACTCCAAGCTGGAAGCTTCCAAGCGACCTTTGCCCACTTCGACAAGTCCGCCCACAATCCGCCGAACCATCTTGTACAGAAACCGCTCCGATACTGCAAATATGAAAATCTGGTCTGGTCCTTTCACGTGCATGGAGAGATCCACAGACTTGACATTGGATCCATGGTAATCTGGGTCGTTCTCCCCAGTACTGAAAGCAGAATAATCCATTTCTCTACCACTGAGCGCTTCGATGGCCTTCTGAACAGCTTCCAAATCAAGATCGCCACAAAGCCAGCAGCGTCGCGCGTCGAAGGGCATCACCAAGCTTGTCGTCGAGAGTCTGTAGGAGTACTGCTTCTTCTTGGCGGTGAGTCTGGAATGAAAACCGCTGGGCGCGAGGCCAAGCTCTAAGGGCAAGATCGCCTTGGGAAGCGTCAGCCTGAGCCGACGGAGAGCTGCCTCAGCATCCAGACGGCTGTTGCTGTTGGCCCACCTTGATGGTGCCTCGAAGTGGCAAACTTGACCTGGAGGGTCACCGTTTTCACCGTTTTCACTGCTTACCAAAAAGGCCAAAACAGGGGAGCGAACCAACCTCCCAAAAAACAGTGGAGCCTTGTGCCTTGTGCATGCACGCCGCTGTCTGTGCGAGAGGCCCCCACGGTGCGAATGCTGCTTCGAAATACCAATGAGAGCGCCTTGTCGACTTCGCCTTGGATCGTCCGCACCTCCTTCAGGGATCAGCATGGCTCCAATATTCAACAATGCTACCATCGCATCTGGTTGCATAACAAAGGCTGGCCGCAGCTGGCCGAAATCCGGAGGCAGGGTCCTCAACACCCTAAAACCCTAAATACCCTGAAACCTCAAGACCCTGAAGCCCTAAATACCCTAAAACCCGAACCCAAGACCACAAAACCCTACAGACCCTAAACTTTCAAGACCCTAAGGCCCTTTATAGGCCCAAACCCTCAAAATGCCCTAAACACCCTGAACACTCAATACTCCCGCTCCCGCCCCCCTCCCAGCGCGACCCACCCAGCCTCACCCGCCTCACGCACCCCACAAACCACCCCCCCGTTCCCCTGACACGCTCACTTTCAAACAACCAAGAGCCCCACCCCCCCAAAGAAAACGAGGAGATTTGTGTGAACTGCTAACAAGGCAAACACTTTCTGATTGCCTCGGATTGCTTCTGCCAACCCGCGTAGTCCGTGCCGTCGTAGGCGAGCCGTATCCACCAGAGCTCCAAAGACATGCTCGATGTGTTGGTTTGTGTTGGATGTGCTGGCGGCTCCGCCTGACCAATTTTGATGCTTGGCATCAGGGCCCTCACCCTGGCAGCCCCGACCCAGCAAGCGAACCCGCAAACGTTGCAGCTAGCAGCGAGAGTATCGGGACCCCAGTCTGCAAGGCAGCCGTATGGCTTGCCCGGCTTGCTCTGACCATCTGACATCCTTTGAATCTACCTGCTATCTTGAAACAGGTCTCTGCCCTGACAGCCTGCACGGCTCTGCGGGAAAGTAGGGAAGAGCCCGACTGGTCTAAACGCTGGCAGATGCCCCTGAGGGGCTGGCGAAGTGTGACCTTCTTACCGGCTAAGTCCCTCAGGAACTGGCTTCCGGAAGTAACCTGCCATAGGCACAATAAGCCCGGCTCATGCTCAAGATCTATTGACTTCCCTCGCTCCCAAGACTCCCAATCACAAGCCCAAGCACCTTGTTGGTTGCTTCTTTCATGGCAGATGTGAAATGCTCCAGGTTGCCTTACCACGACTCACTAACAGCAGTAGCCTGTTCAAATCAGGTCTTTCGTCTTCGTGGATCTTGCGACGTCATGCTTGGACTCTTTGCGCTTTCTACTGGATGGCTCTGGCCTTGAGCCTGCAGCGGAATTTGGTACTATCGGCAGGTCGTGGGATAGGCCGCGAGCCGAACCGCCAGCTTGCCAGCTCTTATTTCTTAACGCACGACTCAAGCAAGATTCAACGAAATCTTTGTGAAACTCGAACTGAACCGAGCTAGTAGCATTAGCAGAGCCTCGAATCTTTGGAGGCTGAGGACTGGCAAACATGCCAGGACACTCTTGGACATTGTGACATTCTTGCAAATCACGATCTTGGATTTCCGAAGGTCAGCCTGGCCAATGAAGCAACGAGAGCAGAGACCAGCCGAAATCTGCTTCGGATCCACTCGTGAAGAACGGGCGAAGACATCTCAAGGTCTGGACTTCTGTAGGTTGCCCACAAAGTTGGATTGAAGCGTACACCTTTTACGGCTCAAGTCAAACGCAACAACCTCGAAGTTCAAGGCTACTGCCCCAGTGCGAGGGCAAGTCGTCCCTGTAAGTTCAGAGCTGGAGTGCTTGCAGATCGGCCTGAAGCAGTGAGCCATCAGGGGCAGGGCCAACGCTACCCACAACGCACTGGGATGGCACCTCGTTAGCCTGATGAGGGCTTTCCGGTTGAACAGCCTGCAAGTTTTCCAAGAACCAGTACACATACCACTTTCGGCTCCGGCCGGTGGAGTCCCCAGGCCTCTATCGCGGTCCGCAGCCTGATTTCCGAGATTGCCCAGACAAAGCAAAACATGATGGAACACGCTTGGAGTGAGGCCATCGACATCTGTTCTCGAGCCACAGCCGCCTGAAAAATTCAGGCGGGCAACCGTACAGCACTTCAAAGGCATGGGAGAAGCGCAGGACATGCTGGGAGAAAGAGAACACGGTGCATCACTGGGCACGCAGGCACCTGTTGGTACAAAGAACCGTCTGCCAATTGTCCAGCACCAAGCGCTTGGTGCACTTTTGCCACTCCGAAGTTTGCCGCCTTAGTTCTTTGCCCGTTCACAGTCTGCCGTAACTGGAGGAGACAGGGAAGTTCCCTTGGACACGGACTGCTCAATTGCGTGGCCGCGGCGCTTTCCTAAGATTGTTGAGGAGCATGCCTTGCACCTCTGCACCAAACACCTGTGCTAACCCTCAAAGATCCGCACGGCGATGCCGCGTGCGGGACACCTTGGAAATCTGGCATATTCACAGCACGGGGCGAACCAATTGCGCAGCCGGCAGACCATTGTGCGCTTCATCTGAATGCTGCTCCAGAAACTCGGATTTCATGCGCCGCCGCACGCCAGGCGACCAATAGCTGAGCTATGTCACCTCAGCGAAGGCTTGACAGCCCATAGAGGAACCGGGATGGAGAACTGTTCTTGGTAGCTTGCCATTCTGACGCTGACGAGAGTTTGCGCGAAGGCTCCTGCGCACCAGAAGAAGGAATGCTGCCACCTCACGCCCCAATCAAGATAGTCACCTCTCCATCCAGCTGTCACGGACGAGGGATTCCAATCTCTGCTGAGCTTCTGGTCCAGTCTGAACCTACCCAACCAACATGCGGACTGTGCCTGGACCTTGTGCTTCTGACCCCCTTCTGACCACTTCCAAGTGCAAGGCTTCGTTGGAAGCCTCCTCGAGGGGAGCCTGCTTTCGTGCAAGACAGCTTGTCTCACCACAAGCCCTAGCCGTCTTAGGCCCACAGCCAGCCTCGGCCTTTGCAAACAGGCCTTCCTGCATGGCAAAGCTGGTATGACAGCATCTGACTACTAGCAAGGATCAAAACCATGCCCGCTTAGAGCCTCCAAGTTGGAGCATGCTGACATGAAGCAAACTCAATTGGAGGCGGTTTGAACTCTAACGCTCCTGTGCCCATGCCAGGAAAGCATCCCGAAGGTCCTCGGCAAGATTTACGAGGCACGTATGCAACAGATGTGACGGCATCCAACTCATGGTGCTACCCTCCAGCCTCAAAGTTTTGCAGTGTGGAAATGGACCGGTAGGTCCAACTCCTGAGATCGGAACTTGGCAAGTTAGGATGGACTCTGTGGCCTGAGCCAAGCAATTCCACCTGAAACCCTGGCCTGAGAGAGGAGGCGTGCCAAACGATTCTTCGATGAAGCAAACTTGCTGCTTCCTCCTTCTGGATTGTCGAAACTGCGAATCCATGAGAACTAGACGACCAGCCGCCTATGTATGCAGCATAGGTTGGCAACAAAAACAACATGGCCGGGAAACTGGAAAACCGCTCCTCGTCATTCCACTGCTCACAAACCTTGGGCGTCTGCCGGCAGGCTACCGATAGCAACAAACAGCCTGGCAGTCCCGCATTCACCCTCAGGACTCTGGCAACTTTGACCTGGCCCCGGAGAAGTTCCGCTTGATGCCCCCTGCAGCAGACTGGTTCGTAAACTTCCACAAGTACTCGGCATGGCTGAGCCACGACACGCAAGCACAAAGCCAAGAAGGCACACAGCAAAAACAAAGTACGATGACAACGAAAACTGTCATTGCTATTGTTGCAAGTAATATGTTACCGCATGGCATGAACATTCTAGGACCGGAAAAACCTTCTTCTCGTTGAAGTCGAACCATGACAGCTTATCAATTGAACCCAACCAGCAAGTCATTGCAGTTTCCGACAGCTTCGGGAACCCGAGCCCAGAAATATGCGGAGAGTTACGGGTGTGGAATAGCGCCGGTCTGGATTCCTAGGGTGCCCCCTAGGGTGCCCATTCCTAATGTCCGCACATTGCCTGAGGGACCGTGTGAGCAAGCCGGCTCGTCTCGCTTGCAAGCAAGCAGATGGGAATGGGAATTCTTTTTCCCAGGCTGTAAATGAACTTCAGTAAAACGAAATGAGTCTGAACCGTGCCGAAAAGTGTATCCGCCAGACTTAGCTCAGAGAGCACTCAGTAAACTCGCAAAAGAACACAGCAGCAGACTTGAGTTGCTTGAGTTGCTAACCCAAAACAGTGGCAATCGCTTTCGCCCTTGCCTTCAGCCATACAGTTGTGAATTTCACACAATTCAAAGACTCAAGAAGCGATTGCTTCGACCGGTGAATGGAAGGTGGTGGAAGCTGCTTTGCTCGCATCTTCACACCGACAATTGAGGTAGGAGGGTCGGTGTCTCAAGTTGAAGACAAAGCAGACAGTTCACACGCAGGCTACAGACATGTGCTTGCATGTTGCGCAGCAAGGCAAGATCGCGTGCTAAAGAAAGACCCATAGTCTTGATTGGTAGAAGTTGGCAGATGCACGATGACTTCATAGATGCCCAGTCGCTCAACTAATCAGACCAGCATCAAGAAAGCACGGCACCGTGCACGTCGCCTCTGCCATGCACATAAGGCGTTGTGAAGCAGGCAGCGCGAGCGGCCTCGAGATTGCAAGGAATGCAGAGAGACGGATAGGAGAACTTTGCTACAGAGATCTACAGAGTGCAGAGTAGCGAAAAAAGAAAGAGCCGCAAAGGTCCATGCAAAGCAAAGGACTGTAGTGCCTTCTTCCAATCGCTTCCACAGAGTTTGATGGAGCTGCTCCTCAAGCCACAGGTCTACTGAGTCCAGTATTTGCTACGAGTAGCATCATTGCAGGATCGCCAGAACTGCAGCTGCACAGCTGACTTCCATTGCTCGGGGATATGTAACTCCCAAGGCATCCCCTCGTCCTTTTTACGAACTTCATGTCGTTTGGAGAGCGTCTTGGAACTCTCTGCCTGAAGTCTATCAAAGCAAGCTTTAAAGAGATCACGCGGGCCCAACGCCAGCCTCAATCATGGAAGAAAGCGTAGCGGCCGCCCACACGTGCAGACAGAACTCTAGCAACCTCAGCTTGGCTTTCTCTGGCACTTCTTAGAGAAGATGAGGACACAAAAAGTCAGAGAGAGGACACTTGACAGTTGGCCTCCTCTGTTCGTGACCCTCGCCGTGTTCATTTTGTTGTGCATGCGTCTAACTGCCTGCTCGGCAGCATGCTTACTTCTGTGAGGCCTTCGGTGCGGCGGTGTTGGTGGCGATGTCATGGCACTTACGTTGGTGCTGGCAGCGCTAGTGCTGGCAGCGCTGCCGCGTGCTTCCTGTTCAGAGCAGCAAAGCTGCTGACAACTTTCCTCTCGCATCTGAGCAAAAGAGAAAGGCTGGTCAGCTGCCCAGCCAGTTCCGCTTTCACAACGAAGTCTGTTGCATGCACGGCTGCACATTCGGAGCTGGCGATCAGGCGGAATGTCATGTCTGTCATCAAATCGAGATTAAATTTGACCTAAGGATTCTCTATGAGAGAGCCCCGAAATTTCCTAGTCTCCATTTAACCAAGCCGAAGTGCCAAGGTCGGTAAGTCGAGTTGCCTCTACCAGTAACATGAGCACGCCCCCGCAGATTCTGGAATCTGGAACGTTCTACAATCGGAATTCCACGTCAGACCCAACAACCGCAGATGTCAACTACATCACAGGAGACATTAAGCTGTATTAAATGCTGTCTGCACAAAATGCCTTCGTGCCCCTGGCCAGAAGCGGATTATTGCACCGTTGTATGTCCCCACTCCACTCTGGATTGGATTCGTTGCAACTTTCATAAAACGGTTGCGCTACCTGGCAATCTTCCACACTGTAACGCCTGAACTC